GATCCCCAATCCAGCTGAACTTTGACGATTAAATCACAAATATAATCAATGACGGGAGCAAGAGCTGGCAAGGCCAACACATGCTGGGAATGCAATCCTGTTTGTGAACCAGCTGTCCAACCTTCTCACTCACATTATTCCCACGTACTCAAAACGAGGGTGATGCAGTCATTGATGGAGACTAACACCAAAGTAGGGTGTGGTGGGTATTAAGAGACAAGCTCACCTTGATATAAGACATCCAATCAGAGCCCAGTGAGTCGGCTGATTTCACGGTTACCAGCTCTATAAAAAATCCTTGGGCCAATCTGCAGAGTGTACAAGGAAAACCAATGACCTGAAGAATGGGCTAGAAAAGACATCTCTTTGTCAATTGATCCGCTTAAACCACTCCATACATCAAATTTAGTGACAAACACACACTACAGTTTCAATTCATCTGTAATGGGTCTGAATAAAGAATTACCTGCAGCTCAGATTGGTATTTCTTCATTTAATCCGTCTGAAAGTCAAATGAAACACGGGCAATCTCTTTGCGGGGGCTATAAAGCTTTGGTATAAGAAGGTTGAATCCTCCGATCAATTTTCTTGGGATATTAGTGTGTGTGTGTGTGTGTGTGTGTGTCCTTGTTTGTGGCTGTGATTGTGTGCATGTCAGTATGCACCCATGTGTGTCCCTTTCGCAGAGTATTGATTGTACCAAGAGAGGATCAAAGGCAAGCGGGGAAAAAAGATGTCGAGTGAACAATTAAAGGCTAGAGTGTGTCACACAGCAGCTTCACCCTCCATGTTAAATGTTCCCCCCTTTTCTATAGTATTCAGTCATTTTTCATAGGGCTAACCGAAGGAGAACATGAAAGACTGCTAGGATGAATGAGATGAAGGGAAGGAAGAAAGACATCAATCGCTCATTTCAGATTGGCACAGAGTACGTGGGAGAGCGAGGTTTTTATGCAATTACAATGCTGCTGGTGTTATGAATGGAAATAATGAGTGCTGTGTCTCAACTAGTTTTTTCATTTCCTCTGCCTTTGTCTGCTTATTAGCTTGGTCATGAAAGGGAGAGCGTGAGCAAAAGACAGAATGGGGCAAGAACTGGGGGATGATAAGAGCATGGATACGATTGAGTTTGAGTGAATGAGGTGTTTGGACTTTGGATAATGTGAAACAAGGCCGGGTAAATGTGTCTCACTGTGTGGGGTGATGTTATTTCCTTGTTGTTTATGTGCTCCGTGTGTTTGTCTTGTGCATATATGTTTAAGTGCATGCTTGAGTGTACGTATAATAGGATTCAGGACCACGGCAGAGGAAGGACACAGGGATCAAGGGCATGCTTAATATGGAGTGGTGTGTCCCAATATCATGACAGCTAAATGCATGGTAACAAAATAAAGGCGCATGGATGCCTCTCAGTTTCAATCTCATTCCTGAAAGTGCGCTTGCTTCTTTTTCACAATGATCTTTATTTAGAAAGAGAGAGACAATAGAGCGTTTCTTCTCCTTTGTTCTTCTAAAGTGAATCCCTGCTGAGATTATCCAGATCGTTAATGTAAGCAGCTACCCAGAACAACCTCTGTGATGTGGTTTTCTGGTGACGTTGAGGTCAAAGGCATCTTATCAGCTGATGAGAAAGACAGGCAGCCCACTCTTACTTTCCCTGGGGATTTGAGTTTTCTTGTGTTTGAAATATTTCTTATTTCTTTCAATGCTTTCTTCATGGTTTTGAACTCAGAGATATTATGTCAAGTCTCTAAATCCCCCTAAAGTCTGAAATTTTCCCCAATTAGTCCCTATCAATGAACTGGAGAGCATGGGCATCGCAATTTGAACACAGACTGACCAGTTTGATTTTTGGTGATGAAAGTTTTCCAAATACATGGTTCTCACTAAGACGGTGGTGATAATGCACATTAACACAAGTTTCCACCTGCAACTGACACACACAATTCAGAAATTTAGTCACCATTTAGCAAAATATTGGTGGGTCCTGAGACTGGACCACCACCTGTGTGTGATTTCGCCCTGTATTTTACTGCCTTAAAGCACACTTTTTTCTTACAAACTGTAGATTTGTAGACTGTAGAGACAGCAGGGGTACGCAGCTGTACGCATACTTTCACCCCTGCAATGTATGTAGGTTACGTTTTCTTACCGTGTTGCCGCACGTCAGTCTGCAGTCTGCATTGTAACTGTAGTAATCCAATAGGACCATGCTGCGTGTGAGTGAGTCATATTCGCTTCCGCAAACAAATTCCACAAGTGAGCGCGTTCAGTGCGCACTTTTGATTGGACGCTGGTTGCCTAGGCGCTGGGGACCGCCTCCCGCCTTTTGCGGAAGAAGGGAACTTTTAAAGAGACAGCAGCTTCACTCTCAGTACAGAAATAAAACAAACTGCAGAGAAAAATTGATTTTATGTTTAAGAGAAAGAGAGATGCAGCAGATGATGATACTGTGGCATCAGAGTCAGCACTTTGTTCAACTTGGGTGTGCTCCTCTTAAGTAAAGCCTACGGATGCAGTCCCTGCAAGCAGAGCCGGCCCAAGTCTCAATGGGGCCCTAAGCAAAATTTGATTTTTGGGTCCTCTGTTTCTGCCAATAATATTGATTGTTGATCATTCACACACCTTCACAGTTCTCTTTGATTTAGATTCCATGATATGTAAACATACCTTGATTTTGGCTTTTCTTCTCTTTCTTCCTCTTTCTTTTCTCTGCTCCTGAAGGATATGTCCTTTTTTGCAACATTGTTTTGCCCCACAACTACCGACGCTTTGGACGCTCAGTGCACATTGCACAGCAGGAGGCACATAACGGTAGCAGAGCTTTGACATATCGGCAGTAAGAATCATCGGCCTACACCAGCAGCAGCACTAAAATGTTTTTACTTTATTTTATTTTTACAATAATATATATTTGATCATACATGAAGCATCACTCATACATGCAAAAAATAATAAAATAAAAAATATTTAATTTTATTATTATTTTTTTTATTGCTCTTGGGGGCCCCCTATTGGCCATGAGACCCTAAGCAGGCGCTTAGTTCGCTTAGATCGCCTATAAGAACCTTATCCTACTTCCACCCCTGTGAGACAATATTGTGAAGAATGAAAGCCTAATTCCTCCATTAACAAGCAGTGTTCAGGTATTTCAAATGTCACATCTGCTGTAGTGACTAAAGATTATCAAAAATATATATAAATATATATAAACTGGAATAAGGCTGTAGCCATAGTGACATTTAGGTTTTAGGTGCAGGTGTGAGTGTGCAGGGAGAGCCTGTGCAGGAGGGAACCCCTCGATCTCTGTGACGAGAAGACACACAGGCTTCACAAAAGAAACAAATACATAATTCACTAAAATAAAAGCTCAAAAGGTTGCAATCACCACACTGGCATTGTCCAATACTGGGCCTGTTGACAGAACTGGCCCACCAGCAAAATCTGGGCCAAGCACAGGTGTATGGAGCCAATGTTTATCTGTGTCTTCTCCCTTTTTATCTCTTTATTGCAAATAAGCCAGTGTGCTACTACACCTACCTGCTGATCCACAGAGGACATTTTTTTTTTGGCACAAGTCACCTGTTTGATAAACTCTGGGTTTTAATGTAAAGGAAAGGGTGACAGTGTCAGAAAAGATCAGCGAAATTTGTCTGACATGCTCCATGTAAAATTTTAAGAGTTATAAAGACGGGAAAGGAGGAAACACAAGCAACAGTATAAGTATATCAAATCTCACAGCTAATTAAAAAAGGGACAGTAATCAAAAAGGAGAAATGCAAAAAATAATGTGTTTTTATGTATTAAAATTGGCTATTAACTACATTTTTGTTTTAACTACCATGAGCATTAGGCCTGATGTTCACAATGAGAGCATCTCTGGTTTTGCCATCTTGGATTCATGTGGAGCGAAAAAGACTATATGGACTCTATTTCGTCTGACACGCTCTTGGAGTCAGCCATCCTCAAATATACTGTTTTTGGTACTCTTTGGCTTCATTTATCAGTCTTTGCCTCCTGGTACAGTAGTGAGATATTTTCCCCCCAGAGAGCCAGACAGTGCAACAGGCTGACCTTTATGTTTCATTTTGTCTTGCAGAAAAAAAAATCATAGGTGTTGTTGGGCTTTTTTTCCCTCTCTGGCTTCATTTCCTGCACGTCTCTGCCTTCTGAATTGTAAAGAAAATCAAACAGCTGGGTAGGTTGATAGTGGGCCTGTCTCAGGGGAATCGCTGGACTTTGGAGAGCAGCTGAGAAGGATGAGGGCTGGTCTGGAGCCAGCTTCCTTCACTCACTAATACTTTGTGTCCACCTCCTGCTGCACTGTAGGTGGAGCCCTTCTATTAATCTTATAATACTGACCTTTGGAAGTCACTCAGCGTGAGTTTAAGGGAGTCAAATTAAGTAGAAAACCCACAAATGGACTGCATGGGTTTGACAAACAGAGCTGAGAAATTACTTTGATTTTATACCCCAGAAGAAAGAGAAAACAGTCAGAATAGTAACCTTACAATAGGTTGTGTGTGTGTCGAGATACCAGAGAGGTTTTGAAGAGAGCTGTTACACTGAGGAGGCTTGAGTCTTACAGATATTATTCTGTGACTCAAAGGTCAACGCTTCAATTCCTGCGCGGTCTCTGTAGCATCCTCAGAATACACGAGTCCTTCCAAAAACCACCGGGGAAAGACACTGAGCTCTCTTTTAAAAATTGGGTGAGAGTGTCTGAAATCTTGTTGCAGGAAAAGGGCAGATGTACTCCGTAATAGGGGATCGACTGTAATTACACAGAGATCTGTTATTTGAGTTCAACAAGCAAATAAGCAACAACTGGAGGCTTAGTCTGAAAGCCGGCGTGGAACAGCTTGTGTCATTTTGTTCTCCTCTTACTCGCACATACATACACTTACACACTTTGACACACTTACACACACACTTGAGGCATTGTTCGCTAATTACTGACATGAAGATTCTCAAGGGGGCAAAGGAAACAGAGAGGTGCACCTCAGCATCCTGGGACCAGTATGAATGGACCTGCAGCTCTCTCACTTAATCACTGTCGCTCCAGCTGGTCATGTGATCAAGGAGGAAGTAGGCCATAACAAAGGAGCAGGAGAGACTGGCAGAGTGTGGAGAGAGGGCTGTATTAGAGACAGAGGGGAAGAAAAAGACAGAAACAGAGAGCTTATTAAGTCTCTTATTATTCCCTCCACACAAACACACACACTTTTCAAAAAAATCTAAATATACACAAACAAGGAGAAGATGCCAAATTTTGGATGATAAGATGAACAGCCTGAGGATTAAAAGGTTAAACTGAAACACACAGACACACATACACAGACACACACCCTGTCTTGCTCCCTCTCTGAGTTGAATCTATTGAAGAGTGCCACCTTGTTTTTTTTCCGCCAGGTAAATTTCTAAAATATGACACATCTGCACACTTGGCACCTGTTTAGACGTCTGCTTCAAAAACAGTAAGTTTTAGGCAGGGTCCTCTAACAGCACAAATGCACACAAACATGAAGTGTTTTTATCGCAGATCAAAAAATCCTTCACACGCGTCAGCCTCAGACAACAACAGAGGACAGAGCTGCAGCTTGTTGTTGTTGCGTGCAGACATCTATCACTCTGCCCTGTGCAGTTTCCTTTGCTGAGTCATCTCCTTCAAATCGTTTTTGTTCATGCCAATTTATGTTTCAAAGTGGAACAACTGAAGGATTGACACTCTGGTGGCAGACTTGGAGCTAATGAAGTCGCTCAGATTGGCTGCTTTAGATGACACCATTAATGTAATTAGCTCAGTGTGTGGGGCTTAGAGTTTGTTAATACCCGTTAAAGACAATGAGCTTCTAAAGACTTTGTAATTAAAGTATATAGTTTGTTTTGGCAATTGATTTGTAAAAGGTGTTGGAACACATTGATATGAAAATGCTGTAGTGTTATGTTGCATGTACATATTCAGACAACATGGAGCAACATGAGTGTTTATTCTGGTTATCTGAACAATTTAAGTGTAATATTCATTCTCCTTCAGCTCCGTCTCTGACCTCTGAAAACTTAACACATAGCTCTTTTGCTGCTAAATGTTCCACAACGTTCATCAAATATGATTGATATTATTTCTTGATACTCACTTGACTCAGTCAGTGCATGCTGCAATATGTAAAACTCAGTTAAATTAAGCAAGCCGGCTAATGCCTGAATGACCGTAAATGAAATATCTTGCACCAGTGCACTTGGGGAAACAGCTGTAAAAGTCATTTATTTGACAGTAAAAGTTTTAGGTGGAACCAAACAGACTTTAATAGTGAACACATTTAAAGTGAAGGGGATCCTATAAAGCAAAGTTAAAGGGATATTCCGGTGTAAAATTAATTTAGGGTCAAACACACCTGGTGGCTAGTGCTGTGGCTAGGACTCTATATGTACTGTTGATGAAGTTAGGTGCTGTTCTGAGCATTATTTGTGACTATAGAGTAGTGTTTTGGTTGAGGTTTGTTTATAGCTCCTCAGACCACTGTGTATTGCTATCCTGCGGTCGTTACTAGAGTTGGTAAACGATCGGCAACATTCATCTCTCGAGGGGGTGTCTAACATGGTGCTATGGTGTTTGACCCTAAATTAATTTTATGCCGGAATATCCCTTTAATATTAATATTGGTAATCCCTGCAGAAATTGCTGTGTGGAAGATGACGGTTAGATTTCTTTACCATAAACTCAAATGTGAGTTATTTTAACTCTTTTGTGGCAGAGACTGACAGGTCTGAAATGGGCAGTTGGAATTATACTCTGGCATAGGTTGGAAATAAACCTGCAGCTGAATGTAATCTTTGGACACACAGGACAGCTGTTTCTCCACTGAAGTATCATGCTGTTCTGCTCTTCTGCTTTGATGGGGTTATTGAGAGTTTAAAATTTATCACAGAAATGCATATTTGCTGTGCATGTGTGAAAGACAATGAGACTTCTGGAGTGGGAAATTTGACTGATGATCTGGCACAGGTTGGTAATAAACCAGCATGCTTCAGTTATCTTTAAAACACCAGGTGCACGACTATTACCACCTCTGCAGTCAGCCTTTCTGGGCCTCGAACTAAAAATGAATAACTTCATTGAAAATGTAGAACAAGATATTTATGTCTTCAAAGATTTGCAAAGATTTTGTGAGGAAAATCTTGACTGAAAATTGGCTGAAACCTGAAACTATGAACTCTCGTTTACCTTTTGTTTCCATCATTAAGTTAAAAAAAAAAGTTGGGAGGCAACACAAATTTGAAAGAAAACTCCTAACTGGTGTGCAGTTTCTTAAGACACACCAAACAAATTAATTCAAAGTGTCACGGACAAACACATGAAGCCATGTCTTATTATCTCCTGGATTGACAGTTTCCTGTCATATTGATCCATCCTTGCACCACCAGTGTCACCTGCATAACAGATGAAAGGAGAACTCACCTCATGGTCTCATAATAGAAATGACAAGCAACTGACAGTAGCTGACACACACACACACACACACACACACACACACACACACACACACACGCACGCACGCACGCACACACACACACACACACACAGGAAAAAAAACATTGAATATTCAACAAGCTGCTGAGCAATTGCTAAAATGCCCTGAGGAACTTGATATCGAAGACTGACCTGCAGTTCACTGATGCTATCAGGCCTCCAGCTAAATTGATCATAAGGGGTTTGAGAAAAAGCAGCCACTAATAAGCTCACTCACTACGATCAATACATAATCTGACACAGCCGTCACCTTCCCTGATCTGTGCGGTGAAGCAAACAGAGTGACCTCTAACTTCAGTCACTGAGTGCTTGTATTCATAATGTGGTTTTGCAGGTTTATGACTCCTAGTAAATATGTTACTTAAAGCTCCTGAGAGGAACCTTTAGTTTGAGTCGATGTTGGTGCCCCCTTGAGTAGTTTCTTTGTACTACATATCTCATCATTCAGACTTTTGACAGTTGAATATACCATTATTAGGGCTCTTTCTTCTTACCCTCTCGTACCAATTTTAGCCATCAATCTTGTCACTTATGATCTTGTTTGCTTCGAGATTGTATGAAAACCCTTTCATTTTTAGACTTTCTCTTTGACATCAAAAAACTCTTAATGTGAGCTTTAAGTGAAACAGGTTTGACAACAGAAAGTGATGGATAACAAATGTGTGAGAAAAGCTGTTAAAAATGATCTTTATCTGTTAACATGAACTGTGACTCGAGGATGCTCAAGAAACCACGGTGACTACTCTGGGTTAAAGCTTACTGAGGCAAAATGGAAAACTGTCCTGTGGTTAGGGAAAATCTAAATTTGACATTCTTTTTGGAAACCATGGACATCTCAGCCACCTTGCTCATCAGTGCACAGTTTAAAAGTCAGCATCAACTGTAGTGTGGTGTGAAATAATAAAAGCATGATTGAATTAAAGTTTGATTTTGATCCCAGCTGGTTAAAATGGAAAATTGGTCCCTGGCATAATTTATTTTTCACACACTTGGACAAATCAAAGTAAAATGCTTGAACAGGGACTATTATTATAGTGTTGTAACACGCTGAGAGGCTTGTTTACTGAAGATGGACTGGCACAGATTCATATACACCACAGGTTTTATCTGAGATAACTGACATTTATTTCTGTCTCTGTGACTGTGAGGACCATCAGGTTTCTCACAGAGAGTGCTGCCAAGTGTAACATACTCTATTGATTAGAAAAATAACATCAACAAACTAATACCATTTATTTACCTTATTCCTGCTGAGTCAACAGCGGAAAACTTTGGGTGCTTAAGTATTTTGAAGCTGAAATGGATACATCACATTCAGGAATGCAATCCCTCTATTATTGAATAAAGCGCCCATGTGGGATACCTGTATTACAAAATGATTCGATTTTGTAAGGATGATTGGCTTGATTCAATTTAGGCCCAAGATCGCCCACACAGCAGCATGTGCAGCAGCTGACATCGGCGGTGTGTGGATCACTCAATGACAGATCAAGAGGGGAAACACTTTTACTGTGCAGTGTCTCAGCGAATGCATGTGTGAGGTGTCTGAAGAAGAAAGATTGGGCTTTAATGTTATGTATTGGTGTGTGTGTGTGAATGGATGGTTGCGTGGGTGTGTGTGTATGCAGTAGCCCAGTGCTGTTGGCTCTTTCCCCTCTCAGTGCTGCATGGATTTGCATCTAATTGACAAAGTTTATCAGCAGAAGAACTCCCTTTAATTTGCTCCAAAGAAGCCTCGATAACAGCCTGTGTGAACCAGCAAGCTTCATAGTTAGACCCCTTGGTTGCTACAAAACAATCACACCTTGACACAAGAAGTCACCATTTATACAGAGGTCTGTCACTGCAGACACAGAGCCATCACTGTAAATTACAGAAGAAACAGGCAGCCTGCAGTTTATCAGTTTATCAGGGTCAGGTTTTGAGAAGTTAAAGAAATCAAATTGCATTTTTGAGTGATGTGAAGCATTGACCTTTGCTGCACACACACACACACACACACACACACACACACACACACACACACACACACACACACACACACACGGGTGGATATGTGGATATGTGGATATGTACGTATATAAGCAAATAAAAACCCTCCTAGACAAAAGAATGAAATCAGCAGATGTGAAATGCAGCTGAGTTTACATATTTCCTACAACGCCTTTTGTCATGCAAGAATTGTCGACCTCCACATTTGGTGATTTTGATTGTTTCATTTATGCTGAGGATGAAAAGTTCAATTACAGGTTTTCTCCGATTGGGAACTGTTGTGTTTTCACTTAAACGATAGCTGCTGGTTAAAACGTTAATTTCTGACACTAAAGAGAAACCTCTATTTTTTCTTTTACAGAATAATCTCTTTTCCCTGTTTTATACTAACAAAAAAAAAGACTAAAATTAATTCTAATACAAAGCTAAGGAGTCAATCAGTAAGAAGACTGACGAGTTCTCTGGAGTTATTTTTAATGTCTGCTGCCATGCTGCTAAAACTGTCTCTGTTTACATATTCAGAGATTCACAGTGAGTGACATATTTGACAGTATGGAGAGAGCAGGAGGATTTTTCATAACTGGGGACTACTTACACAAATACAGAAGAGGATCAGCAGAGATCAAAAAAGCTGCTGTGTCCCCGAAATTAACATATGTAAAAGTTTTAATTTTTACTTGAGTCTTAAGAAGTGACACCTTTTCTGTGTTTATCTAATCCTCACTTTCATCATTAGAAGAAAAACCTCAACAGAAAGCTTTCGTTTTGTCAGGAGCATTATATGAACTCTCTGACAACCTCTGTTGTCTGCAACTGCCTTTTTCTAAAAACATAGCCTTCAGCTTCTCGAGAAAAGTGTTTACTGTCATACTAATGCAATCTGACAGACCTGCCCTCTTTTATGGGCTAATGTGGAGACATTTAGACGTGTTTCTTTTAAGTTAGAGAGAAAGAGAATTGTAGCTGCCATGTCTGAATGAAATATTGGTGAAATAATCTCAACTCAGTTTCAGTCAATTACCAAACTGAATGAGAATATATGAGGATAAGCCACCCAGCCCTTGTCTTTTGTTCTTTAAACCATGGCCCAATTGCTTTAGAGTGAAAGCCAGGATTACACTCTGTTCTGCCTTTATGTCTTTCTCAGGCCTTCATTCATCCCTCGCTTGGTTCAGCAGGGTGATCCCAGGCAGAGAGGCAGCACGCTCTCATCTGCAGTGGAGCAGAGTAGCCATGAATGGATCGATATCTCTGAAGAAGCAGTGTGTAGATTTCCTAGTACCTGTGAGTAACTTGGCTTCTTCCCAAGATACAACTCTCCTGAAGAAAAGCCCTGATTCTGTTTGTAATGAATGTAAGCTCTGGTGTGAAAGAAAAGATATTAAAATTTGTTTGGTTTTAATTTCCCTGGATGACACCCTCTGCCACCTGACTTCACCCCGTCACATGCCACACACTCATGGGCAGAAGAGGGTCTGCATTTTTTGCTTTTGCTGAGACAAAGCCTTTAGCGTCCAATTATTTCACTCTTTGAATGCCTTCACAGCAGAACCCTTTCAAAGACCTGTCCTCTCATTCTGTCTGTGTAGGACATGATTTCAGCTGTCGGAGCTGCCTCACATGCAATGGAGTCTCTACATCCCCTTTCTCCTATTCTTCATCTGAGTCTTATCTGTGTACCATATGCTGTTAGACGGTTTGTAACTAACACAAATGTAAAGAAAGAAAAAAGTGGGTGCAGAGTTTCACAGTCAAATAAATCCCAAGTCTGTATCGGAGTGAAATGAACTCTTTCAATGGTATTCATTTCTCAAAATCTGTTATCCCTGTGGCTGCTGGACACTGGGTCGGTATAAGACTCTCTGAGTGAAACTCTCTCTGCCAGCTGTTTATCCTCCTCTCACTCTACTTCAATTTCTCAGAAGTCTTTTTTGTGGAGCGGGGGTGTTACCACAATCTGGTCTGAGCAGATCCATCATTGCCTCTAGGACAAGTTTATGCATCAAAGGGAACTTAGTATCCAGATGATTTTTTTTCTTTTTGCTTTAAAGACCACAGTCAACCCACCGCATTTCATTGTCTTTAAAGCTCCTGTGAGTAACTTCCATTCTGTGTCAACTTTGGCGCCCCCCTGTGGACAAATCTGTCTTTGCTTATCTTGTCCTCTACCTGCTTAAAAAGTGTCTCCTGACAAAAAAATCTCACATTTACAATAAAAGCGGGTCTTTGTCAGGAATATGTTAAAACAGGTCTTTTTCTTTAGTGGCTCCACTGACACCTATCTTCCCGCATCAGTTTCAGGCATCAGGACTTACCCCGATATTTTCACCACATCCGAAATGGCGGTGATTTTCGCCGTCCGCCAATCCCTACCAGATCTGTTTGTGAGGCGAATTTTGTGGTGGATTACGGACAGCATGAATCGCGAGAACACACAAGAACCCATGGGTTCACATGCAATCACACAATGATGAGTTGTCTCTATAAAGACAGCCACATGACCAGAAAAGCAGTAGATTGTGTCCTTGCAGAGATGGAAATCCATTTCTAGACTTTTAGAATCATCTCCTCATCATGGTGTCATCAGGGTGAAATGCTGTATAAAAATCTTTCACTACTTCGTCCCCGCCTGTTTGCATGGTGTGAAATACGATCCTCCTGAAACACGACATGTTTGATTTTGAAAAGAAGCCAGATGTTTTATTTTGTGTCTGTGCCCGACTTCCTTTCCAGCACGGGTTAATCTGTACTGAATTTATCCAGCATGCTCCAGTGTCCGGAAAAAACAGAACTCTTGCGATCAGCTGCGGAGTCCAGCGATCTGCAGCTGAATGGAAAGAAGTTGAGGTAATTGACAGATTAACTTGAATGGTTACGATCAGCTGTGATTGGTGGATGTGGCCTTTTCGTAGCCGTTCCAGTGGACATTGGGGGTTACAGTACAAATATCATCAATCTTGTCCCTGATGGTCTTGTTTGCTTTTGTATAGTAGAGAGAAAGTTTAGTCTGTTTTATAAACATAAAAAACTCCTTACAGTAGCTTTAAGGTATAAATATTTAGATAAAAGAGAAACACTAAAGTAGGGAAATCTGTTATTTGAATATTTTAGTTTCTAGTTTCATCTTTACTCATTTCGTTATTTTCGAGGTGTTAAAATCCTATGCACCAATGCTAATGGTTTTGTTGTCTTTGTAAATATCACAGTTACATCCCTTACACACACTTGGACAAAACACACACCCACACACGCTAACACAGCAGCTCACTTTCGGCTCAAAATGCTGACTTATAATAGTGAAGCGGCTCACACAGAGAGTCCTCTTCCTCATTATCCTCACTACCCTCTAGGCTTGGCAGTCGGATCCCCTCCAGCACATTTGCACCATCAGTTCTAGGATTAGTAGTTGTGATTGCTGTCATTGACTTTATCCTCTCTTTGCTGCTTCTTACCCACGATAAAGGTAATCATGTCCACTATCAGCCAATCTTAAGACCAACTAGAAGCGATGGCTCAACATTAAGAGTGTCAATCATAGACAGCAGTGAGTGGCAGACTTACTTTTCTGTGGTTTGACTTTGTTTACAGTCAAACTAGCAACTTCAGAAGTAACAGATGATATTATTTAAGCTACAAACTCAAAGTAAATTAAATTCAGATTTTTGTGTTATACTATAGAGATACTGTACAAGCCAGAGGCCTGTTTCCATTAGTAAAACAGTTGTTATCTCATAAATATTTTTGAGCTAACGAGGGACTAGGCTGCCTTCTCCGGGAGCTTAAAGCCCTTCAGTTGTTACAAATATAGATTATATCTCTAATTTACAAGCCCATATCTGCAGTAAGGAGCGAATGAAAGCTGAGTCAGGCCTTATAGTGTGAATGTAAACTGAATCTGAATGTAAACTGTTACAACAGCATGTGATCATTATTGCAGGTCATACAGTTCTTTTGTAAATGAAAAAGTAGGACCAACAGAATCCAATATAACTTCACTTTATCTTCTCAGGTTTCAGCCAGTTACAGCAAACACTCACTCAGCAGCGACACGACATCCTTACAGTGAGAAGAGAAGGAAGCTGCTGAAGCTGCTGTGGTTACTGTCACTGTCATAGACGGCATATCCAGACGGGAGAACCAGGTGAATTTCATCACCAGCATTCAGCTCCAGCACAACTGAATTAGTAATATAATCTACAGTGTTTAGCACTGGAATGAGGTTAAACATAACCCTTTGGTTATTCTTGTACAGGGAAACACCTGGCATCTGTGACCCGTGTGAGCACACAGTGAACTGGAAGTAGTAGGCCCCTCTGACTGGTGCTGTGAAGAAGCCTACAGAGTTTCAATAGAAAATAAAAAACAACAATTAGACTGTGTGGGTTTAAAAAAACTGTTATATTCATAACATTAAATATTTTCAGCTTCTATAACCTGCAGGATATTACCTGTAGCGGGATTGTAAGCTTCACCAATGTTGGTGAAGACCTTGCTGTATTTTAGAGTGATATCCGTGTTGTATGGTCCAATAACTCCTCCATTAGCTAAGCCTGCGTAAAATGCCATCTGTGTTTTTCCTGTATATGCACAAAAAAGCGTACAGGTTTTCACAAAGTTTGGCTGGACTGAATTTGTAATGTTTGATTTATCTGTTTCTGTTTCACAGTCATCACCTGCATTTTCTTTCTCCAGCTGCTCAATCCTGGACTTGTTGATGAGAAGTTCACTCTGCACATCTGAATTCATAACAAGGAAAACTTCAAAATACTAACATTTCAAAATGCACAACACATTTCGTACAGTGTCTCATATTCCAGGTTTAAATTAGGTTCACCCATGTTTAATTCATGCTGTACAAAAAGTTGTAACACCTGAATGACAAACGGGCTCATGTCTGTGCAAAAGGATCAGTAAAGAATTTGATATTAGACCATTTTTATCTGAAAGTCAGAGAGTTGGGTACTAAAAGTTTAGAGCGCAAAATTAAAACTTCAATTGAACTGATTCTCATCAAAATGAACCTTTAAAAAATTACACTGTAAAATCTGCTGTAATGAACATTAATCCAGGATAATTTATTTAAATATAGGGATACATTTGCCTAAGTTGTTGTTGTTTCTATGTCTTGAATCAAAGTTCTTGTTCAGGGGCCCCATTTTACCCTTTAGTATTTACAGCTCCTGTCATGAACTTTCAGTTTGATTCAATTTTGGGGCCCCCTCTTGGCAAAGCAGTCTTTGCTTAACTTGTCCTCTACTCCTGAGTCGTGTCCTTTAACAAAACCCCTCAGCATTCTGACTTTTGACAGTCAAATGTACAATTTATAAAAACATGAAATATTTGTGTATGTCATGTGTGTCAGTAAATTACCTGCATTTTCTCTCTCTAGTTCACTTGTTCTGCTTTCAGTCGTGGTCAGTCTCCTTTCAAAGGATTTCAATTCTGTGGCTTCGGCTGGAAAACAGAGTAAGATTGATTTACAGTGCCTTACATAAGAAGTCAAGCTTCCTTCCATTCATATAGAGGTAACAGTCTGGACATTTAAATTGTCTTTTTTGTTGGAGTTTGATTAACAAAAAATAATCACCCTGAAAACCAGACATCAGTTGGAAACATGAGAATCAGCCTGATCAGTGGTTATACATGGGCTTCGTGAAGTTTTGCCACAATCATATTTATAATAAATAATCTATAATAATATTTAGTTTATAGGTATTAATACAAATAAAGATGTAGGTGTTTGATTTTGCATTATCTCACCTTCATTATCTCTCTCCAGCTGGTCAATCTTGGACTTGCAAACAAGAAGCTCACTCTCGGTGTTCCTCAGTCTGGTCTGCAAGTCTGTGGTTTGTGCAATCACAGGGGAAAACAAGCAGCTAAAACCAAGATATCAAACCATAACTACACTGCTGTCAGTATCCTTTCATATCAAAATGGCTCAAATACGACCTAGAATGACAAGAAAACACTGTTGATGAACACATTCACTTTGGCGTGGGTTAATTTAACTGGTAATGGTAATGTAACTGGTGGTAATCATTCTCGTTTCCAAAGATTCGATCTCTGCAGCCTGAGCTGAAAAACAGAAAGAGTTTGGTTTGCATGACAAACTAACCTCTGTTTCTGTATTCAATAAGAGCAGTTCAATAAAGCACATCTCATATTTTAACACAAACTCCAAAAGAAAATCACTCACCAACGCATCAACACTAAGCAGGAAAAATAAAGTCTGTACCTCTATTCTCTGTTTGCAGCAGCTCCATGTGAAATTTGGTGGAGATCAGCTCGGCTCTCAGATCATCCACCTGGTTCTCACTTTCCTTCACTTTGTCCTCTAAGGCACTCAGCTGCACTTTAAGCTCCACCACCATGTCTCTTAGTGCTCTCACCTCCACCCAGATGTCAGGGGTGGTTTGTTTTGAGGTCCCCTCGGTTACATCCCCCTGCATTTGAGCCCCTGACCCAAACAGGCCGAGCAGCAGTGACAGAAATCCAAACGCAGCCCTCATCATTCAGCAACACGTCTCTGCAAAAGAAAGACACAGTGGTGGAGTTAGCCTGTCTTATTTAAACTTTATTCGGCTGACGAAATGGAAAAAAACAGCAACAGGTGTTTTCAATTGAAAGTTTGACAAATAGCCTTGAATGATTTGATATCAACTTGGAGCTGGTGAGAAAATAAAAAACACAACAGCTGCTTCAAATGCTGAGCAAAACACACTTCTGAAATCTTCTGACTGAGCGTTACCACATCAGAAAAAAAAAACAGATTCAACTTTTAACTTTGTCTCTCCTTTTCTTATTGTTACTGGTACATATGAATCGCAGCTTTTGTTTTTACATTTTCTTAAAATTTGACAAATAATTGAGGTAAATGTGGTCCAAAGAAGGTACTTACAAGCCCCCTGGTGGTGGCCACAAACACTGCAGTCAACCCTAGAAAATTCAAAGAGGACACTGACTATGTTGTTATTCAAATTTCAGCGCACGATTTGTTTTCACGTCCCAGAAAATAATATTCTTTATCGTATTATCCTTAATTCTTTGCATATATTGACCTGAAAACATCTCTTCATGCAACGATCCTTGTTGTTTGTTCAGAGATTTATAAATTTAGCAGAGCATGAACATGTAGTGATGACCCAGATTAATAATTAAAAAGTAAACTCAGTGTTCTGCTCTTTCTCAAATAAACAAAACACAAATGCTCTCATCCTTATTGATCCAATCACTACCACTGGGCGCTTCACTAGTTTGCTTGGCATCAGTCCCTCATAATTTAGAGTACATGAAAAGATTTTCACAGGAATCCATTGCTCTCTGTGCCAATTACATTTTGCAGAAATAGTAAAATATTGGTGACAAATATTGATTGTTTTTCTTTTACCAGCCCATAAACTGTCTTGGGTCAATATCACTCAGACTGCACTGCATAGTTTGATCCAGATGAATATTGATGCAATTAACATCAACAAACACTGTCCAAAAGCCTTTCAGAAAATAATATTGAATACCTTTCAAATGTGATGAAACATATATTATAACCGGTTCAGATACATGTTATAATAATGTGAAATAAGCAATCTTCAAACGTACTGGGCTGCAACATGGAGGTGAAACAGCTTTGTTCTCTTTTCCAGTTCAACCCAACTGAGCATTTTTTGGTCTAAAAGAGGTCTAATAGACGTCTAAATGTAGCCTAGCCAACTGGTCTAAAGTTAGGGTACCAGGATCTCAATTTAGACCAAGTTTAGATCAAGTCTAAATCTGGGTTATATCTATACTACACTGTATATTGCTCAGTGACTATCACAGTTGCTTTTTGAAATAAATAGTTATCGAATAATGGGTTCAAGTGCAACGTCTAAATTCCATCTAAAAATATACAGAATCTAGACGGTTGAAATGAGGTCTAAAAAAAACTAGACGTCTAATGGCCTTCCATTGCTGTAGGACTCTTCCGCTCTCGGTGAGAATCTGTCTAATTCCCAAAGGTTAGACTTTTATTGGTTTGTCTGAAAAGCAAAATGCATTACAGTCAGAGAGTTTGAATTAAAGTTTATAATGCTCTGAAAAAGTATTCAAACCCCCTTGGACTTCTACAGTTTAAAGCTATTCCCTTCAAAAATTCACACTGTGTGATTGAGGAGACAGAGTCTCAAAAATCAGACATCTAGAGCACCTTTCCATAGTGAGCTGTTTCCCCAGCACCCCACTTTGAGTGTTTTATACTTCTACCTGTAATCAAATATCCAGTATCAATGTATCATCACCTGCACTTTCTTTCTCTATCTGGTCGGGCTTGACAGATAAGAAGTTCACTCTCAGTACTCCTCAGTCTTATCTGCAAGTCTACACTTAGTGTGATGACTGTGAGCAACAACACAACCCTCAAAATATCAACTTACACACAAGCACAACATCATAAACAGGATTTTGACTTTGAATCAAATCAGCTAAAATAATACAAAAAAAAATAGAATCCACTGTGAACAAACACATGATCTACAGCATGTTTTTGATGAATTAAATGTCCGTCAACATGCGATATCATAAAAAAAGCAAGTCATTTAACATTGAATACAGCAGGTGACATGATGTGTGTCTGTGGTCTGAGCTGAAAAAACAACAAATGTTTGGGTTCGTCTGTAACAAAAGGAAGAACTTCTGTAAAAAGTTTATATAAAGTCTTTCAACAAGTTTAGTGCAATATCCAATCCATCATCTGTCTTCAAACCAAATACTAAAAGAACATACCACTCTTGTTTTCCACCGTTTCACAGAGCCAGTGTTGAGGCTCTCAACTGACTCTCACTGCCCTTCAGTTCATCCACGGTCCTCAGCTGCACTCTCAGCTCCACCATCGTGTGTCAGCGGTGGTTTCCCAAGAGACACAGCAGTAGCGTCGGTCCATCTTTTACAGGCTTTGAACTGTTTGGCTGAAAGGATCAGAAGAGACTTCCATATTTGAATGTTTGATTATAACCTTGAATGATTAGAGATCAACTCAGTGCTGATGAGAAAATACCAGCTGGATGCTCCAAACATCTAGAGAGAGGTACATTTTTTATCGCACTCTGATTAAACTCAAAGAGGTGAGTCAAAACTTCAGCTGTTTCTTGTCACGTCCCTTCACTCAAAATGACATTATAAAGACGTTGAAAAATCTCTGTAATAAAAATGTCTGCAAGGATCATCATTCAACTACAATACTACACTTATTTATTTTACTTGACACCTGGAATAGCCTGCTGTGCTTCAAAGTTTACTCGATACTTTCACTCAAATCCATAGAAGTCATGTTTTCCAAACTTTAATGGAAAATCACCTGGATTCAACAGTGAAATATGTAAATATCCATACATAAAATGTTGCATACTTAATCCTCATCCAGACTGCCTCTATAATTGCAGGGATTATGGTGCTCTGCAGAAATCCATGCTTAACACAAACTCATCATCTTGTATATAAACGAAGTTAATGTGATTTTCTACATATTTAACTGCAGATTGCATATTTCCAAGAATGTTCTCAGAGTAAACTAACCCAAACAGAGGATTCTGTGTCTTCCTCTGTAGTTAAAATGACTGACTTGACATATGAGGACACAAAAGTTGTTTTTTTTTTCTTGGAGTAATAACAGCTCAATAAGTCTGCCAAACATCAGACAAAACCACATCAGTCTTGTTTGATTATTGCTGTAATGAAATGACAAACATGAAGTAACTTGCGGTTGCGTAACATTTAAAAAGAACTAGGAAGATGAAATGAAAATATCAAAGTAGATGAAATCCCTTAAGGAATGACAGTGTTTCAGATTTAAAAATAGCTCTAGTTTCTACAGCTGAATTTGGCATGAAACCTCAATCAAATATGTATGGTGATGATATTCAAGGGTTTATAACACAAATAAATAAGGTTAAAGATGCAACAGAAGACATGTAAGCTGAGTTTGTAACAAAAAATAAAGATTTACACTCGGCAGTTTGACACGGCAACATGAAATTAAGAAGCAACCCCTCACTCATTTACGGCCCATTCACTGTTTCTTTACAGCTCATGATCACGTCAGTCTGATTAGCGGGTCTACATATGGAAACATGCAGGATATCTGGCTGAACATTCAGTCTCTCCCTTTTTAAGGATGAAATAAGGAGTGTGGTAAAAGTACAAGATTACTCGATGAAACCAATCTCTCAATTTGTTAAATTACATGGACAAGCTGTCTTTGTTATACGAATTACTGGATGGAAACAAAAGGGAAGACAACTTTTACAAAGTAAACAGGGGTGGGTAACAAACTGAAATCTCAGGAGAACAAAACAAAATGAAATTCTAGTTACAATGATTGTCACCAAGACCAACCCTGAGAAGTTCAAAGAGCTGAGGATGAAAAGCAAAACACTAAGCCATCAATCTATAACTTTAAAAATCGATCCAGACTGGACATCAATCTGCCCCAGAATGAATTCAACTCCAATACTAGGAAAAATAAAAACATTATGTGACATGAAACCAAAGAAACTCATACCAGGACAATATACAATAAAGCGTAAGGCACTGGACAGTCAAGAGCACAAAATACAAAAAGTTGAAATGGTAGAGTTTGTTTACATTTCTAAAAAACAAAAAAACTATCACGATGAGGCGTAAGAAACACAAAAGGCACGGGTATGACGCCAATAAAGGCACGAAACAAGTAACAGCGACAAGCAAATACAAACAAGATCAACACTGCATCGAACATTTTATGGTGTCGCTCACAGACACTGTCCCTGTGTTCGCTTGTCAAATTGAGTCCTTAAGTTTCAACTCTGACTCTCAAATGAGTGAGTTTACAAAGTCAATTCTCAAAACACACGTTTTCAATCTGAAGTTATTCTGTGTCGATTCTTTTGTCTGTTTCGATCTCCTTAAAAAAAAAGATGATTAGAAATGTTGGTATTTGGTTTTCTTTGAGGTATTTTTGTTAAAACCAAAGTCCCTTTCAAATTCTTAATTTTTAGAACAGAGTTATATCCGTTGTAGAAAACTTGCCTGTTTGTGACATATTTTCATTAAATACTGGAGAGAAAAAAATGCTGTTCAGGTATTAATGTACTACTTGTAATAAAGGCATGAGTCTGTATCTGACCACCTTCAAACTAAGTATCCCTTAAAACCAGAAGAAAACATCAGCAGATCAGAACTAGTTCACACAACCATCCTCGGCACCACACTATGAGACAGTGTAACATGAATATGTGGATGAAGGCGGTAACGTGGCGAGTGCTGCGGTGAAGCAGGACAGCCGCACCAGCAGTCGTAGCTGTTTGCTGTTCAGGATGAATTCAAAGTCTTTTTTTCTGAAGCACATTGTCATTGTGTGTCCTTGTGTCTGTCCCTTGCTTTTACTCCGGCAAATTAACCAAACATTTTGAGATAGTGTTGAGTTGCACCCTCCTTCGTCGTGTCCTCCTTTGTTGTGTCCTCCTTCGTCGTGTCGCAGGACTAGATTCAAACTTCTTCAAAGAAGGCCATCTGAGACATGTACGCCGAGTTTCGCTGCAAAACAAGAAATAAGTGAGCAGTCGGAGAGAGAAACACAGGTGGCTGAAATCATTCAAATTTTGTGTATTTGGAGTTAATCTTTATCTGCTGTCAAATTCATGTGCACCAGAATTATAAACTCTGTTATGTTTACGACAGAAGAGCTAAAACAGAGATCATGTTACCCTGCTTTTTCCTTTACCCACAAACCTGTAAAACCATAACTCCACGTCTTATCTGGGAGAATGTAACAACAGATTTCTTCTTCTTATATTTATTGATAATGTGCTGAGATCATGCGTACATTGCTGTGAGGTATGTAGACAGGGGGCTCTGGGATGTATCCCCTCGCCTCACTGCGGAGGTTGTAGAGTCCAGCCTGCTGCTGCTGCTCCTCCAACTTCAGGGACTCGATCTCCGTCTTCAGCTCCTTCAGCTGGTCCTGCAGGTGCTTGCTCTTCTCCATGTACTCCAGCCTGTACGAAGCAATGACCAAATATCAATAACAAGCCGAGCTTCTCTGTCTTTGTATGTCGTCGTGCTCGACATGTACCTCTCTCTTTCGATTTCCATAGACAGTCTTTTCATGTCAGAGTCCTTGAAGTCTAGGCGCGTCGATGTAGATTCGTAGGTGCAGTCGATTGCTTCAGGGGGGGCCGGGGGAGCAGGGGGTGTAGAGTAGGCCGCTATAAGCTGGACAAGAGAAAAACAGATTTATAAAAGACTGATAGAAATCAGACCAAAAGTATCAGTGAGAACTGATGGCCTTAATTTATAGTATGTGGAATGTTGTTGACTGTATGTCAGAGATATTTAAAATGACCTCCTAAAGAGAAAGGAGCAGCAAACACTCCAAAAATACATGACATGAACTAAAGTCAGTGTGCATTAAGTCAGGAGTGGTCATCACCGTACAGGGTATGTTGTTTTGGTGATCTCCAGCAGCTTCTGTTTAGCTCTGCGTTCTGCATCCTTTGCCTCAGTCAGGTCTTGTTTTAGATGATCTGCCTCCTTCAGTCTGAAATCAGAGATTTAATAACTTTAAGGCTGGTGAAAGTCATCAAAAGTATTGCTTAATTCATATTCAATGAAGCTGGTGAGGAGAGCAGAATACGTGTTTTTCATTTATTCTGCAAAGAGCCCCCGAAACGACTTAATGATTACAAATGATGGCCTTTTGCCATGCATTGATTATTTTAATTCAGAACTACAGGCACTCAGAACTGATGGTCTCTCTGCTTCCTGTGGAGCAGTTAATCTGGTATGATTTAGCCTTCGATTCAGAGGGAAATTACAAAGTTTAGACCAGAGAGAAGACTGTGAAATTATAAATTTTGTTGACAATGCTGTTAACCACTTTTTTGGAGTTCTGAAGAAACTGAAAGAAACTGGATGCCAGCGTTTCTCCATAAACAAACAAACAAACAGACTCTTCACTAGACTAAAATACAACATCAAACCAAGATTGTCATACCTCCTCTCAGACTGCTCAACCAGCTTGACAGCAAGCTGCTCCGCCTCCCTCATCTTCTGCTCCATCAGCCTTTTCTCCTCCTTCGACTTCATGGCGGTGACCTCTAATCTCTGCCTCTCCTGCTCGGCTTCAGCGGCTTTGTGAGCCAAAAGCTTTGCCTCCTCTTCAGCGATCTGAGCCTTCTCAGCGAGGAGGTCCGCTGTCTCCTCAGATCGCAGCTACAACAAACACATTCCACCGTTGAAAACTGCATCATCGGAGAGTTAAAAGATTGAGCAAAAGAAAGCTGGTCCGCTTATGCTGACAACAAGTCTTATTACCACATTGTTTATGGTTAACACGGGATGATTTGGAACCATTTCTGTCATTTAACGTTCAAGTGCAGTATTGAGGTTATCACCCCAGCAGGAGCTCACAAAATCTTTAATGCTCAAACTGAAGTACTCACCAGAGCCTCGTTGGCCAGTCGAGCCTCATCCTGCAGCTGGAAGAGTCTTCGTTCCATCTCTTCTTTCGCCCGTTCAGCTTCCTCCCTCATCTGTTTTTCCCGTGCCAAGATTTGCCGCTCCATCTAGACAGTGATGATCGACCACAAATTACAACTTTAGCGCCTCAATGTTTCCAGAGTCCATCCTTTCTTGTTATTGCTCCAGCAAAACTGACCTTCTTCCGGGCCTTCTCCTCCTTAGCTTGAGCCTTCATCTGCTGCACTTCGATGGAGTCAACCTTCCTCCTCCTCATGAACAGATCGTGGTTACCGATGCACAACTGCAGAATCTAGAGAAGGGGTCATTACAAACCAGTAGTGAATTATTTCATGTGACTCTCCTAAAACTGCTACAGATGAACATTTGCTCCGACGAAAAGATAAACCGACCAGTTTATTGACCCGCAGCTGAGATGAGTAGAACTTGAAAACATCTTTCTTCTTGTCCAGAGGTTTGATTGTGAACTGAAACACAGGAAAGTTATTTTCTTCCGTACTCTGACGGGTCTTTTGGGGAATTCTTCCACAACAAAACGAGCACATTTTCAAACAGCTGGTTCAAGTTTAAGAGTTTCATTTGGGAATTCAGGCTTCATGAGCATCTCTGTGTTGGCTTAACAAGAACATCAGCAGTCTCAATTCAGGCAGCAAGACAGTAATGAAATGAAAGTGCACTTAAAGGGAGATTCCGGTGTAAAATTAAGTTGGGTTAAACACACTTTAACACTGAGTTAGACACCCCTTGAGAGATGAATGTTGCAGACCGCTTGCTTCTCTAGTTAAACCAACTTCAGTAATGACCATACGACAGCAATACAGAGAGCCACACGCTCAAACAAAACGCCACTTTATAGCCACAAATAATGCTCAGAACAGCACCTAACTTCATCAACAGTATCTGGTCCCAGTCGCAGCACTAGCCACCAAACGTCTTTTTAACTTTGCCTGATTTCTTTAGCAAAGAGACTAAACACAACTCACCCACTCTCTTCCAGCAGCCGCTTGTTTGTACAGAGACCTCTGGGCGAGTCCATCGACCGCAGTGGGGTGAAGCAGCTCAAGGAAGAACATTTACAATCATTACTTCATCATTTCCTTTAAGTAATAATCATCATATTAATCATTTTGCACTGCAGACATGGTAGTTCTTCTGCCTTAGCGTCTCTGTCTGATTGCATTTCCATGAAGAAATGATCATAAATGTTCTTCCTTGAGCTGTGTCACCCTGCAGCAGTCCATAATGGACTGGCCTGAGGTCTCCATACAAACAAGCGGCTGCTGGAAGAGAGTAGGTGAGTTGTGTTTAGACTCTTTGCTAAAGAAATCAGGCACAGCTAAAAAGATGTTTAGTGGCTGGGACCCTATATGTACTGTTAATGAAGTTAGGTGCTGTTCTGAGCATTATTTGTGGCTATAGAGTGGCGTTTTGTTTGCTATCGTACGGTTGTTACTAAAGTTGGTATAACTAGAGAAGCAAGCGGTCGGCAACATTCATCTCTTGACGGGGTGTCTAACTCTGTGTTACAGTGTGTTTGACCCTAACTTAATATTACACCGGAATATCCCTTTAATGTGAACATCAACAGTTTCAACTCAGACAGCAAGACAGTTATGAAATTTAAGTGCACTTAAACAGGTTAAAAAAAAGAAGCTGTTGCTGAACATTTTGGGAAAATTCTTCCAAAGTGACAGTAAATGCAGCCAAAAATAGTTCACTGCTTGTGTTGTTACCTCTTTCTCACTGTAAGAGATGTTGCGAATGCCACTCCAGGGAAAGGATTTGTTGGGGTTGAGTTTGCTGTTGGGGCTGTAGATGTGAAGGCCCTGAGCATCGACTCCGAGCAACAGGTCTGTGTCCCTCTTATTTTGCTGTCAACGTGAGACATGTAAAAAGAACATGTCAACCAGCGTGACAGGCGCGTTTGTGGTCGCTGTACGACTGGCAGAGTTTGACAGAATGAGGAGAAAGTTATTTATACTCACAGTGATGGCAAAGTAGCTGACCCCGTACATCTCAAGGTCCTGAGCAATTTTCAGGTATTCCATCTCAGCCTCATCCCTGAGTAAAAGGTGGAGAATAAGGATGAGGAGGTGTCTCCAACTGGGATACAGATCTAAGGAATCTAGGATTACACCTTCTGCTAAGCTGTTATTTTTCCTTAAATGATAGATTTCAGAAGCCCCCGTCGGGTTAGTCCTACCTGGCAATGCCTCTGTGCTCTGCATACCAAGCTGTAATCTTCTCCTCCCACATGTCAGCTGTCATTTGGTACTGCATTAAAACCTGGGAGACAGATATAGGATTCATGGGTAATAGATTACATACAATAAGTGCACATTCAAACATCAGTAAACAAACAATTAAGGGAAAATTAAACAAGTCAGCGGCCCGCTTATGCAACTTCATTATAAAGTAAAATGTGCAGCAAAAATAGGAACGTGAACTCACTCTTTTTGGCAAGAGCTCATCTTGTGCCAAGAAACCTGGCTTGTGGAAATTTGGGTCATAGTCCCCGTACTGTGAGTGAGACCGAGGGGAGACAGTTGGAAATGAAGGAGAATGATTTTTTTTAAAAAGACAGATGATGGAAAGAAAAAAGGGTTTTTAATTTTTTATGTTTCAAGAACTGAAAGCCAAGTCTAACTCAGAATAAAATATTCACAATGCTTTATACATACAGCCAAGATGAGCTTACTGCAGGTGCAGCATATAATGAAAGGACTCGCTCACCTTGGCTTGGACCGCATACGATGCCAACAGAACAGATGCTTCAGGGGAACAGAATATCTCCTCATCTAAGATCTGCTTTTTCACCTGCAAGAGAGTTTGTAAATATGGCTGAACTTAGTGGAAGTTTTTATCAGTTTTCTCATAAATTTAGACCATATGTGAAATGTAAATCTGTCACCCAGATCTCAACAAAAGTGTGCTTCTAGATAAGAGCATACAAGCCTGAGAAGAAGGGTTATCGGCTGAATTACCTGTAAGAAGAAGAGGTGTTGAGTTATTTCCTGGACCAGCTCCTCTTCTACCTTCTCTGGGAAGAATTTCGCTAGGAAGTGAAACGTTATCGGCGAGTCCTTGGGAACCTCTTGATCCAAGACCTTGATGATATAAAAGACCAGTCAGAGGGAAAGTGTGTTTTTTTGACCAGACTAGAAACAATGCTGAAATTATAGCTCATAAATAAGTTATTTAGCAGACAAAAGTTAGGAACATTTGATCATTCAGGCCTTTCAGATATAAATGATTATTGGATATAAAGATTTACTGAATAACTGATTTAAGTATTCTTTGTGTTGGAAATAGACTGCGAAAAGCCTTTTTACAGTTTGTTTACATCACTTCAAAATACTTCTATTCAGCACGTTATGCCTATTTTCAGGGCGAATGTTTCTGGCTGATACTGATACCATGCCAATGCAGTGTCTCTCAAAGTAAAGCAATTATATTTTGTTGCTGTCCCTTCAATCCAAATTAGCTTCACTTTCAAATGTTGCAAACAAATACAAATAATCTGCACTGCATAAGTAAATTCGTCACAGTGTCTGGAATACAGTCATAGATTCAGGTCTTCACTCACTCGTTTTTCTGGTTTCAGCCAAGCGTAGGTGTCCTTCACTGTGTACCTGAGTCCAAAAAACCAGGTCTCCCTCAGCCCAACAGTGCGACACACCAGGTCAAACAGGTCTTTGCCTTTCCACTTCACCTGAGCAAATCCACAAACAGTGAAGAGACACGATATTAAGATGATGAAAACAGATACTACACTGACATACATAATATTTAGAATGATGAAAACATAAAGAGACACATTTTGTTGTATGCCTCAAAAGTGTTATTTAAGATACCATGTCTGGCCTTAATGTTAACAAAATGAGGTTCAAGGCATTTCAGCCAAGTATTTCATTACTGCATTTTTAAGGCAACTGAATGGCATCTGTTATGTGGTATTTGTAGAAGATTGTCACATTGCAAGGCTGACCTAACAAAATCTGCATAGCTCTTTTCTTATTACTGTGACAGCAAAACACAGAATCTGAAAAGTATGCCACTGTTTTGCAAAAAAAAAAATTCTGCAAGATTATGGGGTCAGCTGAACAAATGGGAGTCAGACATGGTCGTACATGCAACATATGGTACTGAACCACTCTTCAGTCTCATATGTAAACTTTAAAATGTTAATACCTCACAGCTGAACTCCATCTCAGCATCCATGGTAATAACTTTGACTTTAAAAGTCTTTGGCTGTTTCTTCTTCAGTCCTAGGATAGACATTTTGAGGGCGTTGTTTTCCGACAAACCTGCGCAAAAGAATGACAAAATTCAGCAATCCGGAGTGTAACAAGCACAAAACGTGACACTGAAGCCTGGAAAGATGGATGCTTTCTGTTATGGACGTGGGAGTTAACCGTAGCTCACAGGACTGAAATTTTTTCGGCTGTTTTCCTGAATTAAAATAACTTTTAATGTAAAAGTACGGCATACAGAAGAAAGGCAGATAAGGCCCATTACAAGCAGTGAAAGCTACAAACCTCTGCCGTCCCAAAAAGGCTCAAACAAGGCCAGGCTTTTTGTCCAGAGACACTAATGCTGGGCTAACAGCGTTAGCTTTCCAACTATGCCACGAAAACGGACCAAAACAAGTTGTAGAAAGAGCAGAACTTTAGGGAGTTATCCATATTGAAATGTACCGAACTTATGACTTTGTAATGACTAAAGTTACTTTAAAGACACAACTTGGAGACAACTTTGAAAACCTTATCGATGGCTAAGTGCTCTGGCTAGTTAGCTTTGCGGTTTGATATCAGGAGGACTTTCCAGAAGATTTTTTTGTTTTGACTCCTCGATACTCTACAGGTGGGAACACGAATAGCAGCTTGGGATAACGAGACTGCGCATGCGCAAGAATTCCTAAACTACGCTGCCTTCAGGGGTTGTTGGAAATGTTACTGTGTGGATGCTTTCGCAAGTACACTGTGTACACTTTAAGTTAAACGACTTAATATTTTGCCTCTAAAACGAAGACCTCTGCCAGACTAAAAGGCTATGTAGAAGATAGGAAAGGTGGCTAATAAGAAGCCCCCGAAAGATGAAGTCTGCACGTGAAGGCTACTTCACCTGAGAGTCTTTGCGGAGGGAATAATAAACCCATAAATCAAATAACGCTAACAGTTGATCTACCAAACTCCTCATGTCTAGAGCAGGAAAACTGTGTTACTGAAAATGTTTCACAGAAAGGGACACCAACTGGATGTCTGATTGTGACCTTCTGGGGACAAACTGTTTGGAAACACAACCAGTGAGTTTACTTCACTGTAACTGTCTTTACCTGTCGTGTTTGCTAAGCGCATGAGTGAGGTAAGTAACACTTCCTGGCAGCAGAGTGTATAGGCTACCGTTTACATTGGTTTAGGTATTTCAAACATGTAAAAGATATATGATCATCAAATAGACGGTCAGCATAAAGACATGTTTACAAATGATAAAATGAAATTGTCTGTATATTAGGGCATGTACTGTGCGTTTGATGAATGAATGGTTTTAATGATTGAACTGAATGATTCTTTGCAATGCTTATCAAGACCTACCCCTTATACCATACATGGAGTAAAATTATACAGATACACTCTCTTTATACAATTATCAACCCTTACATTTATATTTACTCTTCAAATCAGATAGAGTAATTAACATGCTTTACACCTTACATTAATAATCATACACCATTTTCTCTACAACATTGAGAAATGACATTATTCTGGTAAAGTTTTTAAAGCTTACCAGAGTTCTACATTTTCTCATTTCTACCGGACAGTTGTTCCTTATTTTCACCCCCTTTACAGACACACAAGGCCACAGCCTCCTAGGTTGTAATTAGAGCCCCTTAGTTTAAACAGGTTCTGGACATGTTGGGGTAGGGCTAGGTTTTTGGCTTTGTACATGATTTGTATTGTGATGTAATCTACTAGGTCTTTGAGTTTTAAAAAATTTAAGGAAGTAAATAGGGGATGAGTTGATTCACAGTAATGTTTATTGTAGATGACCCTTTTGTAAAAGAAATATTGGGTTTGTATGTGTTTTATAAGTGTTTCCCCAAATCTCAATGCAATAAGTCATGTACAGAGTTATCAGGGAATAGTATAGAGTGGCTAACCCTTTTTGTGAAAGTAAATCTTTGGCTTTATACAGAATGGCGATAGATTTTGACATTTTTGATTTAATATGATTTATGTGTGATTTACGACTAAGTTTGTTATCTACAATGACCCCAAGGAATTTATTCTCAGTTACTACTGTTCCCTTTCCTGTAATTTATATGTCAGGTTAATCTAAACAAAGTCAGAAAATATCAATTATTTCTACTCTAAATAAAGATTGTCTTACGCTAAAGTCATACAAGTGTAATTGCATTTGTCAAATGTTTTGTTTTACGTTCTCTCTGTCTCATCCAAAGTTGTAAGAAACAAAAGGCCACAGTTTCTATTAGTCATTTAGTCATTTTCAGACATCAGGATCATAGATTTTCTTGCCTGGAGAACATAGGATTTGTTTGCTTTTGCTTTATTTCCTCTGTATCTTTTCTCTCTGTTTCACTTAAACTCATTGAAGTATTTTTTCTTGTGCAAACATTGTGTCACCCCTTTTTTTTAAGATTGTATGTTTTACTATTATTTTTGTAAGATAGTCTTTTAGGGGGAAAAATCAGATGCCTGATGTTATTATAACTCTGTAATGGGTCCCTCTCTGAACAGATTTGTCCACGATGTCAGCTGAATCTAAGACTTTTGAAGATATCAGGGCAGCAGTCCTATCATGTCACAAAAGTTGCACGTTGCAAGATAAGATGAAGTTTTACGACTCATGGGCAGAGAACTATGACCAGGTAAGATAACTGATATCATGCAGTTCAAAATTAAGTTGATACTGGCCAAAAGTGTGTCCACTTTGTTTGCTCTTTCTTGCTGTATCTAGCTTAGTATAGTTGTACAGTGCTTTCTCATCTTAGCTCTGTGTTCTTTTATAAATTTGTTGGAATAGGACCTGGCTATTCTTGACTACACTGCACCATGTGTGGCAGCAAACAGGATCTCATCACATTTCAGCGGTGATCGAGAAGCAGCTGTTGTTCTGGATGTGGCCTGTGGTACAGGAATGATGGCCCAGCAGGTAAACACATTTCTGAACCGACAGCCAGCCCAAAGGAAAAAAAACAAAACAGGATTTAACTTCCCCATTAATGCACAATGTTTTTCATGAAAAATTAAGTATTTTTGATGAATGTTAAATATCTGTCTTCTTTCTGTTACTAAACCCATCACCATCAGTGAATGTGCTCTTTAAACTGATTTGACTAATCAATAACCACCAGCGTCTTTTTCTCTGTGCAGATGAAGAGACATGAATTTGAACGTTTTGTGGGTGTTGATGGAAGTGAGGGGATGATGGAAGTGGCTAGACAGACCAAGCTGTACCAGGACCTTAAGCCGTGCATGCTCGGGGAGGAACCACTCCCTGTCCTGTGGGGTAATTTAATGCATCATTATTTCATCAGTAATCTTTGTCATTCAGGAGTGACGCTCATGATGGTGGTTTATGATGGTTCTCTGTGCTCAGATGAAAGTTGTCACAGACACTTAGCCATAAAATAATAATAGAAGTAATGGTTTTTTATGCTGCATTAAGTAATGGAGCTTCTCTCGGGCTCTCAGGATGGGGGATCCATCTACTTGGGGAATAAATACTAAAAGCAGCCTTTCCTGCTTTGAGTTTAAACACAGGATGGTACATTTAATAAAAAACATAAAAACACTGCTTGTGGACTTGAGAGTTTAAGCTGGACTACACCTGACTTGCATTTCTTTATAATATTGGAGCTACGCCATTTAGAGCTCTGTACACAAGCAGTTAATCCTGTCTGTCCATCTGTGATCATAGTGTATTTAAAAACTAACATATTGAGGTTATTAAATGTGTTGAAATGAGTAATTATCTTTTATTATAGATTATAGTTCTTTTGGAACTTTTAGTGTCTCATTTCAAAATTAAACACCATCTTCCTCACCTTCTCACCCTCACCAGGTTTGTTTGACTTGGTTGTGATTGTCGGAGCGCTCAGTGTCGGTCAGGTCCCGGTCAGTGTGGTCAGAGAGTTGTGCAAGTCCACAAAGCCAGGTGAGAATATGTTTTTATCTCTGTTTTTTTGTTAGCTTGACATTGTTTCCCCTGTAGTTATAAGGACCATTTTCTCCAAACTATAGATGAGTTTAATATTCCTGCTGTGTCGCACTGTTTCCACTAGGTGGCTATGTCTGCATGACGACCAGAGGTAACCAGGACAACCTGGAGTATAAAGCAGCTCTGGAGGCAGAGCTGAAGCAGATGGAGGGAGAGGGACTCTGGTCTTGTGTTGAGGTTACTGAGGTGGAAAAGTGGGAAAGGGCAGTGTCAGAGAAAGAGGAGGGCTACATACCAGGTACTGTTTATCTTTATAGAAGACTATAGTGTCTAACTATGAACTTGAGTTTTGCTACAAGATACATGCTGGACAATGATGTGACCTTATACCTGAAAAGTGATATCAAAATGACACAACACATCCTGATTACTCCCCACGCTCTTCAAATGCACTTCAGAGAGTGTCCGTGTGTGTTTTTGTGGTTATAAATATAAGATCTGAATATTTCCATCTCAAGAATCATTTGTTCTTTTTATACTGCGGGTTGATAACAAAGCTTCACCATCAGTGCCACTTTGTACTTTAACAGTGAATAGCAGGATATTAATGCCACAATGTGTGACAGTGATGGTGCAAGCACATGAGGCATGCCATGTAAATTCACAGAAGGAGCTTCACATGTGCACACACACACACACAAAGCAGTGCTCTGCCATGCTGAGTTTTCCTATTTTCCTGGGACTCCTTCTCTCTTCGACTTTACCTCTGAATCAAAACAGCAGCAGATTCATCTCACCATAACTCATCTGTGACATTTGCATTAAAAGGAAGGGATTACAGGGCTGTAAATATCCCACCTTACACTAGTATTATGAAAACATCCTCAGAAAGAATTTTTCATTTCTCATTTCTCACCTCAGAGTCATTTTGATAGACTGTATCCTTTGTTAAACTTAAATGACTGTGGAAACATGCGAAAAGAGGAATAAATGAAGGTGTCACCTCAGTGTGTTTGTGGTTCTGTTATGTGTTATTGGAAGTGATGAAGCAAACTGTAATTCATGAATATGAATAAAAATCATGCTCTTACTCAACACAATGTTTGGATCCATAGAGGTCACAGGAGGTTACCAACTTTCTATTTAAAACTGTTTAACTGGCAAGACCACAGAAAAAGTAGGCATAGAAGGGAAATAAGACCACAGAGGATGTATGATTACCACACAGGGATTCAGAAAGAGCTGTACTGTGTATGCCTCCTGTCTTTTGTCAAACTTATCTTAATCTTCAGAAGCAAAATAATGAGGTTTTTCATCCAAAAAGTAGAAATGTCCATTCAATGCTTTAGGTACTGTTATAGATTAAGAGATTTACCCATGAAATTAAAAATTATGTATGGTTCAAAGATATGGATTGATTGTTTGTAAGTAGTGGCTTCACTTGTACTTTTATACAGTCTGACACTCAAAAGATCCTCAACATAGACAAACCTCTGTATGGCATAAAGTGTCCAAAACTATCCCTGAGGCAATGGTTTCAACGGAGGATAGGAGAATTTCCACTTTTTACCAGATCTGTGAAGATCACTGACAGCTGAAGTTTATAATTCAAACAACAGGTTGCAGATTTTTAAGGACCCTCCCCTCTTTTGCTCCAGTATGTTTGAGCTGTAACTATTAAAATGTAGTGGTGCAGCCAAGGTTATCCAACTGTGAGAGAAAAACTTTATTATATAATACTTTGTCTGTCAATGTAAAAAAAACAAAAAAAAAAACACTTTTGTTTCTGATCAGACTGGATTATCTCTGACCAAGGACACCTGTGCCTGTTTAGGGTTTTCTTTTTTTATGTGATTTTGATTTTAGCTTAAAAAAAATGTAAGCTCCATTTTTACTCTTAAAAAAGTTTCTCTCAGTGATGAAAAAGTCACCATCACCAAGAAAAACTGACAATTCAACAGAGCACATTGCAAAGAGTTGAGGGTACATCTCTCAACTCTTTCCAGCAGAGGGCACTGATGTTAAACACAGAACAACAGTCCCAGTGTGATGCTCAGAGAAATACACCATAAACTGCATTCAAACAGATGAGGAAAAAGGGGTTCGGGGGCATTTTGTGGGCATTAATGGAAGCAAGCCAAAAAGAAATTAGCTCAAGCAATGTGTTTTGTTAGAAGATCTGCAGCCTTTGCAACATGAAATGTAATAATCTTTGTTTTGTTTTTATTTGCATATGATCGCCTTATTTGTTTTGCATGTAATTCCTGTGAATCAGCCCTTTACTTTCACAGAGGAAGCTTATTGTGCTCTGTTCATTCCTCAGTGTTGCACGGCCACATTTCTAAAGAAACTAGTTGGCAGCACAAGAAGAGGGCCTTCCTTGTTTTTATGAGATGTAGTGCAGTCTTTAACCTCATGACAAGGTGCCCATAATCTTACCTACTACTCCTTTGTGTCCTGTTTTAAACATGTGTCTGTGATGTTGCCCATTTGTGTTCAGTCAGAACACAAATGCTACATCTGCAAAGTCTTCAGAGAGCTATATGCTACATCTGCAGACCAGATACAAGTGTTGTAATGTAGCCCCCAAATGGTAAATTTTACTTTAAATATTATACAAAGAAAGTTTTGTATAAGAGTTATTTTTGATTCTAAATTTACTGTCCAATACTTCCCTCTCTTGGGAGAGTCGTTGATGTAACATACAGACACAGCCAGGACAATCTGGAGCACAAAGCATCACTGGAGCTGGACACATGGAAAAGGAGAGACTGGAGTTGTTTCACTGTCCAGGAGGGGATAAACTGGTCATGATCAGTGACAGGGAGAGGAGATAGCTTTAGGTCTATGTACCTTGATAAAAAAAAAAACTGTATGTCACTCAGCTGGCGCATTTCATTCTTATTGCCAGCAGCAGATATGGTAAATAGCAAACAAGTAAATACAAAACACTCAAAAAATTCCTCACGCCTCAAGGGTTAAGTGTTCTTTTGATATTTTTATGCTCCTACTGGATTTTATTGATGAGTTTTTTAATCCTTAACACGTGATTTAACAGAGCCTGATATCTCTGCAGACTTGACCTCAGGAGGGCACTATTTTATAAGATCATGATGAGGATGATCACAGTATTGAAAACTAACATCTGTCCTTAAAGGAACCTCAGTGTTGAGGCCTTCAAGGAGCTGTATGCTCTAGATCTACAACCATAAACTATCCAAGTCCAAAGGTTCTTATTTTTCATCAACTCTCCTATTAAACCAAAAGCACATTTATAACAATGTCTATAAGTTATTATAAGCATTCATGACAGCTTATAGCAGTGTTTATGAAGGAATATAAGCTGTGAACATAATGCCACCGCTTAAAACACTTCATAAACATTCCTATTAGCTGTTGTGAATGCTTATTATTACTCATAGGTGTCGGTATAAAGGTGTTTAGATGCATTTAGAAGGCTGATAGTGTATTAGAAGAGGTAAATTAATATAAGGCTTGTATTGGGTTGTAAGATCTTCTTCACCTGTCTGTGTTTTGTTATATTGACAGCAGAGATGATGAAAGATGAAGCGAACATTCGAGTAAACAAAGCCAACCGGGACATATGCTCTGTAAACACAATTCACTGAAACTAAGTTTGAATCCTCTCCAAACAAATCATGCCTCACTCTCTTAACACAACATGCTTCCTATCTAACCTGACTCTCTGTCAAACCAGTTTGTCCTGTGAATTTTAATTACCAGAGAGAGGACTGAGAGTCCAGGGGGATACTGTCACCTTAGAAGGACCAGCTCTTTTCAGTCCATGTGCCACATGTTAATGAGTTTTATGCATTTATATTAAATATACAGCTATCCTCATCAGATTTTAGAAGTTTATTGAATTGTAAGTGTACACGTGTATATTAATAATAAATGTTCAAATGAAATAAACACACAATCACATTTTACAGACAAGATAAAAAGCCTTCATCAGCTTAAATTCAGGTTGCTATTTGTCCAGCAGTAGCAAACATGGCAAAGAGTCTGAGGTAATGTGGACGGATTCATCCTCACACAGTGCGTAGAGTTTAAACAGAGAGGAAAACAGTCGATCACAGTGTCATGTTAGGAAGAACATTTTAGAGAAAGAAGTCAACAAAAGCACACTTCACTTTCACCTGGATTCAGCTTAGTCTTCTCATAGTGCTAAATATATAAAGCCTGTATTATCCTCGTCTCTTTAATAAAATAAACATGCTGAAGTATAAAAGCAGCTACACCTACATGCCAGATAACGCTGACTAACTGTCTTATAAAGTGAGTAAACTTCTCCTTCTAAATAATGCTAATTGTGTTAAACTTTCTTGTTGTGTGTGTTAGCACAAGTGTTCTTCAAAGAGTGTGTGTAAAAGTTATAGGTAGGTTTTTGCTGGGTTTAAGGAAGCATCCTCATTGTCACTCTTGGCTGATAATTTATCCTCCATTTCCGCTCGTTTCAGCTGAGACTTCGTGGACGGGGCCTCGCTGTTTTCAGATTTAGTCGACCCGGGTCTTTTCATCTGGGATTTTGTCGATGGTGCCCACGATCTCTCTGACTGTTGCCTTGAGCCCAGCACAGGCTCTTCTTCCCAGGGGGGCCTTGCGTACATTTGAGACTTTGTGGACTCCCCCTCATAGCTTTGAGACCTCGGAAACATGGCCCTCACAGGCTGAGCCTTTGCTGATGGTATTCTGCTGTGATGAGTCGGGATTGACCCGTTGGAGGAGCGGACCACCAGGTAGCGGACGGAGGGGCTTTTGTCATCATTATGGGCCTTTAGAGGGCATGCGGAGCTGATGAACAAACCTCCTCCCAGCATCAGCAGAAGAGATGCCCCCCAGCCGATGTAGAGGCTGGCTCCGATCTCCCTCCGCTGGGCGTCTATGGAAGCACTGTAGAACTTCCTCACAACGGCCCCTGCTGCCCATGATGTGGGGATCAAACACAGCAGCCCTGTGGCAATCAACACCCCCCCTGCTGCTATGGCCACCTTTCCCTTGACTCCGCCTCCTTCTTCATCCAAAAAGCGAGTGCATTTCCCCCCAATAAAAGCCAAAATGAGGCCGATGCCCCCTGTTGCGATGGCAAGGACAGTGAGAGCCCTCGCTGCCTGCAAGTCTGCACTGAGGGCGAGGAGAGACTCGTAAGGTTTACATTGTATCTGACCTGTACTCTGGACCACACAGGTCATCCAGATCCCCTCCCAGATGGTTTGAGAGGTGACAATGGTGCTGCCTACAAAGGCCGTGACCCGCCACATGGGCATGATGCAGCTGATGATGACCCCGGCCCAACCCAGGAGGCACAAGGCGCTGGCCAGCATCTGAATCCCTAGAGAAGCCATGATGCAAAGTGTCCAGCACTGCTTGTCACAGAGTTTTGTCGAGTCTCCTCAGTGGAGTGTTTCAGCTTCCACTTCAAGTCTTTGTCCTCTTGTGTGTCTTCTCTTGTGTTTGTCAGTCCTTCAGTATCTGAAGTTGCAGTTTTCACACGCCTCCATCTCTGAGCGTTTCTTCAACTATTTCTTTTCTTGCCACAGTTGCGATATTCAAAGTATCTATCCAATGCGTGCGGAGTCCTGTCTGATGGTTTGAGTTGTCCGACAGCTTTAACCTAACTTTGAGGCGTGTCTCACTTCATTCTCTGCTCATTTGTTTACAGCCTACTTCCCTCCTTCTTTGTTCAGCTAATGCTGTCCTCTCCTCCCCCCTCCTCTTCTCTCACCTGCGTCTTCTTTCGGTATTCCTTCACCTGAGAGCGCTCTTTCCTCTCTGTCACCTGAGCGGCTGCTTGTAAGCTTCTGGTCAGGTGTTGATGCACCACACCTACTCTATTGGGGAAAGAAAGGGGAGGAGGTAAAAAAGAAAACAGGAAAGGGAGAGAGAGAGAAAGAGAGAGAGAGAGAGAGGTTGCTGTGAAACAATGACATCACCTAATCCCTCCTTCATTATCTTCACCATAAGAGATTATTTTAGGAACAATGAGCTTTGGATGAAACAGGAAGAATGATAGGCCTGTAGGCAATGGATTTGTTTACAAGATTCATCATCATGGTGAAAAGTTGTTTAATAGTGTCATCATCTATTTAAGAAACTGAATTTCATTGTAGAAAAAAAAACAGACAAAAATCACGTTAATCTGGCGTTAATGTATGTGTGAGCAGAGAGTGCATAAATGAACACACATCATGTGGAAAGGCATCTTCTTTGTGCACATAAATGAAGGCGAGCATGTGGTGAGTATTCTTGAACAAAGGAGGATGTGAAACACAATCTCCCAAAACCTGTTTCATTCTCACTGCAGCTTTTGTGTAGAAGAACCAGTTTGAAATATGCGAAACCCCTCCCCGCTGATATCAAACACACACTCACTCACGCACACTTACACACGCTAACCCTGTAATCAGGCTCAAAATAATCTTTAATCTTGCTGTCCTTGTGAAGTTCAGAGAGATCATTTTCTGTGTGAAATCACCTTTTCTCCACAATGCTATGACTCAGTCAATATCATCCCACCTCCCTCCAAAAATCAAACTCTCTTCTTTCAAAAGCACAAAAAAATGATTTTATTTCATGAAAGTTTTTACAACAGTTAAAAAAAGGTAATCCACACACATGAAGTCAGCAGAGTTCAGTATTGTTTGGTCAGTATTATTATTTTTGGCAAGTTTTTGTCTTTCGCTTTACGTTTTTCAGTGGCACAAAAATCCTAAAACAGTCTTATAATAAAAAAATGAGTACTTAACATTCAGACTTAATCAAAAACCACATCACTCATTATCTTACTATCTCTCAGTCATTTATTTAGCACAGTTTCTTTTGCCAGGAGTGACAAGAAAAATGCCACACAACCTGTTTTAAGCATTTGCACAGGTGCACTTGTAAAACAGGATTTTTTTCCGTTGTCATCTCTGCACTATAACTGTTCTTACATTTGAAGACTGAGATAAAAAGGCTTCAGAGAAATATATTCTCACATGCTCAAATATGACATGAATACAGCTCCATTCAAACAGCTGAATCAGACACACAATCATCAGAAAATCATCAGTATTACTAAAAAGTAGTTACATAGGGACCTGACAGGTAAGTTTCACATTAACATACATTGTGTTGAATTCATAGTATTGCTGGATGTCACATGTCATGGAGAGATAAATAGAAAAACAATAAAAAACTGACAGTATTGATAAATGCGCGATTCAGGAAGGAAAAAAACAGGGTATCAAAAAATACATTTCACAAATCATGATTATGAGGAAGACACTGAGAGTGGAACAAATGCCTAACTTTCACCAGATCACACAGATATTCCTCAGTCATGACACAGACAGAAGATGAACTCTTAACCACGTCTCTTTCGACCAGATTGTCCCACTTCCTTTACCTCCTGAAATCTAAACATAAGCCTTGCTGCTCTCAACAGACCGAGCCTTGGAGTACTTCACATCATAGTCGTTCTCGTCACTGGGGGGACAAGAGCTGCAGAGAAGGCCCCCGCCTAGGAAGAGCAGCCCTGCTGTGCCCCAGCCGATGTAGAGCGAGGCCCCCAGCTCCCTCCTCTGAGCGTTGGTTAAGATGGGGTTGTAGAAATCACGGATGATGGTGTTGGCGGTCCAGCAGACAGGGATGAGCACCATCAGACCTGCGATGATGAAAACGATACCAGAAGCGATGGCCACTTTGCTCTTCTGCCTCTCATCCTCCACAAAGTTGGTGCACTTGCCCCCCACTATGCCGAGAAGGATCCCAAAGGCCCCAACAATGATGGCGATGACGACAAGTGCTCTGGCAGCCTGCAGGTCTTGAGGTAAGGCCAGGAGGGAGTCGTAGACCTTGCACTGCATCTGGCCTGTGCTCTGGGTCACGCAGTTCATCCACAAACCCTCCCAGATCACTTGAGAAGTGACGATATTGGCACCGATGAAGGCTGTCACCTTCCACGTGGGGAGAGCGCAGACGATGATGCTTCCTATAAAGCCGATGACAGCCAGGGCCAAACCCAGCATCTGTCTTCCAGCAGACACCATTGTGACACTGTGTGGATCTCTCCAAAGAGCTCGGATCTTGTGTAGCTGAGAGCTGGGGGAATTTAGTAGTGCGAGAGACAAAGGAGGAGGCTTTATTGCCCACTCAGAGGACAGGCTCACAGCGGGTTTCTTGCGTACAGGTTTTGTTGTCAGAGTTGATGTCAGAGGAGGAGTTCTTCAGAACTGAAACTGGTTTGTGATGAAATGTTGTCTGACCACTTTGCTTTTACGACTAGTGAGAGGACAGCGGAGTTTCGTGCATCAAGAGGAGAGGCACTCAAACAGGAAAAAAGTGAAGAAACCAGCATACAAAAAACATGAGGTTTGTTACAAGAAAGAGACAATATAGAGAGATGTTACAAACTTCTCTAAAGTAATGAGTTCTTTCAGATCTATTTATTGTTTTTATATTTACAGAATTTTCATTTCAAACACCCAAATAACAAAATCCAGGGTTTGAAATTTCCACTGAGAGCATTTTCATGGACTTGGGTGCCCCAGTTTTGATAGGGTTGTTTCAGAGTCTTGTTTTTTTGTGTGCGTTTGTATATGTAAACATCTTATCACAATTTCAGACACTGGGTTGAACCTATCCCTTAAACAAACACAGCAGCCATCTTATTTCAGGAGCAGAAAAGAAACTGAACAGTTGTTCTCTCTCTTCTTTTGCTCCTGGAAATAAGGTGGACGCGCCATACCTGAAAGAGGATCTTGGTATATTATGGTACTAAGCCTCCTACCTCCCACATGGAAATTTAATAAATGATAAATATCAGGAGCGTTCTTACCATTTGTTACATAAACAGCATATCCATTGCTATCCTATATATACATTTCCAGAATTTCCATAAAAAGACATTTCCTTCAACATCTTACACAAATTTCTTCAACATCTTAAATCTTATTTTTCTCTACATTTTTGGTATTAGTAAATGTGCAGTTGACAGACAATGGAGAATCATATTGCAAGATGTTGTGCATCCCTGCAAACCAACAGAATGAGTGTAAACATAACTGTCTTGATAATATAGCATGCCAAAAAAGTGGTCTCCTATGGTCAACTAACCTGTGTATGGGGTAAGTTGACCATAGGAGCGGGGTAAGTTGAGCCATATCCCTACTATATAACAAATATATAAAACAACTATATATAAAACAAATCTAAAATGATCTTTTTTGGTCTGAACATAATTCTAGTAAAACTTAAGACAGACTAAATTCACTTCAAAAGTGAAAAATGTTTTTTTTTTGGAAATAAATGTCTAACCCCTTCACCCATGTGCTTCTAACCTTCACAGACTCCATGAATTGATGCCCATATCCTAAATATTTGGTCACATGATCCATTTTATTTTACCATTTCCAAGCAACAGGGGGTGGCTCAACTTACCCTTTGGCTCAACTTACCCCACTCTCCCCTAATGGTAATCGCACAATTTTGATACATCCAAAGATGGTGTAAAAGTTCACAACCCTATACGTCAGCTAACACCCTAACCCCAACTCCCTGTATTCAATATTCTTTACACTCAGATCTGCTTCTCAGAGATAGAATCACTGTTGTGGCTTTGCTGAGGGTGACGAGCACTTGAACTGTCTATTTTCTAGTGAAGTAGCACCTCCCCTTATCTACTGTGCCAGTCTCAGGCGTCTCAGGCATCGTACATACCGACCGCACTCTGAGCCCTCCTGAAGGAGTTATCATTGTGCACCTGTGCGACGTGCTCCACCATCCTTGGTCCGGGGAAATCACCTGTCCTCGAGTTGGGTCTCACAATGACAGGCCTCGGTGTGGCCATGCGGGATGGAGCATCGCTGTATTGACTGTTGGTGGTATACGGCATGTAGGAGTAGTAGGAAGGTGGGGATTTCTTCTCCTCTCCACAGATTAAGCACATCAGAGCACCACCGAGTAGGAGCAGCACAGCCGAGGCAAATCCGATGTAGATAGAAGAGCCCACCTCTCTCTTCATAGCGGGCGCCACAAAGGGGTCGTTGTATACAGAGATGGTTGCTGCTGCCGACCAGCTGACTGATATGAGGCACAGGATGCCAGCCAGGATACACAGAACTCCACCAACAAGACAGGCCTGGAAAAACAAATGTATCAGTGATCAGGGGGGTTACAGGGGATTCTGGGCCCCATGAAGAGATATCCCAATTGGCCCCAACAACACAGCCAAATTACAATAACAACACATCCATTGTGTTCATGAACCATTAAATTTTCATGATTCATTGGCTCTCACTGTGGTGCTGGCTGCGCTTTGCACTCCTGTAAAAATTAATAAAATAAACAGAACTAAACAGGCAAGTGATGTGGTGGTTGGGCTCATTTATTCTTCCTTTAGGCATGAAAATAGGTATCTAGTATGTTAAAAACGAGATGACCAACATACCCCTGCAGATGAACTGTGGACCACTTGGCCGTGAGGCAGCATTCCTCACCACAACACTACCGCCCTGCCCCGCAGTGCTTTCCTGTTTAGTTCTTTTCATTTTAGCAGCTCATTATATCAGTACAAAAAGTAGCTCAGACTACAGTGTGAGGGGAGCAATTACTTCCTGCCTCACACAGAAAGCATATACCAAGGGTTGAACAATGGACCACCAAGCTGTGAAGGTGCAGTTTTAACCCAAAACCCTACTGGCCAACACAATACCATACTGAGGTAATGCTTCAGTTATTCGTGTTCAACTATGTTCCAGTATGTTTAAGTGATTGAAAAGCACAGTCTGTGGTAGGAAGGATACAACACCAATATGACCAGAGCCAAATTTGTCTAAATTAAATCTAAAGTGCTAGTTTTATCTTAAAGTATTGTTCAAATGTGCAAGTAATGATTGCATTCTTTCTAAAATGAAATGTTTTTCTCCTGCATGTATTATTCTATTTTTCCTATTTAGTAGGGGTGGGAGCAACCTTGAGAGACTCCATAATTTTTATCCAAATAAAGAGTTTAAAACCCTGGATATTTACATAAGAACATTTCTCAGGTGAAGTGAAGTGACAAGACTTTAAAACTTCTCTTTATTTACTTGATTTGATCTGCATTTGACCTGAAATAACCAACATTAAAGGTGTATTTTCCTATACAAACAATCTTTACTGTTTTCAATACCAACAAAACCCAGAATTAATTATAACTAAGATTTTAACTGCATAACTGATGTGAGCATTGATTGGTTGTTTTTCTTCCCCTTTGATATCAGGTTTTGTTCTGCTCACCTCAAGGTCGAAAGTATAAATAATTATCACTGTTCACCCGATCTAAACTACATAGTAAAGGCATTGAGACACCTACTTGCTTTTAAAGCTTTATCTTGCAGCAGAGCCATGTTGCCAGATCTAAACACCTTCATTATTTATTATGATAGTTCTTATTGGTAAAAACACTCTGAACGGCAGCTGTCACTGCCGTTCATCATAAGCTCTTGTAAAGAACTCCTGATTTTGGTCAATTTTGGCGCCCCCTCTGGACAAAGTGGGCCCTCTTGTACGCTGATTTTGTCCTGTCCATGAAGAGGTAGTGTTTTTTGGGAGTCTCAGTCTGCTCTTTTAATGGTCAAATGCATCACTCACTGTGATTATTTGCTCTTGCAAAGTGGGTGAAAAAGTAGCTTCACCTGTTTTCTACGACTTCCCCAGTCTGTAACTTACCCCTCACAGCAGTTTCAGGCAATAAAAGTTCTGATACAGAGATAGTTGATCTTATCATTAATGGTTGAGTCTGTTTTTGCAGCTCTTAAGAGGCTCATAAATTCTTGTCTTTTTCATTACCCATCAAAACTCACTTGAGGTTCAATCAACACAACATGTAAGTATTTTCAGGACCTTCTTTTGGGAGGGTGAAGGACCAGGAGGCTCTAACGGGTCCGGCGGAGTCCCGCTACAGTTGACTACACCTCCTCCGAGAAGAGTGATGATGAAGCCCACAAAACCAGCCAGGATGGCGATCAGGGTGAGGACACGTCCAGCCTCGAGGTCAGAGGTATTGGTCATGGGTGATTTGTGTCTCTTGCACTGCAGCTGACCTGTGGCCTGAAGGATACAGTGGAACCACAGACCATCCCACACCTGACACAGAGAAAAAGGGGGTCTTCAGGATGATGTTATGAGGCTGGATTTTTACTCTTGATTAACTCTTGACATGGTGTTTTCTTTTTGTGTGGAGGAGCATCCTATATGCATATTATTTTCAGTTTATGGTCAAATATGTGCAGAACTAAAACTTGATGTTGTTAATGAAGAAATCCGACATGGTTCAGATGACATACTGAAGAATGTGGTGAATTTAATCAAACTTACTGACTGCGCAGTCACGATGTTCGCTCCAACAAAAGAGGTCTCACGCCACATCGGTAGTCCACATGTCAAACACACTCCCAAAACACCCATCAGAGCCAGCGCCAGCCCCCCGATCTGCTTGCCCTGGCCCCCCATTTGAAAATATCCAGTGGTAAACAAAAAACTGTGCACCTGAAAATTTAACCAATTCACCAAAATATCTACTGAGACTCAAAGAAAATGTGTAGAGGAATGTGTCGAGTTTGTCTTGTCTAGTTTCAGTTGGAATAGAGAGTAAGCTGTCCTTGTGAGCTGTTTTGTTTCTTGTCATGTTAGGGAGTCAGATGACACAAAAACCAACAGAGATATGCAAACTTGGTCAAAAGATAAGCATGTTGTCAGCTTTCTGTCAACAGACAAGAGTGTTTAAACACCTTTGAGCTAAAGCCAAATCTGGTTTTTCAGGCTTTTAAATATATATGTATAAATAACTGGCGTAACACTGAGGGTCTTATCATAAAACATCGCACCTCTCTCAAAGTTCAGCTGTAGGGGGCTCTAAAACATGTGAATCAGCACAAACTGCTTTCTAGACTCTTTCTGACAGGGGCAACCAAACTGCAGCACTAACATAGTCTGTCTTTATTTTATACTTCATGAAAACTGTATCAGACAGATGTTTTATGCCTGAGGTTTAGACAACAAAATGGTGACACATTGTTCTTGAATTCAAAGTTCTTTAAGGGCTCAGAAACAAAACATTTGTGCAAAATTACAGTAAACCACAACCTAAAATGTAATACATTTTAATAAGAAAAATAATCCTACTTCTGATGACAAGGTAAATGGGGTGGCCAATCAGGTTTCAAAGGGGCCAGTGCCACCCCTGGCCCCTCTCTGGATACACCCCTGCTGCTTGCATAATTTTTAAAGTACTGGAGTTGCAATGATAAAGGTGACTGACAGAATAATAAAAACTTTTAAAAATATGTTTATGTCAAATATGTTCATTTTTTTACATGGAGACACAACCATTCATAATTTCATCAGCTTGATGTGAGGAAGGAAAAATGCTAAGATTTAGCAAAGAGCATTAGTTACCTTCTTTACAATTAAACTTTTTCTAAAACTTTTTTAACAGCTACTTGTTTTCTTAAAAACTCCATAAAAATGAACAGAAACTCATAAAAAATAAGACTTTTTGTTGCAGGCATGAAACTTCCTTCCCAACCTTCAAAAACACTTTTAAAATGAATGCCCAAAACTGGACACCAAACCATTTAAAATAAAATTTCTGGCACTTTCAGTATCATTTATCACTTCATTTAAAGTAAGACAACACTGATTCCTCACATTTGACCGTGCATAGCTTAAGCAGACTTTTGTTAGTAGTTCTGTGCTTCATAAAAACATGTTTAATGCCTTCATTATGCACTGCACTGTCTATTTGGATATGCTACACACTTATATTTATCTAAATTTGTTACAGATATCCTACAAAAAATGTCATTAGTGCAAAAAAAACGATTGAAAAGAGCCTTCATAAAAAATCAGGTCCTTCATGTTCAACACATTTCTGTACATTTTTCACCACAATGTCAAGTTTTTGGATCCCTTCATGGTATCTTGTGTCATCCTCGTCCTCAGCATCTATAGGTGGTGCACAAAACCACTCCTCCAATGACGAGCAAAGCTCCAGATGCCCAGCCCACATATATGGAGGCCCCAAGCTCCCCCCTCCTCTCGTTAGTGGCCAGGGGATTGAAGAAACCAGTGATGATGCTGTGAGCTGACCAGCTGACAGGAATTAAACACAGCAGTCCCGCCACTATGAAGACCACCCCTCCAGCAAGGCCAATTTGACCTTTGGTTGGCCTTTCATCACGAAAGAAGTTGGTGCAGCGAGCCCCGACCACAGTGAGCCCGATAGCCACCACACTGACAGCGATGGAGACGCAGATCAGAGCCCGGGAAGCCTGCAGTTCTTGTGGCAGAGCCAAAATGGAGTCATAGGCTTTACACTGTGAGTGACCGGTGCTCTGGATCACACAGTTCATCCATAAACCCTCCCAGAAGACCTGAGCAGTGACGATGTTTGCCCCAATGAAGGCTGTCACCTTCCATGCAGGAAGAGCACAGATCAGGATGGTGCCGAGAAAGCCAACGATTGCTAAACACACACCAACAAGCTGAGTCTGCATTTTAGCACAAAAAAAAAAGAAAACAAACAAAAAAACTTCAGAGGCAGAGAGTTAAGTTTGCCACAAAATCAAAGACGGCAAAAACATTCACCTTTAGCTGAACCGGAGATCATCTTTACTACTACGCTTTCAAAGCTGCTGGTTGTGTTTTGCTTCATGGTTTTCGATGCAGGTGTGGGAAGGCTGAGCATCGGGGAGGGGACTCTGTTAGTTTTCAGGTCAGGTTTCCTGCTTGTCCTGATTCCTGCTTGCCACGAATCTGTAGTGGGAGGAGAAAACTGTCAACAAAAGCAGCCCTGAATCAAAAAGGCTTTGTGACCCAGTAGAACGGCTCACTCTCTAAGATTTAAATGACTTGAACCAGTAACTTGATCATGTACTCTGAAGTAAAGCTTCACAGTCAGGTCACACTTTACAGATGTCATTTAAAATGGCCTGTAGAAAGTTTGGAGGGAAATAAAACTATCTCTGACATGTGAAAGATGATTACATTATATCAGATCATCTTCAGTTAATGCTCACTAATGTCATTTATTTTAAAAACAAACATTACCATACAGTACAGACAAGTATAGAAGTAAAAATGACTTGCAGGGGATTCAAACTGATCACCGGTTTGAATCAATTACAGCTTTTGCAAACAAATTGATCACATTTAGATTAAGAAAGCACATTGTAAATGTGACTAATGTTGATAATCTTTCCCCAGGGATATAAAACATGTTGCACACGGCTGGGATATACTTACTGGGACAATACACATGGTCTTGTTTATTACTTCAAAATCAGCGTGACTCTTACAGACTATTTAATTGATGGAAAATTCAAGTTAGCAGCTCAACAGTAATAGTGCAGCAGTGATAGCTTTCGTAATAATGTTGTTGAGGTAAATAATGGGGGTTGGAATTTAGACCAAGTGAAGCAGAAAGAATATAAAAAGTTCTTAAATTAACATTCGCTTTAGAACTGTGATAAAAATGGTGAGACCAAAGCCTGTAGTTGAAGCAGCTGAAAAGCAGGCAGGTCCCATGGCGGTGAGACGTCTACAGCAGCAGTCCAGAGAAATCTGTGGCATGATGGAGCTCAGGAACTCTCATAAGAGCCTGTAGTTAGTGACTTTAATGGGAGAAGATTCAAAGCTGACATGATTCAGATTCCATGTTTTTGTTATATAGACCTGTATCACCTTTGTAGAATACCTTTGTCCTGTCATATGATTGAACTTCATTTCTCACCATTACATTGGCATGCATTATTGAAAAACCCCAACTTAAAGTCTCAAAAGGATTGCAGTTGGGAGCGTAATTCAAACACTGCATTCAATCAGCCTATGAACAGATGTGTTTGAAAAAGAGCAAAAAATCTCTTAAGTGGCTCATTGTAAATTATATTTGGATATACTCAACTGAAAGGATAGCTCTGAGAGACACACATGTTGGCAAGTTCTAAGGTGTGGACTTACACATCTACAAGGAAGTCTTTTAACCCTGTACTGGGTCAGCTGGCAACACTGCATACACAATTATACTGACAAATTCTACCTACATTGCCTCTGCACTTAATGTAGCAGGGTCTCTTTACAGACTTAGCTGGATTTTGATCCCTTAATAGTCCCTTTCAAGGCCTTAGTTTCAGTAGATAGGTACCCCTTTTAAATAAAACCAGGGAAAAAAAATACTATTAAATAAAAAGTTTATTAAAAATAGTAAAAACACATTAACATAAGTTCAAGTATAAAACATTGCTGAGTGTTCAGTCCAGCTTCTTGGAAGTAGACAAATTCAAGCCTTACTTCTCCATCATTTCAAACATAGGCTCCTCCACTGGCTGCTGAGCGGGGGGCAGAGTACTTCACAGAGTATCTGCTATCTTTGTTCTGCTGACAAGAGCAGCAGAGAAGTGCTCCTCCGATTAGCAGGAGTCCTGCAGATCCCCAGCCAATGAAGAGTGACGCTCCGAGCTCCCTTCTCTGTGCATCACTAACAATGGGGTTGTAGAAGTCCCTGATGACAGCATGGGCAGACCAGGACACAGGGATCAGGCACAGGATAGCACCAGCAATGAAGAACACCCCTGCAGCGATGGCCACCTTGCTCTTAGCCCCTTCATCTTCAATGCAGTTGGTGCACTTCCCACCAGCAAGAGCGAGCAGGATTCCCATGAAGACGACCAGAATAGAGATCACCACCAGGGCCCGAGCCGCCTGCAGGTCACGAGGCAAGGCCAGCATGGAGTCGTACACCTTACACTGCATCTGTCCGGTGCTCTGCTTCACACAGTTCATCCACAGGCCCTCCCAGAAGATCTGTGCTGTCACAATGTTGTTCCCGATGAAAGCAGACACCTTCCACATGGGCAGGGCGCAGATGAGGATGTCTCCTAGAAAGCCAATCGTCCCCAGGAAGATTCCAAAAATCTGGAGGCCAGCAGACGCCATTGTTGTCTCAGGCTGGACGGATGATGACAAGATGTAGTGTGACAAAACAGCAGCAATGACATACTGATTGGTTTCTCACCTGCAGTTTTATACCCACTGCCCACATTGTGGGTGTGGGGCCTCCTGATTGGTTGCCTTAAATCATTCAAAATGAAAACACCTGTGGTCATTAAGCTTATCCCACAGTCAATACACAGCAAGACATTTATCATAGGTTAGAGCTGGGTTTTTGGTACACTTGATCTTTCTGAATGTAAGAAATTTACTTTAAATGAGTAAAATTATCTGAAATGTTATTTAAAGAAAAAAAGGGCATGATTCATTTTTAAGCATTTCCACTAAGTAAAATTCTACTTTAAGAAGAAATAAACTGAAACATTCTTTAGAGTAGGTTAACACTATATAGAAAAATTTCCATTTAAGTCTGTGAGTACTTTGAATCAGTACATGCTTTGATTTGTGAAATGTATATATAAAAAAGTGAAAATGTGCCCTTTAAAAAAAAATGTCGCAGGTACATTTTCACATTGATTTTTGTCAGATGTTAAGGTTTTAGTGTGAATGTTTTCAAGATGTGCATTTGGTTTCAACAGAAACACTGGAGCAAACCTTTTTTTCTAAGATGTTCCTTTAATAGTCCCACAAGGGGAAATTCCAAATTTACAGCAGCATAGTATAGATTGGCTTTATTATTATTATTATTATTATTATTATTATTATTATTATTATTATTATTATTATTATTATTATTATTATTATTATTATTATTATTATTATTTTTGCAGCCTTCTGTGATTGGTCATGACACTTGTATGTCTTTAGAGAAGGTGAATATTAAAGTTTAGTGACTGTCTGCTCACCACCATACTTTATTTTCTGTTGCCAGAGCAATAATCAAGCTGAGTGATTTTATCTGTGTTAATGTGTGTCAGTGACCTTCAGCTCAGCTGTTGAGTCTGTTTGTGAGTTTCTCTACATCAGCTCAGAATCCAAATAAAAACAGAAAAGAGCAGAAAGATAAGCTTTCACTGGAGTTTAAGTCCGTATAGGAAGAGATAATGTTGATTACAGTTTTTATTTTACAGAAGTTAAAATAAAGGTTTTAAGTATATTGAGTAGTGGTCCACCATTTACAGTTTTTCAAGGGCCAACACTGATAATGAGTGAGCAGGTTAGCCCATGGCCAATATGTAATGCCAATACCACATTTTTTTGTTTGTTTTTTGCATTAAACAACAATAAACAATACTAACAAATGAGAAATAAAATTGCTTAACATAGGCTAAGTGAACATTTCATTCAATAATTGTAGAAATAAAAATATTTGGCTCAGTAAAATATTGTCCCAAAAACATTTTGAATGTCTGTTCAGCCATTTTGAATCATAAAAAAATAAATAAAGATAGTATTGTTATTTTTTTTTTAAAGTCTTAAATCCATCCATATAAATCCATTATTTCATGCACATTAAAATCTATAAATCATGATTATCTTGATGTCAGATACTGGGAAAATGCCATAAATCTGTGTCTTTAAAGCCTAATACTTTAATCATAGTCATCATCATCTGATCATTATTGTAGTGTTTGTTATTTGACCTATAGAAAAATATTAAACCTAAAACTTTTACTTACAAGACTAAAATGTCCTTGACTTGGAGGTGCTCAGAGAAAACTGTGGGGTTGGTTAATTTTGCAGTCAAACTCCTGCCACTTGGTGGTGCAAAAGATCGAAGTTTTGACCTTCACGGCCATGACTTGCATGCTTTTAAGGATGAAAACTAGTTCCACACTTTGTTCCTTATAAAAAAATTCTCTCTAACTTTTAAATATATTGCCATTGAAATCTGTAAAGAATAAACTCACTGAAGAAGAATTCTACTGGCTTTTACTGTTGCTCAACCAGCAGGTAAAAATGTTTGACTCGCCAGTAAAATATCTACGAATGGATCAGTTCTTCTTCCATTTCAGCCATGTCAAGACTATTTGACCCACAAGACTAACCACATTTACATCAGCCCCAGTTATTTCTGTATTTATTGTACATCAAAATATAATCTGTGACATTTACATCAAGCCAGGAAGCATGAAGTTAGTAAAGTAAAGCTTGATTTTGAGTCTTTTCATGACCTTTGGCTGTTCTTTTTTATTGAGCTGATAACAGTGTGGCACAGCACATTTTAAAAGACTCTAAGCCTATTTGTGATTGATGTGATTGATCAAAGTAACCATTATTCTGTTTCACATTGGCTGAGCTTTACATTCTTTTAACGTCAATGGGCAACACTCTTCAAAGGTTTCATTGTGCTATTGTTGGTTGTGAAAGCCCTAAAAGGCTTTTAAGTTATAACCATGCATACTTATAAGGAATAAAATATTCTAGAGATAAAATATAGTGTTTATGAAGTTAGATTTCAATGTCTCATTTTTTTTATTTCATTGAAATACTTACTCTGGTGAGCTGTGGCTGAACCTAAACGCTTCTTTTCTCTCTCAGGGCTCTGTTGGGGCACCAGAGGGCCTCTTTGTTTGAGAGAAACACCTCTGAACTCAAAGGCAGCATGATGGATGTTTGCTTCTGAGCAGGAGAGGGGGCGACTTGGGGTATGTGCTGCTCCTATAAAACATCCCCACAGTAGCAGAGGTCTTAGTTGGCAGCACAGTAAGGAACTCAAACAAGGCGGATCAGAAGATAACAGGAATGGCATCTTTAGGGCTGCAGATTCTGGGCGTCGGGCTGGCCGTGCTTGGTTGGATTGGAAACATCCTGATCTGCATGCTGCCCTTGTGGAAAGTCTCGGCTTTTATTGGAAACAACATTGTTGTTGCTCAGACCATCTGGGAGGGCCTGTGGATGACATGTGTGGTGCAAAGCACAGGTCAGATGCAGTGTAAGGTCTATGATTCCCTGCTGGCTCTGCCCCCTGACCTCCAGGCGGCTCGGGCTATGGTGGTCATCGCCATCCTGTTCTCTCTTTTTGGCCTGCTGCTGTCCGTGGTTGGAGGGAAATGTACCACATGTATTGGGGACAAAGTAGCGAAAGCCAGAGTGGCCATCTCTGCGGGTGTCTTCTTCATCCTAAGTGGGGCTCTGTGTCTGGTGACCGTGTCCCTGCCTGCTAACACCGTCATTAAGGACTTCTACAACCCCTTGGTTCCTGACGCCCAGAGGAGGGAGCTGGGTGCGTGTCTGTACATTGGCTGGGGAGCATCTGGAATGCTGCTGATTGGTGGGGCTCTCCTCTGCTGTCAGTGCCCGTCAGGAAGAGACCGCTACAATGGAGCAAAGTACTCCCCGCCTAAGTCTACAACACCCGGGAAAGAATTTGTCTGAAGCCGGACGTTTTGAAAAGGAACTGTGTGAACCTGTTCCCTTAACAAGTTGTGATTTTAAGCCTTTTTTGAGTAACACACTGTCGCCTTTTTATTCCTGAAACATACAAGACACTCTTTTGTGTGCCTCATGTTGCAATAACGCAACATAGACTTAGAATTTGGGTTTAGTTACAATTATTGTTGTTTAGTCACATTGTTCAAGTGTCTGGGTAAAACTATCCTGATGTGTATTTTACGTTTTATGTTTGCAACATAAGCACTTCAAGAAGACTTGTGTATTTTTTAATTTGTAGTTACTTTTTCTTTGCAATAAACAGTATTTTTGCCATCAGTTTGTTCTGTATGTTTTATCTGGAAAGACAAAGATAATGTCCTCGTGTCAAATTCTATCAAATCTGTTTTTGTGAAAACATTGTGTACAGCAAAGTATGTAGAAAGTCCATCTGGAGTATTGAGATTCATTCTTATATGGATGAGATGTATGTACCATATGGATAGTTGAAACTGTAATACAATGTTCATTAGCTGAAGAATTCAAACGACTTGTACACATCCAGACATCAAAAAATGCTTATATTCACAAATCCAAGTCAAAAATGTAATATTATACTCATAAGAAAACACTGACAGCGACAGTTTCACATGATGCGAACTATAAAACTAACAGAAAAAACTACTTGCATTCTTGCTTACAATTAAACCGTTATTTTCATTTTAAAATTCAATAGTATTTTTAAGGCAGGATTTTAAATTTGATGACCACTTGTTACCTTTTGTTGTTGCTTTAACTAAAGATGAAGATGTGGGTCCTTTTGGTCACCGCAGCTCTGATCTCATCTGATTGGCCAAACAAAAGTAGACACACAAGTGAAAAATTACAGGGCAGTATTGTCTCTCTGCTCAGACTGGTTTCAACTGAAAAGTCTCTGAACAAAAAGAAAACCATTAAAAGGCTTCGGGGTAAATCTTCCTGACAAGACTTGGCAGATGTGAGCCTACTGTGCAAAGTGTAAATATCCATTCTTTGGAGATATATAAGAGTTTCTTAGCAACATGAAGCCAAGCTCACTGAGAACTGTTGTTACTGGCCGTGACGTCTATTTCAGTCCAGCCAGAAACAGTAAATAACGCTTTGATACGAGGACAAGTGATACAGCATAGTTAGCACTTTAGCCAGCACATTCCCAGGAATCTACTCTCCTGTAAGGAGCTTAGCCAAAGAGGTTCAGATATTAAGTTTCAGTTTTATCTAAATGTGTTCGCAGGTGCAGAGTGTCAGTGACAAAGAACATGAATACACAATAAGCTGTATGAACAAAAGGCCATTTCATTATTTTTTATTTAAGTATAGAAAATCACAGCCATCATCACTGAATCATCTTTCAGTCCTACATCAAATAGTCAAATATGAAACTTTTCACAGCTTCTGGTAGCAATTCATACAATAATAGAAAAAATGAAATGATTTCCATGGAGAAGTGTCTTAATTCTCCTGTATTATAGAAAAAAAACACTCCTATTCAGAGGTAAATGAAATATTTTAGAGATACAACACACATTTCTGGTGTATGGAAACTGCAAAAGAGTTCATTTGTGGAAAAAACAGACAATCTTTTTTGATTATTTGTGTACATATAACAGAGTATGGCAATGTTTGTCATATTCTGATTCAACCTGAAAATCAAATCAAAATTCATGAAAACAAGCAAGAAAATGCATTGACAGTGCTTTCATTAGAAATCTAAGTCTAAATCTGCTTTCTAGAAAGACCCCTTGCTTTTCTTAGCCTTAGCAACAACATTTTGAAACATCCAATACAAAGGTGTGTGTCATACAAAACTTTAGGGTCCATAAAAAAGGGGCAAAGATCTCTGGATTGTTTAGACTCACACATAATTTGCATTTGATGAAGCTACTCTTGAAGGGGTAAACTTAGCAGGTATGTAGGGTCTGCCGTCTTTTGGGGGGCAGTTGTTGCAGAGCAGACCCCCTCCCAGCAGCAGCAGCCCAGCAGAGCCCCAGCCGATGTAGAGTGCTGCACCAAGCTCCCTCCTCTGAGCGGCAATCACCAAGGGGTTATAAAAGTCTCTGATGACTGCATGAGCCGACCACGACACTGGGATCAGGATGAGGAGAGCGGCGATTATGAAGACCACCCCAGACACAATGCAGGCTTTAGCTTTGGCCACTTCGTCCTCCATGCAGTTGGTGCACTTTCCTCCAACCACAGCCATGAGGACACCGAACACCCCAACTATCACAGAGATGATCACCATCGCTCTGGCAGCCTGCAGATCTTGAGGTAGTGCCAACATAGAGTCGTACACCTTACACTGCATCTGGCCCGTGCTCTGAACCACACAGTTCATCCACAAGCCTTCCCAGATCACCTGAGCAGTGACAATGTTGGCCCCGACAAAAGCGGTGACTCTCCACATGGGCAGAGCGCAGGTGATGATGGTGCCGAGCCAGCCGACGAAGGCCAGCAGCACACCCATGATCTGGAGGCCTTGAGAAGCCATGGTTACCCCACCGAGGCCAGGACTCTTCCCAGAAAATCAAAATGCAAAAAAGGTGACTCAAAAGGAAAATTTCAAGATGCTCGAGGAAGGGCTCGCTGTGCTCTGATGGTCTGAGGTCCAAACTGTGAGAAGATAACTCCCTACCATTGTGGTTTCGAACTTTCAGGGTGGAGTTTCTGCGCTCCCGGACAAAAGAAAGAAACTGAGACCCGATATCCACATCTCTTGTTTTCTCTCTGGGTTCATTGTTCCTACACATACAAGGTCTGCTACCTCAAGCAAGGATTTTAGACTAGGAACAATGGCTGTAGATCCACCTGTGCTTACACACTAACACACACAAACACACACAAACACACACATGCTCAGTCTCTCAGGTCAAGCCTTGAGCAAACACAAACTCTTTATCTTTTATTTGGATTTTTCTGAAGGCGGGAAAAGTTCACAGAAGTTCTCTGACACTATCTTCACTCAAGCAACCAAGAAGTCACCTTTGTAACCACTTAAAATCATAGTGTCCTGCTCAATACTGATTTGTATGTTCAGTTGAGGTACTTTAATCACAACATTGATTGTGATTTACTACAAGAAGCAGTTGCTAACTTCAGAAGACTTAATGACAAATGTGTGGATTATGTAAGAAGAAAAACTATAGTAAAGGATCTGGACAAATGGACTTGATTATTCCTCTGCATTTAAATGTTGCATCTAACTAAAAGGCGCTGTGAGTCTTCACAAAGTACAAGTACCACCGCCTGTAGGCTCACAGTTTGAACAAAGACCTGTTTTTCCCTGCCACACCTAAACCTGATCTACTGGAAAGTCCGACAATAGATGCTTCTCAAAGGCGTTAAGGGCATGTTTTTAAAAACCATCCTGCGGGATGAAATGTTGCCTCAAAAAAAGACAGATTAACAGCTGTTTAAAAAATGGATTTAAGACTAACCTAAAAACACTAAAAGCTTGTTTATAGAATTATAAGATTTAATTTATAAGTGAGTGTTTGAGAAAACAAATGATGTAAGGTAAACACGTTGTGTTAAAACATGACTGCCGGGTTACTTTGTAGCACAAATAACTCAAATGACACAACACTTACGTACAAAATATTTATTAACAGCTTCATTGACACATCATGAAGCTTTTACACATAATTCATAAAATCAACCCACATACATTATTTTCAAAACAAGAGGTTATACAACATGAATACCACTTAAAAAAAAGGTGTAGAAAATGAAAAAAACAATATTAACAACAACACATATACAAGAGACTGTAGTAACATGGCACTTTTTCCCTCCTTGGGTGTGGTTCCTGTCTTTGCTATCATTTCCTCAAATGCTCCCAGGTGGAATAAAACTCATGAGTGCATCTTTCTCAAGTAAAATCTCGATTTACCACCCATTAGCACCATCACATCTGTCCCTGTAGAGATTGTCTTTTGAACCAGTGTAAGGATTTCTACGCCCAGTTCAGACGTAATCTTTCCCAGAAGCTGGTGCTGAGGCCTCAGACCTGGCAGCTGAGTACCTGGCAGTGTAGGAGTCTGCATCCTTCTTGGGGCAGTTGCAGCAAAGCATCGCTCCTCCGATCACCATCAAAGCGCCCGCTCCCCATCCAATGTAGAGTGCAGCACCCAGCTCTCTCTTCTGAGCGCTGACCAACAGAGGGTTGTAAAAGTCTCGGATGATGGTGTGAGCCGTCCAGCAGACAGGAATCAGGACGAGAACGCCAGCTGCAATGAACATCACTCCAGCTGCGATGCCCACCTTGGTCTTGGATGATGGATCCTCCACACAGTTGGTGCATTGGCCACCTGCAACGGCGAGCAGGATAGCAAGGATGCCCACTATGATGGCGATGATGGTCAGGGCGCGGGCAGCCTGGAGGTCAGAGCTGAGGGCCAGCATAGAGTCGTACACCTTACACTGCATCTGACCTGTGCTCTGGACCACACAGTTCATCCAGATTCCTTCCCATGAGGTCTGCGAGGTGACGATGTTGCTGCCGATGAAAGCCGTGACCTTCCACATGGGAATGGCACACACAATGATGGCACCAATCCAGCCAATGACGGCGAGAGCAGCACCCAGCATCTGTAGCCCAGCAGACACCATCGTGGACTCGTTGGGTTTTTCTTCAAATGAAACTTCTGTCTCTAGTCAGTTGTAACTTTAAAGTCTTTCTGTATCCTGTAAATCTCTTCTTGCAGAGGCCGAAGTTTATGGATCTTTTGACTCCTGCTGTGTCCTGTGAGAGTTTTCTGAATGGTAGTTTTTCAGAGGGGAGCAGGTACATATGATCTCCTCTCTTAAAGGAGGAGGGGCCATTAAGCAAAACAGCTCAGCGTCATCAGCCATTGTTTTTTCTGGTTCACTCCCAAACACAAAACCTGTTTAACATCCACCAGCCATTCATTCAACAAGTCAAGGATTTGTATCTGGTTTGCCACTAACAAAACCTGCGCAACAAAACACATACATTTTTAACAGAACAAGCATCTTACTTAAAATTTTGTCAGTTAAACTGTTTATTTTTGACCCCCTTCCCTCTTTCATTTACCCTCCCCCACCCCCCTAGTTTCACCTGAAGCAGCAGGAGGGTGGAGTTATGCCCTCAGTGAGGAGTGACTCAGTCAGTTCTGAATAACAATACCTCTGACAAGAACAACGGACAGACCAAATAAGGTCTTGTGTCGGTATTTGTGTTCTATTACACCTTCTCAAAGTATGGATATTATGCAGCTAGAGTCCAGGTCATCACTTCTGTCTCACATCATCAACGTTGCATTGATTATCTACAGTATGTCCGAGACAATGAGAGGTTCATGTAACTGCTGCTCAGTTTTATTGCAAGACTGGTTTGGGCACATGATGGAGGTGGATCAGGACCTAATCACCTGAACTAAAGCCAGTTTTATTCAAATGTTTTGGAGGTAACTGTGTCACCTCTTGTATGAAGCCAAGACCTTTCCATGACAACACTACAGTGTAAACCTGCAGCTCACTGAAGTAGGGCCTACAACTGATAAGAGCCTTATCCCTTTACTGTCAACAACAATGAAAAAAATAAATTAAGAGTTTTACTTTTTTAACATGTGTTAATGTTAAACTGTCCAAGTCTTTTAGTCACTTTGGGTAACCAAATGTTTCGAATAGTTTTATTCCCAAGATTAAAATGAGAGAATACAACTATGAAACTTTATGGGAGAGTGTGATCAAACAATGTTACAGTAAGGGGAAAAGGGTAGATCACAGCATAATACAAATTTAGGGGGATTTTTCTAGGTAACGGGTGCTTTTTTTCTTCTTATGACTCCAATTTTCCTTGCTATCTTATTAATAATATAACTTGAGTGATTTTTCCACGTGAGCTTTTCATCAATAAGAAATCCAAGAAATGTTGTGATTTTTGACTCTTCTCAAATATAAATTGTCAATCTATTATCTGGTCCTCAATTTTTCAAAGTAGTGTCCTATGACAAATAAATAAATAAATCACAATCTGCTAACTTTTGACATTCAAATGAAGCACTTATTGAGAGTATTTTAAGAGAAGAATGTAAAGATAGACTTATTCTTTAATATATCAACTGCTCAGCTGATACCTACCACCCTGCAACAGCCACAGGCATCAAAAATTTACATTAAAATGACAATCTTATCACCAGTGGTCTAATTTGCTTTTCTTTATCATAATAAAGCATTTAAATGAATTTCAGTTCATTTCAAAAATGTAAAAAAAATGTAGCCTCTCTTTTTTGTTATTGCCTCCAATCATCTTCTTTACAAGTCCCTAAAGAATTTAGCTTGAAGATTTACATGTTGTCGTCCAAAGTTATACACAGGAATAAAACATCTCTACAGTTTTTGATAGTTGCTGTTTTTGTTGTTATTTGTAACAGTATCAGGACATACGATATTTACTTCAAAGCATATATTTGATTTTGACATATTTTGATTCAGCTTGGCTAAACTATTAAACCCCTACATGATCTGAGTAACTCTTTTGGACAAAGCAGTGTGTCTTCTTTCATTGATGATCTCATCCTGTACATTCATGAGTTGTGTTTCTAGTAAAAAATCATATCCTGCTTTTCTTCAACAGCCACAAGTATCACTCTCTGGTGTCGCAGTGATAGGCATTGAAATGAATTCTTAATAAATTCTCAGAGTTATTCCTGGTTGTCTTGTTATCTTTTGTGGATAATCAGTAACTATTTTGATATGCGCTAAGTTAAAGGCTCCTGGCAGTAGATGTTAATTAAGAAAACCCAACATAGTCTCTTATGCAAGAATGTTGACCTCCCCTACAAATAAGGCAACATCAGAGTCCATGCATTTATAACAAACAGGATTTTCTAAGAACAAAAATAGTAAGTGAAAAATGAAGAGATCATGTGAAATAATGGTAGAGGTCGACTTTGAGCTGTTCCGCTCAGTCAGTGTGTGTCCTGTGAATCAGACTAAAGGCTGATTGTATGCATGAACATATAAGTTTTTGTTCTCTGAAGATCAGAAGAAAAGAGTCTGACCTTGAAATGAGTGTCAAACAGATGCGAGTAGTGTGAGAAAGGGCAACAGAGAGGGGTCATTGTAAGTGCAAGTACTATAATATACCACGATTTGACAGGTCCAGATTTTACAACTTCTAAAATGTTGTAACCCTGAATACATTAAAGCAGACGGCTGAACCCTCTGAAGTTTGTCTCGTCTGTCTGCTGTACTCTGCTGCACCCAAAGGGAGGCAGCAGCCTCCTCTTTCAAATGTCCTGTCATTACCCAGGAAGTGTGTGAGTGTATGTTTTGGGTTATACCATTACCTGGCTACGATTTCCCAGACAACAATACCAGGTAGTAAAAGGAGGAAAGTACCGGGAAGAGGTCAAAATTTTATCTGTATTGTGTCTCTTCAGAAAAAACAAATTGGTAAAGTTCATGCCATCTGATCTGTTATCTAGCATTTTATTTATATGTCTGTGATAAAGACATAAAACACATCCTCTGCTTATTTTTCTTCATACACAATGACAAGGAGGGGTTGTTGTAAAAAAGTGTGGCAAGCCTCACTTCTTAAAGAGCTTTTTTGTCAATAAATCTCTAAGCAGCCATGAAATCCCTTCCACCGACTTCTTACTCAGTAACTCAACAGTCCACTTGTAGAGCAATATCGCTACCTGTTAAGACTTACACAGGAAACCCCCTATGCCCTTTAAACTAGGCCGTTTGGACAGAGGTGCTGCTGATTGGTCAAGGGAAATTTCAAACATCAATACTTGTAATTTTGATATTTTAAAAGAGACACAATTAATGGTTTCTTTAGGAACTTTATTTCTCAATTTGTTTTATTTAGAAGGTAAAAGTGTTTATAATGAGATTTATTTATACTTAGCTCCTGACCCCTGCAACCTTCTGTGGTTAATGAAACCGTGCATGGATTATTTGAATATGGGGTGTAGCATGTTTGTCAGGTCCTTTCAGGCCGACAGTTTCTATGACTTTATACTGCCTCTTACTCATCCTGATTGACAGTTTTAAAGCTTGCTGTCTTTGATATGATCACGTTTCACTTTTAAGGATAGCTATCAACAAGTTAAAACAGCAGTCAAATGTGAAGGTTACTAGTGTGACCCCCAACATATCCCACTTTCAAGAAAACTAGCAAATCAGGTCAAAATCAGAGTAAAACAGCAGATTTAATCATCTTAAGAGATGAGCAAATGCCAAACCAAAAAACAGAAATGATCTCAGTAAACCCTTAACTTACTAATCAGAAAACAAATAGTGAAACAAATGTCAAATACCTCACCTGAGCTCCTCACCTTTATAAGAGGAGAGAAAAAACGTCAAAACAAAAGGCTACTGACTCTTACTCTGCTGCTAAAGGTGCTCTTAGTTTATATACAGTGTTTTCTACTGATGAATAAATGTAACCACACTTTGAGGAGCAATCAAACTGTGAACCAAAGTTTCTTATTAACACTTGATCAACAAAGCAGGTATACCCAGATTCAGAATACACAGTCTAATGCTGGTCTGTAAGAAGGAGCAGAAGCAAAAGGGAGCAGGTGGCAGCAGTCCAGATTTAAACCAGTGATGAATCTTTTCATCCAATCAGAAGCTGCGCCTCTGCTTGAATTGACCAATCAGAGGCCGCACCTGCATTGGCACATAATCAGCAGGTGCACCCACATTTACACTCACACAGAAGTATTCACACTCCGCAGGGAAGGAGACAGAGCTGCTCTGCAGGAACAGATGATGAAATATCAGACCCGGGGTCATGACACAATGTTCAAAGTTAAATATGTTTATATTTCAGGGTGGGAGTGGAAGATATTGCCTCACAGAACGTTTGTTTGTCTTGCTTTTATGCCAATATTTTACCTGTCATGGTGCTTAGGTTATTTCATTTCCTACATTGTAAAACTATGCTTTTATTTTGAAGTATACTTCAGTTAGAAATTATGAGATGTGAGATTAATTAGGAATCCAAAGAGGCATAAGCTCCAATGTCGCATTTGGATTTACACACACACACAAAAAGAGAAAATATTTGAAAAACTTAGATTTTTAAAAATGCTGAATCATGTCTTCCAGAGCTGCTTTAAGCTGGTTCACAAACAGTCAACCTGCCACTTCTTTGTCTCCTCCGTTTTATGACGTTTGGCAACCACCTGAAAGGACCTTAGCTTTAACCTTTCATTTTCACCATAAGCTTACTTTTTAGCACAAATTAATATGTCTAACTTCACTCTTGCCTCTTTTCTCTTAAATTGACTGATGTGATTGTTTTTCCTACGTTTTAAACAGGCATAAAATCAGGAATTTTTCATCATTTGACAGAAAAACTGATCACATGACTCCTTTTGTTCTGTATTTTTTATCTGTAGTTGACTGGGACTTATTTTCAGTCTCATATGTAGGTCATTGAATGTGTTGGCAGTAGTTTCTTATCGATACATATACACTATCTGAATTTATCTTGGCGGCTCACCAAAGAGATAAACCTGTTGTTCAGAGACTGCACCCGCTTGAATACCATTTACACACACACCCAACTGGATCAAGTGAAAGATTCTTTGTGTTTTTATGGCATTTGGAATAGAGAGAGAGAGCTCTCTCTGTCACACAAACCTTTAAATTCTCTTTATACAGAAATGTTAATCATGCTAACTGAAACTCATTTCTCAGTGAAGAGATGGGTAATATAATGAAACTCCTTAAACTTTACAGAGCCAGCAGCGGCTCCATAATGGGCAGACACATAGTTGGTGCACGTCCTGTTAGGTTTACTGCAGCAGCCATCTCTCACTGTTAGGTTTACAAGTACAGAACATGACTTGATCGTTTTACTATGAAAACTTTGGACTAAAAATATCTCTTTACCAACAGAAGACACAGCTGTATTCCTTTCATGCAACATCTCCATTTATTTAGGTCCTGTCAGAATATGCGAAGAAAAACTGTTAATTCAGACACTGAGAAATGATTTAAATTAGTGGTATATTGTGTCTTTGCTAAATACAAGATCATTTCAATAAGTTGCCTGTGATAACATGCACACATATCCGCATTAGAGTGTGACTGTAGTGATCACTTTGGCAGCTGAAACTTGTTCTAAAGATAAACTAGTTTCAATATCACTTTTATTGGCTTGTCAAGGGTCAGCCAAAACTTAGGAAGAGCCACCAGTTTACTGGGGCAGTAATGATCAGTGTTGTTCCTCATTCAGTCTGCCAGAATGAAAACACAATTTCCATTCTGTTTTGATAATAACTCAAACTGCAAGTATTGCTTTTGTTTTTATTACCTGACTATGAGTGATCCCTCTGTAGAAGAGATCTTATTTCTTATAAAGACATAAAGTGGGTCAAATGTACCTTCATTAAATGAACCAACACCTCAGTGGCGCAAAAGAGAAGTCACACTGCAGCTGAAAATATCCATCAACAAATGCACTTTTTATTGATGTAATGATTGCAGTTGTCCATGGACTTATTATGGATGAATTGAGGTTTTCATCCACAAACATTGATGGTTTGGCTCTTTTAAGATGACTCATGTTCCTGTTAAACATTTATGTGTCACTCTTGGCATTGTTCACGTAATGTTCTACTTGAGTTTGAGTGCTCCCAACATTCCAAGATTGTTTACTGAATTCTTAGTGGCTGAAAAGCACAGTAGGCTCACAGGAGCCATAGGTACATGACTATGAAATATATTCATAGAGGTCCTAGTTTGTCATTAACTTAAATTTTATTGTGGGATTACACATAAACTATGTGACCAAGTGGAGATGGGGCAGGTTTCAGCTGTAAAAACTGTAAGACCGTGTCATTGCCCAGGCTATAAAACACAACATGGAAAATATAAACAAGAGTAAACAGACAGAAAAGATTTAAAATCAGTTCTCTTTCTCTCTTTCATCGTCTTCCTCAAACACAATCATCCTCCGCGCAAACACAAACACTAAAGATACATGCGCACACACACACACACATCCATTAGAGGACATGTTTGTGTATCAGTTACTGTCTCATGTGGTCACCTATCAACCATATAACAAGCTCTGCCTTGGACACTTATTACCTCCTGACAGCAATAAAGCAAGCGCACCCATGAGCTACCATGGGCGAAAGGTTAAACCATAAAAATACTCTTCACTCGAAAAAACACACAAAAGAAGATCAACACACCCAGGTGGTAAATGAGGCCAGTGCTCAGGACACACCTGATTGGCTTGGCATGGTGAGTGATGTCATCACTCTGAAGGGCTGACCACTTAGTAATAAAACATTGCACAGATAAGGGTCATCATCGACTTTAACAGCAGCAGAGGAGCAGGAGAACAGCATTTGAGAAGACACACAAAGAAGACCTTTTTCACCAGAAGCACACAGTGACGGGTCGAACTCTGGACTCAGGCCTCGCTGTCGTTTTTGGTGGGGTGAGAAAATGAAAAAGGAATAAAGAGGAAATTAAACTGAAAGCAAGAAAAGAGGAAGGACAAAATCAGGAGATTTTGGTCCAAAAGGAGCGTCTGTTTCAACCCACAATGGTCTCTTTTGGACTTGAACTTGTTGGCGTCATTTTGTCGGTGCTTGGATGGATACTGGCTGTGACCAGCTGTGCCTTGCCGATGTGGAGGGTCTCTGCCTACATTGGAGCCAACATTGTAACAGCTCAGGAGTACTGGGAGGGGTTATGGATGAGCTGCGTGTTCCAGAGTACTGGCCAAATGCAGTGTAAAGTCTACGACTCCATGCTGGCTTTACCCCCGGACCTGCAGGCTGCAAGAGCACTCACAGTGGTCTCCATCATTGTCGGGGTGATAGCCATACTCATCGCTATGGTAGGAGCAAAGTGCACCAACTGTATCGACGACGACGGGGTCAAAGCCAGGGTGATGGCCTCCTCAGGTGGGGCATTCATAACCGCAGCTCTGGCTCAGATAGTGCCTGTCTCCTGGTCAGCTCATACCATAGTGGTTGAGTTTTACAGTCCAATCATCCCCACCGGTCAGAAGATGGAGATCGGAGCAGCGCTGTATCTCGGCTGGGCTGCCGCAGCTCTGTTGGCGATCGGCGGGTCCATCCTGTGCTGCAGTTGCCCCCCACAGGAGGAGAAACCATTGCGGTACAGCCTGCACCCTCAAAGTCGAGTGGCATACTCAGCTGCACCAAGATCAGTTGCACCGAGCTCCTACAACAGAAGGGACTATGTGTAAGAGAGGAGGACTGGCTATATATTCTGTTTTCCATAGCGTACGAGGAGACATGACCAAATGATCGCATTGGTTTGAGTGGAACTGACTGTCTGACACTTGAAAATAGTAAAAGAGACAATCCAGAAGCTTTATTTAACTGTTTGATACAACTGTTTACATAACCATCGGTCCAAAGTGGGTGGGGAAAATGCGACAAGATTTAACAAGATCTGACCAAGTATGGTAAGAGCGAGTTCAAAAAGTCGTTTCACTCAGTCCAGCAGAAGAGACTTTCGCATATACACTCTTGTTGTTTTTACCAATCATAACTCTATGTGACAATCCTGGTCGTGCTAATCATGTGTAAACTGGGTGTCATTACAGCAACAAAGCAAACAAGGACAGTGCTGTTACTGTCCTAACTGTAATGAGTTTGATGATGGCCCACTTTTTTTTCTTATTACTGTGGGTCACAGATGTGAAATATTAAACCGCCGAGACACAGAGCTCATTATATGCACCAAAACAAGGTCAACATGGCCGAATGGACTATGAAACAAACTGGTTTCTGGATAGTTTTGACTCTAGCACTGCTCTTTCCACATTATATTGCTATGTTTGCATTTTCTATATAAGTAGATGATTTTCCTTGTTTTATATTTTGTTGAAGTGCAGACTGTATAGATACAAATGTTTCTAAATCTACTCAGATGATTAAGTGAGACTAAATTGTAAAGAAATAAAGATTTTTTTCATGAAACCTAAGGCCTTTTAATCCATGTCAGAATTCACATTCAAGGGGGGTTTGATGCAAGAAATAAGAGAACAAGACCTGGAAATTGCACTTAAACAGGAGTAAGATTAAAATTTTGTGATAAATTTTTTTTATCTTTACCTCCTTGGGTTCTTCGACCTTTGCTGTCAAAGAGGAGCATGACACTCTCGTAAGAGTGGCAAATGTGCTGATTTTATTTCAGATTTTGGTGCCATGGGGAGGGAAGTTAGCTATGTGTGGTGTCTGACTCAGCACCTAAACCACAGGAACCTTTTCTTTTCCCTGCTTTGGATAGTCAAATAAACCTCTGAGTTTCAACAGGTGTGCTCAGGTGCAGTAAGGAAGCCTGTTAATTCAGCACCAGGAACATTGGTGCGCATGACCTATTTCTGTCTTTCTAAATGAAACTGGTTAATATACGATAACCCAGCAAATAGTCACGTCCACAGGTGGAAGATGTGTTTTTAAGTTAGAGAAACAATGCAAAAGCTTAGAAACACTCAGAAATCACAATTTAATGCAAGTAAAGTATACATACCAAAGTATTGATACAGAAAAGCATCAATAGAAAGAATAACAGCTTTGGTGTGGGTCAGTTTTTTAACTATCATATAATTACTGGCAATATGGAGAGTCACCCTCTCATCAATAATGTTTGTTCAGTGTAGGATAAAATAATAATTAGTACTGAATGGATTGGTTTTATATGTACAATATTTGTTTTAATCTGAAAAGTCATCACTATAGCTGTCAAATATACATATAGTAAAACACAACCTTAGAGCTGAAAACCAGAAAAAAAGTGAGTAGCCTCACTTTTCTGAAATTGTGCTGTAAAACCGCTAATTAGTGTAATTATACTGTGGGGCCTAGTCCAAACATATGAGTTAAGGGTTAAAAAACGAAAAATACAACCTGACTTATCAGCAGAGGTTAGACTCATTGACACTTCTGCTCGTGTTTTGGTCATCACAAGCAGCTGGTTCACACCGGTGCACTGATACAAAGAGCCTATAGGTCAAAGCTGTTATCTTAGCAGTGATGCATTAACACATGTTGTTACATAAACACAGGTACCTGATGAAAATGCTATTGATTTACAATAAACAAGGCTTTCATGTTGTAAAGCCCTCAGGTTTAGATATGTCTGTGGCTGTTTGGTATCTTTCTGAGGACTCTGGAACCGGCATTATTTTGCAACTGGCGCTTCATGACATCTCTTACTTTGAGAATATAGGCGCACTCTGAGAAGGAGTATTTTCATTTTAATTCTGTAACTCTCAATACAAAGACATTTTTTAACATTTCTTTACCCTGTGTTAGTTCTTTTAAAATTACATTCTTGTTCTGAACAAGAGGAATGAATAAAAATAGAAAAACCTGTTTCATAAAGAGAACCTGATTGTTGTTACAGAGCAGAAAAAGTGTGGTATGTACCAACAGGGAAACATGCAGTTGTACTTGTGCAGTTTGGAATCATGATTATAAACGACAAATAAATTAATACATTCTACATTTAGATTCCTATTAATTGCCCCTTTTATTAACATAACTTTGGTGCCTATTAAAAAATGATGCACCTGTTATAGAAACTGGAACATTTTCACATTTCTTTCACAAACTGTCATTATAGTTGAGTTTCCTCAATTTACTTGCTGATTGTTAACAAAAAATAGCTTTTTATTATATAAAAAAAACATATTTGCGGGGGATTTTTGGTTAAACATTCAAACAAACAAGGACACATTTAACCATGTGTGAAAATGATGCATTTTTGTTTGTCGACATAACCTTACACAAGGGTTAATAAAAGGTTTTGTATGTGCACTAGACGCCTTTAACCAGGAAATGTTTGGTCAGAGTGCAGAGTTGAACCGATACTGAGAAGATCCCACTGTCTGTATGCCTAAGGTGTTCGGGCACCAGCCTATTATGTTTTCTCCCTGCTTTTATTTGCTCTAGGTGCAGTTCTTCTGGTTTCAATCCAAGCTTTTTGGGTTGTTATCCTTGGACTGAATCCTGGACGTTCAAGAAATCCAACTGATTGAAACCAGGAAAAAAAGTGTAAGTTATTATGTCCTGGTGTGTGTGTGTGTGTGTGTGTGTGTGTGTGTGTGTGTGTGTGTGTGTGTGTGTGTGTGTGTGTGTGTGTGTGTGTGTTCGGGGAAGGGGGGTGGGGAGTTGTTTCCATGCTTACTCAAAACAAGCTTTGCAAGTAGTAAGTAGCCATATGCTACATCTTCCTCTCTGCTTTTCTACTGTAGTTAGCAGCTACATGTATAAACATCAAGTCAGCATTTGGGTTTAGAGAAACAGCTAACTTTTCATTTCCTGACATTTAAAACAGAGTTACTTCTCTCTCCACTCAGAGGATCAGTTACTTATCTGGTTAGACTTTTCATTGAATGCTCTTGGTTATTCTGCTCTGTACAAGGAAAAGTCTACAGGCTGTTAGAATAAGTGATTGCTCATCGTATGAAGAACAAAAAAGATCAGGAGATAAAAAAGGTGAGCAACCAACCCCCACCTGCCACCACACATACAGGTACACAACCACACCTTCCCTCCATTACATCCTTCCACACCCGCCCTGCCTCCAGCTCCCCTCCTCCACTGTAAGTACACAGTCGGTTGTGGGTTTTTGTGTCAGTAGACAAGCTCCTGTTGACATCATCACCTGGGGACTCCTCCTCACTCCCCAGAGGTATAAAAGATCTCTTGTTTCCGTGGCAGCATCCCATAGCTCTCATCACGCCCTCTCACAGGTGCTCACACTTCTCAAGCACCGACAAAGCAGGAAACTCTTCACTGCGCTCTGAAGGGTTTTGTTTGTTGGAAAATCTGAAGACTTCATTCTTGATCGCTGATCAGTCACCGGACAAAGAGCCAGCATGTCGATGGGCATGGAGATCGTGGGCATTGCCCTTGGTGCCCTTGGATTCATCATCGCCATCGTGACTTGTGCCCTGCCAATGTGGAGGGTGACAGCCTTCATCGGGGCCAACATCATCACTGCTCAGACCATCTGGGAGGGTTTATGGATGAACTGTGTCACACAGAGCACAGGCCAAATGCAGTGTAAGGTCTATGACTCGTTGCTTGCTTTGCCTCAGGAGCTGCAGGCCTCCAGAGCCATGATGATCATCGCCATCATACTGGGCGTGCTGGGGGTTTTGATCTCCATTGTTGGCGCCAAGTGCACAAACTGCATCGAAGACGAGCCGTCCAAGGCCAAAGTGATGATCATCTCTGGAATCTTCTTCGTCCTCGCTGGACTTTTGGTTCTCATCCCCGTGTCTTGGACCGCCAGCGTTGTCGTCAGGGATTTCTACAACCCCGTCTTGACCAATGCGCAGAGGAGGGAGCTCGGGGCGTCGCTCTATATCGGCTGGGGAGCTGCCGCCTTGCTGTTGATCGGTGGGGCGATGCTGTGCAGCAGCTGTCCACCAAAAGAGAAGAAGTATAAGCCACCCCGTATGGCCTACTCTGCCCCACGCAGTGCCAGTGGAGGGTATGACAGGAAAGACTATGTCTGAAAATATCATGTTTTGATTTAAAGAGATGATCATTTCATTGCACCAGTTTTTTAGTATGTTTGTGTGTGTGTGTGTGTGTGGCTGTGTGAGTGGGTATATTTGCTGTCTGAAACTCACAGGGTGAACCCCACATTAGGACTCCGAGATGAAGTTGTGTGTACAGATATAGATTTTTTTCTTTTCCTTCTTTCATTTTGCTTTTGCTGGCATTGACATAATTTTACAGCCTTTCTACTACCTGCAGCTGTCTTCATAGACTGTTTTCATGTATAATGTAAAGCCACCATTCCACTATGTTGTATTTATACTAAAAGCTTCTGTGACATTGTGTGTATTTAAAAAAAAAACACCTGCTTCCTTAGTGTGTGTGTGTGTGCGTGTGTGTGTGTGTGTGTGGCTCTGTGATTAGCTGTTGGCCAGTTGGTGTCGCGTTTCACTGAAACCTTCGGTTAAAACATTGTGTGTCATTTCCCTGACAATACAAGGAAGAGGCAGCTCTCATTTTACATGGATTTGGTTGTGTGATTGTTCAGTGTGTGAGTGTGAGTGTGTGTTTGTGTGGTGTGCACGTGGTGTGTATGTGTATTTGCATGTAATATTTGCTTAGGAGAGTTTCTGCCGAGACTGAAACTAAAGATGGATCCACGATATGGCCTGAGGTAACAACTTTATCCTCCTCGGAGTTTCACCTTTTGAGAACATGGAAGAGACTTTCTCTGTTGGCTCACAACACTTCGCAATAATGTGTCTCTATCTCTGATTTTATTTGAAATTGTTGTTTTATTTTATTGGCGATATATTTGGACAATTTATATTTCCCTTAGTGCCTGTTTCAAAGATTTTTATTGAGCTTAAGTTTTAAAATAAATGTATCTTTTGTATGTATTAGAAGCAACAGCCTGTGCAGTCCTGTGTGCATCAAACAAACGGAGTGTGTGTGTGTATACTGGATGTGTGTTTATGTGTAAATGTGTGTGTGCGCGTGTGACAGCCTGAGGGACGGCAGCTGTTGAAGGATGTTTGTTTCCAGATCAACAGGGTGTGTTTGTGTGTAGAAAATAAAACTGTTATTTATGTCTTTCTTAAGTGAGAATTGTTGTTTTAAGCTCAACATTTGTTGGTAACTTTCAAAAATCAAATGCTTTGATAAATGTTTTTGCAGTGCTTGAATTTTAAATTTATCAAACATAATAAAATTCATGTTAAAACCACGATTTTTACCTTGTCTTTGTTCATTCAGGCTATCTACCCTCTAGTCAGAGAGAGTATGTCACAAGACGTGTGTCATCCAAATCAAAAAAGGATGGCGAAATGACAAAGAGTTTAAAAAGCTGAAAGCTGGGTTAGGCTGTGAGTGTTGGGCTCTTTGTTGATTTTAATTCTTTCATCAGTGTAACCAGAGCTGAATAATGCTCTGCTAAGCTTTGTTACGACACAACAAGCCTGTAAAAGGTGGGAGAACAAACCTGTTGGCTGTTTCATTCAAGGAAAAAGTAATTAAAAATAATTAAGTGTATTTTATTATCATCAGCCACTTTGATGCCTTTTTGTGTCATTTTTATGTATCTTTCTTGATCTTTTATTGAGTATCACTGCAGGTTTATAATGTTTGTCTTTCTGCCCCTATGAACTACTTTGTTTGAGTAAAAGCAGAATACACTACACTCAAAGGGAGACACTGCCTTTATGGTAAATACTCAACACATAAAAGAGAAGTCATGAATAAACCCAACTAAACCTATTCAAACATAATAGCTTACAGTATAAAAAGTGCACTTGCTAGCTTAAAACTGTGTGCATGGACACTTTAGTGGATGTGTCAATGCGTATCATGACAGCTGTGTCATCCACACTGAAGGAAGGACACTAGTTTTGATAAAAACAAGGAAGTACTGACCTGGATTTAAGAGACAGACTTCCCTTTGTTGGAATCTTTAATGATTACTAAAGAATTGTGCCTTCCTTTTTTACACTGATTTAAACCATGAGATAAATCTGAATACTAAATCGTCCTTCTAACCACATTACATGAAATCATGTTGACAATAAACCTTGACTTTTTCCAATAATCAGTCTAACTAGCTGGATGATAGCACTCAGCATGATACTTAAATCAGTGTAAAATAAATAACTTTGTGTCTAAACAAAATTCACAACCACTCCATTGATATTGTCCTGTTTCTATTGGATCAGGTACATCATGTACAATGTCAACAAATGAGGTTGAGGAGACTTATCAATATTATCTGTGAAAGCTGCATCAGGAAATGTCAGAGTGTCATATGAGGGTTTTGTATTCCTCAGTCACACTTGGCCTTATCTGTAGGAAATGAACCCGAAGGTGATTTTATCAGCTCTGTAACGCCCCCGCAACACTTTCTGCTCACTAAAAAGTTCATAAGTTCACTCCAAGATTCACCAGTTAGTTGTACACAAACACACACTGATACACACGTTTACACACACAACAAACATTCATGCAACAATATCCCAAGTGCCCAAAGACCATAATCAAGAAAGGTCAGTAACTGAAGTTTGGCCACTTTAGGGGATAAATGTAAGCAGAAAAATATTCATAGCTGGAATTATAATAACATTTATGTCAGTCTTACAAGTTGTTCACTTTCCACTGTCAGTTCATTTCCTGTAACGGGCCAAAGTTGTGTATTTGCTTGAAATTCAAATTTAATTTAATCTCAGCCCCACTGACAGGGTCTTTAAACTGATGGATCCAGATGACAACAGACTGACTGGCAACAACTGAAGGCCTCCTGTGAATGGCTTCATGCTTTGCTGCAGAAAACTTATGAGGCAGCTGTGACCTTTCCTGCATCTGACACTGTTTAAGGCAGAGGTAAGCCCACTTTGAATTTCTTTAGTAACAAAAGGGGGAATTTGACATTATTTGACATTATTTACATGGGCTTACATTCTAGACATTTTTAAATAGTATCATTTAACATTATAAAAAGATGTAAAATTGCTGTTACCTGGTACTTTTCTCCTTGAATTACCCCCACAGATCTTCACTGCTGCAGTCACTCTCACCTTCAGCCCCATCACATTGATCATTTTACAGAGAGACACACTGTCATCCATTAGATCACAGTAAAATGAAGCCCTCTGTTTCAAATCAGAGTCTTGTCAGCTCTTGTTATGACTGTGATAACTTATTCTAATCCCTGTGTGGAGGTGTTTCTGTGCCCTCGTTCTCTACCCTGAACTTTATAAAATTAAATGTCATCTCTTCGGTCCCTATGTGGAGATAATAGCAAAACAAAGTGAACTTGTCATGAAGCTATTATGCCATGTATGAGTAAGACACTTCAGATCATACTTTTGAATGTAAGTCAATGACAATTTCTGGTGGAAAACAATTTTCACTTACACTTATGGGAAATGACTTTCCCATCGCTCAGTGTCACTCTCCCAGCGCCCTGAAACAACCACTTTTCCACCCCGCTGGTTACCTGTTCAAACCTCGCAACAAGACAGAGATTGTGAAGTAATAGTCACAAAGTGTATTTTGATGTCTTCTTATGGCATCAAAGGCACAAACAGGAAACCCTGGAAAACAACTCTGCAGGACTGGGACACTGGGTCTTGCATCTCCAAAGCAGAGTACACACTACAAGACACTTGTGCCTATTTTCGCCCCTATATCAACTCCAACACACCTGCTATCAAGCTATACCTCCTACTATAACCCTGTACTATCAGTCTCTGCTGAATTCTTGTGCAACAGACAGATCTAAGGCTTTGTTTGTATGGGGAGACTCTTTAAGGCATAGTTTTCCCTCAACTGTTTGACTTCTTATTGACACATAGGGCTCTATTTTTGTGCCCGCCGGCAGCGCAGCGGAGGGTGGCGGACCCCATGCAGGGATATTTTCGTCTGTTGGAGCCCAGTGCACTGCCAGTTTGGTATTTTCATAGACTGAGGCACACCGAGGTCCACCAAGGTGGGCGTGGCGGCGCGGCAGGGGAAGGTGTCGACAGAATCAGCAGGTGCAGTGACATTTTCATGCCCGGCGGCATAGAAAATGCACTGAAAGCTCGCTGATTCAAACCTGGTCAACTTTCAGTGCAGGCGGAGCCCAGCTTGTCTAGTGGTATTTTGGTAGACCGGCGGCGTAGTGTGCATACATCACCGATGCCTCACTGGCAGGTTTCCACAGTGTCAGGCACATTTCAGTGCAATAAATAATCATCAACAACTAATATTCTGAGTCAGCACATACATTTAGATCTATAGATATATTCAAAACTATATTTGATCTGATGAGCGCGTTTGGCATGCGTTTGCACACTCAACTTAACTAAATCAACACAGCTGAAACCACATTAAATTAAATTAATATCTAGTAAATAGACACACATGATGAAGTGAACAAGATATTTAATTCGTCTCCCCCCTATTTCTAACATTGAAGCAAAAAAATAGAGCCCATAAACTGGGAAACACTAATGCTGACTCAAAGGGCAGTTGTTGTTGTTATGTACTGCTTATGTGCAGTCTGCTGATTTGGTTAGATCTGCTCAGCACCATTTAGTTGCATTAAAAGTCCTTGTTGTTCCTTATTACTGAACTAACGCAAACGTTTTAAATTCACCTCTCTGTACACAGTACAAAGAATGCTGTTTATAAATGTTGCTCACCAAAAGAGACGCTCCACACATTTGTGCATAATAGTTTTCTGTTACATGACAGATTACACCATCACCATCTACATATCAGGTATGCCTATGTGAGCATTTTCAACAGTTTCTGCATTGTCATGTGGACAGAGAGATATTCAAAAACATCTTTGGTGATTGTTGGAAATATTTAAAAAGGAGAGAAAAAAATCAATTAAAGAAATATCCATATAGGTGTGGGCGCAGCATCAGGTTTCCAGCCTGCTTTGCAACTTCACATCCATCTTGCACAGCACATCTCAACAAGGCAATTCAGAGAACATCACACAAGACAGGAGCATCAAGAGACACATTTTAAAACCCACACACATAAAAACACTATCTGAATAAAACAGCTAAAACACGAAAAAGCAGGTCTTAAATAGGTAAGATATAAGAAACAAGAAGCAGCAGCAAACACCTGACACTTTTAAGGCATATTACTTCTTTGACAGTGTTTATTATATGAACCTTTACTTTTGAGGTGTAAAAGTGTCCTTTCTAAGATTAAACATTTAAAAGCAAATATCAAAAAACAAGGTTTCTGTTCATCTTATTGCTGCACAGGAGTATTTGAATATTTAAATTGCGACCTGCTGTAGTTGGAAACCTTAAAAGCAGGAACTTCAGAAGCATGACAACAAAAGATGAAACTTAAAAAGGAGACAGAAAAGGTCAAAAAACACCAAAGAGGCAGTGCAGAGAATAAATGCTATTGTTCATCCACAGTCCTCATTGATCAGGCTTTTGAATGTCAACTTCTGTTTCCTGCAGGTACACGTGAAGTTGACAGGTAGCAGATTCTACACAAACAAGTTGATGAAAGAACTGCAAAGTCCAACAGATAGAGACACGAGCGGTACATGTGGAGGTTATCACAGGTTTTTTTAACCTTATTTACAGATGGGCTGTAAAGTTGTGAAAAAAAAAAGATACACTATCTGTGGTGTGTACTTCAGTAAACGTGGGTCCACATTCATATTTGTAATATTTTGGACCATCTTGATATGTGATATAGCTTATGATAAAACATTTCCCCACAAGGCAGTTTCGCTTTTTTTTGTTTTGTTTTGGTTTCAGGATTTTAAGAGTGTGATTGGGAGGTAAACAAGATTTGAAAAGAGAAGATGACTATACTTGGGGAAAAAACACACAATGAATGTTTCTGTGGTGACAATTGTTTTTCAGTTCCTCCCCCACTCAAGTTGCAACCTCAGTACAAGAGGAATCATTATGAATTTGGCTCATCTGTTACAGACAATACCTGAAAAACGTCCTGCCCTCTCTTCATTGTTTACGTATTTATTGTATAAATCCAGTGTTTTAACAAGAGGCTGCAGGTCAAGCTGGCATTGATTATTGAAAAGAGCCTGTGAGCTCCTGCTGTGGACAATCAGGATCCAAACTTCAGTGACTACTTTATATGAAAGCTCAGATTGAAAGTATACCATCTCAAAAGACAGGGAGATTTCAACATGAGGGTCAAAACAAGAACAACAGGAATCATTCAGAGAGTTAAACTGAGGGGGGTCAATCAGACATCCCCTCTAAAGCAGTGTCTTCTTACCGTGAGCCAAGACTGACTATAAGAACTGCAGAAAAGGTTGTCTGAACATATATTTACCTGACTGTCGTCACACTTGGTCACCACTTCCTGCTGAAAAGGGAACATTCTTTTTCTTTTCCCAGAGAATTCATATCATTCCACAGCTGTTATCTCTGAGCTTTGAGCCTTGTTTTATGACATAATGAGTCATCAAACCATCGTTATCTGTGAATAAAAAGATTAATTTGAGCTTTCTGAGGTTTACTAATCGGCGAGTAAATAGAGATAGAAATATTTATGTCTCATCAGTTATTTAACAAGGCAGAAAATGATACGAATTTTGTTCTGAAGTCAGAGCACTAACAGATATCCTGCCAGTAAGGGAGTTTTCTGGAGAAAATAATGGACTTTTCTCCCTTAAGATTTAAAAGTAAAATAAATCATTTGACTGCGCAAGACAGACAAAAGAAAAGATTATATTTATTTGCAAAATGATTATCTTTGCAAAGAGTATGCCCTGTAGGAATGATTGTCTGATTATGACAATTAAAGAGTAAAGGCTGTCTAGTATGAGGATAAAGTGAGGAAAGGGCCTCACTTTAATCCCATCTTAATCTGCCAGGAGTTTCCATGGCAAGGAGCAGCTGCCTTTCAACAGGCAGAAACCTTGAGTAGAACCAGACATCATCTGCTGCCAGGTCAGGGTTAAAATCACTGTCCAGGACCTTTTTAGGAGCACATTTCAGACCTTTTGGAGTCAGTTAATAAAAAATAAAAAAAAACTAGGAAAAATGCTTATTTTCCAGGTGTGAGGGCTTTCTTAGAGTAACATTGGGGTTAGGAGGTTAGGGTTAGGGTTATGTGTTGGGACAGGAAAGGGGATATGGGAGAAGTATACAGAATGAGAGATGGAAAGAGACAAACAACAACTCTGGTGTTGTCTTGTAGTCTGACCTGTCTGTTGAGGAAGTCAAGGAATGATTTCATCACTTTGTGTTTGCACAAATCAGACAAAATAACCATCATGATGGGCAGAAAGATGCTGTAGATTTAGGTTTGTAGTAGGTTTAGATACCCTAGTATACTTTGATTAGCTATTGCTCTTTTCATCCTACCTTAATTTATTATTACATTTGACCTTTACCTTGCCACAGCACTTTATCTGTAGTGCTGCTGTAACCTGCTTTCCTGTGCAGCTTCATATCTGTTTTAATGGCTTGTTTAGAAATCCATACAGATAATGCTAGGCCTGTTAAAAAGCAGAAATCAAAAGTACTGGAGTGGGCTTCTATCTGAATTCGAATAAGTGAGTAAAAAACGAGATCAGTTAATCTACTTACACGTGTTAAAAAAGCCTGTAATACACGAAAGAGCACCAAGCACAACCTATGGTCCAAACCAATGATCGATAAGATCACTGTCCCAGTCTCACCTTGATTCTTTCAGGTAGAAACTATCCAGTGCATTAAGGAAAACGTTTCAATGGTGCTGAGCAGCTGTAGCCAACATTATGACACTGTGACGCCACCTAGTGGTGAAACAAAGCAACGCGTGCGTTTGAGACATTGTCTAATACAGTAATGATGTTTAACTTTGTAATGTTTAAGAAAATAGGGGAACCATATTTTACAAGAAGCAACCCAAGTAAAAGCCAAATATTAACCGAACGATCTTTATGTAAAAAAATAGACATAAGCTAGTTTATTTATGTGAATTAGTGACTTAACTTGCACAGGCCACATAACGGTGTCTAATTTTCATCAAAAATGGCCTTTGATTACGTCGAATACGCATACTTGAATGAAGGTGGTGTACTTTTGAGGCCAAGCGAAATTTTCACCCTATAAAGTTTCTTTTTTATGTTGTTAATTCCTCAGGTACCGTTTCAATCAGACTATTTTACGCAGAACTACAGAGCCTGACAGACCAACCCCAGGGACCCAAACGCCACACACGCACAAGCGTCCTACGTCATGACGCACCATCAGCTGTTGACAGACTGAATGAAGCTCCCTTCACTGTCGACCTCCGAGCAGGCATCCGCTGTTCTCGTGTACCCTCGGAGCCGACTCTGCTGCCCTTGCTTCTTCAAACGCACATGCTGTTCGTCGGCCACTCGGTAACGGACCATATGCTGCTATGAGTGCTTTGTGTCGTCTTATCCACAGAGGACTGCTGAGCGCCGGGTCGTCCTGTCGTCTGTTCTCCGGACACCAGGATGCGTGCGGGGTGTCTCCCACGATTCGAGCCCTTAGTTCATCCAGGTATCCCTGCTAGCTGCCCGGCTATCTGATGCCCTCTATCAGTCTGAACCGTTGTGTGGTGCATTGGTGCTGGGTGGGGATTATAACCAATTTTTTATCCTATAAACCTCAACTAAATGCGTCAAAGTGCTGGTCTACAATTATCTGTAAAACCCGTTAACCTAGTTTACAGGATGTATGTTAGCAGTCCCGTTAGCCTCAGGTTTAACCATAGACTGTATATAGAAATATATAGTATATACAGTCTATGGGTTTAACCTGCAGCCATAGGGGAGATGTAGACCATCTGTTTTGATGTTTAATACTTTGTAATGTTGATGCATATGATTTGTGGTATATTATACTTTATACACGCCGAATGACTCATTAATTAGGTTTGCATAGCTCTAAATAATACTGCAAAATACAACCTAATATTGCAGTATTCATTAACCCTAGAACACTCACTAAAATTAGTAACACCATCACTACTGCTGGGTGATTTTTACCCGAAATAATATATCCAAGAAAGAGTCCTTGTCATCAAAATAGGACTAAAAATGACAAATTAAAGTAATATTCTTTTATTTTTAACTGTTCAATGTCCAAAGGGAGGGGGAAAAGTGCCAGAGGGATCATAGAAAATTGCAATAAAATAATCAAATCAAATTTTATTTATATAGCGCCAATTCACAACAGTCATCATCCCAAGATGCTTTTCAAAGAACAAGAGCAGGTCTAGACCACGCTCATTGTTTGATGAATTATCAAGACCCAACCTAAGATGGGATTTGGCCCATCTCATCCAACATGAGTAACAGTGGCAAGGAAAAACTTCCTTTTAAAACAGGCAGAAACCTTGGGTGGGACCAGACTCATGCCAGACAGACACCAAGCCGCTGCTGGGTTGGTGAGGAATACAGAGAGAGAGGAGAGAGAGAAGTCGAGAGAGGGCGGTGGGGAGAGAAAGAGAACAAGATAGAGGGAAGGAGAGAGAGAGAGAGAGAATGAGAGAGGGAGAGGGAGGGAGAGAGAGTAGACTGGGGAGAGAAATAACTGAAATTAGGAATTCATGAACAAAAAATTCCTACAAAAAAAAAAAAAAACTGTAAACTTAGTTTCTTTTCCACCCATCTCTGGGGCGCGAGAGACTCCCCTGGTGAGGACTCAGGGTCCTTGGCACAATAACATCTGTAGGAGAGAGAACCAAATATTTCATATTTTCAGTGAGTAAAAATGACCAGCTGACTAAGATATTTCTTATCACCTTATGAATTCCCTTGAAAATCACTACCTTGAGATAGTAATTCATAACCACTGCACTAAATAAAGATAGCATGCAGATTTAAGGACCACTCTTACTGATCTTATTCCCTACATGCAGTTATCAAATCCACCCAGACCTACTTACCCTCCATCACTATTGCTGGGTGAAAATCACCTGAACACCTGCCTGAGGGAAAAAGCGTGTTTTGGATCACCAAAGTCATAACCAGGCAGATTCTAACTATGGTACGTGTTTTTTTCTCCTCAGTTCAGTCAGCCTGACCTACGATGTCTTTGATGGGAAAGGAGAGAGCACTCCCTTGGTGTTTCTCCATGGACTTTTTGGCAGCAAATCTAACTTCCATTCAATTGCAAAGTCCTTGGTGCAGCGCACAGGCCGAAAGGTAATGCAGTGATGAAGACATTTCACTTGTCAGCTGTTAAAATCGCTTGAGTACAAACTGTGATGTGATACAAGTTCTCAGCACTTTTCCTTTATTATGGTCACCGATACATAATCTATTTATATGCTGGCTGGAAGTGACCAGTCTGCCCGTACACAAACAACAATTGTTCAGGCTGTCACATGCCTGGATTAAAAAAAAACAGCCAAGGTATTTTACTCTGTTTCACTTCTATTCCAAGAGTCCTAACTGTCTTTTGTCTAGATAGGTGCTGACTGTAGATGCCCGTAACCATGGTAACAGCCCTCACAGCCCAGAGCTGACCTATGAAGCCATGGCTGATGACTTGAAACACCTCCTTGCTCAGCTGCACATCGAGAAATGTATCCTCATCGGCCACAGCATGGGAGGGAAAACGGCGATGACGACCGCCCTCACACAGGTACGCCGTTAACAAAGACGTCACCTCCCCGCTGAACACATTCATCCCCTTTGAGTGTAGAAATCCTGCTCTGGTCTCTTGTTTACAGTTTTCTTGGTTTGAATCTCCTTTCCTCTCTCTGTCTCTTGCGGTTTTGCAGCCTGATTTAGTGGAGAGGTTGGTAGTGGTTGACATCAGTCCAGCCAAGACCACCTCACGCACCAACTTCCACTTTTACATCCAGGCCATGCAGAACATGAAGATCTCCAGTGATATCCCTCGTTCTACTGCCAGGCGAATGGCTGAGGATCAATTACGCAGTTTGGTGAAGGTCAGGACTTTTTAGGCTTTATTAAAAATACATTATGTTATTGTTTGCTGTCCCTCAATAACCTGAGCTCAGGACATTAGTTGGAGAGGAGTGTGAATTACCCTTTCTTTTGACAAGGTTTCTGACTTTGACATTTAACTTGAGTTAGGTGTTTTTGTGCAACCTGGTGGCAGTAGAAGCAAGTTATCACAACACATATTTCCCTCAATAAAGCAGAATCCTGCTTTCGGGTGATCTGATTAGATGATCACTTATTTAGAGTTTTGTTATAACTGACTACCTCCACCTTAAGAAAGTAAGTCTATACAAACTCCTGAGAAACAACAGGCTTTAGCTGATTATTATCTGCTTAGTGGCTGGTGTAAAGTGGGGTTTTTTGGCCTTCATACTGATAAAGCTCCCTTCCTGTGCTTAATATGTAACCTAAGCCTGTTAAAGAATAAAGAAAGAGCTTGTCTTAAACTGTTCCACTCTCCCTCAGGAGCGCTCGGTGCGTCAGTTTCTGCTGACTAACCTGGTGGAGCAGAATGGTCACTACGCCTGGAGAGTCAACTTAGAGGCCATTTCTGCACACCTGGATAAAATCATGAGCTTCCCTAGCTTTGATACCACCTTCGAGGGACCCACATTGTTTTTAGGTGGAGCAAGCTCTGCTTATATCAGGTAAAAGATACGGACTGTGTTCTTTTTTATACAGATGGATAGGTTGGATAAGTCATTGTACATTACTGAATGAAAGTTGTGCTCATCATCGCATCATGGCACGGTTTCAACAAAGAAGACAGTCTCTGTGTTTCTCTATACAAATGAAGCATCTACCTACTATTAAGCAAATCATTCTATGATGTATCGAAGAGCAATAAATCAAACTCACCAGAGCAGTGGTTCTCAAGACCAGTCCTCGAGCCCCCCATCCTGCATGTTTTGGATGTTTCCCTGCTCCAACACACCTTATTCAAATGATCAGCTCGTTATTAAGCCATTACAGAGCTCGATAACGAGCTCATCATTTGAATCAGGTGTGCTGGAGCAGGGAAACATCCAAAACATGCAGGACAGGGGGGGCTGGAGGACTGGACTTGAGAACCACTGCACTAGAGATTCTTATTTGAATCAAAACTTGGCAAGATTTGTAAACTACACTAATGTGTAAAGTGTTACATTTCTGCAAGTCGCATGACGTGAAGGACAGGGGTCATGGACAGGGAAAGTAACAAAAGGAAAATCTGCACCTTCAAACAAAACAAAAATTATGCCTTTGGGTTCTAAAAGATGGCATGGAGTTATACTTCCCCACAGCCACCCACTAATTTTGCTCAAAGTAAAAGGCTTCAAACAGAGGTAGAATAGGTGGGGAGAAAATGCTAAATACAAAAAGTCTCCTTATGGATCAAAACCTTTCAAAAAGTCTAGAATTTACCCTGCTTCCCTCAGAACACAACCACTCTCAAACACACTCGTCACACAAACCAAGAGAAACCAACTGAAGGTGTTGGCATCTTTGGTGTCACACACCTAACTGAGTGAAAGAACCTCCTTTTATAGATTACCCAGGCTGATGAGCACCAGCTGAGAGCAATGAGGACAGGTGAGCTGAGTGACGGCTCGTTAGGTGTGCTGAAGGTCACAGAATACCTCCATCTGTAACAAAAGCAGAACACCTAACTTCAGAGAGAAAGAGTTCTCCATTATGTAAAAAAGAAGAATCACTACAGTGTTGTTTGCTCCTCTGGGGTTTTACATTCACTTGTTTTCTCAGAAACAACACCAATGAAGATCTCATCATGTATAAAATATCTAAATAAAGTACCTCAAAATGGTGGTAAGCCATCCAGGACCCATTAAGACAGAAAAAATAACAAATGAATGAAGTTACAAACTGATTTAATGGAAAGTATAAGTGAAAATAAGTGAAAAACTTCAAGTAAAATAGGAAAAAATAAGTAAACACCAAAAAAAAGCAACATAAAAAATATGGAGACCCCACAGGAAAATCAAGAACATTGCACTTATTGAGAATGCATATTATTTTCTTTCTTTTTTTGTATTGAGATGTAAAATATAGATGTGTCAGATGTGACCACCCCCCTTTCTTGTTTAATTCCTAATCCAGCTCTGAAGATTATCCAGAAATCCAGAGGCTGTTCCCTTACGCCGACATCCAGTACATCCCAGACGCAAGCCACTGGATCCACGCGGACAAACCTTTAGATTTCATCAGCTCCATCATCTCCTTCCTGCAGTCCTAGCTGCGTCCTCCTCAGTGCAGCAAAAATTTTATTAATGCTCAGCACCTCTGAGTGTCCTTTCTCTGACAATGAAAGGAACAGTTGAGCAGCCACAGCAAACGGGAGTGGAGTCATTTATTGCTGCCAACACTGGACCAAACACACCCTTTTTACAGCTGTAAGAGTTTACCTTCAAACAAACTTTTGAGTAGCGTGATGAAGGTGACATTTTCTTTGTGTAGTCTGCCAGACAAGTGTTGCAACTCGGTTAACAGGTTTCTAGATAGATGCATTTCATAGATTTGTGTTGGTGGAGAATAGTGCTAAAAGTATTGTAAGTTTCAAACAATGGTTGGTATTGGAAATGATTTATATATATCTATGATACTAATCCAAAGAAGTTCTCATTTGCACAGTGCTTTCTATGAATTATATTCTAGTTTGATAGAGACGTGGCTTTAGGTAAGAGAAATCTGGGGTTGCTTAAGTGGACCAGCAGAAAGTAAGACGTCTACGTTTTGACAGCGCTAGAATGAAATAAATAATGTATGTCGGAAAAGCTGTTGCTGGAGAGAAAGGACAAACGTGCAAAGCAAAAATAGGTTCTCACTCATGAGTGGTTGGTATCATGTGTCAGGTCATTGAAGCTCCTAAAAGAGGCCGTTATGTACAGATGGTGTGTTGTAGAAACTTATTTCAGTGTTGATCATCGTGGTATATTCAGTATTTTGGTCTGAATCTTAGCTCCTCACATCCTCTCCTCTGTGTGTCTGCTGTATTTTAGAGAAGGGTATTTACAGGTCAGTCTCAACTCAAGGTCATCAAAAGCGCTGGTCATGTCTTTATGCCAATATAATCATCGATAAATCCCAGCAGAGGCACTTAAATGCAGTATTATTGCAATCTGTTCCCTGATTATCTCAGGTTACAAATGGATATGCTAATTATGCTCCATGTGTATTATTCTCCTACCTGTCTGGTAATAAGCTGTAGTGATGGTGTCGTGTCTTTGTAGATGATCAGTGTGTAGATCAAACCTGTTTTACCGATTTATTATCTGTATCTAACTTATATTTAAAATGCAGGGGCTATATGGGTATTACACAAATATATGCTGCAAAAACGTATGTTGTTAACTTATGGTAACTGTGTTAATATCATTTCTGTTTCTGTGGGTTTATCGTGTACTGTCCAGTAGTGAAACTGCCATGTGTATGAATAAGCAGGGTGTTAAATATGTATGTGCCTCTTTTGTCAAGAGCTCCTTTTCCATTTCAGTAAAACTTGATAAACACTTTTATTCAACAAACTTTAGCGGACTTTAGATTGGCAGCTGGGCTGCCAGGTCCGTGTGAATTTTCTGAAAAAGCAGCCTAACTGGTGAGGGTGTTATCCCCTCATGGCACTAGATGTTTACAACAATCAGTGTTTTATGTTTAATTTATGTGAATAGAGACGTCTAAAAGGCTTTGAGTCACCAGATTGAAGTCAGGTGGAAATCTTAGTTTTGTTCTCCAGTCTCCAGTTAGCGGAGCAGCACCATCTCTCTCGTCTCAATCTAAAGACAGATTTGTCTTGTCGCACAAACGATTCAGCGGATTACTCACCTCTGACATTTGAATGCAGGCCCTGCCTTGGCTTCTAGAGCGCTGCAACAGGACGAGATATTTCAAAACCAATGTCAATAAAGTAGAAAATATTATTTATTCACACTGAGAAGCTTTTTGAACTCTGTCTTCATTTGTTCAGGATTGTACAACCTCAATATGAGCATGCCTTCTCTCCCGTCATCAGATGTAAAGGTGCAGTGCTATGTATGTCTCAGCTTGTTGAACATGTTGCCACAATGATGGTTGGTTCTCATTCTAGATAATATATATATAAATATATAATTTCAAGAAAGTGTGCAAAATGACTACAGGAGTGAATATATTATTGAAATTATAAGAACTGATATAAAATAAAACTTGAAAAACCACTGATTGATGTGCATTTTAATTTTGTTTGAATCTTGGAAAAAACAAGTGAAGTGCGTGTACAGAAACATCCTGACAACACCAATGCAGTCTGACTCAGAGACAGGTTTGAAGGAGCTTTTGCTTTTATTTAAAGAAGACAAATATAATATTAAATATCACAGGTAAGGCTCATCATGACACATTCACAATCACAGTCACATATTTTACCTGAGTGACAGTGAAAGATTAAAAAAAAAAACAACATCATCCCAACACTCTAAAGACCCTCTGACACGCAGGAAATCAAACAAAAATAATCTGCTTGGAGTGATCATTTCTGTCAAATTTATTTGCACTAAAAGTTCGGTGATCTTGTAGAAAAGGCTTTGATTTTATCTTCAATGAGTATGTTATCATTGTTCATTTAAAATATATACAAGTAAACAAAATATTCATGAGTGTAAACTGTACATTTGTGAGCTCATGTATTTGCATACTTGTCTTAAAATCCAACCAAGTTATAAAAAGCAGCACATATTTTTAAACAGAGAGGGTCTTTAAATGGCAAGAGGGCAAGTTATTGGATTTGTGCATCAAAATGAATGCACTCATTATAAAGTAACTGTTTCAATCCAGTGAAACTACCTCAAAGTCGTCACCCTTGCCACAATCTGAATCATGCCCTGATGCATCCATGTCGATTGCTGGACGGCTGCTCTTGCCCCTCCTCAGCTTGTCCCTCCAAGTGCGTTGGGTGGGAGATGTGCTGGGAGTCGAAGCAGCAGATTTGGAAACGTAGATTTGGTTGGGATTGGTGACGGGAGGTGCAGGTGCGGCCACAGGGAAGTTGGAGGGCCGCTGCATGGGCTTGTTGTTCCTCCTGAGGATACCCAGACGAGAGGGTTTCTTCTGGGCTTGCTCTGCCTGCTGCTGAAGCTGCAGCTGCTGGTGGAGCATCAGCTGAACATCCTCCTGAGAAAAGGAAGACAAACAGGCTGTCATGACACCACAAATACTGACTGTGACAAATCTGCTAGACATGAAGGATGGAGATAAAGTCCGATTTTCAACTGGTGAGTGTTTGATTTATGTTGTATTTTTGTTTTAGTGGCTGCTCTCTGAGCCTCAAGTATGAGTGACAAAACTCTAATGAAAGAAAAATCGGTCATTAAGTGAGAAAAATATTCTATCTGTGGTTCATCAGAGGCTTAAAAAATAAAAAAATAATTGTTATTAAAGGCAGATAGTACAGTTTTGAATATGTATCTCTGAATAATTTACAGCTACATACCACACACACACAAGTCCTCATATAAGGTCGTTTAATCTGTGCTGTGATATTTTGTTTAACTCAGCAGGGAGTTAGGCATTAAGCAGATGATTATTTAGGTCAAAACAATGAAGCGCCACACCAGCTGGCGGTGACGCCTGCGAGCCGCACTTGTGAAGAATGTAATCTGTAAATTTTAATTGTATCTTGGCTCTGAGAGCACATAAAATACACACGTGAGATGTGCTGTGTGATTTGATTTACAGTGGGTGTGTACGTCTTATTTCTCTCATTGTTCCTCACTGTTTAATGTGGCCTCATATGCTTAATTATCATGTTTACTCGTTTGGTGAAACCGTCCTGTTGACTCTCTTCACTTTTTTTCTCCCTGTGTTAAACCAAAAAAGGTCCTCGAGGTTTACCTTCCAGGCCTCCAACTCCAGAGACATCTCCAGACGTTTCTGTACAGCTTCCAGCACCTGGTTATTCAGCAGCATCATCTCTGTTTTGCTCCGCAGCAGCTCTTCCTCCATGGCCTTTTTCCTGCACAGCAGAAGCAGAAGGAATGACACATAACTCGAGATAGAGCCATGTCTCTCGGCTTTCCTTCTCTTCCTCAAATTTTGACTCATTGGTTATTTATGGGGAGGGGACGGTGTTTGTGTGCTTACTTCTCTATGGCCTCATCTCGGTCCCGCAGAGCCTGCTGTAGAATAGCACTGTCCTCTGAATTGCCTTTTCTGCTGTTGGACTGTTAAAAGAACAAAGAGAGGAAAGTCAAATTTTCGCACAATTCTTATTATCCAACTTAAACTTGAAGTCTCCCCTTTCTTTAACCTATCTTTTAACTAAGATCCTAATCTACTCTCACTGTGAGTTGTGCACCTTGAGACCTTCTTGCAAATACCAGAGAGAGACGCATCATGGGTGTCCTCCGATTAGTATCTTGTCAGGCCACATAGTTCTGCTTTGACACCCAGGCAGAGGATTTAATGATCTTTTCATGGAAACAATAGCGACGATACAGTATGTGCGAAGGAGGACACGGGTTCCTCTTGCACGAGTTCCTCTTCTGAGTACAGGCCTCAGGGCTGTAAGGATTCTTGAATTCAAATACTTTGTTGACAATACAAATTGTCCTCTGCATTGCCAACTATTTTTAGTCCTTTATAACAGGTGAATGTATCTATTAATAGGACTCTGTTTACCTACCTAGAAAAAATGTTCTGAGAGTGACTAGAACAACAATCTGGACTCATATCTTGTTGTCTATCTTTCTCTCTACTTTTATTTTGAAAGCAGGTCATCTGAAATCAGTTTTGTTTGAGAGTGCAGGGGTGTGAGGAGGATGAAGAGCTGTATTTGGGTGAATGCAGGTGTTGTCTTTACCTGATTGGTCTGACTAATCGCCAATTTGCGGGCCACACTCTGCAGCTGGACGAGGGCATGGTCCAGCCGGTTCTCCCCATTCGAAGGCTCAGGCAGGTTAGACTCTGACTCTGTCAGTGGGTGCAGCAGCCTCAACACAGACAGAACCTCCTCTGTGACCTGTAACAGTTATTTAATTAAAGTGAGTCATTATAATAAACTTGCACACTTCTGCAGTCGTGTCCTTTGTCCTGGTGCTGTGTGTGACCTTTACCCGCTCTCTGTGTTGACTCCATCCAGGTCCATCTCTGCCCTCCTGAAGTTTGTCCACCTGAGCTTTTAGCTTGATGCTTCGTCTCCGGGACAGCTCCACTTCTCTGCGCACCTCTTTCAGCTGCCAACAATATCACAGAGGTACATATTAACAAAACATGCCAAAGCTTTTTTTTGCTGAGCAGATAATTGCAGGCCCACACGCAGAATGTACCACCTCATGACATTTTAACAGAATGTAAACAGAAACTGCTAATCTGGATTCCTGAGTGAAACTGTCGACGAGAAATCCAGTCGTACCGGCTGAGGTGTATTACAACACATACAAACACTAAAAATATGCATGTACTCTGGCATTCTTGGAAACATACTCACAACTTCATGTGATAACTTAAAGCTTCCGCCATAGAAGATGGAGGAGGACATTTTTTAAACATTTTTTCTGTTTTTACACTCATACTCATAAATCAAGCTCTGCCATCATGAGGTAGAGCGTCTTCATGTGAAACTACAGCTCAAAAAAGTGTTTGTTCTGATTATCGTTTCTGTGTATTACGTAAACTGTGTTATCAATCTATCATTGTGCTGTTTTGGATCCTCCTTAATGACGGTTAGGACAGTCTCAGTCCAGTTAAACTGGTTTTGGTGTTTGACAAGCCTGCATGGAGTAAATCCTCACTCATCCACTTCACTAACAACCTCTCCCTAATTTAAAGCACATAGAGCACGCACATAAATTTAAAAACAATCATCTTACCGTGTCTGAGACGGGTCCCAGCGTCCGGCGTCTGCCGAGTGGCCTCCCACTCCTGATCAGGTCTGGTAATGTCCCATCAAGGAAGTTTGCCTGGTTGCCCCCACTCTCCCCAACTACAGACTCTGTGGACTCGCCTGTCTCCTTTGAGGTCAGCACACCTGAGATGTCCTTTTCCTCGGACGATGAGGAGAGGCTGTCCTTGTCAGGCGTCCCCTGATCCCCCACATCAGAGTCTGAATCCTCTCGATCTGCAGCCTCTCCTGGTTCCCCTGCATCTTCTGGCTCTGCTGCAGTCACAGAGATTTTTGGTTCTGTTGGCAGAATTGTAGATCGATAGGAAGAAGGCTGATTCCTCAGTGAGCCCCACTGTTTGTCTTCCAGTCTGTTCAGAGAGGAGTAGAGCTGCTGACTGGTGGTGATCCGAGGTCTCAGCTGCTCGTTGAGCGCAGAGAAGGACTGAGAGAAGTCCATGACCAGCTTGGTAGGAGAGTAGAACTAAACAATCCAGCAGACTGTCTTGCTGTCTTGTTACATATAAACACAATAAAGAGCAAGGCAAGGCAGAAAGACTGGGAGGAGGTCGGATGAGAATGTCTCCAAACTGGTTTTTCCTGAACTGTATGCGTCCGTACAGAGACACGACATGACATGATGTGATGTCAGTGGAGGCAGTGGCTTCATGCGGCCCGTCTGAGTTTTCTTCCTCCTCTGCAGTTGCTATTCAAACACATGACGTGCAAACATACCAGAGCTGCAGGGAAACAAAGGAATCAGGGTGCTTGATCCTTAAATACACTCAGATCGCCGGGTCTTGACGCATGATTCTTAATTTAGATCCTTCATAAATATAAATACGCAACTTTGAGAAAAAGAGAACTCTTATACAACAACGCAGAAAAAATAAAATATAAAACCCTTTCCAGAGTCAAAACCGCACACACCTTTCCACCTTTCCTGTCAGTGGTTCTTTTTCAGAATCTGACTGTTTTGGGGGAAATACAAGTTGTAGTCATTTCTCACATTTGAGGTCAAAGCGTAATCTTTTCTTGTGACTAAACTCCCACATACATGAGAACAGATGAGTCAGAGACACATCAACACTTCCATTTATAACCGTATACTTTGTTATGTCCCTATTTGATAAGAAGAAGGTCCAAGTTTAACAAAGTAATTAAATTAAAGGTTGAAGCCAAATAACAAGAACAAATTCATATCACTATCATTAGTTAGTTTACCGCCATTAAAACTCCTTTCTCTTCTCTGTCTTTGCATATTTCTCAGAGCCTCATAACTTTTTACTAGTTATGCCACGTGTTTCACTTTACTGGGAACAAATCATGTATCCTGATTCAGATAACTTCATATGAGGACCAAGTTTTTGCTAAAGGAAGTGGTTCACAGATGTGTTGTGTTGATTAACGGTCTGTTTGGTTTCCTTATCACACTTTCTCAAAGCCGTGCACTCGACTTTTTACAGGAAGTAGGTCACCATTTAGAGTGGTGGACCCAGTCTGGAAGGTAAAACTGCTATGATTTATTTATCTATAGTTGTTACCATTAAACATTTTTATTTGAAAGAGCTAGAAGTTTATCAAATCTGACTGGAAACCTCATTTTTGCTGGTAGTAAATAATCGGGTACTTTATATTAACTCTGCATTCTTCAAGTCATTCAGTCTCACTAAAGGCTCCATAACTTTTTATAAAGATTGATAACTTTCTGCCAAATTGGTGACAGAATACTGCTTAATTTCAGTGTTGCCTCTGTTGGCCCTTTTTACTGTTTGAGTGAACAAATTCACCGAGAAGTAATCCCCTTTGTGTGAGCACCAAGTGTTGTTAGGTAGAGTCTTACACTGCCAAATTCATGTTAACATTTTTTGCACATTAGAGAGAGAAAAGTAGTTAGTAGTAATAGTGATAGTGATAAAAGTAGTGATAAACTTTCAATTAATTTTCTTTCTGAGATGTAAATAAAAACCTTCAATCCGACCCTGTCCCCTTTGTCCTAAATATAGTGTTTAAGTTAGAAGTTGGTAAAGCTAGCTTGGCATAGACTGGACAGGAATGCAGACTGAAGCCGGGTTCAGTTCACTCCTCTGGCCTCTTAAAGCCCCTTTACATTACATGTCCCATTCACCCATTCACACTACATTCATACACTGAAAGGACAGGCTACTATATATAGCGCCCTTCACTCCTAACCAGCCATTCATGCAGACACATGCTCAACAACACAGGGGGAAGTTTCGGGTGAAATGTCTTGCTCAAGGACACTACGGCATGTGGACCACAGGACCTGAGATCAAACCTTCTGAGTAATAGACAATTGACTTTGACACTTAGTTACTTTTTTATCAACCAATGGAGGATTTTTGTTGTTTTTTTGATACACATTATAGCCAAATTATAGGACCAATTTTCATGTTACTAGACTTGATGTAAATTATTTTCAACAAAGAGTGGGGGTGACACATTTTTTTCTCACTGGTTTTGATGTGAGAGATCTAAATTCACAGAGTAAATGTGCATTTTCTTTCTTTTTTTTAAACCAGTGTGGGATTAAATCTGTCCTTTTTTATAGGACTAGATGAACATGCACCTCTCATGATTATTAATTACTCACTTTGAGTTAACTGTTGGCCCAGAGAAAATAGAATTGCGTTCACCCCATTGCATAATTATTAATGAATTAAGTTATCTGACCTAACCTAGTTAATGACTTAATAACGGTGAGGCTTGGTTTTTAAATGCTATTACCTAATAACACATATAAACCAGTGCTTTGACAAAACTTTGTATCCATGCTATTTGACAGCACAGTCATCTTAGCACTGGGTCAGCCAATGAGAAAGTGAACAGAAAAACAAAGACAGGATTAGCAGAGGCTGTGACAAAAGCAGTGGACCAATTTACTCTCCGGTCACATAAAAACACCAGACAAAAGACAGACACTGAGAAGAAGGAGGAATACCAATGCTGACAGTCTCACAGTTTTTTTTTCTGTTTAATAAGATAAATCAGTGAAAAAACCCCAAAATGTCTGATATCATGCTTGTAAAGTTGTTAGCATTAAGACTATTGTTGTTCAAGAGTGTGTGGATATAAATAATGCACTTAAAGCTCCTTTCTTTAATGGCACCAGTATTTTATTCTTCATTAAATTTATCAATAACTGACAGTAAAATCTCCACAGGAGATGTACAGTTTGTTTTTACAATCATTATTCATTGGTCCCTTTGTCATCTCTTCTTTATCTTATTGAAAGTAAACAGACCCAAAGTAGAAACATGGATTATTGCCCATTTAAAGAACAATATTGTTTTCAGAAACAGTTTGGTTTCCTTCTTGTTAAAGATCTGTTTTGTCTTTCTTCTTTCCCTGTTTCTGTCGCTCACTGGCAGCACATCTAAACCCCAGGTTATCTGAGGCAGAGTCAGGGGTGTTGCCCATCCTGAAAGATGAAAAGAAAATATGACTCAGTTAGTGAGGACTGACACAGTAATTGTGTGAACTCACAGTCTGAATACAGTGTTTGTACTCTATTCTTTTTAATCACATACCTGGTTGTGACTCGTGCCTTATGATTGGCTGAGCCATCCACCGTGTCTATCCATGAGGCCCCACGTAGTACATACATTGGCTGTGTACCTCTAAAGGGTGTCGATGTCCATTCCCATGTGTTCCCCATCATGTCATATAGTCCTATAAGAAGAATTTACTCTCATTATTACACATCAAAAAGTGACTTCAATCTTAATATCTCACTTTACTATGACATTATACGGATTTACCAAATCTTTTCTTGTCTATTGCTAAAATATTGCTACTAAATGCTCTTGCTCAAACATTACAGTTTTTTTCTCATTCTTATATTTATTATCATTCATGTGTTTCTTCTAGTTTTGCTTTGACTTCAGGACAACTACCATAGCTGTTCTGAGGAGGAAACGCTGTGACAGGAGAGGTGCCATGGTATCCATCCTCAGCAGTGTCTCCATCTGGAAATGACCCCTTTAAATTAAAGAAACAACACCAATCAATGACCAAACGTGCCTTTCACATCACAATTCTCTTTCACTTGAAAGCGTGTTAGCTACACCTGTTATTATGTAATAATTTAACCTGTGTCAAAACCAACATGTGATTTAACTGTGATGTAATAATTGACATAATAATTTAATTTCCTTGTGGGAACCTCCTTAAGAGGATAAATAAAATTGTGTAATCTAATGTAGTGTGTGTTTCAGAATATGTAATTGCGCTGTATTGTTAGAGGCATCTCCATAGCAACAGGGAACAGAAAAAAGTGGAACAGAAAAAAAAAATACACTCACAACACTTATAGGTAAGTCTTCTGGCATTTCATAAATTTTGTACCTGTAATTCTATGTTTGGTCAAACTAAATAACATGATGATTTGAAGAAAATAGTGGTGAAATATCATGTCAGTATCAGTTAAAAGAGAATCAACATATCTGAGAATCTCTGTGTCTGCTGTCAAGAAACCATGATTATGCAAAAGACAAATGCATCAGATTAGCAAGCAAACCTGCCACAGGTTGGATCTGTTGGCCTGGAATTTGTTTCCCCATGGATAGCTCCGACCTATAAAACAACAGGCAAGAAGGAAAGTGATAAATAAGGCATCAAGTAACAGAATAAAGAAGATCTATTAATCAGCAAGCAAATCCTGCCAAGTAGCCTTTTTAAAAAAAACTTTCCACAGCAAAGATTCATGAGTGTTACGTTGTATCTCAAGATGAGATAATTCATCAAAAAACTTGACCTACATGACTGCAAGTACAGGACAGAAACAATACAAAAGCTGCAAAAACCAAAAGTTCCTCATAGAGGCTTTAAGGGTAACACAAACACATTGTAAAAATGAAAGAAATTCATACAATGGAGCAACAGACAATTTACATTTTATTCTTTTTGTGTATGCAGTGTGTACCTTGCAGCCCCCCACGTGCAGCCCACTCCCATTCCTCCTCAGTGGGCAGTCTCTTCTCTTTCCACTGGCAGAAAGCCTGTGCATCATTCCAGCTCACCTGAACCACCGGGAAGTCCAGGCGTTCTCGAATGCCTGAGTCTGGTCCTGCAGGCTGCACAGCAGAGAGAGGGTCACAGAAAAAGAAGGGATGTTGGTGAGGGCATGCATGGCAAGTGATAAAGCTACTAAAAAGAGTCAAGGTGAAACCGTTGACCTTACCTGTCTCCAAAATGCTCGTTCTATAGGCAACCACCAGGGAGCAGACTGAAGGAAAAAATATCAGTTATACACAGTTACTTCCTGGACAATGTTACAAATGTCATTTTCTATCCTTAGTGTAGCCTGACTATCAAATTTATGTTTACAAGTGCAAGAAAATACATGACAAATACAGCTGAAATTCACACACTCAAATTTAAGCAGACAAAATTATACAGATCAACAAACAAAATACACTTGGTTGGACAGTATTATAACTTTTTATGCTGAATGCCAAGATTCAGGATTATTTTTATCATTATAATTATACAACTTAATATCAATGATAAACAGTGAATATACAGACTTTTTCAGCTAGTCAAGGTAGGCCTATCAATGACCCTATGGTTACCCTATTGCTGGGTCTCTGTATGTATAACATGATATCTGACTTTATGACCTCTACACTACTGTCTACCATGATTAGAGAGAGAAGCAGCAAATCTTTCTATCATTAAACTGTAAATAGTAAATCATTCAACAGTTCAAAGGGCAATTTTACTGATAAATGTTACATTGAGGGAGGATATTTATTTACAGTTGTTACAAAGTGTGAGAGAGAGGTTGTTTATTCGATGATTATTTATGATCAAATAAACATACAGTATAAATTTTAGACAAGAAATTCCCTATTTTTTGGAGATCAAAAAGAAGTAGGTTGAAGCTATTTAGCTTATATGTATCTACCCTCATTCCTTCCCATTAGTTTACCCTAGTATTGTTAGTTTCACAAAACAGACAAAACAGTGTAGATAACAAAACAGCAGATAGAACTGAAATAATCTGCAAACCTTGTTTTTATTCATTGATGTCAAACTAACAATAACTGATACATGTATTTTAAACCAGATTTAAAATCCCAATACCTCAATCCTCTGGGTGACTTTACTCTTCAGTTCTTCTGACACAAAGTCTTCAAAGACGAAGCTCCAGCCAAACTTCTCTGCCTCCGTTTTGTACTTCTGTGCTCTCACAAACTCTCTGTGGTGATCAAAAAGCATTAGAGTACATCACTGTGTTTCACTGACAGTCAGATGACAGATTTTGAGTCTATTTACCTGAAATCTGCATTTGTGACAGGATATCTGTCTATCTTAAAATCTCCAATGAAGACCTCTTTAGTGGGAGACTCTCCATCTCTCCCATCAGCTGCACTGGTTCCCATCATCATCTGTCCACCTGGTATATTCACCATCTCCTCTGCTTTGGCTGTTAGTTAAAAACAAACTCAATAATGAGGAATCAAAAATTAAACGATTCATGTTTACAGAGTAAAAAAAAATAGTTCTTACCTATAACCGCCAATAAAAACGTGGCAGAAATCCATGACATCGTTTTAACGGACCTCATTTTCATCAACTTTTACAACCTTATCTGTACAACACCAACTAAAGTTATCGGGTTTAAAAAGTTATCATTTGTTTATTCAGTGGTGACATTTTCGCACATAAACTGTGTATAGTAGAGTTTTCGAATGACGGACACATTTCACTGTCTCAACGGAAATCGGTTCAACTTGTTAAAAGTTCCGTACATTTGGTTCCGCTTTGACGAAAACTTCATCAAATCGATCTGTAGCACGATAAATGAAATTCCCGTGTTTTTGGATTGTCATAGTGCTAGATATCGTCAATGATACAGTTGAATAAATGATAAATGTCCAGATATTTATAGTTTTATGCCTCTAGAATGACAAAACAAAGTCATAATATTAGTTCTGGGGTAAATTGAGCCGGTGTCTCAACAGAGAAGGTAAAGGAGTCTGATGAGAGGATCAGAGTTTCAGTTCAGATTGTTGAAATGTGTTACTTTTTCTTTTCAAAAATACAGCTGTGAATGTTCTGAATCACTTAAAGGCATTCTCGTGTTAAAATGCCTTTTTATAAAACAGCTTTTTAGCAGTTTGATGTAATAATAAAAAAGAATAAATGTACCAGTTGAACAGTGTATAAATAGATAAAATTACATGTGAAGAAGTGACTGTTATTTAGTGAGAGAGAAGGTGAGGGAGGGCTGAGGTGGAGAGTGGGGGGTAGTAGGGATACAGCTCAACTTACCCCATACACAGGGTAAGTTGACCATAGGAGACCACTTTTTTTGACATGCTATATTATCAACAGTTCTGTTTACACTCATTCTGTTGGTTTGCAGGGATGCACAACATCTTTAAATATATGCAGATACACAAGTTAGAGACAAAACTATGATTGCCTTGATGTAGTGATCTGAAATATGAAAAATGGCTCATCTTAATCCACTCTCCCCTAATGTATCAAGCTGTTGATCTTTTTGACTTGCAGTTTATTACTTTATACACTGAATTTCTTTCATGCAATTGAGTACACAAAACACTCAAATGTTAAGAGTGACTGCTTCATACTCTAAGTATCTTTTGTGGTTTTACACCTTCTAATCCTTTGGTTGCTCCAAAAGTCTCAATCAGCCCAGTAACAGAGATTAATGCTAGACTACAATGTGCTTTTTGTTTCAAAACTAAATCCTAGAAGAGGAAGAAAATGTGAATACTTCAGATTCACAAAGCAAAGATTTCTGTGAATGTGCCAAACTTGTTTAAAAGTTTGAATAGCTTAGTCCTGTTGTTTCATATTTGTAAGTAGAAAGCAGAATAATGCATATTTTTAGGTTGTGTACCCAGTTCATCTCTCTTCAGAACACTAGTTTAGTAAAAATCCAGTTCATGCCACAAACAATACACAAACATGAGTCAAGAGCCGAAAAAACCTTTAATGGGTAGAAACAAAACTGAGTGTCTGAGGTCAGTGCTTTTAACAAAATCTCATAAATAAACCAATCAGAGGGAGACATTGACAAATCCATGAAAAATAAACATGACTAGCAAAACAAAAGTTTCTGACAGACGTTGTGATGAATGCTGCGATGGTGTCTACGGTGGGTTGTCCATCAGACTGGGGTGCTTCAAAGTTCAAGAGGGGCATCAAGTGAACTGTCACTATCCCCGCGAGTATGTTAACAGCTTCTGTTTCTTTAGTTTTCGTTTAACCTCTTAGGGAAGACATTCCAGCTCGCATAATCTCATCCACCAACAAGATGTTGCTCGCAATCACCGTGCTGTAAAAGAACAAGATTAGAGATGAGAGAGAGCACAGTGGGATGATTTCAGATACTGATGTGACGAAGCTAAGAGTTGTGTAATCTCACCATGAATGGAGAAGCTGCTTCTTAACGCTGTAGTTATCCCATACGCCTGCCTCTCCTGCCACCATAGGTTCCCCTGCATTCAGGACAATGGAGGTTGAAAAATAAGCTTGTGATAGAATGAAGATGGTCTTTCTTTACAAGTACTTAAACAAAAACAACCAAAATATTTTTAACGAAGTGTCCTGGCTCTGACCTGTGCTGAGGTCCACTCCAACTAGCAGACCAGAGTCTTTGTACTCTGTCTGCAGCTTCAGCAGGGTCTCCTGTGGGTCATAGCCTGAGTTCTGGGCCAAAACCTACAAAGAGAGTCACAAAAATACACTTAGCCATTTGTGTCGCAAAAGAAGCTAAAAGCCATATACAGCATAAGACATGAAAGATTTTCTGTACAAACACATATCACCACTGAAGTTGGGCAGAAATCTCTTACCTTGGGGATGACGAGGAGAGCATCTGCAAATGCTTGGACTCCCAGCTGAGCTCTGCCTTTGACATTTGGCTTGTGTTTTACCAAAGCGTCTGCCACAGCTACCTCTAATGCACCGGCGCCTGGCACCACACAACCTGAAGAGACGAAGAGAGCATTAAAACGAGATACTCAGAAAACACTTCAAAAAGACAAAAAGCAATGTATCCATTAAAAGAACTGTATGAAAACAGGTTTGGTGATTTTGTTCTGATCAGCTGAATACATGTAGCAGAGACTAAAACTCTCCTAATGCAGAGGAAAAGATCAGAATCACTGTAGCACAGACATGAGAGACCAGGGAGAGCCACGTTAGCATCCTTGGGTGTTCGCTGTGCAAGACACCAACCACATTACAGTAAGAAAGAACAATACACTGCGAGCGATTACTTAAGAGCACTGATATATTTTTCTAAATGTGCCAGTGATGTAAAATTGAAAAGTCTTCAAAGTCAAATCTTGTGGCTTATTTGGAAGAAATTGTCAATATACAAAGACAGCAGTGAGTGGAAAAAAGGCGGAAAAAAAATAATCCTATGAACTAAACTATGAATTGCAAACAAAAACAGTAAATAAAACAAAGTCAATTTCTTCAGTATCTCACCATCTTCAATTGCATTCTTGACCGCCCGCAAACCATCCCTGACGGCATCTTTGATCTGTGTGAGGGTGTGTTTGTTGGGTCCCTTCACCAGCAGGGTGACTGAGCGAGGATTACTACACTTCTCAATAAATGTGTACTTCTCCTCTCCCTGTGAACAGAATCCATGAGATCAGTTACGGCTCAGCCTCTACCAATCACATTTAAACACAGGCTCTTCAAAACAATAATCTTGGGGTGTGATGGTTCCTCATTTATTTTTGAAGAAAATCTCAACAAATGAATAATTTACTTACCAGTGTGTATTCGTAAACCAAACCAGCATTTCCCAAGCATTCAGGTGTGAGGTCGTCGACTGAGTTCATGGCAATACCACCACAAGCAAGAGTCAGCCTGCCAAGGGAACAAACAGCAATAGTCCAGTTTTATTAGGATATTTATAAAACATTTGATATTGTGGAGCTGGAAATAAACAGCCCTAAAATCAACAGCTGTAGGGGTACAAATAAATAATAGATTCCAAAAAAATGAGTGTAATAATTTGACTCGACAAAAACAGAGTGAGGAAATTCTCTGAGGAAAAATATGTTCTGATCAGCTGAATACATGTAGCAGAGACTAAAACTCTCCTAATGCAGAGGAAAAGATCAGAATCACTGTAGCACAGACATGAGAGACCAGGGAGAGCCACGTTAGCATCCTTGGGTGTTCGCTGTGCAACTTACTGCAATTCACAATGAGGACAAAATGGATCAGGTCCACAATTCTAGTAGTTCGTTTTCTAAGAAATTAAACCAGATTATTTGCCCAGAGGATAACTAGCGGGAGATCTTTGTGTAAAAAGATTTAAAAAAAAAAACCCTAGACAGATTTGACTTATCCATATGACTTACTGAGACTACTTTTAATCTTTATAGGCTCCCTTGAGACCATGTAAACTAAAATTGTGATAAATAGGGATCTGATGTTCACTAAAAAATCCAGCATTTCTTGACAGCTAGTTGTGGTAAAATTTGGTGTATTCAATACACTTTAAACACTGAATCTAGGAAAAGCTGCCTCTCTGACCAGTAAACTAATACAAAGTGCAGAGAGAGGTATTCTATTGTTTCATGGTATTCCACGCAGAAGATGGACAGAAGCACCAAGGGCAGCTTTACTGCCAGTGCATAGTGGATACACAGTGGAGAGGATGAGTCTAGAAATGCATTGACAAAACTATTAAAGCTTCAATAAGTGGCTTACAAAAAAACAGTCTGCTCAATGAAATTAGTTGCTCATAAACAAAACAAAACAAAAATAACTAGTTTTTCCACTGTAAAGGATAGGCCCCTGATCTGTAAAAAGAGAGTATGTTACTTCACCTCTCCATGTTCCTCCTCTTTGCCCTGCGCAGTGCCACGATGCCCTCCTTTGCAAGGGCATCCAGAGAGAATGGGTCAATACCCTGCACAATACAGAGAGAAAAAAAACAAGTGTTATTCCTCACCATTAAAGTCAGAAAAATACTTTTTTTTTTTGCAGAGAGGTCTTAACATTATTCTGATCTGTTGAATACATGTTGGGGAGAAGTAGGCTCTCCAAATGCAGAGGTACAGATCAGAGTTGCTGTAGCACAGATTATAGACCAGGGGGAACTACGTAAGCAGCCTTGGGTGTTCACTGTGCGCTGAGAGGGATTGACAAGGCTTCAGTTTTCACTTACCAAACAATATTTTCAGTCCCTAAAGTCAACCCTAGAATTATGCATGAATCTGACTAAAATATTTCTTTTTTAATGACAAAATCTTACCAATAAAATCTAATTTGAGGACAGGTATAGAAACACATTTGTATTTACTACATTCAACAGATGGTTGTTGTAAAGTCTGAACTGTGAGAGCCAATCAAAGAGAGAAAGAAAATGATGTGGGCTGTGCGTTTTTTAACTGCTGAGGTCCTTTGAGCCATTTCTGTTACCAACACATAAACCACAGCATACCTTCTGGTTAATGACAACGAAACCCTTCTCGCCGTTGGAACAGACATTGTTTTTCAGGGCAATGATCTTCTGCACGCGATCTTCAATGAATTTCCTTTCTGCAGCCACGAGCTTTTCCCTCTCCCCAGCACTCTTGTAAAAGAAGCCGGAGTTGACCTCGGTCTTCTCGTACTCCAAGGAGACGTTGCAGGTCAGCACAAAGGCATCCTCCACCCTCTTCTTCATGTCTGGGTGACGAGCACCGTGGTCCAACACCAAACCTCTGATCAGTCTTTGAAACAAAAGCAAAAAAAAGCAGCATTCATTATCTGCCTGTGACTACTATATGTCCCCACACCTCTTAAACAACAGAAACAAATTTCCTGATGTACTAAGTCTCCAGTTTTGTTCAAACTCACTGTGTATCGCAGTCAGTCTTATGCTTCATCTCCATGATTTCCACCATGTACAGGTCGATGGGCTCATTGGGTTTAGCTATGGCGAGCACGGCATCAACCACAGCCTACAGAGAGACATCACACCACGAAAGAAAAACAGGAAGTTAGCAAAAATTAGGGAAACACTTGACATAAAAAAAAAAAAAAACACTTGAATTCTTTGACACAAACTACCTGAAGTCAGCACCACCTGTGTGCTTACATGCATACATAGCACTGAGTCATCAATCTTTTAATGGAAATGTAAATAAAGTTATTTAAAATGCATCACTTTAGATATGACGTTTTTAGTTTTCTGAATAAAAAGAGAACAGGAGGCTGAGGTAGCTTGTGAGTGACACTCTTCCCATTTCAGAGCAAAAATGATGGACAAGTCTATTTAAAGTGAGAATGACCCAGAAAAGAATCACTGTATGGTGTCTAAGGTGAGACCCTTGAACACTGGTTCACTGAGCTTCATCCCTCCTTGTCTCACCTCTGTGAGCAGGTCTGCCAGCTCCGCGTGGACCTTGGTTCTTAGGGAGGTGCGTGCTACGTTGATGAGGGTCTCTCTGTCCATCTCACGTGTCACCTTCAACTCCTCCAGTGCAGCCAGGGCTTTCTCTTTCGCTGCCTCAAAGCCCTCAGCAATGATTCTTGGATGAAGGCCCTACAGAACAAAATGAACGGTTGTTATAGCAGGAAAAAGTATCCAGTGGTAAATACTGGAAACAGGCTAAACAAACAAACAAACAAAATGGTTTGGAGCCACGCTGCCTCGTGACTGTGAAGCCTAATGAAGAGTTGATTCTCTTTTACCTCTGACACATAGAGGTCAGCCTGCTTCAGCAGTTCACCGATGATGAGGACATTAGAGGTGGTCCCGTCTCCTGTGATGTCATCCTGTGCCGTCGCAACCTTAGCAATGAGTGACGCTGTTGGGTGCTGGATTTGCTGTTAGGAAAAAGAAAAAGGAAGACATTGTGAAACACCAAATCAAAGTCATTTCAATAGTTTTACTGAAGTCAGATTAAAGGAACAAGAAGGCTGCATTCGAGTTACCTCAGAAATCAAATGTCGGAGCTGAAAATGACATCACACCCGAGTTACCAGCGCTTCAGTAACCAAGTCGGAAAAAAAGCTAAATTGGAGCTAAATTGAAACAAGAAGGCTACATCTACGAAAGTTATTTTAGCACTTGCCTTATTATCGGACAAGACAACTGCTACAATAACTTCTGTAGATGTAGCCATCTTGTTTCAATTCAGCTCCAATTTAGCTTTTTTCTGACTTGGTAACTGAAATGCTTGGAACTCGGGTGTGACGTCATTTTCAGCCCCGACTTCTGAGGTAACTCAAACGCAGCAGAAGGCTCTAACTGTGGACTTTTACCATCATGGACTAGCTCGCCTGCTGCTTTTAAGAATTCTTGTTTGGCTGGGAAACATATGAACAGTTCACACCTGTTCAACAATACACTTAGTTTTTTTTTTTCTTTCTAGAGATAGTTTAAAATGTACAGCAGACAAGTCCAGCTATTCAAGCCCACTGTCAACACTAGAGTGATGTGGTACCTGGAAAGAGAGGGTGTAATACCAGATCCTGAGTAAAAACCACTTAATCATATGTGAAGAATAAATCCTTATTGTATATACAGATGATGGCTTAAATGTTGATGTGATTTGGACTGCATCTTTTGACAGGAGGGTGTGGTCACTCATTAACAAAAAGTGAAGTTACATAAAAGCAGAACAACAACACAAGACAGCAACAAAAGAGAATAACAGCAAATGTTGGCCAAATAAAAATACCATCATCGAAGACTAAAGTCATTTCTTACCATCTCATGTAACAAGACATTGCCATCTTTGGTCAGCTTTATGTCTCCTGCACCAGACACCAGCCTGTGAACCCAAACAGGAAGAAAAAGAGTTCATGTTGACTGTAGAAAACCGTAAACCGGATTATAATGTTGTTTAAAATTCCAGTCTGCCCTGCCCATTCATTGAAAAATGAAGTATATTCTAAACTCTGCTAACCCACCGACACAGGGATTATGTACATAAACCGTAAACCCTTACTTCTTCAAATAATCTGTTTTGTGACAGCATCAATAGAGCAACATTATCCGTGGGAAACACATTAAACTAAAACAGCAGTACTGACTCCATGTTAGTGTTAAGACCTGACAGAGAGACATTAGCCTAATCTGCTAATATGCTAACATTAGCTTGGTGGTTGTCAAAACGGTTCGTGACGATGACTGGGCAGGACAACGTGTGCCGGGAATATCCGCTCTCCTTTTAGCAAAGCCAAGGCCCAAATTCTGATTAAAGTACTTTATGATAGGGTTTAGAAACAAGTACACCGAGGGGAGTTTCCAATCTGTCAATTAATGCACATTTTCATAGCAAATGGGCGACGATAACGCTCCCTGCGCGCACAGTCTTCACGTGAACTGCAGCTCGTGTTAGCCTGTTAGCAGAGCTAGCACGCGTGCTGCACAAAGGGTTGGACTCACATTTTCATGGTCCCTTTCGGTCCCAGGTTACTTCTCAGCACATCCTGGAGCCCCCGGGCCGCACTGATGTTAACCGCCAGCGCGGCCTGGGCCCTGGCCACCTCTGCTTTCGGGTTAAGAGCTTTGACGGCAGCCATGGCGAAGCAGCACAACCAGCGGAATAAAACAAGTAAAAAGTAACGCCGCCGGCTCGGACTCCGCACTGCGAGGGCTCGAGTGCTCTCGAAAGGAAAGTAGGCTTCCAGAAGGCTCCACCACGTGCTCTCGTGTTGCTTTCACTGAACAGTCTAGGCTCGGAAAAACTGGTTTCAAGGCTGAAAAGTCATGAAAGCAACAGTTTTCAGTTCCGTAAGTAAGTTATATCATTTTAGTTAGTTGTCACTTCTGCAACAAACTCTCGTAATTCTACAGTTTTTTTTTCTTTTATTTATTTATTTTAACAATATGTATGCTCTGGGATGGCAAACGTACAGTGGCCGAGAACCGCCACTGCTGCAAATAAAAAAAATAAAAAAGAATGCAAAAAATGAAGTCAAAACGGAAGTTACCTATGCAAAAAGAGACTGAAGCCCGCTGCAAATATAAATTAACAGTGCAGATTCCAAAAAAAAGAAAAAAAAAGCCACAATGGAAGTTAATGATGCAAAAAAAAAAAAGGCGATAAAAAAAAAAAAACAGTTACTTACTGCGAAAATAAAAGGACACAAATTTAAAAAAGCCACAACGGAAATGAGCTGCCAGGGACCAATAATGATGATGCATCAGTGTTTTACGAACCTTTCCACTAACCTCTTTGCTCGTCTTCTGTGCCTAGATCGTAAAACACCAGTGCACCATCATTATTGGTCCTCCAGCAGCTCACTTCCGTTGTAGCTTTTTAAAATTTGTGTCCTTTTATTTTCGCAGTAAGCAACCGTTTTTTTCCATCGCCACTTTTTTCTGTTGCGTCATTAAATACCCTTGTGGCTTTTTTTTTTTTTTTAATGTGCACCATTTCCTTTTATTTGCAGCGGGCTTGTGGTTCTTTTTTTGCATCAGTAACTTCCATTGTGATCTTTTTTTTTTTTTTTGCATTATTATTTATTTTTTAAATTTTTTATTTGCAGCAGTGGTGGTTCTCGACCACTGTACATTTTAGTCAGTTGTCACTTCTGCAACAAACTCTCTCCAGGTCAGTTGGAAAAATACAAGATTTATTGTAAGTTCCTTTTTTTATCTTTTTTTTTTTTTGTTGTTCTTTACAATATGTAGCCCCTGGGATTGCAAACTACACGTCCCAGAGACATTTGCTCACTATTCATTCACACTGCATCTCGTGGGTATTTTCTTTTTCTCTTCCTTAAATAGAAATATGTGAATTGTTTTTAGTGTCTGTTTTTGGCAGCCTTTCATACTTTGTAAAATAAAAAAATCTAATCTTTGTGAAGGTAACGTAGGCACATAAGAGACCTACATTAAATTAATTGGTTGTGTGAAAATACTCGACCACCAAAAAATCGTCCTGGATCGATAAGATCCCTAACATCCCGTGAAGGCAGCATCAGTCACACCCTAGAGCAGTGGTTCTCAACTGGTGGGTCCCGACCCAGAAGTGGGTCGCAGCCTCGTTCTGGATGGGTCGAAATAGCTTATTTTGAAAGGCACGCATTATGTTGTGGTCCTCCTCGGTTTCTTATTCATGTAAAAATAGAAATACAAGGTTTTTTTTGGTCTTTATTTTGTGCAATTTGATATTTATTCACTTTTGTCCATGCTGTTGTATGGTCCTTCTCAGGTTCTTCTGAATATGCTCTGAATGCAGAGATGCATAGTAGTCATTTTTTCCATTTAGCTGGTCTCCGTTTTTTGCAATATGATATTTGATATTTTCTGTACATGCAACTTGAGTAGTTGTCGTCCTCAGTTCATGTGCTCTGAAATGCACTTTACTCAATAAAAATTGTATTTATGTTAAAGAATTGAGTTTTTATAGTTTTTTTTTTTTTTTTTTTTTAAAGAACTCGCTTGGTTTGAATTTGATAAAGGTGGGTCGTGACTTAAGGACCATGGGAAAATGTGGGTCCCAGAGTGAGACCAGTTGAGAACGTCTGCCCTGGATGACGACCAGATTGGCCAAATTATGTCACCTTTGAGTTTCTCTGTATTTGGAGATGACACCCCAGTGATGTCGAGGCCATGGATTTTGGCAAACACCTCTTGGGGCTATGAAGACTATTAGCTTTTGTTTGTGGTGTGTTTTATGAGTGTTTGATTGGATACTACCTCAATGCATATTGAAGCTACAATTATGGCAGCTTTAAATGCTCTGGAAATGCTGCCAAAAATAAGAACGCTTTTAATAAATCCCTTGCATGGATAGCAAATAAACAGACCCACCAAAGTGTATTTTTTACATTTAAAAACGATAAAGAAAATCCACAACCATTTGCATCAAAGATTTAATTCAATATATACAACTAATTTATTAAAGCACTGCAATTTGCATTTACCACATTGTGATATTCGTCTCCTGCCACTTTTATTTTTTACTCAAAGCAGGTTAGGATACCACACTTCATTTACAGATACAAGACTAACCCCCATCCCAAAGGCTGGGTCAGTAAACTCACTATTATTATCTACAATCTGACCATTAAAATCCATTAATCTCAGTTAATTCTCACAATCATTAGCTGGCATTAATTGCTTGATACAGGTATGCAAAACAAGTCTGTGTACAGCAGTCTGTAAATACTGATTAGTTGTGCAGAAATCAAATCTAGCTTATTGTTTTTTTTATTTATCTGGTCATTGTACCCTTTCCTACACTAGGAACAGCCTGAAAATATGGGTGTTAAAGACAGAAAATAGTCTGAAGGTATGGTCAGTTTAACAAAAGAGAAACAAAGAGAGAAAATTAGCACAAATTCAACATCAGACCTGGACACTGTATTCTATTATTAGGCAAGAATGAAAACTCAATTCCTGCTTTTGACACCTTGCTCTTTTCCATCCAATATTTTTGTGCACCTTTATCACTGTGTCATTCTGAATACTTGAACCCGTACAACTGACTATGACATAAGGTACCTGGGATAATCAGATGACTGGATCAAAGCTATGTAAACATGAAGTCACATTTTCTGGAGGAGAGAGTAAATGATGGACTTTTGACCAAAAAAAACAGACTGACGACCACCCTCTAACTCTCTCCTTCAATATTTATAACACAGAACCTGATTTATAAAAACGTGTTTCTCTTTTTAAACTGACCAACACCCATTTAACATTGAACATTTATAAAGCTCACACTGATTAACTGCTCATATGAGACTGTATTTGCTGTAAGATACTGGATACAGATGCCTCTTTGAAAACTAGTTACAAGTGCTAGTGCAAGAAGGGCTTCTGAGTCATGTTGTCATTTGTGATGCATTTTATGACCTTGAGAAGTTTTCAGCCCGAATGACCAACCCTACAACTGTTAGCAGTTTAACCTGCATCTTTTCCTCTGGTATCAACAAACACTGATGATAGTTTTGTGTAATCTTTAAATTTTAGTTGAGAAATTTTAAATCTAACCCAAAAAATTAAACATGTCAAATCATATTTGTCTACATTCAATGCGTTCATGGATCAGTAACACAGTAGTTGCTGTAACAGATACAGTTTGGTGATCATCTGCTGAAAAGAGACGTTCGAGGCCCACACAGAAAACTGAATTAGGGAAACTAAAAGAACTGGAAAAGAAAAAAAAACAGAAACTGATGCCTTTACGCAGATATCCCAGGCAGTGCACACTCCAATGGCTGGTTACACTGTCTACATGTCAGTGTTATTGGTTGCAGTGGTTGCTGTGAGGTTCCCCCCTGCTGGCTTTTTGTGGTTACTTCAAGGGTGAAGACTTCATGGGAATCATTATTCTAGATTCCATGTGCTGAATAAGAGGGACTGTGAGACAGGACAGAAAAACAGTCAGGATCCACTCCAAAGAAAACCCAAGAGCACCACTTAAACATGTTCTGAACAACCAAAAACATGTGAATTTTCATCCCTGAAATCTGTCTTCTACTTATCAATAATGGCAGTTTGATATATTGTTATTAAGTGCTGTAGGCACAACCATGGACTGTTCACAGCTATGACATTGTCTCAGCGAGTCATTGGTTTCTGAGGAGGTGTTGTGAAGCCTAACAATAGCAGTTGCAGGATAAGAAATACCAACTCAACTTTTGAGCGACATCTTGCCAACCTGTCTGTCAACTCACCACATTCACAGGCAAAGTTATGCAAAGTTATGAGTTTTGAATATTCAACCACTGTTTATTTTGTGGGAATAAAAAAAGAGCTAAAGAGACCAAAATTGAGTCTTGATCTAGGCTGTAAACACGCTTATTTATGCTTTATAGTTGATCATTTTAACATGAGGCCAGCAGGGGATTTCTTGACTCTAGATAAACCAGGTTTTCTATATTGATAACAGCTGACCTCCTATAAAGTATTTAGCCAGTCTGCAAGGCTTAATCACTACTTAGCAGCTCGAGTTATTAAAAGGTTCAAACTGAACAAGTTGGTTATTTACTAACCCTCTTAATAATCATAGTACAGATAAGTATGTTTACATTATAATTATAACATTGAAAAAGTAAAATCTATCTACCCCTATCAGAGTAATGTGGGGAAAGATCCTCTTACCAGTATAATAAACAACCTCGTCCCAGCCTTCACGGTTCCAGGCTGCATTTCTGATGTTTTCTCTAGACTGAAGGTCTTTGTAAGCTGAAATGAAAAATAAACACCATTTTAGGGGTCAACAGTACAACTTTTACTTAGATCAATAAAACTTTACCCAGTGTCATCACTTCCACATAAGTGCTGAATCCTGACACTTTCTACTAGCCTGTAATTTATACATCATAAATTGTTTGATTAAATATTATTTTCAATAATTCAATTATTGTTCTCTTAAGATCAAGATGCTGCACACTTCATTTAACCTGAAAACACTGCATACCCCATAAATGGTGAACTGTGTATAGACTCCCAATCTGTGAGAAAAAGCCTCCGACTGCCTCCTGGTTCTGCTGGCGGATCTCAATCGCACGTGCCCTGCAGAGCACAACAGAATAATGTGACAAGACCAAAACAAGACAAACAGTCTGTTACCAATTAAATCACCAGCACAAATTTGTAGGTTTTTAACTCTAAATCAAAGTGGCATTATCCAGCATCCCTATAATTTCCTTTAATTTAGAACATTAAACTTAATTGTTGAAACATCTATCATGTTTTTGAATTACATGAAAGGGAATTTTTCCATTGAATCAAAGGTGTACATACTTTATATTAAATACAGAGTAAATAGAATTATGCTTTAGATTTATAAATTGTGGATATACGATCTAGGCATGCGTTGGAGTCATGCAAAGACTGTGTAGCCAAAAAGTACCGTTTCCTCATATTCATCTGCTACAGTCTGTAAAACCGATAAAATAAAGTTTCAGTGAGGAAATTTTACAGTATATGATGTTGTGTTTAAGACTTACTATCACACTGGATACAACTAGCTTACTGACACTGTCTGAACACAACAGAGGTACACAAGAAGATAGAAAAACTCATTTGTGCTTTACCAGTAATTTCCCCACTCGATCATTGTCCCTGGCTAAACCAGAGAAAAAGGGGAAGAGAAACAGAGTGTGAGACCATTGAAACAGAAAAGAACATCTTTTATGGATGAGACAGGGATGGTGGTTCAGTAATACCCTGAGTTGGTATGATCGGAGCTCATAGATGTTGGGTCCTGAACGAGGGACGGGTTCATTCCAAAAACTGAACTCCAGCAGCAGCTGGTTCCTCCGAGAAAGCAGCATCTTCCCTCTCTCATTCCTGTAGTTCATAAATGCCTACAGGAATACAGGAATGATATAAATCAATACGTTTATGAGTCTACGCACATCCAAAAACCATTAAGACATAAATATGTGATTGTAAACTAAACTCATCATATCACCCGTTACCTTATTCTGTCTGAGTTTGTTCATGACTTCAGTGAGAGCTGGATATCCTCCCCGATATCTCCACAGGTGAACTAGAAAAGTAAGAGCAAAAGAGAAAAATCAATGCACCTCTCGAGTATATCTCAGTGTTTCTATATTTCTTTCCTTTCAAAACTACAGTTTAATCGACCAGCTGTGACCTGAGCCAGCATGATAATATTCAGTGTGTCAACCATCAATTGACCATCTTTAATTTCCTGTGAGTCTGACTTACTGGAGTCTTCTAGCAGGGTGCAACTCTGCCTAAACCTTAGTATTCCTCAATCTCAGCAGGTCACAAGAGTTTAAGGAGCCTTTGCAGTTCAGGCTCCACAGCTGTGGAACTTCCTGCCTTAAGATATCAGGCAGGCAAACTCAGTGTCCTCATTTTATCATCTGACTTTTTCCTCAACTGTTAGCTGCATTGTACTTTTTTTTCATGGAGAAAATGAAAACTGTTTTCACTGACACAGAGAAACAGCAAACGTCAGTGTGTTATCCGACCTCACAAGCTGATTAACATCTTAATATATAAATGAGTCAGAAAATGTGAAAATTTTAGGTCATTGATGTTCAATTACATACAACACTTCTCAAGGCCACTGACTTTATCAATTTAATTTTTTTAAGTTTTAAAAGATATTACATTAACACACAAACACAATTTAAAAATGACCACACTTAAAAACCCTGGTCTCTCTAAAAAGTATGGACTGTTCACATTACTGCATGGTTAATTATATACACGTGTGATAAAATATAGTGATGAATTCATACTTTTTCTGTCTATTTCCTCACTGATCTCTGGGGCACATCTACCTTGTGATAAATGTGTGTGTGTGTGGGGGGGTTAATCTGCAAGTCAAATGCTCTTCACAGGCAGGTTCATCATTTGCACACGTACACAGTGACCTTTACCAACTGAGCGTCACTGCTGCCCTTACCTGCCTGATCCTGTTCTCCGTACCATGTGTTCCAGGTACCCACAAGCTCACAGGGGTACTCAGGGTCAGCGTGAATAGAAGGCAAGACATCCTCACTGCAGGAACACACACACACATATATATAAAACACTTACACAAATGTGTAGAGGAGGATTGTTAATCTGAAAAATGCACTAAACCAGGCAGCTTAAAGCAAGGACAGCTTACCAGAGTTTATTGTACTCCTCAAGGCACTCAGGCTTCACATTGTGAACTGCAAGGAAACAATGAAACAAAATTTTTACAGTTTCATATAACAACATTTTTCAAGGATGAGCATGTTTCATTATCTGTCATAAAGAAATACAATGAATGCACACTAAAGTTAATATATGACAGAGAGCCAACATAGCTTTCACAGAACACCTCAAACAACACGTACACTGTACTTTGTAGAGATTGTTGTCTTCCTTCTTTGCAAGAAGGTGACTGTGAGCATCTTTCCGGGGATCGACCTTTCTTACAAAGAGCGATTTGAACCAGCTGTCCTCACGGATAGCTGAGAGGCCTCTGTTGTAAAACAAAGCACAAATTGGATACAAGCAATTCCCCTGAGATACAATAAAGGCAAACACTCCTCACAGTAGGGCTGGGCGATAAAACGATAACGATATATATCATATCAATATAAAACATGGTCAATATGCTTTTTCGATGGTCACTATTCTGCCATGTTTTGGTAGACTATACGAATAGCCCATGAAAAGGGGAGTTGCTCCAGGTCCGCTTCGCGCTGAAACAATCATGTACTGAATTAGAACCAAGTAGTAAACAACTGCGTAGTAGCAGGCTGCAGCTACACGCAACCATAGCAATTTAACACGTGAAGCTGACAGCACTGCCCGTGAGAAAAAAAGAGTGCTACCCCCAGAAGAAATACAGATGAAGACTCAACAGATGATCATTGAAAAAAGTGGCATGAAAATGTTGGTGGATTATTTTGGTATTTTCGTTTTTGAGGTCGGACATGAAGCAGAGTAATGTGCACTGCAAATTATGTCGAGTACATGTTCTCGCAAAGTCGGGGAATACCTCAAATCTTTTTCACCACCTGAAGCAGTGCCACACAGCAGAGCACGCACAATGCAAAAGGTTACAAACCCCGAGCGGAGCAAGGAGCCCATGGTGCCTGTGCAGCTGAAACAGTCGGCAACACCTTACGACAAAACATCGAAGAGACACAAAGACCTCCCATATGCAGTAGCTCATTGTATTGCAAGGACATGCCACCAATAAACCCTCTTATGTTTCATTTTTTATATCATGATATACATCGATATCGACTGATATAAAAGAATTATATCGTGATAAACTTTTTCCCACATCGCTCAGCCCCAGTGATAGAAAACTGCACCAGCAAGTGCAGCATACAGTTATGCTACAAGTATTCTTTTGAAACTCTTGCGTCTTAAGAGCACTTAATGGTTTAGTTCAACTCTTGGAGCTCTGTTGACCTGCTCAGCACCAGCAGTGAAGTCCCAACAGACTTCTAAATGGGTTTATTTTCTATTTGAACCTGCTCTGGTGAGAGTGCTGTTAGTAACAAACTGCTTGATGACCTAAAATCGGTAGCAATGGTGTCCTGTTCAATCTATAATTATAACTGGCTCCTCCTGTGTCTCCTTATAAAAAATAAAAAAACCCAGGTCATGTTAAATGCACAAGGAGGCACTGTTTACAAATCAACCAGTCAGTCAGTCAATAACTTATGCAGCAAAATAATGAACACATCTTTTTAGAGTAAATAACTAATGCAATATAAACACTCTCAGGCTAAAGGGCCAGCAGCAGTGAAACATATAAGCTGCTGCACATAGTTACACATAACCACAGGATTAGTACACAAAGATTTAGAAGAAGCCCATCCCATTACTATGGTGTTTTCTTCATGAAGCTTTACAATAATATGCAATCATCTCCACTAAATAGCTGTTACTGAAAGTAGTCCCAGCATACTTAAACTTTTCCAGCTGAGTCAAATCACATTACTAAACTGGGGTCACTCAAAGTTCACTTCATCTGCATGTCAAATAGTAACACTTTGACATTATAGCTGGCTTGAAGACTCACACCTGCCAACACAGAGGAAAGTGTGTCATTCACCAACCAAAACAAGGTTTGCTCTGCATACTGACCTTGAAGTTGGTTTCACTTTACAACAAACACAAACTCGCTAGTTTTTCAGCACACTAAAAGTACATTTCCACGCTTAAATTTACAAAAGTCCCTGCAGTCACAGGTTTCACAACAACCGCAGAAGCCCAGAGGGTGAATAATTGCATTAGCAGAAAGTTAGCAAGTTTAGAGTTACAGTGCTAATGCTACCTACGGTACACGGCGTATTAATATTAGCGTTAGCTTTAGCCTAGCCGCATAGCATCACGAACTTTGTCATTTGTTACTCTGTACGACCAAAACACACTTCAAAGTGTTATTTCTACATCCGAGTGAACAACCACATCCTGCGGAACTCTCACCTTACGACTACCGTCACTTGCCCGCTCGCCTGGAGCCTATTTTGGGTCTGTTTCAGGCCCGTGCTCACTCGCTGAAGGACTCGGGTCGCCATCTTTCCCCTGAAGGCTGAAGTCAGTCAGCTGGAGGATGATCTACAGGACGACGACTGCAGGTGGAGCCGACGTGACTTGAAAAACGTGACCCCATATTAACTTTGTTCACCTGAATTACCTGGTTTTATGAGTGGGGGAACCGGCTCTTACCGTCGTTTTTACACAGTTGTTGTTTGAGTCTAAATTCAGGTTTTCTAGCAGCTCAGAGTTGACTGCATTAGTTGTTTTGATTTTGCCTTGAAATAAGACATCTGATTGAAAATAACACTTCTCTATCCAATTTGTAAACAACACATTCAGTTAGGATTGGTAACACTTTCCTCAAAATTAAAAAACCCAACCAAATATTACACTTTAAGACAAACATGAGCATTTAATTTAATGGAAAAACTTGATCACTGAATATCAGGATTTGATCATGTTTGCTGTTGAAATAAGGGCAAACCAATTCAGCATATATAACAACTGTCATACATTAGTTTTACATTAAAATTGCAATTGTGGGGTTACTACATTGTTTTGGGGTGTATTACAAGTTTTTTTTTGTTTTTTTTTAATTGGCCTCAAACTAATCAGGTCACTGATTCTTGAGAAGTGGGACAAAACAGGACACAATGTTAAAAAAAAAAATCTCATGCCTAAATTAATTAGATTACATTTTTATATTTAAGTTACTGGGATATGTTTTGATATAACCTCCCATGTTTTCTCGTTTTTACCCAAAATGTGTTTTTTTCCTTACAAACACTTTTTTTTTGTCAACACCATCAGACACTAAAACCACAAATTAACTTTTGTTCGGATTACACAACATCTTTAAAGAGGTGTATAACCTTATACACCCCTTGGCATGGTGTATATATGGTGTATGGTGTATATACCTGTATAACTACCATGCACATGTCGATGACAACATTCGTTCTTTATGTATACTTGTGAATACCTTAGGAATTTGTCTTATAACGACTAGATCAGACAGTAATGTATTATGAATACCAGTATAGATTGAAAGCTGCATTCATAACTATTTTGATATTTATTATTATATGGATACACAAAACAGACAGCACTTAAGCTGACATTACTGAATACAAAACAAAGCAGTTTTCCGTCATCATGTGGGAGTTTCTGTTGGTTGGGAATCACTTGACACAGCAGCGGTAATGTTGAGCTCTTGTAGTTTTTCTGATAATGTGGTGTCTTCTTCCAAACACAGGGAAAGGTCAGTCAGAGGCTCCGCAAACTCAGTTCCAACAACTCTTTTTCCTGTAAGTGGGTCAACCACCCGGCCAACCTTTTGCACTATTTCCACCAGTTCATGTTTCACATGTTTGGATCTGGGCTCAGGGAGAGCCTTAAGGAGGACAATATCTCCAACGGTGCACTGTTGCAAAGCATCGTGGGCAAAGTAGGTCTTCTTCTTGTTGTAGTACTATGAAAAAGAGTGAACAACGAAAGAGTCGGTTAAGTTCAAGATGATGTAGGGAAATAATACACAAATTTGAAAGCCACATGTAAGTACACATTTAATTAAATTTGATCGATTCAAAGCCACGTGGACTATGAAGCAAAAAAGATTTTTAAAGATTTTTACAGCTGATTCTTTAACCTGTTACTGACAAATCAATGGCAAATGCAAATTGCAGTCAATAGACAGATGAAAAATGTTGATTGGAAATACTTTTCCATTTCTCTGATAACAGGTCCAAATTATTGGCATCAGTGTCAGAGATCTGGCATCAAAATATCAGGGTAAAAATGCATTAATTAAAAGGGATATTCCGGCGCAAAATTAATTTAGAGTCAAACACACCATAACACCAAGGCAAGACACCCCATCAAGAGATGAATGTTGCCGACTGCTTGCTTCTCTAGTTATACCAACTTTAGTAACAACCGCACGATAGCAATGCACAGCAGTCTGAGGAGCCATAAACAAACCTCAAACAAAATGCCACTCTATAGCCACAAATAATGCTCAGAACAGCACCTAACTACATCAACAGTACAGTTAAGGACCCAGCCACAGCACTAGCCACCAAACATCTTTTTAGTTTTGCCCAATGTCTTCAGCAAAGAGACTAAACACAACTCACATACTCTCTTCCAGCAGCCGCTTGTTTGTAGCGAGACCTCAGGCCGTTCCATTACAGACTATAATGTCCATATGGATAATCATAAATGTTCTTCCTTGAGCTGCGTCACCCACTGTAGTCTGTTATGGACTGGCCCAAGGTCTCACTACAAACAAGCGGCTGCTGGAAGAGAGTAGGTGAGTTGTGTTTAGTCTCTTTGCCAAAGATATCAGGCAAAGTTAAAAAGATGTTTAGCTAGCTAGCTATGTTTGGCTAGTACTAAGGCTGGGACCCTATATGTACTGTTGAGGAAGTTAGGTGCTGTTCTGAGCATTATTTGTGGCCAAAGAGTAGCTTTTTGGCCGAGGTTTGTTTATGGCTCCTCAGACCGCTGTGTATTGCAATCCTGCGGTTGTTACTAAAATTGGTATAACTACAGAAGCAAACGGTCGGCAACATTCATCTCTCGACAGGGTGTCGAACTCGGTGTTACGGTGTGTTTGACCCTAAATTAATTCTATGCTGGAATATCCCTTTAACAACCCTTTAAGTAATGTTTTTATTTCAAAAAGTACATCAAGAGTAATAACAGAGAAATATTCAGACACTCATTTTAAAGGGATCTGTGCCATGCATGTCATTATCTGTGGTTCTTCTATATATCAGCAACAAGCAGACGTTTCTAATAGTTCACCTTGAGCAGGTAAGGATCCAGAACCAGCCTCGTGACCCTCACTTTGGCCGTCTTCAGCATCTTGGTCCCGACCACTTTACCAATGATCCATTTGGCGTGGACAGTCGCACCTCTGGCCGCCATCCTCTCTGTGACCCTGTAACAGTCAAATATAAGACCCCAGAAGAAAATACCACATCTATTATAATCATTCGTACTATTATTGTTATTATTAATAAACGGCGAAATTAAAGTAATATCATTAGATGTGTGCTGAACAGAAAACTTGTTCGGTTTTATTTATCATAAGCGGAAGGGAGAAGAGACCAACGTTGTGAGCCTCGCTAACACTAGGGTCTTAATGGATATCAGTTCAGGTAAATAATAAAGTCTTATTAAAGATTTTAAACTCACAGAAACGGCTTGAACAGATTATTGCGAGAAGAAGGTCAAAAATCCTCTAGTGTGAGGGTTCCTCCATGCTGCTCGGCCTGTTTTGATGACGTAAAGTACCGACAGCGACGAGGGACAAATTGTGCATTGCGAATCATGTCTGACTGGGCTTCCTTTGACGAGCATTAGCAGATAACTTCACTTAACTCTGAATATAATAAAACATTTTATGCATACATTTGTGAAGATACACAAATGGTTTCTCACAGAAAAATATTTAAGAGAAGTTGTAGCCAGTTTATTTGTTCTTTTCTGTAAACCACTAGATGGCAGGAGAGGAGAGAAGAGGACAGGAGAGGTGAAGAAAAGAGAATAGGTGAGCTACAGGTGGTTTCTCCTCACACTGCGAAATAACAACGATATATCGTTATAGAAGGTGACAGTAACAATACTAAAATGCATCAGAAATCACAGTGTTGTAAACACATTTAAAACTAAAGCAGTTCACTGTACAAAAGCGCTGGATATTTGAATGGTGTTGAATTATCTGATAGCAAAAATGAGGGGAAATTAATTTTCAGGGATCGAAGCTAACAGTGTTTCTGATTATGCCCATTTTTCATCCCTGTCATCTCTAGATCATGAGTAAAATAAATGTATCTCAATATGACAAATATTTCTTTTCATCCATCACATGCCAACAAGCTTATGATCATTCCAGCCACTCCCACTGTAGAACCATAGATCAATATCCAGTTGGGATCATATAAATTCATGCCCACTATGTCTGCAAAAATCTGTGTGTCATTATTGATGATCATGTGGGCTCAATTGCTCAGTCCTGCCAATTTATTCCCTATAACATCAAGAGGATGCGACCCTACCTGATAAAGCATGCAACACAGCTCCTGATCCAGGCTCTTGTAATATCACACACTGACTACTGCAACTCATTACTGGCAGCCTCCCTGCATGCACAGTTAAACCCCTGCAAATGATCCAGAACAGAGCAGAATGTCTGGTCCTAAACAACCCAAGACGGCTCATGTCACTCCTCTTTTTATCTCTCCACCCTGGCTCCCAGCTGCAGCTCACATAAAATTCAAAACTCGAATCATTGCTTGCAAAGCAGCAACTAAAAGTCCTGTTTACCTGGAATCCTTCATCCAGGTCTACACCCCATCTCGCTCTCTTAACTCAGCCGGCAAAAGGCACCTGCTACTTCTTGCACATCAGGCCCCTAAGTCACTAGCCCAATTTTTCTCTTCTGTTGTCCCTAAATAGAGGAATGAATTACTCAAGTCCATTTGATCCACAAAGTCCCTCTCATCTTTCAAAAGAAAGCGGAAGATTTAGCTCTTTAGAGAACACTATGCACTTAGCTAGACTAGTCTCCACTGTTGACCCTGATGGTAGAATGAGTCTTCCAACTAGAGATGGCTCATACTGTCCTGCTCTACTTCTGGGATTTTTGTGCCCAGCACTGTGTTCATACTGTAGCAGAGCAAAGAGACTGAAGGACCCTCTCAACCCCCATGTCTTTGCCTACGTTGACCATAAATTAGGCTGAACCAACTTTCCCAATATGGTGACGGCTGTCAATTTTAAGAGGAGTGCCACTGGATCTTCACTAAAGTAGATGTAAGCAGCTTCAAAACAGAGGACTTTAAATGTAGATGTCTTCATTCATAACGAAATTTTAGCAGTCCTATCCCTGAGACAGACTTGGCTCTGGCTCAGAACCAGCTGCACTCAGACCAATCTGGTCCTAATCAGAGCCATGTTGTAGTAAAGCACAGGTCTGGGTCTCTGTTTCCCATTTAAGGCAGTGCAGCATCGGTAAACCTCTGCCAGAATTACAGAATTAGCCAACTCCTTCTCCTTCACACAAGGACGCTGAGACTGTTCACATTGTACTGACTGTTTCCATGGTTAAACTTTCCGCATGACAATAATGATGGTCTATACCAAGGTGATGTAGTGCTTACTGTAACACAATAGAGATGCTGCAAATTCTGTCTGCCTCTAAAGTCACTGTCATGTTTCATACTGCAAAAAGGTAAAAGAATATAAATCTGCTTTATTGCACTCAGTAATAGCTCCATTGTGAGGGCTTCCTCTCTTGAAATCTGCGGGTAAGCCCTACAAGTGCAGACCACATGGTATCAAAGGCACATATTACAATATTTACCTAAAGATACTTGAAAATGAAGCTTATGTTTTCATACGTGAGAAAGCTCACATGGTGTCAGCTATCAACTCAGTATGATGTGAAACCCCCGCGACCACGACATAAGACAGAGGCCTGATAGCACAGACTGTGTGATTACACATGTATGTTTTCTGTGATAACACAGTGACCTGCTAATCAGTGAATCTTATATTTTCAGATTAACATGCTGGAATAATGTTGGCCCACATCCTATTGAGTGAGTTATTCGTCCAGATATTACTTTTTTTTTTTTCTCAAAAGATTAGACTATTATGTTTGAGTGTTTGTATTTAACTTTGACTGAGCCTATCAGGACCCGAGGACCTGTGTGTGGGGTCCTTCAACGCTGGGAAAACTTGATTGCATTGTGGGAATTCTTGAAGGATTTGATTATTTTGAACGGTTATGTGGTTTTCAGAATTTAAAAATAGTCAAAACATCTGACAGAATTAAGGTGAATCATGGATCGGGGAATTTTCTGTCTTATGTTTCTCATGTATCTTCCAAATAACCTGTATGTCCACTTTTAGTACTGACCATATGAGCAGAGACCCCCTGACTTCTCTCAAAGAATTCAGCCTTTTGCAAATGTTTTGTATTATTCGATTTGAGCCTTACAACCGTGGATAAGGATGCAGAAGTATCTCCTTGGTGGCATTTTCATCGTAGTTACAGTAAGTGCTGCAAAAAGTGAAATAAGGACCTCACCTGCTGCACACCGATGCTGCAGAAAGTGGGTTAAAATGTTGCACGCGATCCTTCCTCTCTTGATCTGGGAGAGGGAGTTTCAGATGCTCTGAGGTCATCTGATAAGGACTTAACTTACAGAGGTACAGAGCTGGTGAAGTAAAGATTCTCAGTCACACAGCATTTGTTTTTCTTTGACATCTTATCCCTGCAGAGGAATGTACCGTGGGCGAATGTCAGTGCAGAAGCAGAGATTTGGAGTTTAATATAAAAAAATCCTCACAACATGGCATAGCAATGAAATTCTTGGTGCATAAGAAGCAATCGAAGTATACCTGGGAAAAGGCCATCTTGAATTTGAGGCTACCACCCTCACAACCGGTTATCCTCTTTATTCTTTTTAACCTCTAGAGAGAACTTCATGAAGATACAGAAAATTGAAAGAATGTCAATAGAAATCACTAACTTTCCAAGACATCGAAGCAGCCAGCTGGACTAAGACTTCATCACCCTTAATAATAAATACACTACAGGTTTAATGGCTGTACTGTCTGGACCCAGTCTGAAGGGCTAAATAGGTCAGTCAGTCTCCGCCTCTCTCAGCTCCGATCACAGAGGGTTAAAAGTTTAATGTGAGATAGCAAAGAGGTGTCAGCATGAACTGAGGAAGGGCAAGGCATGAAGGGCAGGAAGAAGCTTGGCAGGCACAACATTTGTGGTTTGATCTGAAAGCGAAGTGAGTGAGTCATGGAGTAGAGGGCTAATGTGTTTGTTTTTCACGGTGGATTGACTTCAGGGTTAATGGACGTGTTCTCCTTTTGGGCTGCAGCCAGAACTCAGACCGAGCTGGTGTTGATTAGACAGATATGGTTAACCCCTGAGATCCTTTCTGTCTCTGACAATCAGCAAAAGTTCTCTCATCTTTTGTTCTTCTTAGCCCTGTTACCGTTTAAGAGTTGGTTTAACCTCTTTCTCTGATAAGTTGTCTTTGACAACAAGCAGTGGCCCATGGCAGATTGATTATATCCTCTGCAAAGAAGGTTTACAAAGCTCATCAGATTTAGAAATGTATTTGCTCAACTACTGGGCTCCACTTTGAGCATGTTAGACTTTGGACCGAATGAAGTACAATGGCTTTGATTAGATGTATGCAAACACGCCTGAATTACTCTTTTTAAAACCGGCTGTCAAAACTTGGAAAACATCATGTCTAAGAGCCAGACTTATGAGCCTACCAGATGAATACAGCTGCTAGACATGGGATGATTGTGTCCTAAGTTAAATCTCCTGTGACACATTTTAGTGACTCTTCCAGACAAACAGGTTCCCTGAATCTCTTTGGTAATTTTGTCATATTTATGAAGTTTTTGGCTCCACAAAGAATATATGTTCTCTGTGCTGTTTGTACTTCTGTTTGTCTTTGGTAGGTGCAGAAAAACCTCTTTGTGACTCTTGGCAAAAGATCAAAAATGGGCACATTGGGCACAGTTAAAAACCACAGTGTAACCCTAGCAGATTTATAACACTACTCCACATTCAGAAAAACATATTGTTCTTTAGATCTGCATTAAAAAAACACTGTACTATGAGCTTTTACATGAGTGTGCACTTTGTAAACTCTCTTTTAGTACCTCTTTAGAGTTTGACGTCTGCTTTTCTGTCATGAAGCATGTTGTGATGACTGCTCTTGAAAGGTGCTTTACAAGTAAACATGCAGTATGCACACATGTTTGAGTTTGATTGAGTCAGAGGGGAGAGCTTTACTTTAACTGCCACCAAGCTCCGCTCCTTGACAGCATGACACACTGTCACAACACACGACGTCCTGTCTTTTCCTTGGCTTTCACACCACACTCATGCACAGAATTTCAATGTTCACTCATATGTTGTTATTATTTATGACGATAACTCAAAGCAACTTCTCAATCTGTATTTTGCATGTGAGTGAATCAGGATGAATGTGGTACTGTGCTTTGTTTATGCTCGTGTGTGCGGGCTGTCGTCTGTGCCCTGACAGATGTGAGGCTATAACATCAATATGGAGCTGTGGGTCCCCAGGGACAGAGTTCTACATCATCAAAAGTTGCTGAAACAATTTCATGTCTTAGTTTTGCAGAGAAATGGGCCATCCTATCTGTCTATATTTGCATCTCTTTTCTGTTGCCTCTGCTACAACAAGAGAGCCACTCATAGAGCACCATCGAGTTTCAGAAACATCATATGCTTAACAATATGGGGCACAGCATACACAGCATACACAGTGGGGGTAGCAGGTGGAAGCATCCTCTGTCATCACTGTTTGAATGTGACGAGTAATGTGAAAAGCATTGGGTGGTCAGAAGACTGGAGAAAGTCTAACTAAAATACAGCTTAGGGATGCACCAATCCGATATGTGATATCGGTATCGGTCCTGATACTGAAGAAAATTCTAGATCAGGTATCGTGACAATGGGCCCAATGCATAAGGGCCGATCTATTCAGTGTAACTCTATGCTATGCCCTGTGAGTGGTATCCACAAGTAAACACTCTGAGCAGATGCCCAATTTGTTTTCAAAATGAAGCGAGCAAAGGGGTCTGCTATCTTGAACTTCATCACAATACCTCAACCTACAAGCTTGATGGCCACTTGCAGTACCTGCGCAGTAAACGTTCCGAGGGGTGGTGGTAAAATTTCAGCTTACACAAATGGTAATTCAGCGCGGCTTTTCTGTATTGGAGTTGGATCTGTATCGGCCAATACTAAACTGTAGATATCTGTATCAGTATTGGAGGTGAAAAAAGCATATCCATGCATCCCTAATACAGCTTGTTTACTATTTGTTCCCACATGGAACATGGACACAATGTGACTTACTCCTGTATGTTGCTTATTATGGGAAAAAATGACAGTTGTGTCTTCGTATTCAACTCTGTTAGTACTATAAGAACTGTTATAAGGACACTTGTTTTGGTTTCACAGTTGCAAAGAGTCAAACTGTGGTATTAAATGGATAAAACATACAACATCACCTCAGGTGCTCTTCTTCGTCATTGTTTTTGCCTTGAATAAAGAGAGCAGGCAGGAGTATCTGAAATAGTCTCTCAATGTCAGCCTGGTGCACACAGTTCAGATCCATTAACTTTGTGTCTGTGACATGAAAAGTATCAAAAATACAAACCACTTGTTTTGTGATAGGGGCAGCTGAGTTGTGTCACCCTGTGTGTAGCAGCACAAGAGTCATGCTCTACCACAAACACACACAGGAAGGTCAGATGAAATGGTCTGGTATCACTTTGGTTAATGTGCTGTAAATTAAACATCCAAGTCGGGAGGGATTCAGTGATATTCCCTGAGCAGTGACATCACCTCTTCCTGTCTCAGCTGCCACCCCCCTGACCTTTTACAGTGCGTGTTGTAAGCGAATACTCCCTCTCTAAATGGAGTGTCGAATAGTTGTCCCTCTCCAGCCTTGGAAATGGGACTCTGCGGTTTTGACGTAGGTGATATCCTTGTCAATAACTGCGGCTGAACCTGTGTCATACTTCTGCTGAGGGCAGAGCATGTGAAGCAGGCATGTTATCACAAATCCCTCTATGATTAGATGTTGTGCGGACTGTATGGTTTCCATATAGGGTGTATAACTCAAGAGGGAACAATTTATTTGGTTCTTCAAACTGGGGCGCATCTTAAGTATGACAAAGAGTGTGATCCCTCAAAAACTGATGGAAACACATGGACAGATTCACATGTCGGCTTATAACAAAAGAAAAACAGCAGCTCAGAAATTCAACCTCTCCTTGGTGCAGTGCTCAGGCACTTTGGCTGATCATCGATGTGATGTTGCAGTGTCTTGTGTTCTGCTTGATCACTGACTCTTTATTTTAGTTGTAATGTCACAGATGAAGGAAAAAACCCAGCTGTCACTTTGGACATCTTCATTAGTTTTTTCATTTAAATATAAGAGCAGGAGCACCGCCAGTCGAGCGGTCTATGCACATGCTGCACTTATGGAGGTAATGCATCGAACGTCTGGCTTGGGTTCGCTTCCAGCCAGTAGTTGCACAACTCAAGAAACTGAGAAACTTAAAGCTCACTACCAAAAAGGAAGTGCTGGCTCTAGAATAATGTACAGTTAGTCGTCTTTTGTTTTTTCTGTGGGGTTAAATACTGGGACTATCAGAGGGAGCTTGGAGCTGCTGCTCCTTCACAACAGGCATTTCATGAGGGCACCTCCTGGATGCCATTTAAATAAAGGCTACATTAAAAGGATATTCCAGTGTAAATTTAAGTTAGGGTTAAACACACCATAACACCGAGTTAGACACCCTGTCAAGAGATGAATGTTGCCGACCGCTTGCTTCTCTAGTTATACCAACTTTAGTAACGACCACAGATAGCAATACAGTAAGCCACACGCTCAACAAAAATGCCACTCTATAGCCACAAATAATGCTCAGAACAGCACCTAACTTCGTCAACAGTACATATAGGGCCCCAACCATAGCACTAGCCACCAAACATCTTTTTAGCTTTGCCTGATTTCTTGTTTCACACAACTCACCCTCTCTCTTCCAGCAGCCGTTTGTTTGTATGGAGACCTCTGGGCGAGTCCGTCGACTGCAATGGGGGGATGCAGCTCAAGGAAGAACATTTATGATCATTACTTTATCATTCCCTTAAAGTAATAATTATAATATTAATCATTTTGCACTTAATATTACGCCGGAATATCCCTTTAACTACAATCTATGTTGTTTACATCTGAAAGCACTTTGCTTTTGTCCTTTTCTACCTCTTAATTTTTATTTTGCAATTATTTGATTTTCCATTATGAAAGGATCAGTACTGAAATGACTAACAACAGAATAAAGCAGGTTTGGCCACAGACTTAGTTTGAGTCAACGATGACTGCTGCAGTCATTCTGTAAATTCGGCTGTTTGTTTCCCCTCCACGACTGTTACAACTGAGCCCTCCAAAAGCTGAGCAGATTGTTAAAGCATATTGTGAAACCATCCATCTAGATATTGAGTGGTCTCCAAGGAACCAAACAATAAAAGCAATAATAGCAAAGCTAATGGCAAGGCATATCCGTAACCACCGCTGCTCATCAGAATTACCCAGAATGAAACCCAGAATGTTTGTGTAACACTTGTGGATCAAACTAAGGTTGGTTTCCAGCCCTCCATCGCTATTCATGAATAATGGCACAGCCAACCAGACTACTCAGATAGTCTATAAAAAGATTACAGTAACTTCATTAGTTATATTTTTTTCTCTTGCTTTTGAGGAACACCCATCGGCAGTGCTCATACTTAAAGCATTTAGGTCACAGTTTCAGCTGCCAAAATGTCTCAGCTCAATATTTACATCATGGCTGTCTGATTGTGCCTGATTCTATGTATGGTCAGGGGGAGAAGACGTATCGCAGGAATGTGCCACAAGCAAAGCTCATGAGTTCCGCAGCCAGAGGTTTGAGCGGCAGCATGGCCCAACTGTCTCATGTCTGACTCTTTCAGTCTCTCGAGCTTTCCCTCTCGTTTTCTTTCTGCTGTGGTTTAATTCTCTTGTTCCATCTTGGCTGCGATTCAAACATCAGACACTTTACAGTCATAGCTGTGGCATGCACTGGTAGCACACACACACATATGCACACACACACACCTGTAAAACACAGACATGCATTTGCAAAGAATAACTGAGGTTTTTTTTTTGTTTGTGTTCTCAATCTTATGTGGTCTTACACCCTGACTATCGGAGTGAAAGGAGATAATTGTAATTGCAGCATTAGGTCATCAGTCAAGCTCTGAATCTGGTTTGGTAAGCACAAATTTAACCCAGTTTATTTAATGACATCATCAGTTACATGACTGCCTTTGGTCATTGGCCCTCTGGGTAAAAGACAAGCTTTCTCAACTCTTGACAAATAACAGCACAATAAGTCCAAATTTCTTTTGTATTCGTCACCTGTTTGTGTATTTATGTCTACAAGGAAGATTTGTTGCCTAGTGATCGAGTACTTTCCTCATTCTTTAATTATTAAGTTGAACTTGTGCTGATTTACCATACATGGTTAAATTGTTGAGGGTATTTTTGCACACTAGCTGATTTGGGGAAGCTTTTCTAAACATAAAATTATTCAGTACACACGCCAAGGGGCTTTTTGTCTGTTTTGTTTTGTTTTCTCTACACAGATTAAAGTTGTAATTACTTTTTCAGTCAAGATACCAAGACGATATCTGGGCTTTGGGCGCTCAATAACGAGTATTTGATGACGATGAGATATGTATGTCTCTGTGTGGAAGAGATCATTCTCATACACAAGTTCAATATGAGTCTTGACTGAAACATTGCCCCCTTTACTTCGTAATACAAAATGTGACGAATGAAGACATTGTACAAGCAATCGAAGTTTCGAGCACCACAAGCATGAAATACAAACAGCAAACATTTTAGTTTAGAGTAGCTCCCTCTGTCTTGGTTTCAAGCAAAATAACTGGCCAAAAGCATCACAATACATGTCTACATAGATTTTCATTTGGAATTTAACTGTGCAGCTGTACCACAAATTAAACTGACTGTGTCTATAATGCGCTGTATGAGATATCTTCCTTCTTCAGTACAGTATGCCGTTTTAAGATTCCTCCTTGACTGTGTTATGATACCTGACTCTCTTGATCGTTTCTCCTTTCCGAAGTGGGCCTTCAGTTCTGCGCTCTAGCAGTAGTATATTTGTGTTAGTGTAGTCATTGCATGCAAAGGTACACGGTGTTGTTCACTCACACACAAAAACAACAAATCCCCTCACTTAAAAAGTTAAATGCTGCTCAAACACAGATGTTGTCTGGCCCGTAAGAAGGGTGTCCTCATGAAGAGTTGAAACTGGGGCAAAGATTTTTAAACAGATTTCCATATAAGTCATTTTGTTGAAATTCAGTCAGTCTGGTAGGCATTTACATTACGCTCTATTTATTTATTCATCATATTATATCTATTTATTCATCCCAGTGTATAAACCAGATCTAAGTTTAATGTATTTGTACAGCAGTGAACATTTAAAAGTCCTCAGTGTCCCTGAGGACATGGTAAACATTTTTAACTAAGACAACCTGCAACAAAAATTGTAACAGCTGTGAGCAAAGTTTTTTGTAAGGAGAAACACCGGAATAAGTACAATGCAAATGAAGACACTGCTCAATGCCACAAACCACAGCAGCATTGTTTCAACACACTGTACAGTATTTGGTTGAATACCTACAGTCCTTTGGTTGATGTTGTTTAACAAATGCATCAGCGGTTTACATAATACAGAAGTTCACAGGCACCATCATATCTTCAAGAGCTCATAGTTCCTACATACTTTTCTTTTCGATGAAGCTTATAATGAGGGTTGGTTCAGGCTTGGACCAGCTCATTGTTTTGTTGCTATATGTTTAAACTGTCAGGGGAACTGGCACATTGAGTAATAATAATAACAATAATAATAACTTGATTTATATAGGACTTTTAAAAACAAGAGCTTATAAAGTTCTTTGACATGCAGGAAAACAAAGAAAGATAAAAACAACAAAACAATGACAAGAGTAAAACCCAGACTACATGTCCTAGTACGGTTGTTAGTCAAATAAACAAGTGGTAAATGAATTATGCAAATGAAAGTGACAATAAATGTCTACAAAGGTACTTAAGTTCACTTAACAGTACCTAAGCAAAGCTGCCAGAAAGCTTCAGTTTTGATTGACATGATCAGACAGGTGATTCATTTACTGTCTTTATTAGAGAAGACAGAGTAGGTGGTAGTGGTGCACTGGACTGTTTTGTGCTGGCAGATGCTCCTTATATTAGTTTCACTTGATTAATTAACATGAGGAGAGCAAAATATTAGGAACACCTTGTCAATATAACACGCTCTAGTACACCATCAACTCTGACTAAAACTTCAACAATTTATCTAAAGAACATTCATCACCTGTCTGATCATGTAGAGAAACACAGGAGCTTTGTTAAAGTAGAATTTATGGTAGAGCTGTTGTATTGGGTTGCAGCAGATTGCCCAAATGTACCTAATGTTGTGGCATGTGAGTGTCTGTGGTAATAAATTGTTTTGTGTGTGTACTAGTGTGTTTTGATGTCACTCAAAGGTAATAGACTAAATAAAATAAAGGATTTAAAATGGGAATTAAACCTTCTTATTTTGAAATGTCCACATCACACTTTACTCATTCACTGAGGGGAAACATACTCCACATATCATGGTGTAAAATGGATGACACAGGGTATTATTTTTAATGCTTCTCAGCACCTCAAGAGCCGAGGAACTACGGCTTCATATTTCCTACGTGACATGAACTTATTATCAGACAGTTCTCACTTCTGTCACATTTGGCTGTTTCACCAAAGCTTCCTCCTCCGATGTGTTTCTATCTAAAGTAAAGTCTCATATTTTTCTCACAGTAGGTCTCAGTGCAGGTTTCAGTGCCAACTAAATGTCTTGGAACAAGCAGATTGTTGTGCATAAATATAACAGTTCATGTACCATATGTGAGTAATGCATTAATCTGGACTCAGTGGATACGATGCAGTGGGAGGCTGTGGGACTGTGTTACATTATGCATGACAGACCCACGGACCACAGTCCCTGCCACCTGTACGCTGGAGCTGTGGAATTCAGGCGACATTAATCATAGCGATAAGTGGCTGACAGTTGGAGGCCACTTGATTAGGGTACGAGTCTACAGGGTCAGCAGCTACAGTCAGAGGAGAGTGACCTGTAAAACAGACCTTTTTACAGTGGCAGCGTCTCAGTTTTGGTCACTTTTCTTTTCAGTGTTTGTGAAAAGCTGACACAAAGGAATCAATGAAGGTTGAAAACACTGAGTTAGATACCCCGTTGAGAGATGAATGTTGCAGACCACTTGCTTCTCTAATTATACCAACTTTAGTAATGACCGTACGATAGCAATACATAGCGGTCTGAGGAGCCATAAACAAACCTCAACCAAAACGCCACTCTATAGCCACAAATAATGCTCAGAACAGCACCTAACTACATCAACAGTACATAAAGGGTCCCAGCTAGGCCTGTCGCGATAATCAATAAATCGCCTTATCGCTCGGTAAATAAAAACGAGGTCGGTCATTTTGCCAGCCTCGATAATTTACGTGCGTTTGTTTTCCTCCTCTCTCGCTACCAAACACGCTGGATGAGAGAAGAGGTCTCACTCTGCGCATTTTTCTCGGCACCTGGGGGCGTTGGCTGTATAGCGGAATGAACGGAGTTAGTGAACCCTCCTGTCAGTCATTCAGTATCTTTGTCACGGGGGGGCGCGCGCGCAGGTACACGTAGGCGCGCACAAGCACACAGACACAGGCTGTGTCCGAAATGGCATACTGCCTACTATCTACTTACCTACTCAAGCAGTAGCTACTGCCTACTGACTACTCAAAGAGGATTTGAGTATGCCGCGGCTGCCCGAGCGTTTACACACATACATACTAAATACCCCAGAATGCATTTCGTGCCGGCCGGACGCAGCGCCGGGAAAATTTAAATAGTCCTACCACAAGCCACACAGAACGACTGCATCCCGGACAAATTATATAAATTCATTCAATAATAATATTTTTTTCTAGCGAGAAAGTAAGTGTTTACATCACGATTATGAGCCCAGTTGTTTGAAATAGTGGCTGTTTGTAAATTTGTCTCGGCGTTTTCGGAGACCGAAGCGTCCACTTGGTCGGTGTTTGCGTCAGCAGCCCCCCCTTCACGTTTCCAAATTATTGCGAAGTGTTTTCATAATCAACATCTACACGACACAAACCGGGCGGCAGTGGATGAAAAAAATCACACAAACATCCGTGTATCCATGGTGATAATGCTATACACCACCTGCTGGCCGTGTGATGAGCAGCAGAGGGCTGCAAAATGACCAACACACAACATAATTATTATGACCTTGTTCGGTTATTCCTTGGCAAATACATCATTTCCCGACTACATTCTTTTCATGTACAATGATAATTTCAGAAACCATCAGATTTTCAACCACAAGTAAGAATTAGTAAAGCTCACATAGATTGTCAACTGGAAACTCCCCCGTTTGTATATTCTGAACCATGTGCTCTCTACCAAAGATAATTTTTATTAATCAGAGGTCTGTGCTTAATATGAGCGACCACTTTGATGATGCATTCAGAGATGAGAAGATGCTCAAACTTGATGTAATAAATACATCTTTAATAGACACTTAAATAAATAAAGTCAATTCATACGAATAGTTAAAAACATTGCCTATAATCCTAATTTAAAATACAAATAAATCCGGTAAAAAGATCAAAATATGATAAAATGATGAAAATTGTGTAATGTATACGGACTAAATATTGTTAATCTATTTATATATATATCATTATTATTGCAATCACATGCCATCTATTTCTTTTCAGCCTCGGGAAGGAGGGCCATATTACCAGCTGAGGTGCGCAATGCATTGTGGGGCAGAAGCAGTACGTGAAGCAAGCTCCGTTGCACACTCAGAAATCGAAGCCGATTGAGTATACATCCGGGCATTTCTCGCATACACAAAATTCGCATACTGTACAGTGTGAACGCACTGCCTACTCAATTCAGAGGCGGGGTTAGTAGGAGTAGTAGGAGTAGTAGGCCATTTCGGACACAGCCACAGACTTTTGGATACAGTGCTGCAAGTGAGCGTCGTGAGTGAAAAGCAAGCAAACAGAATGAACACGACAGCTTTGGTGTCTAAACCGAACGCAACAGCCCAAGTGTAGGAATATTTCGGCTTTAAACCAGTTTTGTTTTCGTCAACCACAAAACTCCACGTGTGTGCGCGCGCGCGCGCGTGTCTGTGTGTTGGAGGAGCACAGCAGGCTGATGAGAGCTGTCAGAGCGGACTGAAGCTGCTCCTATATGTTTAGTGTTTAACTGACTGAGTTTTGCGACTCTGTTCGTCATTTCGTCCCATCAACGTAAACGCACTTTCGTCTCGTCACATTTTAGTCATCTCCGACTTATGTTTAGCTCGTCAACGTTACGTCTTCGTCGTGGGTGAAATTAAAGTCTATCACTTTTGACACGGTGTACTCGCATTATTATGCCATTTCATATCATTATCTATAATTTAAAAAACGGTGTCAATAATATCGTTTATCGGCGATAATTTGTAGCACACTTATCGTCCAGCAAAATTTGTTATCGTGACAGGCCTAGTCCCAGCCATAGCACTAGCCACCAAACATCTTTTAAACTCTGCCTAATTTCTTTGGCAAAGAGACTATACACAACTCACCTACTCCCTTCCAGCAGCTGTTTGTTTGTAGCGAGACCTCGGGCCAGTCCATAACAGACTACAGCGGCTGCCAAGTAGCTCAATTGAACCAACTCTCAGAAATCAAGGAATAATACTAGACGGCCAGAGATGCTGGATAAAGTCTGAAGATACAAAGACACCAAGAAGAACCAGAGCCTACAGCCCAATCCTAAACCAAAGGATTGAATCTCAATGAAAGGTACGAGGAGCTTAAATGGACACACTGTCATATCTTGAAAGAGCACATGGAGGGGGAGAGACAATGAGTCAGCACTTTACACTGGAGTTTAAGGACTTATATCACCTTCCTCCACCTGGTTTCACTAAAGCCAATCAGGCACTCACACACCTGATTCTGCTCTAGATTGGTTCCCCCCTTCAACCCAAGGAATGCCAACAGTGAGCTGCCCCCCCCCCCCAACAGTTTATTAGAAGAGTAAAATACACTGACAGTCATAACTCTGCACTAAACTGAACAGTAAAAATTCTTTTTTACATTTTAGTCGATTACAATGATTTCTCTAGGTACGTTACTTGGGCCTGGCAACATATCCTAAGTGTTAACTCCTTATGAGCCAGTCTGCAGCCTTAAGTCCTTGGGTGGTGCCCTTTCTGGCCCCTGGTCTTGTCTTACCCTGCTTGGATTCTATTTGGCATAACCACTAGCTAAATATATATTATCCCTTACTTCCATCTTTACTCTCTTGGATGTTCTCTCTGCTTTAACGCAAGTCAACAGTAGGTCATCATTTACCGTGCAGCTGCTGTGAGCTTCAAGTTGGCTTTTGACTGGACTTGTAAATGTCCATCTGCCTTCTCCATCTGATAAAACAATATCAGCATTATCCTGCCATGACCCCAGATACAATTTTTTATAGTTTGCCTGCCTCACAGGGAAATCTCTACCTTTTCTTTTATACCCCCATCATCCATTAACAGGCCAAACTCGGCTTATATTCTCTCCAGCATGTTGCTAACAGCACAGCATGGTGGCCCTCTGTGACCTCCTCCTGATATCTAACCCTCCTCTGTGTTCATAACCTGTAAAAACGCACCTAAAAAAAAAAAAAAAAGATTAATATGAGGATCATGAGTCATTTTTTCGCCATACTTTACAGCATAAGCAGTAACTGGCTATCAGATGTCAGTGTCTGCCTCCATACGGCTGTAAAGTGGTGCGTTTGTGGGCAATTTCCTGTAGCAGGTACAATTATGTCCTCATTGCTCATAAACTACACTTCAGTTCACTTGGAAAAGAACCAAGAGTTATGTTTTCAGGTGGTGTGAATACAGATTGATTGGCATTTTTAGTGCCTAACCAAATGGAGGGAGCCGAGGGAGAAGCTAATATAAACCATCTTAAACATACTGGTTGTGAACATAGCCTTTGACACGAGTGTAACTCAAGTACACCCATACAGCACACACTCACACACACACACACACACACTGTGTCCTCACGGGATTTAACAAAGCTACGCAGTCCTTCTCAGAGTCACATCACCAAAATTCATCATCTCGTCACTAAAGTCATCATTCCTGAGTCTGTGACCTATCAGAGAACTCCATTTGACCATTAATGGATTTGAACTGTATCAGCACAAGTGGCGTTAAGTTTTTAGAGGAAACGTTCATAAGTGTAAACTGCTATCTGATCAGGCAATAAGATGGATGACCCCCTCTGATGAAGTCAGGAGGAGGAGGAATAAGATAATTTCAGCGTCTTAATTGCCTCCATCTGTTCGCCTCAGACCTGATGCTCCAATGATGACAGAGACAGACTCATCATCAGGGTCCTCGGTCTGGTGATCCTCACTAAACACAGAGATGAATGACCTCAGGTTGCATGATGGGGGTCCCCGTTGCTGAAATGTGGTGCAACATTTAAATCAATTGCTACGCTATCGGCCTGACCCATGCGTGACTCCTGGTTGATTACAGCCCTGGCTATGGCTGTATCTCTGTTACATTAACATCCGCCACTGAATGTGGTGAGACGGTGAAAGAGCAAAAGTTTAAACAGAGAGGCAGAGGAGCAGCTAGTGCAGTATGTGACAATTTATTTGCTGAGTTTTAAGATTTACACAATTCAGCTGTTTCTGATTAAATATAATGGAGCTTATTTTGATTTAAGTAAGAGGTCACAGTCGGTTCTTCAGTGTTGTTTGCTTCAGCAAAGTTAACAAGAAAATAGCTGCAAGATTTAATCAAACTTTTATTTATCAGTGCCACCTAAAAGGCTGCGGGGTGTCTGTGCTGCAGCCTTGGGATTTGTGTGGGGCCAAATACAACATGACTTTTTAGTGATATCCCAGTTTTTAAAAACTATACACAGTAACAACATATTGACCCACTGAGCAGTTTTTGGTCTAAAAGAGGTCTAATAGACGTCTAAATGTAGCCTAGACTACTAGTCTAAAATCAGACCACCACAGGTCTAAAAATGAAAGTTTTTTAGACGTCTAGATTCAGACCAAGCTAAGACTAAATCTATATCTGGGCTATATCTATACTACACTATATATTGCTCAACGGCTATCATAATTATTTTGGTTAAGTACTTGGAGATCAGTTATGCAACTCACAGTTGCTTTTTGAAATAAATAGTTAGCGAATAATGGGTTAAAGTGCAACGTCTAAATTCAGTCTAAAAATACACAGGATCTAGACGTTTGAAATAAGGTCTAAAGAAAACCTAGACGTCTAGTCTGTTGCTCAGTGGGTGAGTATCAATATCATACTTTCATCATGACTCAGCTCAGTTCTTGTTTTATCTATTTAAAGCTACTTTGAGAAATTTTAAGTTTGTTTCAACTTTGGCGCCCCCTGTTGACATATCATATGTTTCATTTATTGTGAATATTTCTGTGTTGTTCCTACAGCTGCTTAGCCACTCCTTTGCATTGGTTTCAGTCATTAAAGTTTACAGTTTAAAAGTAGTCAATCTAGTTGTTGATACTTTTGTGCAGCCAAAAGTGCTTATTCTGTTGTGCTTTGTGTGATTTTTGCATTGCAGTTTTGATATGAGGTATTTTTGAGAATATTTATGTCAATATTTGTCCAACTTTTGGAGCTCAAGATTAAAATGAGGTAATTTTGCGGGAAAGAAGTTTAATCCTTGGAGTTTTAGTCTGGGAAGAAATTCTTTATTACTTATAATGGTTATCACTAGCCAAGACTTACATCATCACATCAGATGCTAGAATTTCCTCAGTTCGAGAGTCCCTTGATGTTTTCTTTCTGGACGAAAAACTTAAAAATGAGCTTACAAATTGCAGGACTTTATACAAATACTTGATGTATTGGATTGCATTTTGATTATAGGGTACATGATATACACACTTTCAAAAATGATAACTCATTTTAGTCCCTCTGCATGTGCAAACACAGCAGTTTGTATTTAAAATTGTTTATGAATATATGAGAGTTTACATCATGTATGTGTTTGTCATGTCAGAGAACTCTGGTATTAAGAGATGAATTGACCTCATCATTCCACTGACATCAGTGTGCATGTAGAGCATGCAACACAAAAAATCTGACAGTGACAAACACACACGAACACACACACGCACAAATCCATCATTCACTCGAGTAAAGAAACTTGGCTGGAAACAAGACTGTCATGTTTTCATGTTCCAGGAATCTGAAGGCTTATCGCTGACATCACAGAGAAACCACCTTCACATTTCTGCTGCGATCACAGCCTCGCTGCACAACATGTGTGACTGTAACATTCCTGCACTAACATCTTCATTTGGTCCCAGTGCTGCTGACCCCTTATACACACACGCAAACACCTAGTCACAAAGAGCTCTGACCTTTCACTTATCTCTACCTGACCTCCTAACCCAGCTTTTTCCTGTATCCCTCGTTTTTTTCGCCCTCTCTGCGCTTTGATGGATGCTCTCCCTGGTATGTTACAGTACTGCAGTGTTTATGTAAGGCACTGCTCATTTAATGTTGTTTCAACCCTCCAGGGAAGAGGGTCGTTATGAGTCATGGGAAGGGGCAGGGCAACATTTTACTGTATAACTCATCTGAAGTCACTCTCCTTAGCTGCATGTTTTAATATAAAACACGTGCGGTTATTGCCCTTTGTCTATTTGTGTGTATATGTGTACACTGTTTGTATATTCCCCTTTGTCTTTGTGTTTCTTTAGTGTTCACTTTAGAGGATTGCAAATGTTCTCTTACAATCATGAAGTCATTCTACCTAGATGACTTAATTAAGCTATTAAGCAAACGCTCAGTCTCTTAACTTTTAATGGTCCGCAGCATGTGGGATCACTATTAACTAGGGCATGACCCCAATTTCTTTTTCAGTTCTTCCCTGTTTTCTCCTAAATGCGGTTGTTACGCTTATTCCTCTGTCAGTCTCTGTCATCACTGACTTGTCTGGAGGCTTTAGCGTGTCTTCACCGATACACATGGAAGTCTTAAGCACCACATTACAAGCTGCTCTACCTCTGATAACAAGACAAGAGTCTCCAGGAGACTGAGCGGCATGTTTGGATCATTATTACCTAATTAAACTGTTCTGTACCGCTGAAAAATGATCCTGACAACTGTAAGGGCAAACTTTTCTTCTTCATCTTCATGTCTTGGATTAACTTTAACTCTGTGGCTGAATCTACTGGGACGATTACAAGTTTGAATGTCATTCTTACAGTGATACAATGGTGGATGGCCTGATAAAATCTGGAGTTTCACTTGATCTCCTCAAGAAAAAATCTATTATCAGAAAGATGGATTGGGATAAAAATGAAAAAAAAATCACAGCAATACTAGAGGACTTAAGTCCACAGCAGGCAGTGTGCAGTTTTATCAAAATGATCTCTCACTAGTTCTCCTCTGTAGGCAGTTGAGCTTTATGAGACACTCCTATATGCTCTGTTGGAGTATATACCACTGTTTTAGATTCACAGAGTGCCTTCAGAAATATCATTGCCCAACATATTAATGGTTAAACAAAGGACAAATTTAAATTATCCTAAAAAATAAATAATAAAATAATAAAAAAACCTGTGTATTTCAAATGTAACTACTGAAGCTCTACTTCCCAGGCTGTTAAAAACAGAAGACGACTCTCTAATGGGGACTAAAGAGAGCAGTTGTTAGTTTGACGTCTTGCTCAGACTGTTTTCATGTTTTCATGTCAGCCACCTCATGTAATCCAGTGCTACACTGTCTAACTTTGTGTTATCATTCGTAAAAATAAAAAAATATATGTAAACACACCAGCATAGACATGCATGTGTCCTGCCATGTTCAGAAAACCTCAAAAGTGAAACAGAAAAATAAAGAATTTGTTTGTTTAACAAATTCTCTGGATACATTGAACGACCAAAACCGAGAACAGAACTACTCAAATCTACTTTTACCTATCAAGCCATTACAGGATGGAACTCAATACCTAATCATATAAAAAATTCAAGCACAAAATTGGTTTTCAAGAAAAACTTAAAACAACACTTGATGAGACTAAGTCTGTACTTATGTATTTTATATGATCCTGTCTTATTTCAAATTGATTCCTTCTGTTATTTCTGTATAACCATGGATGAATGATTGTGTAATGTTTTATTTTCTGTGTTGGACCCAATGAAGACTAGCTTTGTCTTGACAAAAGATAATGGAGATCCTAATAAACAATAAACACACTGCAACACACTGCAGCAAACATCGATGTGAAAAATCAGTCCTTGTAGTCGCTCAGTTTTGGCCATTAAGAACACTTGGACCTATAACGCACCCGGCTAAATCCAGCGCTTGCTGTGAAAAGATGAATTATTCCCATGGTAACTCATTCTTAGAGTGTGTTTGTGGGTGGGATTTGGGCTATAAGATTTGCAGATGTAATTCTTTGGCAGAGATTAGGAGTGAAAGTCGATCCTACACAGACCTTTACTCTGATATTAACCAGCTCTTACCAGCTGTTTTATCAGGTTAAACAAATGCACGTCTGAGTGTGCCCGCCTGTCTGTTTTTCTGTCTGTCTCAGTCACACCCACTCTGCTTTTACCACCCTTTTCCGCTCTACTGCTCGCTTTCTCCCTCTCCATCACCCAGAGGGGTAAATTACCAGTCCGGTGGGAGGGGGTGAGCAGTCCTCCAGTACACACACGCCCATATATAGGCAGCAGACGTTAGGTAAACGCTAGGTAGACGTTAGGTAAACTTAAAACAGGCACTACTCAGTCAGCTACTTTATTTGTAACACCGATATGCCTCTCTGAGCTGGCAGAGATGAGGAAACATGGTTCAGGTTGTGTGGTTGGATGTGGGAAAAGGACAGCAGGTGTATGTATGAGGGAGACTAAGCGTGTTTGTAATAGTGACTGTATTTACACACATTTCTACAGTGATGACCACATTCATTTTAAGAAAAACACCTTCCACTGTTTAAAAATGTGTTTACATTAGAACTTGCAGCTCTGTGCCCATTTTTTGTTGAGTTTTTTTTTTTATTGCTGCAGTGAACGAGCCAAATGCAGAAAACATGATGTCATGTCTACATATTTCCTCGTTGCTACAATACAGCAGAATTTGATAGAATAATAACAGTACCTTTAAACATGTCTTACAGATTTACAACAAAGTTAAACAAAAAGAAACCCTTTGAATAAAAGGCAGGAATCTATCCTTTCACCTCAGGTGCAATTTGTTTTTTCACTTATCTTCTATGAAAACATCTGTGTTTGCTCTTTCTCTACCATCACCAGAGTGTGAATGAGTGGCCCACAACTACAATTAAAAATCCTGACTGATCCTATCATTACTTTAAAGCTATCATGTGGCTCAGTAGACAAAGCAAACTCCTGCAGCATTCTCTAGATTAGAAGAGTTGAGGAGGAACGGGTCCTTGAACTTTCTGCAGCCATAAAAATCTGCCCCACACCAGAACAAGACTCTGCTCTGCGGTGGATTGTTCAGACCTGATGGATCTTTGGCATTTGATCATTAAGTTTATGCATGTTTTGGTTAGCAGGAGGGGAATGATGTCAGCCCCACGGCTCAACCAGCCCACACCTTGGCTCCACTGGCATGATATGTCAGCAACCATCAGGGTGGTATTTGGGCTTCACATCTCGCAATGGGAGAGGAAGGTGCAGCGTTGATTTCAACATACAGTCCATGGTGGGGATTCACAGACATCAAACGTCCCATGTGTCTGGGTCTGCTGTCGTGGATGGCAGTAGCTCAGGAGGTAGAATGGTCATCCGACAACTGGAAGGTTGGCGGTTCAATTCCCCCCTATCCTAAGTCTGTCTGTTGTGTCCTTGGGCAAGACACTGAACCCACCCGCCAGTGTGTGTCCTCCACTGGTGTATAATTGTGAGTGTTGTGTGGTGGTGGTCGGAGAGGCCGTAGGCGCAAACTTGCAGCCACGTCTACTAAGGTAGTTTACCACCACCAGCGTGTGACTGTGTGAGCGAATGAATGATGTATCCAATGTAAAGCGCTTTGAGGGTCTCTGATAAAGCGCTATATGAAATCTTGATGTATTAATTAATGAGGACTCAAGTTTGAGACCTGGACTGGAGTTGCACTTGAGTCGCACACTAGCGTGGCTTCAGACTTGACTCAGTCTTGCGACACTTCGAACTAGACTGGTACAAGACTTACGTTATTTGAGTGTCTGGCTTTTATGTGAAAAGATCAGACACAAAGAGACTGCAGGAAACAGGTCACACTACTGCTAAAAAAAGAGAAACACATGTATCAGGGGCTGATTTGGAAGATGGGTAAAGGTGCCTCTGCTCCAGGGGGCAGGGGGACAAGGGACAGGGGGGCTCGTATAAAATATCAACAAAAAGTGCTGGTTATTTGGTGTGTCAGTCACAACTGACCTTTGAGTATCTGACAAATCACTCTGTTGTTTGTAAGTTTTTTCTGATGTTTATTCAAAATCTTGACTTCACACCTGTGTTTGTGACCATAATGTTACATTTTTCCCCTTCATTCCCTCTACCCTCGTATTATTTCACTGCATAGCTATGCAGTACCATCAAAGCTAAACACAAACATGCCAGGTCCGAAAACAGAGCAATAAAATCTTTTAAGACCAATTATGGGAGCTCAGGTAGCACTTTGTGTCTCTATTTCACGCACAGACATAAAAATGTAAATACATGGCTGGGCATTGTCAGCACTCACTCTAACAGAAATAGAACACAGAAATTGAGCCATTTTGGAGTGAACTCAGAGCCAGACGTTTTACATGATCATGACTCAGAGACATTTGCCCACAAAGGTAGTGTTTCAATTACTTCTGATGAATTATTCATTATTCCACCCAATTTTATTGATGAGGCACAAGACTAAAAACCATATCTAGGCAGGGATTGACAAAATCCAGAAGCCCTGTAGGTCTTGCACAGGTTGCCATGGGGTCATGGCGATACAGGTGAGCAGAAATCATATCAAATCCTCATGGTGTTCTCCCAGAGGTTGGAAAATCAGCCCATGTCCTCTCATCAACTGTGAAACCTCGTTCTTTCGTGAAATGACAAGCCATTCGCTCTATGTAAGGGTTCAAATGTTGCACCAAACATCGGTATGCGTGTTGAGGTGCCATGAGCTCATTTACTTCATCTGGGTCCAGGCCCATTACCTCCAGACAAAGAAAATGTTTCAGAATCTTGCCAGGTTCAGACATTGAGCCTTGGGTGCTGGGACTGGACCAAGCGGCCCAAACATGGAGAAAAAAACTGCAACACTGGTTACAAAAAAAAAACAAAAAAACAAAAAAACTGATTGTTTCCAGGGATGCTGACTGCTGTGTCTCAACGGCAGCATGGTCTTTCTAAGAAAACAAAACACTGGTGAGCAAAACAACACAATGATGTTTGTGTCAATGTCCTTTTAATTCTCCATGTGACTCAGTGGACCGGTGACATCTCTGATGATATACTGTGTGTTTTCTGAGATAGTGTGTGAGAGCCAGTGCAGTGATGCTGGAGAATACATGATTTTTAAAAAATTCTTTGTCTTTTATTTCCTTCACTTTCTGTCTCCCCTTCTATCCCTTCCTTCTTGCAGGTTTTCTCTCTCTAGCGAAGATACTACGATGCCACTCTTTCTCACTTGAGTTATCATTATTTTGACTGTTCCACAAAGCGCTGGTTAGCATTGCAGGTTTTGTTCCTCTTGACATATCTCCATCTTTTCCTATGGCACTGAGCTCCGATATGTGGACACTTGCCAAACTACCTCCACCCACCCTTTGTACTAACATACACTTAAATGTGCACACAAGTTCCAGTCAATAGGCCAAAACTATAATGTTGGTTTTTTTTAAATCTGTCATCAATATTTACGACTTGCATGTTATTAGCACAGTATTTATGTTACTTTCTGGTAAGCTACAATGGTCTCTGACATTAAAAGAACTAAATTACTTTGACAAGATTATGAAACCACAAGATTATGATTACTGTAAATACTTCCAATATTGCACTACTGCATAATTTATCTGTCATATACTTTTATTTATAGTCTGTTTATTGCCTTCATATTTATAACCATATGTATAATCTGTTCATAGCCTGTACATACACTACTATAGCCTGTATATACTTAAAGTTATAGCATATTCATAACAATGTTATATACCCGTGATATACTCATGTATATATCTCCTTCATACAGTGTACATTTGTAAATATATTTATACTTGCTGAGCACCTCTGGATGGATGGAAACTGCATTTCGTTGCTCTGTACTTGTGGCATGCAATGACAAGAAAGTTGAGCTCTATTCTATTCTATACTAAAAAAGGATTTTTAGAGAAAAATAAAGTTTATACATCGCTCTTTTAAATGTTTACAGGCCATTGATGCAGTCACATAAGTTTTGTTTTGTAAAACAGCTGTATAAATTAGGGACTCATGTAAAATAAACTAACCATCTTTGTTAACAATGTGTGTATCTTCCTACAGTTTGTTTGATTTCTGATACTGTCATAAATGAAATCCATGAGGACTTTCTCGTAGTTACGCTTTCTTTCTAAAGAGCCTGGAGAGAGTGAAACAGGGACCCCAAGTTTTTACAATACACACACTCCCTCTCCTCTCCTACACGTTCACCCCCCCTGTTTTCTCTCTCACACCTCCCACCCACTCTTCATACTCTTTTTGGCAGTAGAGAATCAAATAAATGCAGCTCAACAGTCATTGGGGGGTTAGAACAACCCCTTTGGTTTAATGAGGTGATCCAGAGTGTTTTCTCTCCTGCTCCCCCTCCTTGACTATCTTTCTTCAAATGTCTCTTAGCCAATTAGAAAGTGTCCTGTCTTGCATCCTTTTTTATGCTCACTCATTTTCCCTCCTTTTTTCTGAAGGCCTTGTTGAGACCTGATAGGCTTGCTGGGGATAAAACCTGCAGCTAGGGAGAGGAGAGGGACATTTTGGAGAGAGATGGCGAGAGGGACGGCGGTCACTTACCTACATGGAGTCCTTCTCCTGGCTCTGTGGAAACCCTCACTCCAAGGAGGTAGGTGCCCTTTAAGTGTATGCATGCAGAGCTATGCAGCGCAACACCTGTGGATGGGACAGTAGATTTTTTTAAGGCACATTAACCTTATGCCCCTTTTTTAAAAGAGGAGGGATGCACATACTCAGGTTATCTTGTCTTTAATAAGCAGATCATTGCATTCTGGATCAGATTTGCTCATTTTAGGAGCTGCAGAACATGTGATTAGATTATTGATAATCAAATGATGATGAAGAGGTTGCCTAATATTCTGCTAAGAGATATGCAGCTGCAGAGTTGTGATGACCTTCTACACACATTTCAAAGGATGCACACAGCAAGAAATTTTAAAATAATTCCATCATCTCACTGGTTACCAGAAAAGTGACCTTACTTTTTGCAGTCACATGAGATTTCTAACATCATAAAAACATGCAGTCAGTTTTCACCAGATTTTCAGGGTTTTGAAGAAGTTTCGCGGTACAGACTAAGCATGTGTGAATAGATTTGTAATCCCTGAACCAGATGTAGAAATTATTCAGTGTTGTCATCAAACTGACAATCTGATTAAGACAAATGATTTATTGATACAATTTAAAATACAGCCACATAAAATTCAACCCCCTTTTGTTTATATAGATGAAAGGAATTACCCCCCCAGGTCCAGCTCCTCTTCAGACTCGAGGTCTCACCAACATGGGAACAATTAAAGCCTTTAATGAGATACAACACCTTATTAAAAGCTCTGACTATAACCATGTGCGTCAGACGTCAACCCACCTGATCGTTTCTCTTGACTCTTTGAGCCTCGAGTTTTTCGCCCGTACTAAAGATTCCCAGTAGTCTCTTCTTTGACTCGTTACAGCGGAGCGCAGAGGGGGGTTGAAAAGTTGTCCAAGGCTGTGGCGTAACTTGAATAAATACAAGGTCAGGTTGAACCGCTGCTCGGTCAGTAGAGAATCAGGAGACAAGTCACCGTCTTTGATGCAAAGAGTAACTGCTCACCAATCAAACTGCAGAAACCACAAATTTGAGAACATTTTGTGTAGGAGTAGGATGAAGAGTCAGATATTCTGAATGGTTTGCTAAAACTACGAAATCCTGAACTAAATTCTATATCGATATATCCTATAACATCAGGGAATCACAAATGCCTTTATCCATATTTTTGCTAGTTGGTGCAAAATTTGTTGACTTCAAACTGGATGAAATTTTGGACTCTTGAAATAATGCGAAAAGACAATTAGGATAGGACAAAGGATCTCCAGAGGCAGTAATGTTTCTCTGATGGGGATGCAATCAATTTTGCAACCCAGGAGTGTTCCAATACTTCAGTATAGGTGGTCTAACTAAGTTACCACATCACTATAGTGGCTCAAAAACACTACAGTAGGATATCGTAGGCCTATTTAACAAAATGAGACAAATATTACCTACTAATGGGATTTTAATGTTACAGAAGAGATATAATCTTCTCAAAGCAGCGAGCAATCCCTACATCCCTACAATCCCTCCATTTCCAAGAAAAACATTCTCATCTCATGTATATGATAAACCCACATTTGAAAGATGTGAGTTCATAGTTTTACCCGTCTAATAAATTTGATGGAAGAGTCCTCCCAAAATAACCGAAAGTTTTGGGGGTGGAGGATTCTGTCCAGCAGAATCCAGCGGGCAAGAGCTGAATGACTAAACAGTTCAGTTATTTACAACTTGTTGTTAATGTGCTGTACATGGCACTCCTGTGAGATCAGTTACTCACATTCTTTCAGGAATCCCAATGGACCTCTTCTTTTCACATCTGGACTGTGGGATCCTAAAAAAAACCTTTCCTTTTATAGTTATTTGCTTTCTGTGTTCTATTTTTGGCTATTGTGATTTGTGAAATAGGATATAGGTGCAGAATAAAGATGAGGGTTATTACTGAAGGAAAGGAGCGTGCATAAAGAATTTGTTATCAGCTGTGGAATAACTCAGACTCACGCAGAGCACAGGATAGATAATCACTGCTACACACTGAAATTAGGTCATACACACACTTATCTTCTTGTCTATCTATGTGTTTTATGGGGTGCTGGCAAAGAGAAGGAAATCATACCTAAGGATGACTCATAAGTACCACAAAGCCTGAAAACAACAACAACAACCATGCTCAACTGTTGTTTGTATGCTGAAAATCAAATTCCCTGTGTCGCTCACGTTGAAGGAAATATGTTTTTTTTTTACTTTTGTCACAACACTCAGATATTTGTTCGTTGTGGTTGGTGTTTTTAACTTAAAGGTCCTGTGGTTTGTGTTGATTTTGGTGCTCCATGCAGACAATCTGTATGTTTACCGTATCTTGTATGTGTCAAACTGCCAAATTTATCAGTCTTTGGGAATATTCAGTAACTACAAAACTGTTTTGGCAGCGTTGCGTAAACCACCTCAATGTCAATCAAGCGACAGCAGTTCAGGCAAGAAAATTACAACACAGAGTTGTCTGAGGATCTGGTTTCCTTATGCAGTTTATAAAGAGATTTTACTATTTATTTTAGTTTGTTCCATAAAACTCCTCAGAGCAGAGAAGTAGTAATACCTCTGAACTATTTTTAGAATGACACTTCTGTTGCCCGTTGTATGACTAAAAACTGAACCTGTGTATTAGGTGTATATGTACCTACTGGTGGGGCAGCAGGAGGAGCTGGTACGGGAACTGGATTCGGACCAGGTGGGACTGGATTTGGCCCTGGGGGAGCTGGGACAGGGTTTCAGCCAAGTGGAGGAGCAGGACTTGGAGTAGGAGGAGCAGGTGCTGGTCTAGGAGGTCTTGGACCAGCGACCGGTGCAGGTATGTGCCATTTGTGTTTTCTGTTAAATTTAGCAATAAATTGATACTGAAATTATGTTATGAATTAAGAGCAGAGATATTCAAATGTGGAATCAGATTCCAGATGTCTTTCTGTTCATGGAAACTGGGGCTAATGTATTTACTACTAAATTTAGGGTTCTACCAGAATTAATTAATGTGCTGTAACTTTCACATTTCTTAGTTTAATAACATCAAGTCTATTTAACTCAGGGGGCTATGGTGGACGAGGTCCAGGTGGAGTTGGACCTGGAGGATTCGGACCAGGTGGAGTTGGTCCAGGAGGATTCGGACCAGGTGGAGTTGGACCAGGTGGGGTCGGCCCAGGAGGAGTTGGTCCAGGAGGAGTTGGACCAGGTGGGGTTGGACCAGGTGGAGTTGGACCAGGAGGATTTGGACCAGGTGGAGTTGGCCCAGGAGGAGTTGGACCAGGTGGAGTCGGCCCAGGAGGAGTTGGACCAGGTGGGGTAGGACCAGGAGGAGTTGGACCGGGAGGATTTGGACCTGGAGGAGTTGGCCCAGGAGGATTTGGTCCAGGTGGAGTCGGCCAAAGAGGTAAGACAGCTGTCAATGTTTGACATTATGATCAAGATGTCTAGTCCAGTAGAATTTCCATAGTAAAAATTCTGTAATAAATGTTATTTACTCTCTTCTTACAGGTGGAAAGCCTCCAAAAACAGGTAAAAACCATCATGAGAGAGCTTTTTTATGGAACATGAATGATATTTATGATTTATATCTGTGGAAAATGTCTCAATCGTTGTATGTGTAACAACAAACTTACACCTCAGACTGAGTTTTGACTTGGTTTTTGTATCAACCTGAAGGAGTTGGCTATGGTGGTCAAGGAGGAGTGGCCGGAGGGTTTGGAGCAAGGCCAGGAGGGGGTGTAGGGGGAGGACTGGGACCAGGTGGAGTTGGACCTGGAGGATTTGGACCAGGTGGAGTCGGACCTGGTGGAGTTGGACCAGGTGGAGTCGGCCCAGGAGGAGTTGGACCAGGTGGAGTCGGACCTGGAGGATTCGGACTGGGTGGAGTTGGACCAGGTGGGGTTGGACCAGGTGGAGTTGGCCCAGGAGGAGTTGGTCCAGGTGGAGTTGGTCCAGGTGGTTTCGGACCAGGCGGTGTTGGAGCTGGAGGCTTTGGAACTGGGCCTGGAGGAGTTGGACCAGGTGGTTTTGGACCAGGTGGACAAGGCACAGGTATGGAGTTCGATCTTTAGCATTGAAATATATTTTGTGATTAAAAGCAAAGGGCTTTATAATTTCTTGAAAGATTAAATAATGGGGTGGTGCCATTGTTGTACAAACTATTGAAATTTGCGAACATTTGAAAGAAAGGAACAGTTAACAGTGTGCACAGACGATATGGAAACACTTTGCAATAACTATAATTCATAAATGGAAAATTGATCATTTATTAATGTTTAATCAGCATTTAAATACAGCATATAGACCAAATATAAATGGCAAATAGATAGTTTAATAACGTGAATTAATAGTTACTTTACCATTAACAAGCAATGAAATTAATAAATAGTCTATTAATAGTTAATGAAAATTATCAATCATAAAGGTTTATATTGGGTTAAAATGTTGGTTGTAAAAATATGTGTCAGTAGCACTTTGTAAATGGTTAGTATTTGGTTTTTAAACCATCATTAAACATTAAGTATTGTAAAGTTGCAACTGATGTTTGTAATACTTTGTAAATGATTAATAAGTGGTTTTTAAACCACCTATAAACATTACTTAGATGGTTATTGTAAAGTTAGGGTTAGGGTTAGTTAGGTTTTCAAAATTGTGAAATTTACAATTTACTAAAGGTCTATATGCTTTTTATAAATGACGATTAAACATTAACAAACAATCTTCTTACCATTCATAAATATAAGTTATGGTTATTGTAAAGTGTTACCGAGGATCAGATCACTCAAGACAGCCAGATAATTAGTTAATTTGTTTTATTCGTCTGATTGCTCTATAGGAACAGCAGCCATCTACAAAACCACCTTCATAAATACCGTTTTAGATCTAAAATCTTGTTTCAATATCTAGTTAGCTCATATCCTATTAACAGATTTCCAGCTATGTTTATGTCTCTCACAATAAGTGGAAGTTCCCCTCTTATAACATGGATCGGTGGTTGGCCCTTGTACTGTAAATATTGTTCCTCTGGTTGAATCAATGGAGCAGGATAAGAGTTGCATACATGTACCATTATTTCATTTCCTTGTTACCTCAAGGTTATAACCTATTGTTGAGGGGCCACCCACCCTCATGTGCACCCGCACACTGTGCAGTGATAAAGGCTAATGCATTAGGCATGGCAGGTCCCTGATAAAGGACGGAAGTCATCACGTCAGTCAGAAAGACCACTTAGCTTTGGAATATCAGGCCTCTCTGTTTTTCAACCCTCAAACATTGAAGTTGCTTTGCAGGATGAGGAATGTTGGTGATAACATCCAAACGATTTCTCAAGAGCTTACGCCATGTTTTTTTTATTTTTGTAGTCCTTTTTGACTTGAACCTATTATTCCGCTGGGTTAAAAGTGGGTCATTGCAAGCACAGGAAACAGACTTGCATTTCACACTTTCCAGTTTACTCTAAGTCTGGCCATCTCTGCTGCACAATAATGCTCACAAACTGTGTTTAGTTTTACCCTGCTCCACCCTAAAGACTAAGACTCAAGCATCCTGGTTCACCTGAACAAGCACTGAGAGGCTGGCGTGTATAAACGCTGCTGTTATTCAGTTTTTAAGGAAAAATCAACAAAAATTAATTAAAAGTTAAACTGCCACACCAAAACATTGATCCAAAGCAGCTACCACGATGACATTTATGAGTGGAGAATAAAGTTGCTGAATTCATTAACCAAATATTTAGAATTTAGAGCCATAAAGCAGATTGTACTGAAATGATGAGTACTGTGCAAAATCCCCTCTTGGCAAGAATTAGGAGTTCCATTTGAAGCATAATGTGGCACAGTTTTATACGACAGAACGAGTTGCTTTAGTCCCTCAGTAGTTTTTTCTCTGCCCAATACATCATAGAGGTTTCAGTTTCTTGTTATAGCTGTGGGCACATCATAGCCTAACCCTTCTGAGAGATTCTTTAGAAAGTTAGACATGTACACTTCAAACGGATGCTTAAAATCTTTCTGGAGAACAAGTTAATCCCTAAAGAGGTTTTTTCTGGGGCAGGCTGCATACATGTATAATATTACAAAAGGGTGGAGACTAGGAGGGACATGCTGAATTCATTAATGTATGATGTAATGTATGATGTGATGTACTGTAGACAATAGAGCAAGTGTAGATAGTACACAGTACTTTCTCTTTTTTATCTGATCATCAGGCCTTAAGACAGGGGGTGTGGGTGGAGGAGTGCTTTGAGCAGGAGGCCTTAGCACTGGCAGAGGTCAGGGTGCTGTAAGTGGGCTTGGAGCAGGAGGTCATTGGTCTTATTTTGTCTTCAACTTTTCAATTTGCTTTTTCTTTGTGTGCAGCTGAGATTAGTTTTTAAAATGCTGAAAAAAACTATTCCAAGTGTTCCAGAGTCATGACAGCACAATTTACATTTAGCTTTACTTGACACACCAACGACAACACAGCAATTCATCAAGCTGCCAGAGTCGCTCCTCTTAAACATCCACCTATGGGACTGATCAGTTGTTCTTTATACTTTCATGAATTTCTCATTCTTCTTTGAAGGATATTTGTGCACTAAAAACGTGACTCTCTCCTCCCTCAGGTGGATATGGAGGTGGTTATGGAGCAGGAGGTGCTGGCCAATACCCAGGATTTGGCAGAACTGGTCCTAAACCTCCTAAAACAGGTATTTGATGCTTGATTATAACTGTTGTACAGATAAACTAAATACACAGGTGACCAAAACCCCCCTTTTTGTAAACTCAGGTGGAGCTGGAACATCGCTTGGAGGTGCAGGTTATGGACCTGGTGGTGCAGGAGTTGGGCCTGGGGGAGCAGGGTTTGGACCTGGTGGTGCAGGAGTTGGGCCCGGGGGAGCTGGATTTGGACCTGGGGGTGCAGGAGTTGGGCCTGGGGGAGCAGGGTTTGGACCTGGTGGTGCAGGAGTTGGGCCCGGGGGAGCAGGATTTGGACCTGGGGGTAGAGGAGTTGGACCTGGGGGAGCTGGATTTGGACCTGGTGGTGTGGGAGTTGGGCCTGGTGGTGCAGGAGTAGGACCTGGGGGTGCAGGAATTGGGCCAGGGGGAGCTGGATTTGGACCTGGGGGTACAGGGGTTGGACCTGGGGGAGCTGGATTTGGACCTGGTGGTGCAGGGGTAGGGCCTGGGGGAGCTGGATTTGGACCTGGGGGTGCAGGAGTAGGGCCTGGGGGAGTTGGATTTGGACCTGGGGGTACAGGAGTTGGTCCTGGTGGTGCAGGGGTAGGGCCTGGTGGTGCAGGAATTGGGCCTGGTGGTGCTGGAACTGGTCCTGGTGGTGCAGGAGTCGGGCCTGGGGGAGCAGGAGTTGGGCCAGGAGGAGGAGGTAGCTTTTTTCATTTTCTTGATGCTTTGCTGTGTTTGACAATGTTAATATAAGTGTGAAAGATTAAAACATTATTTATTAATTCATATTCTTTGAAAGCAGCGGATACTTAATGTCATAATGAAAAATTACTTTCAAATGCACTTTGCAAAAACAATCCCTGCAATGTGCTGTTAAGTTTTTTTGTTTTTTTACTGCCAATGGTCCATGTATCATTAAATGACAAATATGCCATTAAAATACCCTGTTAGTTATTTCAGTTTTGTGTAGGGTGGAGGTTATTTTAGTTTTTTAAGAGACTATTCTTTGCACTTTTCTTTTCTATGCATCCCTGTTGCTGTACCAGTACTGCCACAAACTGGAACAGGAGTAGGACCTGGGGGCAAGACTGGTGGTAAAGCATCTAAACAGGTTCCAGGTAAACTTCACAAGAAGACATCTACTTTAATAAAAAAAAATGTTGTATAACATTAACTGTACAGGGAAGTTGATTTATATTTATCACTCAGGAATCGGGGTCCCTGGACTCTATCAAGGTGGATTTGTACCGGGCCAAGGTAGGTTTTAAAATATGAAGCATACAAAAAAGGGTTAAGATATGATACTGGAGTAAATTTGTGACAATTGTGTGGTCGATTTTCTGGCTAGGTTTTGGTGGTCGAGGTGTTCTCCCTGGGGTGGCCACAGGAAATGGTCTTGGACCTCAGACAGGCATGTTGTGGCACACTTTGTAAATAAACCTTTGAAAAAACACCACATACATCAAAGATTAAAACATATGCTTTACTTCTCTCAGGAGCAGGAGTACTTGGTCAGGGGGGTGTTGGACCTGGAGGAACAGGCAGTAAGTGTTACAAACTCCTAAACTGATTAAATGTGTCAGGCTTTTTTTTTTTTACATTACTTGATCTTTCAAGGAAAATGATCAATCATAAATGTTATCTACGTTTCTTTTAGCCTTTCACAGTATTAGCATCTCTGTAGTAAATTTCTCATCATAGATGGCCGTGGACAGCAGTTGCCCGGAGTCTTTCGAGGTTACCCTCTCATAACACCAAAATCAGGTACACATGAACATACTTTTTGGGTTAATTCCACAGCTGCATGTAAGGATATATAAGGTTGATTGTAAATTTGTCAAATAAATAAATAAACATAATCTACTCTATTAACTACAGGTGCAGGGAAATCAAAGAACCCAGCCAAAGCTGCAGCAAAGTCTGGTAAGAAGCACCAGCCAAGCTTTGCTCAACAACAGGCATGACGGATTGGTTTTCTCTAAATGTTGATAGTCTATTTCTTTCCCAGGTGGAGCTGGGGCTGGAGGAGGTGCACTGGGTCAAGCCGGCACTTTGGGGATAGGGACTGGAAGAGTCCCAGGAGGAGCTGGACTCACACCTGGATTAGGAGGTGGTGCTGGGGCAGGAGGTGGAACTGGAGCTGTACCTGGATTTGGAGGTGGAGTGGGAACAGGAGGTGGACCTGGAGCTGTGCCTGGATTTGGAGGAGGAGCTGGAACTGTACCTGGGTTTGGAGGAGGAGCTGGAACTGTACCTGGGTTTGGAGGAGGAGCTGGAACTGTACCTGGGTTTGGAGGAGGAGCTGGAACAGGAGGTGGACCTGGGTTAGGTAAATTTGAAGAGTTACACATTATTTATGTCTTTTAAGTGAGTATGGATCCATCAAAGAACTATACATGAAAATATTTTACATTTTATTAAAAAGAACTTAAATGTTTCAATGAGTCACACCATTGTGAAATATCAGTGGAGTTTTTAGAAAGGTTTTTTTGTGTTTCACTAACTGGTCACTTGGATATATTTTGTGTCATAGGTTTTGGCCCTGGCTCAGCAAAAGCACGAAAATATGGTGAGAAATATTTCTAGAGTTTATGAAAGTTTTATAAAATACAAAAAAAATCTTGAATTTAAACATTCTTTTATAATCTGCTTCTAAAATGAACTAAAAATCAATCCAGGTCAGCAAGGTGGTGCAGGTACTGGAGTGGCTGGAGGTCTTGGAAGGGGAGGACTGGGTGGAGGAACTGGTGTTGGTCTTGGCACAGGAGGAGTGCCTGGTTCTGGGATTGGAACAGGCTATGGACCAGGTGGAGTTGGACCTGGAGGTGCGGGCACAGGCTATGGACCAGGTGGAGTTGGGCCTGGAGGTGCGGGCACAGGCTATGGACCAGGTGGAGTTGGACCTGGAGGTGCGGGCACGGGCTATGGACCAGGTGGAGTTGGGCCTGGAGGTGCGGGCACAGGCTATGGACCAGGTGGAGTTGGACCTGGAGGTGCCGGCACAGGCTATGGACCAGGTGGAGTTGGACCAGGTGCTGTGGGTGGTGGTTATGGATTTGGACCAGGTGGTGCTGGCACAAGTACAACAGGAGGAAGAGGGGTTGGACTTGGCACTGGAGTTGGCCCCGGCTCTGGAGTTGGTTTTGGTCCAGGTGGTGCAGGAACAGGGCCAGGTGGTCTGGGCTATGGTCCTGGTGGGGCTGGAACTGGAACAGGGCCTGGAGGTAACGATTCAGGTTAAATATTCTACAATAAGATGAAATTTCTTAACAATTTAAAAGATCTTTACCCCGTGAGTAAAAATAACTGTATTTGTTTTTCAGGGTATGATGCCAGCGCAAAAGCTCGTAAATACGGTAAAAAATAAAAGCTAAAAGACAGACTGAGTTTTTTACATTGATAAACTATTTTAAAATGAAGGCAGATAATTTTACAGAACTCTCCCCAACAGGTATGCTCAGTGGAGCCCTTGGAGGAGGAGCTGGCACAGGACCAGGAGGAGCTGGCACAGGCTTTGGACCAGGAGGTGCTGGCACAGGCTTTGGACCAGGAGGAGTTGGGCCAGGTGGTGCTGGAACAGGCTTTAGACCAGGAGGAGTTGGGCCAGGTGGTGCTGGAACAGGCTTTGGACCAGGAGGAGTCGGGCCAGGTGGAGCTGGTACAGGCTTTGGACCAGGAGGAGTTGGCCCAGGAGGTACTGGGACAGGCTTTGGACCAGGAGGAGTAAGCACAGGTGGTGCTGGAACAGGCTTTGGACCAGGAGGAGTCGGGCCAGGTAGCACTGGAACAGGCATTAGACCAGGAGGAGTTGGCCCAGGAGGTGCTGGCACAGGCTTTGGACCAGGAGGTGCTGGCACAGGCTTTGGACCAGGAGGAGTTGGGCCAGGTGGAGCTGGCACAGGCTTTGGACCAGGAGGAGTTGGGCCAGGTGGTGCTGGAACAGGAGTTGGCTATGGACCTGGAGGTAAGGTGAAAGTGATGCATGTCAGATAAAACATGCTTAATAAAGCTTTATTCTGAAGCATTAATAGATTTGTGTGCATCTTGTAGGTTATGCTGGAGCCAAGGCTCGCAAATATGGTAAGGCACAACCAAAAAGAACCTCTTTATGCACATTTATCTGTGAAAATATTAACCGAAGACACAAACCCACCCAAAGCCACTGTATATCTGTGCAAAAAGTTTTCCATTATTAATGAAAATGTAACCTGTAGTTTTTTTTTTAACTATTGCATGTCAGAATTACTTCTGTTTCATTTTAATTGAGAATCATGGACCAGCGCCTTCAGTCTATGGGCTTTGTTTTCTGATTAAAATACTTCAGGTTTGCCAGGAGGTGCTGGAGGCGCCCTGGGTACAGGTGGACGGGGTGTCGGAGCAGGAGGTGGATTGGGTGAGTTAGCAACAATCCAATGCCTGACATGGAACTAACTGAAGGACAAAGGATTTTTTTTACTATGTGCTATTCATTTGGTCATTGTTGACAAAATATTGAGAACTGGAATCTGAACACCAGTCTCGTGCAGCTGTACACTTTAGCCTGCTGTCAATTTAAATACAGTCATAAACAAACTGTTGTTTTTATTTCTACTCCTATGTAGTTACAAACACTTTAAGGTCTCCTTTCTTTTAAGTCTTAATGAGAGCTATATCTTGCACCTGTTTACTGTTATCAAGGGCTACCAGGTGGCACTGGAGGAGCACTCGGGACTGGGGGAACAGGATATGGACCTGGTGGATATGGACCTGGTGGATATGGGCCTGGTGGATATGGACCTGGAGTTGGATTTGGACCAGGTGGTGGCTATGGTGTAGTACCGGGGGCTGGCTATGGAACAGTTACAGGTGTGAATTTACATTTTGTTCAATATTAATTTTGACAATAAATTGGGCTTGTACAAAGAAATCTTTGAACTAAACTGTCCGTAATTTACAGGCTATGGATCTGGATCAAAAGCAGCTAAATACGGTATATAACATTTCTAATTTTGATTGTTCAAAAACATTTGGTACAAGACAGAAAATCCAAGTTAAAAGCTAAATTATGTATGATCCTGGTGTAGGTCAAGGGGGGACTGGTGCTGGTGGGGTTCTTGGAGGAGGTGCAGGAAGAGGTGGTAAGTTAATTATTGATAATGATATTGAATCTCACAAGCTAAAGAGAACAGAGGTGCTCTTTTAAAAATATTTTTCAATGATACACTCTTAAAGTTTTGAGTTTGCTTCACCCTCATAATCTCTGATAAATTTAGAGTTAGTAATGTGGTCAGGGCAGGAAGGCTTTGGTCACAGGCAGTGGAAGTGCAGGTTGGTTACAGCATTTGCACACTAACAGGTTATGTTTGCCAAATTTTAGACATGAGAGGCAACAGAAGCCCAAATCACACATAAGCACCGTATAACCTATCCCTCTGTTGACCTCTGTTGGTAGTTTGACAGAATTGCAGCAACATGCAACATGTTCCTCAGACACCTGACTTGTAACTGTAACAATCAGGTTCCTGCCATGCAACAGACAAGTGAGATAAAGTAGTTCTGTAAATTGATTTTGACCTGAAAATACTGTGACTTTTTTATTACATTTGTTTAAAATATGACTATTCATGTAGTTTACAGGAGCGTTTCCAAAACTTATCAAACCTAACTTAAAGATTCCCTTAGTACATAGTTTTATGGTATGATACCTGAACTATCTTATTTCACATGGTTGTCCTTTTATTTCTAATCACTGATTATGACACATATGACCTGTGTCATTTATCTTACTAGACAGTGACAATTTAGGTTGTAACACTCCGCTCATGAGCTGAACGTAAGCTTGATATTGTTATGTAAAAGTAAATCAATATAACCAACCAGTCTTGCTGTATCTCTCAAGTCTGAGAAAGTTACATGTTTTAGTCTCAACTCCAAAAAGCAGAGGCTTTTGAGTATTAAAGTACATCCTGTTAGGTACAGTTGGATAACAACAATCTCAGTTGAAGTGGTTTTTCAAGTGGCACAAGCCATTACCTTTATTGGCCAGTTTTAAAGATCTGTCACACGTGCTATGTTTAATAACTGTTTTACCTGAGAGTGTAATCGCTACTTACAGGATAACACATTGAAACAACATTATAGGCCTTTATCAAATCTTCCGTCTGTATGTAAGGAATTGAGGAAGTAACGAATAAACTTCAGTTTACTCGCCTTACTTATATCATCTCTTATTTGTATTGTTCCTCAGGTTATGGCACTGCTGGGTCCAAAGCTGCCAAATACGGTATGGTATCAAAAAAAACAAATGCTGAGTGTAAAATGTTGAATGCAACTTTTTCAACTGTGGAACAGAGCCATTCTTTGGTACATCTTTCACAAAACCATTTCTTTGATAATCTAAAGGGCAACCTGGTGGAGTTGTACCTGGTGCAGGAACAGGGAGCAGCACAGCAGGAACAGGAACTGGTACACCAGGGACAGGAGTAGGGACTGGAACAACAGGAGCAGGTACAAGTACTGGCACTGCAGGAACAGGGACAGGCACAGGCACTGCAGGACCAGGGACTGGCACTGGCACTGGCACTGGAGGACCAGGTACAGGGACTGGCACAGGTGTTTCCGTGAATGGCACCAGCACTGGGACAACAGTTAGACCCACAGGTGAGTGTTTTTTTTTCTTTAAGGATTGCAGATCAGTTACAGAAATGAATTGTTTCATCAACACTGTTGAATATTGTGTCTGCTGGTTTAGGAGGAGGGCTTGGGGCCACAGGAGGCACACAAGCTCCACTGTCAGAAGGTACAATCTACTCAAAGTAGAACCTTGTTTATTTCCAGTTTGATTCTACATCAGTATTTTTGCAGTAGCCAGTGTAACCACCTTTGCTGGTTATTGATTATACTCATTACTACTAACCTTTAAAATGATTTACATTTAAAAAATGAGTCTTTTTAACGATTTTGCCCTTATCGTAGGTGATGGTGCTGCAGGCAGTGTGATAGAGGGGTCTGGAGGTTCAGCGGGGGAAGGTATGTTTCACCTTATTGCATTCTTGAGAGTGTGTCTTTACTTATTCTAAAGGGACATTCTTGTTTCGTGCATAAGACAACCTTTAATATTTAAAGGCTTATAACCCCACACTCACAAAATATTACTTACATTGCGAACAAGTTACAAGGGAATAACAAAAATTCACCTTTAGGTATTGTAACTTGAAAACAGACAACTCCTAATTTCAAGTCGTCCTAACCCCTTTTCAATACTTTAAATCAAATTTCAAAAGGGTTGACACATAAAGTCTTTTCATCACGGTTTAAACAGGAGGCACTGGTTTATCTGGCAGACCAGTGGGGGAAGGAGGTGATGGAGAAGTGTTGAGTGGCACAGGAATCCCCATCATTGGAGCAAAGCCAGGTATTTAAGACATGTATGCCACAAATTTAAAAAGACATTTTCAAGTTTTAAAAAATAACACTTGTTTTTTTGCATCGTGGTAAGAAACTCATTTTTTCCCCCTTTTTTAATTATTTTTATAACAGGTCTCAACGGGACTACAGTTTCAGGTCAGCTTTTATTACATAGCCAGAGTGTCTTTATGTTAGTATTCGAGTACATAGCAGTATTTGATTTTGTCACTTTATTGATCAGATATTGTAAAGCCACTAAATCTCCCAATCCATTCTTCACATGATCGATTAAATGGCTAATTTTTGTATCGTTGTGATACACCAGTCTACTAACTAGTGCCATATTTGTTCATGCTAAATCTACTTTGAACTGACTTGATTTTTTTTTTCTTTAAAATTTCAGGTGGTACAGATGAAGGTGAGATTTTCCAATAAGACACACCGTTCTTCTAGATATAATTGCCGTCTCGACATACTCTCAGCACAAGTCTTGAGGCTGAACTCAAAGAATGTCTTCAACCAATTTTCATAAAATTCACTGTGTACTTTTTTCAGGTGTAAGTGGGTCGTTACCTGGAGCCAGACCCCTGAAACCCCCTGGTGAATAAATTTAATTTCTCCTTAAACTTAAATTTGATTTTCTCCATAAACAGATAAATCAGAACTAAGATTAATCTACTTATCCTGCTTACCTTTGAAAGAAATTAAAGAAAAAAAGAACAACTTTAGCAAAGGCGTCTGGAATTCTGTTTGCTAACATTTAGCAAAATAGTAACCTAAAGTTACCTTTCTCTCTGCAGGTGTACCTAGGGGGGACACACCGGGCGAAGGGGATGGAGAGGGAGGTCCTGATGGAGAGAGAAGTGGTACAGAAGGCACGGGTACAGCATTGGGAGGAGTAGGAGGCAGCCCTTCCAGAACAGGAGGGACTGGAGGTGTTTCAGGTGGTGTAGCCGGCACAGGAAGAGGAGACAGTCCTGCAACCGGAGCTGGAGTTGGACCAGGAGGTTCAGCCAGTGGAGTAGGAGGAACACCAAAACCGCCTGAAGGTGCAACATTTTCCATCTTAATGTTCATCCATAGTTTATCAGACATACAATCCAGACACTAGACATACGCAAAACAAAGTGATACTGAAGGAAAATCAAGACTTTGTTTTTACTGAATGAAAGCAATGTTTTTTTTGTTTTTTGTTTTGTTATCGACTGGTGTGGACCTGGTGGGGTAGGTGGGGTAGCAAGAGGAGAAACAGGGACAACAGGAGGAGGTCCAGGGGGAGTAGGTTTAGTACCTGGCGCTGGTGGGCCTAGTGCAGCTGGAACAGGAACCCTCAAACCTGGAAAAAGTAAGTTACTCTCATATCATGGCCTCTAATGTCTATGTGTATATTCTAGACTGAGGACCCTTTATCTAAGACATTTTCCCCTCTTTGTACAATTCAATCATTAATCATTACAGGCTATGGTGCTGGTGGAGCTGGAGTTTTACCAGGTGGAGGTATGCTTTCTAATTCTACTCTTGACAATTGTATAGAGACCAACTGGTGATTAAAACAGACTTGCAATTAGGAAAAACGTTTTGTTTTATGCAGGAATACGTTATCCATTTGGATCTGGAGTAAGACAAGGAACAGGGAAACCAGGCAAAGGTTGTTGTTGTTTTTTCTTCAAAGTTTCTTCTCCTTTTTAATTTTAAAAGGTCTAAAGACATTTGAGAAGGTTTTAAAAAGAAGCTATCCCGTCCCTTATGTGCCTTTTCTTTATCTGTCAGTATATGGAGCAGGAGGACAGGTTGGGGTTGGACCAGGTGGTTATGGAGCTGGTCCTGGTGGCTTTGGTACTGGTCCAGGAGGATATGGTGCAGGCCCAGGTGGCTTTGGTGCTGGGCCTGGTGGATATGGAACTGGAACTGGACCTGGAGTCTATGGAGGCACTGGTCGGGGCCCTGGAGGTGTTGGAACTCTTGGAGTTGGAGGAGTTGGGACTGGAGGCTTAGGTGGAGGTGTAGGAGCAGGCCCTGGTGGAGTAGGTGGTGGACTAGGTCTTGGTAAGTTGAATTCTTTGGAAATAAACTTTTTTGATAAGATGAGAAAACGCATTTAAATGACAGAAAATTTCAAATTACAGTATGATAAACTTTAAAGATGTTCTGTGTAACCTAGGAGCAAGATATGGCACTGGTTCAGGACTTGGTACTGGCGCTGGAAAACCACCAAAAAGTATGATAAGCAATGAAATACACAGACTGTAAATATTTAACTCATAGAAAAGAAATGACAAACCAAAACAAAACCCCAAACATGAATTGACATGTGTTTTCAGGTTACGGAAGAGGAGCTGGTGGTACTGGAGTTGGTCTTGGTGGCTTTGGGGGTGGATCTGGTGGAGCTGGACCCGGTGGTGCAGGAACTGGACCTGGAGGCTTTGGACCCGGTGGTGCAGGAACTGGACCTGGAGGCTTTGGACCCGGTGGTGCAGGAACTGGACCAGGTGGCTTTGGACCCGGTGGTGCAGGAACTGGACCAGGAGGATTTGGACCAGGTGGTGTTGGACCTGGTGGAACAGGACCAGGTGGATACGGGACCACTGGCACTGGCCCAGGTGGTGTCGGAACACGACCAGGAGGTTTTGGACCTGGTGGTGTTGGCACAGGACCAGGAGGCTATGGACCAGGTGGAGCTGGTGTTATTCCTGGTGTTTATACTCCTGGAGGTCAAGGACTGGGTTCCCGAAAACCACCAAAATCAGGTATAATTGTCATATTTTTAAAACCATCAAGAAAAGTAAAATTATGAAGAACTAATAATTCAGATGGTTCACTCCTTCCACCAGGCTATGGATCATCCTCCCTGGGCGGAGCTGGTTATGGGCAAGGTGAGAAACTCATTTATTTCAACTCTGTATAATATTTAAAGTAGAGATTAATATTTATTTGCCTCAAAAAGAGTATTATCAAAGTTAGCAATTTAAATCAGTACTTACTTTTCTTGCACTAAAGCAAAAACAACGCTAACTCTTGTCCAGTGGTATGAAACATCTTCTATTGAACTATTTGTTATGAAAAAGAAATAAAACTTAAAGGTGGGAGTACACAGTGATTTCTGAAGTACAAGGTTAAAATGATTTGGAAAATCTTTAATTTTTTCCTGCTTTTTCAGGGATTGGACCTGGAGGTATAGGGCCAGGTGGTGCAGGAACTAGACCTGGTGGCTTTGGACCTGGTGGCGCAGGCACTGGACCAGGAGGCTTTGGACCCGGTGGTGCAGGCACTGGACCAGGAGGCTTTGGACCTGGTGGTGCAGGCACTGGGCCTGGTGGCTTTGGACCCGGTGGTGCAGGCACTGGACCAGGAGGCTTTGGACCAGGTGGTGCAGGCACTGGGCCTGGTGGATTTGGACCCGGTGGTGCAGGCATTGGACCAGGAGGCTTTGGGCCTGGTGGTGCGGGCACTGGACCTGGTGGTTTTGGACCAGGTGGTGCGGGCACTGGACCAGGAGGCTTTGGGCCCGGTGGTGCGGGCACTGGGCCTGGTGGTTTTGGACCTGGTGGCGCAGGCACTGGACCAGGAGGCTTTGGACCAGGACTAGGAAAGAGAAAACCTTATAAAACTGGTAAATAGTAAATCTAACTAAATGTGCAAACAGTGATTGATTTGTTAGTAAATATTTAAAGGTACATTAAAAGAACAACTATGCCTGTCTTTCAGGTGGCACAGGTACAGGAACTGGTGGGTTTGGGCCTGGGTTTACTGGACCTGGAGGTGCCAGCACAGGAGCAGGAGGTACCTATGGACCTGGTGGAGTACGCACAGGTACTGGAGGTGGCTTCGGACCTGGCGGTGCTGGAACAGGAACCGGACCTGTTGGCTTCGGACCTGGTGGTGCTGGAACAGGAACTGGACCTGGCGGCTTCGGACCTGGTGGTGCTGGAACAGGAACTGGACCTGGCGGCTTCGGACCTGGTGGTGCCGGAACAGGTACTGGAGGTGGTTTTGGACCTGGTGGTGTTGGCACAGGAACAGGAGGAATCTTTGGACCAGGAGGCCAAAGATTAGGAAAAAGGAAGCCGTCTGTACCTGGTACATTTAAGTTATAAAAGTAAAATGGCTGAGTAGATGATAATAACAATTTTGATGGATTAATGAGTCGTGTTGTTAAAGAAAATCATCATTTAAATATTTATATGTTCCTTCTTTTTATTTTATTTCAGGGGGAGCTGGATATGGATCAGGTGAGATGTTATATCAAGTATGGTGAACATTTTTTTGTACATTTATGTGTTTTTTTAACCCCCTTCATTTCATGATTCGCTTTCCACAGGAGTATTAGGAGGAGGTACTGGACCTGGAACTGGTGGCTTTGGCCCAGGAGGCACTGGACCTGGTGGCTTTGGCCCAGGAGGTGCTGGAACTGGTGGCTTTGGCCCTGGAGGTGCTGGAACTGGTGGCTTTGGTCCAGGAGGCGCTGGAACTGGTGGTTTTGGCCCTGGAGGTGCTGGAACTGGTGGCTTTGGCCCTGGAGGTGCTGGAACTGGTGGCTTTGGCCCTGGAGGCACTGGAACTGGTGGCTTTGGCCCTGGAGGTGTTGGAACTGGCGGCACTGGCCCAGGAGGTGTTGGAACTGGAGGCTTTGGCCCAGGGGGTTTAGGACCTGGTGGCCGGACAACTGGTTCCCGGAAACCCTCCAAGTCAGGCTATGGGTCATCATTGGGGGGAACCGGCTATGGACCAGGTAAATTATTTTCAGCGATGCATATAAATATTTTGTTCAAAAGGCCGATAACTACTGATGTAAGTCAACATTACCATCAAGATATTAACCACTCAGTGATATTTTCAAGCAAACACTGTCACCATATGTGCTCGGTAGACTATAACTGGGATGCAATAATTGTGAATTATAATTTGCAACCCTGAAAAAGACCCTGTTGCGCAAACTGAGATGTCTTAACTGTTCAGCATGTTTGTTACTCACAAACCAGTTGCTGGGTCTGGTCAGCAACAATGAAGGTTAAATAAAGCACCTGCAATTATGTCCTCTTTTAAACAGTTTTGGGCTAGTGAATGTGGTTTACAGTCTTGGAAAGCTGAAATATAAAGTATTGCAAAAATGCATTGAGAGGGCTCTCTTGGTTAAGTTTCATCCATATCATTTGCACATTAAACACGTATACAAGGACTTAATGAGCTTTCATACTAATCTATACTAGGAATAAGGAATTGGCAAAGGCAAACACTAGCTTTATCAAAGAATATTCAACTTTAAGGTGAATGAAATGTTTAAATTATTCCCATTTCCCATTTAAAGACACCTCAGACACTACAGACAAAACAAATCGTTTGACGCTTGCTTTTCATTTCACTCTTTCACAAAATATTTATCTTACTAAATTAAGCATTCATCATGCAATATGATTTCATACACCTGACTCTAATTTCATACATGTTGCTCATCAGGTGGTGGAGGTGGTGCTTTTCCTGGTGCAGGAGGACCAGGTGAGTTTCTTCTTTATATAAGGGGAAATAACATCTAATATATAAGCCCTCTCTCTGCTGTGAGTACATACTATATTTAATAGCTATTCTCTGCAAATTTTACATTCTTGATTGATTTCTAAACACTTACTGTATACCCACCTGTCCAGGTAGTGTAGGGGGAGGTTCAGTGGGAACAAGCCAGGGAGTAGGAGGAGGAGGCGCAGGTGGCTCACCAGGTCAGTTTTAATTGAGCACTGATACAAGTAGAAAAAAACGACATAAATGTAACATCTTCATTTAAATACTAATGCATTTTCAAAAACTCAGGCCATTGCAGAGCGATTATATTTTCTGCATGCTGGAGAGATCAGTCTGACTGACCAGTGAGGTGAAAATGAGTTTGGTAGGACAGGCTGTAATGTGTCAATTGTTCCAGCAGGGGGTATAGTCCCAGGATATGGTGGAGGGGCTGGAGGAAGCTTTCCAGGTAAGACAGAATCACTAAATTCACACTGTCTCCCTCTCTCTCTTTTCATTGAAACACGAAAAGATTTGAAATAATGAGCAACACATATTTTAAATGTTGTTAGTCACATGGGGAATTAACCTGCATTGACTACAGACAAACAAGGGAAGATCAAGCCTGTTATACATTCAACATGCATGTTTTCATAACTATCACAGAAATGACAATAGAGTAAAAAGGCCATTGTCGAGATTAAGAAAATGTTTATCATTGCTGTCTTTCCTGTTTTTCTTCTCCAGGATATGCAGGGGCCGGGCAAAAATGTAAGACAACTCACTTTGTGCTTTGTGATAAGCGTGTTCCTATCACAGTTTGTGGACACACAGAGACATACCATACATCCACTGCACACAGTGAGACATGACTCACATGAGGACAATAATACACACCCTCCTCAGATCTAGCCTTTCTAGATGCTTTCCGAGCATTTTAACATACTGTATGCTTAAGGTTTAAGTACAAACTGGAACTGAAATCCTAAAAATAAGAATTTTGAATTTTGTTAAAAACAAACAGACTTATGTTTTGGGAATCATTTGAGTTTGATCTCAAGATATTCAGAGCATGTGTCCTCTTTGTTTTTTAGCGAAGGCACAGAAGGCTGCCAAATATGCAGCTATGCAAGCCTTACTGGGAGCTGGAGGCTACAGAGGTGAGATCTAACATTTTGCATTATTCTACGTAAGACTATATCTTATCATTGTCGGTGTAAATTAAAGGTCTGAAGATCTGTCATCGTTGAATCCAATTACTGTACTCTTTATGATGGACCAACTTTTTTAGGTTTTCAAGTCATACCATTTACAGGAACACAGGATGAACTTATACAGAAACTTCCCAACTTTTAGTTACTCCTAAAATCTTGATAATAAAACAATATAAACAACACAGACATTTTGCCACATTGATTACTGTGGTTGTCTTTTTCTCCCCAAACTGTGAAGAGTATTGTCACTTGTAAAAAATAGTTTGAGCAGGATGTTTAGAAATTTATCACCACTTCCTCTGGTTTTAACTCAGTTTAAAGATAGTTTTCAAAGAAATGAGCATCTTCATGACTTGCACAAAAGCCGTAGTCACAATCTGGCCACAAAAACAGGAGCTATACTGCATACCGAATGAAGAACAGACAGCTCTGACTGCAATCATCTCATTGAGATGCTTCTTTGCTGTATTCTTTGTTGTGGGGATAAAAATTAAGAATATTTTAAAGTATATTTTTTTTTTCTAACTGATTGATTCAGTTTAACAACTTCCTTTGTTCTTGTATTAAGGGGCTGGCTGTCAGGGTAAATACTGTGGCCGAAGGAGGAAGTAAGAGGCCAACACAGGAAGTGACCTCATCAAAACAACAGTGGTGCTATTGCATTTTCCCAGATTGTAAATGTCTTACCTGCAATAGGAGCTAAAGCTTCAACACATTCCAGATATTTCACTTTATTTGTTTTTGTACAAAGTGTCTCTTTCAAAAAGAGTAATGGTTCTCAGCCTACTAGTCTTGTGTTTGCTTCAAATCACGTGTTTCCCTCTGTTGATAGGTGCTACACAGAGTGGTGAAAATGTCTGTCGTCATGTTGCCTGTTTAACTCATCTGAGTTTTCGATGAGACAGCACAAGCTTGAGGATACATTTGTTATTTGTTTGAATTTGTTTCCTCCTGTAATCACCTTGTGACTTTCCCTTGAACCTGACTACCAGGCTGAGAACCATTAAAAATACAAGATCATGGTTTCTTTTAACATTTTAATACAGTGCACTTTGTGTTTATTCATGTTTTTTTTTATAACAAATATTGTTTATGTTCTTGTGCAAGTAACACCATGAATCCTCTGGGTGAAGACTGCAAATAAGGGCACCCTCAGGGCAGCTCCTTTAGACCTGTCTGCATGCTGACACAACATTTTTAAGTCTTCTCGAATACACTTATTTCTTGTCCAGTTTGACTGGATTTAGGGTCTGTGTGATGCTAGTGTAAAGTTTTTTTTTATTCATTCACTGATTTTAAGCTTTTGGATCAATGTGCTAACACTTGAAGGATCTATCAGACAAAGAAACTGGCTGTTTTTTGTCGAGGGGAGTTGTGAACATAATGAGGATTTTCTCTATCTTGTAGTGTTATGACTGGCCATTATCTCCTCCCCTAAAAGCAGCCTGTGTTCATTTTGACTGTTTATAAACTCCAGCGATATCAGCAAATGTGTAAGCTGAAGGTCATCAGCCTTAACTCTCTGAGATTCTTCCCACTATTCACAACAAAAGTTCACAGTCCTCCTGTCCTTCAAAACACTTATTGGTATTGGTGTAAAATTTGCATCATCAAAACTGTGTGTGTGTTTTGTATGGTGTGGCTTAGGCCGAGCTTTAGCTAAAGGGAAATGTAACCGATCTAAATGTGAGACCAAATAATCAGAAAACTCCAGTGAAACCAGAGAGGCATTAATTACTGTGTTTTTCTTATTTTTATGTACCTCTTGTAACACTGTGGGTAATTTGTTCACTTTTGCTCGTGTTTTTAAATTATGCTGACAAAAAGCAGAACAAGCTGAGAGCTTCATCTATTCAGTTTAGTGTGAAAATATGCATTAATACAGTATTGAATATTTTGAGCTATTTTGTGTGTGATTGAGATTTAACAGTTTTTACACATGTGTACAACAGCGATTAATATACAGTAAGTGCTTTGTTTTCAACATTGTCATTAGATGTTTGCTCATTCACAAAGAGCAAACACCGGTGTCTCTATCTATGTACCTCAACATGTTGTTTTTAACATCTTTGTTCTTTATGTGGCCTATGAAGAAAACTGCACTTTTGTACACTTTCAGACAATGCTTTCTGAAATAAAGAAACAACTAATGACAGTTGCTTCAGGTTAGTCGTTATTTTAAAAGAACTACAGGAACTTGGTGCATGCAGATAGCCTAGCGGGTTAGCATGCCCCACATGGTGATTGTGGTCCCTGGTGCGGTTGTGGTTTCAAGTCCCAGCCCCAACCATTTGCTGCATGTCATCCCCCATACACACACTTCCTGTCTCTCTCCACTGTTCTGTCATTTAAAGCCAAAAAATAACTTTGGTGCAAAAGCACAAAATCTGACACAGAGGGGGTTTTGGCATGAGGCGAGAGGCAGGAAGCTGCATGTGTAGAAGCCGACATTGGTTGGATATGTTTACGTGTGGTGGTATTCTGACAGCCACAATGAAACATGAAAAAGACACAACAACAGGCGGGGCAGGCTAAAAATGATAGTGTGGCAGTGAAATGTTGTCTTCATAGCAAAGACTCATATGTAAATATTCAACAGTTACACACTATTGATTTTTTGAATACTGTTAAAGGGATATTCCGGTGTAAAATTAATTTAGAGTCAAACACACCGTAACACTGAGTTAGACATCCCCTAGAGAGATGAATGTTGCCAACCGCTTGCTTCTCTAGTAACACAAACTTTAGTAACGACCGCACAACAGCAATACACAGCAGTCTGAGGAGCCATAAACAAACCTCAACCAAAATGCCACAAATAATGCTCAGAACAGCACCTAACGTCATCAACAGTACATATAGGGTCCCAGCCACAGCACTAGCCACCAAACATCTTTTTAGCTTTGCCTGATTTCTTTAGCGAAGAGACTAAACACAACTCAATTACTCTCTTGCAGTTTACTTTGCTCAATTGCAGTCCATTACGGACTGCTGTGGGGTGATGCAGCTCAAGGAAGAACATTTATGATCATTTCTTCATGAAAATGCAATCAGACCGAGACGCTAAGGCAGAATAACTACTGCGCCTACAGTGCAAAATGATTAATATGGTGATTATTACTTCAAGGAAATGATAAAGATCCCTTTAAGTTCACAAAAACATAAAGCAATGATGCATCAAATTAGTCTATCACCTTATCTACTGACGAATGAGCATCAGAAAATTTTCAAGTATCTAAACCCCCAAAGTAACAGATTTCCTCAAAAGAAAGGCAGACCTTCTATGACATAAATACAGATTTGGTATTGTCAGTTTTGTGCAAGAAGTCTTCAGTCAACTGACACTTTTTGCGGCTTTTAGTTTACAGGACTTCCGACTGCAGTAAGAAAATGCACATGCAGACACTGTACAAAATTAGTATAGATTTTCTGATTCTTTCAAATTCTTTTTAATTATTGGATTAAAAGTACAAAATCTTCCTTAACAAACAAAATATATCACTCACTAAATAAGAAATCCAAGGTGCCGTCATTTGACTTTTCGTCACTGTGTCCTGTGCTCTCTAGGCTGAATTAATAACAGCAGAGCCACTGTCACTCGAACGATCTGAGACTATCTACATTCAAAACTGGACAGTATCAATGGTTTTCTTCTGAGCTGCTCCCTATTCTTAATCTCTAACTAATTTCTGCCTCTTTGTTTGTTGTGTGTGATGAATGGAGTGCTTCACTGTGAGGTCAGGAGAGTGCAGTAATTGGGGCATTCATAAAGAGATTATGTCTGTGCTAATGGGAGCAGAGCTCATTTCCAAACACAGACTCTCTTATAACACTCTTGAGAAAAGCACACTGTCATGTAGATACGCATGTGGCTTTACAGTTTAGACTCTGAGAGCTCCGCTCTCACAGCGTTGGTTTGCAGAGGAGTGAAACTGTATCTTGTGGGTTCTACATACTGAAAGTAACAGGAGAGGGCCCATGGAGCAGAACTTCCATACTGGGATTGGTCCATTTCTAGGCAGCCAGTAGAGGGAGACTGGCCAGCTGGAGTCAGTGGTTCAGAGGTTTCTCTCACGCAGCAACTCTGCACATTAGAAAGGGAACTCATATGGACAGGAAGCCTGTGAGCGAGCGAGAGAGAGAGAGGGTAAAAAAATAGGCAACGCCTGCCACAGAACACAGCAGAATGCATGAAGGATCTTTTACATACAGCTAACAAGCTCCTGAGTGTATTGTCTCAGCCATCTATCTGTGAACTTACAGGGCAGAATGTCACGACGGGACCAGAGGTTTCGGAGAGGAATGAAGGGACGGTAGGTGCCTCTGTCATAAGTTGCTGAGATGTGTTTGTGTGAGTTAGAGTGACTGAAAGTGAGAGAAAGAGAAACGAAGCCAACTGCTATAAAACACATACTATACTTCCTCAAACTGCGTTTTTTTTTCTAACTTTCACATCAACTTTCAGAGTGTGGGTGAACAGTTCAGAAACAAAAACAATGAGAGGCATTGTTATTAAACGGGTTTGCAAAGCGGACTGTGTTACTTCAATAATTGAGATCTTTGGTTGTTTTTTTTTTGTTTTTTGTTTTTTTGTGGACGCCTATTTGTTTTACCCAATCAAACACCAATTTCTCATGTTTATTTTGAAAAAACAGCAACAATTAAATCATTACGTAAGCTACCAGCGAATTCAGACCAGATAGGTTACACAATTGAGGAAAACACCCCTGTGACAGCCAACACAATACCACTGGATCAAAAACAATCTTTCCATGAGTGACCTCTTTTTTTCTTCGAAAAGGAAACCAAGCAGGACAACACAGACGAAACAGAGAGGAAACCGTGGCAGAAGAATATGACGTCTTATTCTTACCACTTGACCTGTGTTAATGTTTTGTTTCAAGGACAGCAGGTGCTAGTTTGTGTCTGCATGTGACACAGGAAGAGATCTTAGAACAGTGAGGAGGTTTATGGGTTACAGGGGACATAGCTTTAGATGGAGGAGACTGGGGTGAGGAGGAAACAGACAGAGAGGATGGAATCTCTGGATGTGCTCGCCATTGCCAACTGTAAGGTTTTCTCATCAAACAGATGTGAAGGTGAGATCACAGATGTGGAGCTGGAAAGTTCCACATCCGTCACTGCCAGCAGCACACTAACACAGAAAGGAGGTCAAAAATGAACCTTCCTGATGCTTTTACCGCTTAATTATTTCCTTAGCAAATGGTAGCAGGCACATCTAATAGATCCCTATAAAACAGGACTTCCTTCAGTGTATTGAAAAGACTGACCTGCTAGGACTGGAGATTAAACAGTAATATTTTTCATCAATTCATGTTCTGTAGGATTACAACTCATCCTCGCAGAGACGTATACATTAACTAACTCATAAAGATGTTCAAACAGCAGCTCTCTACCAATACCTGACAACCATGGGAATCTATTCTCAGTTCATGCTCGTCTACCTTAATGTAATTTTTTACATTAACGCTAAAGGAACTGTGTCCTTGGTATGAAATCAAGAGAAATTAGGGTGCCAGCTTCTCTCAAGTCAAATAACAAACCCACCACCCAAAGAGGAATACTTACTGCTTTTATTTGTTTGGTAAGGATGAGGACTGCACCTATGACCAAATGTAACATCATTGGGTGTGTCTTACACCAGAGAGGGTTCGAGTCTTCCTCTGCTTTATTTCAAAACTTAGGGTGACCTTTCCCTCCCCTATTGTAAGAAGAGCGCAGCATTAACAGTTGAGGTTGGTAGAAAGGAAATATGGAGCTGTACTCTGTCCAGGAAGTCACCTCCCACTCTGGCTGTTGTGTCAGAGAGATAAGGAGGCCGCTTTTTACTGTACAATAGTATTTTTCTGCATTTACTTTAATACTGGAAGCCAAATGAGCATATCTGTTAACAGCAAACATATTATAAGTAATGTAAATCTTGAAGTGGTGGCTATTGCAAACCTGTGGACTACACTTCTCTTTTGTGATCTTTCAGTGGGCTTAACTAACATTAAGTTACAACATTTTTGACTGATCAGTGACCCTGCATGACTTTCTCTTTTGTAAGAAACACAGTCATAGTGACATCAGCAGTTCATTTCCTATAATACCTCGTTTTAACACCAAAACTGAAAAATGCAAATGTATTTCCTCCCAGGGACGTGCTTCACGAACACCAGCATTTTAATATGTCAGCCTCAGTTTCATGTCTGACAAAAGCAGCCATGTCAAGAGAGGGAAGGAGTCAGTGCAAGGCGCTTACTGAAGGTAGAAATCACAAGTTTCCTCAGGGTCGGATACAAATAGTTTTGGACAGTGGGAAATATTCTCTGATATCACAGTGTGGTTTGTATTTCACTAAATGTAGAGTTTGGGAGAAACATCTAATAATGTAGTATAATACATGCAACAGTGACCTTCTGCCACTCTCTTAAAGTGACCTGTGTAGCGGCCAGGTGGATCGTAGCCATGACTGGAAACAGTGACACAGATGTGACATGTGAATTATAAAACAAAGGTCCAAATATGTAAAAATGAGGGCTTAGATTGTTGTTTGCCCACATATTGTGGGTTGATATAGATAAATGTGTTGTAGTGAAGGGGCAGTCGTACATAAGACTTGTCTTCTGTCTGCTCCTTTTCATTTCACATGATAACATGAGAAAAAAAAAAAAAAAACTAAAATAAAAAAAAAAGGATGAGTGCAATGTATTATATCATGTATCATGAATGAAATGAAATAAATAAACATGAATGAATGAATGGATATTGTAAAAAAAAAAAAAAGGTGATAATTCACTTCAAATAGGCTAAACTTAAACCAGGTTATGCTCCTAGTGACCTGACATTGTTCTTCCTGATCCCTTGAATGATGATGATGAGCTTGCAGGTCAACTTGCCCCGTCTCATGTGTTCCATCAGTGATTAGGCTCATGTTACTTTGCTCAAACACACCTTGGAAGTATCTATCAACTTACAGCCTAAACCTACATCATCTCATCCAATCTATCGTGTACTCTTTCCCCCTCCCAACTCTTCTCCTCCTCAGGTGCTCGGAGTGCAGTTGTATCCTATCCCACTGGTACTATGAAAGAGAAGGACAGCTCTACTGTAAGAAGCACTACTGGGCCCGCTATGGAGAGCACTGCCATGGCTGCAAGGAGAGCATAACAACAGGACTCATTATGGTAAACTTGATGATTAGAAGAAATAAGAACTAAATCTTTTCTTGATACCTAAAAGTAGGCTCGACATAAGAGGATAATAACATAAATTGCTGACCAGTTCTTGCTCCCTGGTCTGATTTTGTGATGCTGACTCATGTTTTAGTAGATTTAGTCACATCATCACAGTTTCAGACTCTCCTTTCTTGTTCTTTTCTTGTGTGTGAAATAACTCTCAGAAACATTTTAAATGTGGCCTCTAACAAATTGATTGATAGTTGGTGACGAGCTGGTGTAAAAATAGCTGCTTTATTGATTATTCAAAGTGGCTGAATGGACATCCGTGCTACATTGGATTTAGTGAGGGAAGTATGGGAAAATAATCTCAGCTGGAACAAAAAATATACAGAATCTCAGCGTGCTGCGCCATCCATTCAAACACTGAAAGCCTTCCTGTCTCTTGGTTTCCTCCCTTGCATGAGAGTAAATGCCTTTTTTCTTTCAACTCTGAAACCAGAGGATATCCTCTGGAAACATCCTGGTCCAGGCCTTGATGCCGGAATGCACAGAGAAAGAGGTCTTTTCACTAGAGTCCGCTTTTAGCCACGTCAAATATTATATTTTAAAAACATTCCCTTAAAGGGATATTCTGGCGTAAAATTAATTTAAGGTCAAACACACCGTGACACAGAGTTAGACACCCCCTCGAGAGATGAATGTTGCCGACCGCTTGCTTCTCTAGTGATGCCAACTTTAGTAACAACCGCATGATAGTAATACACAGTGATCTGAGGAGCCATATACAAACCTCACCCAAAACCATCTCTCTTTCAGCAGCTGCCTGTTTGTAGCGAGACCTCAGGCCAGTCCATTACGGACTGCTGTGGGGTGACGCAGCTCAAGGAAGAACATTTATGATCACTTCTTCATGGAAATGCAATCAGACCGAGATGCTAAGGCAGAAGAACTACCGCGTCTGCAGTGCAAAATGATTAATATGAGGATTATTCCTTCAAGGAAATGATAAAGAAATGATCATAAATGTTCTTCCTTGAGCTGCGTCACCCCACTGTAGTCCATAATGGACTGGCCTGACGTCTCGCTACAAACAAGCGGCTGCTGGAAGAGAGTAGGTGAGTTGTGTTTAGACTCTTCGCTAAAGAAATTAGGCAAAGCTAAAAAGATGTTTGGTGGCTAGTGCTGTGGCTGGGACCCTATATGTACTGTTGATGAAGTTAGGTGCTGTTCTAAGCATTATTTGTGGCTATAGAGTGGCGTTTTGGGTGAGGTTTGTATATGACTCCTCAGACTGCTGTGTATTGCTATCCTGCGGTCGTTACTAAAGTTGGTAAAACTAGAGAAGCAAGCGGTCGTCAACATTCATCTCTCGAGGGGGTGTCTAGCTCTGTGTTACAGTGTGTTTGACCCGAAATTAATTTTATCCCGTAATATCCCTTTAACACTTCCCATTTATTGTGTTATTACAACATTGTCTCTTTGAACAGGTTGCTGGAGAGCAGAAGTACCACCCTGAATGCTTCACCTGTGTGAGCTGTGAAATGTTAATTGGCGACGGAGACACCTACACACTTGTTGAACGCACCAAACTCTACTGGTGAGTTTGAATCTTGAGGGTAAAAATGAGTTGTCAAAATACTGGAATAGAAAATGTGTATTTTCTGATCATAATGGTTTCAAAGAGGGCCTCTTCTTTCATCTCATGATCTGCCTGTTGTGTGCAGTGGCCACTGTTTCAGCAAGGGTGTAGAATCAACCACAAGGCCAGCCTCTCCACTCAGCAAGAGCCCCCATTTGGTGGCACTGGTGTCTTTCCCTCCTCACAAAGGTGGTCAAAGAGGCCTGACTGTGGCCACTGACCTCAGCCAAGAGAAAGGTCTTCATGTCACAGTAATAGGGTAAGTCCCCTTGTCTATGACAGTGCCACGTGTAAATTTTGCATGAACTCTAAATTTACTTACTTTATTCAAATAGTTTCAACAGCCAAGCTCATTTGCTGTCCTATCGAAACTGATGGAATTGGATGCAATTTATGATCCTGGAGAATGAAAACCCGATATTCCCTGAGCTGTGTTAATCCTAATGGTTGGCAGAGCACAACTTCACTGGTTGAAAATGAAACTTCAGTTTAATCAAAGTCCATTGAAAACCTTTTAGACCTTTTCTCTTCACTTGATTTATTTCCCCGGCAATAATTGGTCTCAAACTTAAGTTGCAACTCTTCCACAATACAGCCTGATTTTCACTTCGTAAATTGTGATCCCATTTTGAATCAGCTAATCTCTACAGATTATACAGTACCTTAAAATTTGGAATCTGATGGGGAAAGAGTGGGAAGTGTCAGGTTTCCATTTGTATAGTGCCTGTAATCCTAGAAGTATAACAAGCAGCAAGCAGGTTTTTTAATAAGAAAAGTGGGACTTACGGAGAGCAAAATCAGGCATAATACCGCAAAAACATCTGAGCTCTGCCTGAAAGTAATCGGACCACAACTCATCTTAATTTCCAAATCACTTTTGATTTTAAAACTTTGAGGAAAGCATCAGAACTTTTTGATCCAATCTCTGTTTGACAAACAAGAATTTGAAATGTTGTCTTTTTCCCTCAAGGACAAATCAGACAAAGTTTGCACTTAACTATTTACAAATCTTCATCAGTATGTTGTTATTTTTTGGAAAACTTAAGACCTGTTACTCCTCTGTAACTCAAAAGAGAATAGGTTTCTATACCAGGCTTATACCTCTGAAGGCCCCAGTGGAGTCTCTGTGTAATGCACAGTCTACTGTTAAACTGAAACTTGTTGCGTAAACCAGACAGTAAAGCACGGTACGGTTTAAAGATGCAACCACTGGCCCAAAAAAAAAAACAGTATTGCACACACCCATGGGTGACTTCATAGGGGAATTGTCCTACCCTACTTTTAGTGTTCACTTACTGATTATCATTCTCCTTCAGGTTAGACTCAGAAATCCTTGGCACCGACATGCCGTCCACCATACACCCTGGCGACCGAGTATTAGAGGTTAATGGTACACCTGTCTGCGGCATTTCAGTAGACGAAGTAAGCCTCAAACTGCCCTCTGTTTCTTCAATGTTATGAAAAAATCCATAGCTAAACGTCTGTACATTTTCAAATGGATATATCCTCTATTCTAGATAAACTGTGTGATTCAGGACACAAGCAAACCACTGCAGCTGACCATTGAACACAACCCACAGTCCTCTGACAGTCTACTACCATCAAATAATGCCCCAGAAGATGTCAGCTGTCTTGACCCCTGTGTCCACAGCAAACTTAATTCAGCCCACAAACTTCCAAGTCTGGAGGAAGAGCCAAGTCAAGAGGAGACAGAAGAATCAAACAGAATGAGCCTTTCACCACCTCAGCAACAAGGGACAATGGGAATACGATCCAGACACATTCAGTAAGTGCAGACTCTGAGTTCACTTCTAGTTTTTCCTCTGCTCTTTTATTCCTCATATGTTATTCTCCTACACAGGCGCAGCTGTAGTATAGATAAGTGTCCATTGTCCCCTGGAGCACTATCGCTTGTATCTCAAAGAAGAGACATGGTTCGCTCTGAGTCCCTGCGAGTAGACCCCGGAGATCGCACCCATCGCATCTTCAGACCTTCAGACCTCATCCATGGAGAAGTGTTAGGCAAAGGCTTCTTTGGACAGGCTGTCAAGGTAGCACAGAACATTTCTATCATCATTTTGTCAGTTTCATGGTAACGGCTGACTTTGTGTCAGTTCTTCATTGCGTTGATATCAATTGGCTTGTTGATTTATCTGTTACTGTCAAGGTAACACACCAGGAGACAGGGGAGGTGATGGTGATGAAAGAGTTGATACGGTTTGATGAAGAGACACACAAGACTTTCTTAAAGGAGGTAAGAAAACTGGCCGATGCACAAGCCATGGTGCACATGAAAACTTATAGGTCTCGGTCAAAGGAGATGATGCTTTTCTGCAGCTCGCCACAGGTTTTAGTAAGGGTGAGGAACCGTTTAAAAATATACAACCAATTCCTTATACCACTGCACTAACAGTGATGCTGATACCGAGTACTTTTCTGGTACCTTCTTTATCCCACTTTACTTAACAGACATCTTTTAAATGGGAACAATAAGTTGCATTAAATGGTGCCAACACTACTCCTCTCTTAATACATTCAACCGTTCATTTCATCAATTTGTCGGTAATATTACCTTACACAGTTTTAAACCCATGCCACTTTTTTAATTTCAACAACAATGATGAAGTATTTGTCTAACAACAGTTGCGTCAATGTGCACAGGTTAAGGTGATGCGCTGCCTGGATCATCCAAACGTCCTAAAATTTATTGGACTGTTTTATAAAGACAAGCGAATCAACTTCGTCTCTGAATACATCAAAGGAGGAACTCTCCGGGAGACCATCGTAAAAATGGTAGGTTAAAATACATCTCATGATTCTGTGTAAACAATCTCAGTGGCATTTAAGTCATAATCTTGATGTTACAGGATAAGGAGTTTCCTTGGAGGACAAGAGTGAGTTATGCCAAAGACATAGCTGCTGGAATGGTGAGTCTACAAGGATGTTTGTTCTAAAGGTAAAAGATTAATCAGCTACTACCAACCCTAACGCATATATCTAAAATTTCTTTTCAGGCCTATCTACACTCCATGAACGTCATCCATCGAGATCTAAACTCACACAACTGCCTTGTCAAAGAGGTAAACTGCTGGTTTAAACATCTAAATTAACAGCGTTCCCAATGTTTTGCTGTGCTACATTGATTGACAATTAAAAAAAATGAAAAAGCAGATTTCCTTGCTGCATTTTAGTAGATATTATGGTCTTGGGAAGAAACTAGACAAGGGTTATATATTTGCAGCCAGTTCCTTTATGATCAAATTTCAAAATGGTAAAATGTAGTAACAGGTTAAATTGAAATCAATCAATCAATCAAGACATGCTACTGACATTTCACTCCGTCTCTTTCTCATTTTCACCCTCCACATGTTCAGAACCAGACTGTGGTCGTGGCTGACTTTGGTCTGGCCAGACTGGTGATGGAAGACAGAAATCAGAGTCGAATATCATCTCTGGAACGCCCTGGAAAGGGGACTCTGACAGAGCTCCGCAAGACTGACCGGAGGAAGCGGTACACTGTGGTGGGGAACCCATACTGGATGGCTCCTGAGATGATCCATGGTAAGGGCATTCAATTAAAGTAGAGGATTCTCAAGATAAGCATTACCATAGTAGTTTTTGTCATGAGCAAACAAGTATGGTTAAATAAAATCATGCGGGAATGTATAGCATGAGGGGGAGTGTTATAGTTGTACAACATCCTCACAAGAGTTATGCCTTTTATGATTAATGCTTTTTTTTAAATGACAGAAGTTTTTAAAATAAACCTTTCATGAAGTGCAGCACACCACTCTGGTTGTCGCATATTTTAAGTTAATAAGTTTTGAAACAGCACTGACAGGTCTAAGATTAAGAGCAGGTCTGCCAATGGCCAATATGTAATGCCCCTATCAAGTTGTTGTTGCACATATATTTAACACCCAGTGACTGTTTTAAACTGGCACCATGGATGAGGCTACCTGCAGTGTCGGCAGACATCATCTGTTTATTTTTTTTGATGAACCTCATGCTGACTATTTCAAAATGCATCAATGTCAAGTGTTTAAATATCATCTAGGGTCACTTGGGACGGTAAAGATGTTCACAGTTCCCATCTTTTCTCTGCATCTTTTCTTTTCTCTCATAGGGAAAAGCTATGATGAACGGGTTGACGTGTTTTCCTTTGGCATTATGATATGTGAGGTAAGAAAATCTGAGAAAAAAAAATGCACTTAGTCTCCAAGAATTACAGAAATGTGGTGTTTAAAAAGATCTCAGAAATTCCTTTTAAAGTGCTGTGTAAATATGAAAGAAACATGCCCATATTGTGAAAATTTTTACATCAAATCAGCATTCTATCCAGTTTAAAGCTAAATTTGTATCTCTCTTTCTTAGATTATAGGAAGAGTGAATGCAGACCCAGACTACCTTCCCCGGTCTAATGACTTTGGCTTAAATGTAGCAGCTTTCCTGCAGCAGTACCACCCTCCACAGTGCCCGTCAGCTTTCCTGCCGCTGGCAGTCCTCTGCTGTGACATGGACGCTGATAAACGGTATATAACCTACATATTTCTTACCATAGACTTAAATTACTTTATTAAAGTATGAGCTGTGTGAATAATGCTTGGTTGGACCGAGACTGAGTACCACTGTGGAGTGTCTGGGTTGTGTGCTGGCCAAACAGTGAATTCTGTGATTAGCAATGCATTACCAACAAGATGAATCAACACTGTGCGACGTTGTGTGCAAAATGAAGTCAATACATTAATGCTAATGAACATCGCAGTCTCTTCAATAACTCTTCACTACAGCTGTATGCTTTTTTTTCTTCCAGTCCATCATTTTCGAAGCTAGAGGAGTGGCTGGGGAACCTGCTGATGCACATGGACATCGGTCTGCCTCTGCTCTCTGAATTTGAGCAGCTCCGCAGAACATTCTGGAGCAATCAAAACCACCAACACCACTCTCACAACTCGGGCACAACTGTTGACTCTCATGAACAAACTAACTACTCCAGGACACACAAAAAAAGCCCTGACACCAAGTTATGTTCGGACGCTGCAATCAATCATAGAGAGCATGAACACTTGTCCCAGAGTCTTCACCAAAGTAGCACAACCAACAGCCATACGGACAACGAGCAACACTCACAGGACACAAATGACACAAAGACTGAGCACAACACCCAAGCTTATTTAGGTAGAAAATCTGGAGAACACTCAGAAGACAAGAGTCAGTTTTGCAAGTCTGCAAGCACAAAGTCAAGCAGGAATGGGTCTGAAACCAATAAACACAGCAACCCCTCAGGACAATCAACTGCCAAGAATGAGTCCTCAAAACTGCTGCAAGTCAACAACTTGCAGCTGGATCAGTCTAACAGGCCCAGGAGGATATGCAAAGTTCTGTGGGCCAGCTCAGTGGAGGACAACTCTTTTCTCTAACCTCCAAATAGAACGGCAAAGACTGGGAAAACCTACAAAATGACAGAGAGAAGGATCACATGGTGAAGACATTTGTGCCTTTTTACTCAATCAGGAAACAACTATCAAAGTAACTAAGCTGGATCCGAAGGACAACTGCACCTTCAGTAACATCTTAGAGGCAACATGTTAACAACTGCCTGGCACATTGTATTCATGAGGTTTTAACTCAGGCTCATCTGATAGGCCACTGGTTTTACGTAATATCCATGTAAACATTCAGCATTTAGCATGGACCTAATAGAAGTATCGTTGCATGTAGGCCTATGCAATTTTGGTAAGGATTGTACTCTGGTAATTTGACCATCTCAGTTACCTCAAACAAATAGTTGGCATCTTGTGTGGCCTACATACAACATATGTGATAACAATCGTTGATAAGCTAAAATTGCATAGTAATTTTATCAGCTGAGTTCTGGTGTCACCTCTGTTCAGAAGCTGTGAGATACATGGCACTACACTGTATATTGATTATTTATGAAGATGCATTAATGCATTTTCTACTTTATTTTTGTAGACTTTTACTGAGCTGTGAAAACTTAAAGTTATAGCTACAACTGTAATTGGTTTAATTACTTTGACAAATTAAAAACACACTGTTTCAGGGGACTGAGGTAAAACCTTCTCTCACTTGATTTTTAAGTCAGTCCTTAACAGGGCCAGTTATTGAAGATCCTCTCAAAGAAGCCACACAACGGTGATGTATCGACATCTCAAGAAATGTGCTTGTTTATCTGCTGGTGGTGATGTTTCCTCAATCGATTTGATCAATTTTGGAAGGAGTACAGGGCATAATGGTAAGGTGACCCTGAGGTCCAAAACACAACAGCAAATCAGAAAACACAACACAAAAAGAGAAAACACAACGGCAAAAGAAAAATACACAATGGCAAAAGAGAAAACACAACAGCAAATCAGAAAACACAACACAAAACAAGAAAACACAATGGCAAATCAGAAGACACAACAACATTAAAGGGATATTCCAGCGTGAACACAACTCACCGTCTCTCTTCCAGCAGCCGCTTGTTTGTACGGACGAGTACGGGCGAGTTCATAGACTGCAGCAAGGGGACGCAGCTCAAGGAAGGACATTTATGATCATTACTGGAAATACAATCAGACAGACACTCTAGGGCAGAAGAACTACCACGTCTGCAGTCTAAATTGATTAATATGATGATTATTACTTCAAGGAAATGATAAAGAAATTATCATAAATGTTCTTCCTTGAGCTGCGTCACCCCACTGTAGTCCGTAATGGACTGGCCTGCTACAAACAAGCGGCTGCTGGAGGAGAGTAGGTGAGTTGTGTTTAGTCTCTTTGCTTAAGAATCAGGCAAAGCTAAAAAGATGTTTGGTGGCTAGTGCTGTGGCTGGGACCCTATATATACTGTTGATGACGTTAGGTGCTGTTCTGAGCATTATTTGTGGCTTTAGAGTGGCGTTTCGGTTGAGTGCATGGTTCTCTGTATTGCTATCCTGCGGTCGTTACTTAAGTTGGTGTAGCTAGAGAAGCAAGTGGTCAGCAACATTTATCTCTTGACGGGGTGTCTAACTCGGTGTTACTGTGCGTTTGACCCTTACTTAATTTTACACCGCAATATCCCTTAAACCATTGTTTTTCCTCTTTTTGTGTTGTGTTTTCTGTTTTGTTTTTGTGTTTTCTTATTTGCCGTTGTGTTTTGCACCTTATGTCCACCGTGGAAAACGTAGTGAATGAAACACTTACCTGTTGTGGATTACCAGGTTGCTCTGAAACACAAAATTCCAGCTCGTTGTGTAATTTATTTATAAATGTGTCCGGGTTGGTTTCAACCGACCACTTCTACGGTTTCAATCGTGACATTTTTGACTGGCGACTTCATCGGCCGTTGCCGTGGTTGAAGAGCGATCCTTGCGGGCGCGTGAGGTTGACTAACGGCTAACATGGTCGCTTGTTTAACCGAAACACCCAACTGAACGGACTGTTAACTGTCTCAGAAAAAGTTATAAAACACGAATAGCTAGCTAACCTTTTCAACACCCCTTTTTGTGGTCACAAGTCAGGTCATGTTCGTACTTTGTCGATGTGTTGCTTAGAAATACAACACGCCACTACTTCAGTATTAGGGCCATGTTAGCCGTTCCGGTTTTTTTTATGCGACGCACTTTGCGTCACCAGCGTCACTAAAGTGAAAAGCGAACGTAAGTTTGCGTATCAAGGATACTGCAACAATAATACATTAGTCTACGTTAAATTACCTTGACATTTAACAAAATAGGTTTTAGTTTAAAAAGTTTAGATTTTTTTAATTCTTTAGATTTGTGCAGCATATTTTCATACGACCTAGGGTTGGGAGAGCACTTGTAAAAGAAAAATGGTTAGATGAAAAAACTAATGCAAAGGTGCATTCAAATTTTCTGTCTGGGTTGTCAAGACTCCCTAACAGGAATAATTGAGAATCACAACCAAAACCAACATAATTTAGTGTGATTATAATTTCCTTATGGCCTATTTATAAAAATGTAGTGTAATGTTAATATCCATAGAAACAGTAAGAGACGCTGTGACTTGCTGTTCTTGCATCACAGTCACATCAGCTCCAGGGAATTAAAGCTTGACCTGCTGCCTGCCTGGTGTCTCTTCTTCACTCTGTTGTTTGCGACTTAAAACCAGAGCGTCAGAGCGTCAAGACTGAGTGGGCTGTATCCGGAGCTCAGTCTGTGAATGGGCACACACAAACACTACTGGCTCATCACATGCCTTATCAGATTTTATGACCTCTGGGATACTGTGGTCTTCAGGCATCACTTAGACTGCTGGTGATTTGTTGCCTTCCTGTGATTTGGGGACAGCTTGAAGAGCCACCGGCTGCAATATCATGGAGCACATGTCCTCTCCGGTCAGGTTCCGCAGCAATAAGAAAGGTAACATTTTGTTTCTCATTTTTCTTACATTATTTTATTCAGTTGGACCCCAGTGACTGTTAGACCCCTGCCATTAAAGACCTGCGCCTTTTAATAGGAAAAAATAAGATGATCACTCAATGTGTTTGTACCTACTGTGCTGTATCACACAGTATATCAATGATTTGTATACTCATTTAGAAAGCTAAAGTAGTCTACTTAAAAATAAAAATAAAACAAAATATTTTTATTTTGAAAGGGCCAATATTTTTACTCTCATTATATAACAAAGCTTTGTTGTTTCTGAACTTGTATCACCCCTGTTTTGTTTTACTAATTTATTCCCCCATCCCAGAAAAAGCTGCAGTTTTCTCAGAAAAGGAGGTAGGATAAGTTTGGACAATAGTATTTAATATGTCTTTGTATGTGTGTATGTTTATTTGTATGTGTGTGTGTTTGTTAAAGAGTTAAACCTCCAACCCCCAACCCTGCTAGAGCATTAGAAGCTGGGATAAGCCTACTGCAAAGCTTTGTGGGTAATTAGAGCTGACAGGTAGAGGGATGCCAGGCGAACCCAGATCAGGCCAGCAGCACTGTGGACTTAGTTGTTCTTTTGTCTGTGGATCAGGTTAGCAGGTTAGTGTTAGATCGGATAGGTGTGTATTTCCTGTGAAACAGAGGTGGAGTTATTGCTGTCCGAACTGCTGGTGTAGTAAACACTGTGAGGAATTTACATGGTGGAGATAGGCAAAACTACTGGCTGTGCATAAGTCCCACACTGAAACACACTCATTATATTCATTTAAAAATAGTTTCTTCCCCCTATTATATTGATTTTGTTATAATTTACAAACCCTGACATGCAAAAGTGTGTTATTTCTTGCTGTACTCAGCCTGGACAGATGGATGAGGGCTTCTGTAATAGTATAATGGGATCACAGCTCAGGGATAATCAGTAAAGAAAGAGTAAAGTGAGTCACTACAACAGGAAACACACATCCGTCAGGTCATGTAGTGAAAGAACACGGCCCTGACTGAGGCCATGAACAGCCACTGTTATAGTCCTCTCTCTTGTGGTGATGTCTTAATGCCACATGAATGAAATTGATCTCTTTAGCTGTTTCACATTCATGTAGTTCATCTATTTGATAGAAACCCATCCCCTTCTCTGGTTTTAGACATTACAATTAATTATAGACATAATCGGTCTTAATGCTAATGGTCTAGTTTGCTTTTGTAGGTCATTCGGATTTGATTTCAGTGTGTTTCATAACCAGCTACAGTCTCCTTTGATTCACTTTAGTACAAAACACATTTTTTCTCTATTATATTGCACATTAAATGGTTATTCTTACTGTGTCAGCCATTGTACTGATGGATAAGAAAATAGGAAGTTTTGGTAACAAGTTACTTTTTTTACCCTTTTGTCTATTTATGTTAAATCAAATGTTTCTTATCTGTCCTAGTTTTCTAGTCTGTCCATTGAGGACCAGGAAGACACTCAGTTTCCCTTTGCCATGAGGGATCTGCCTCTTGTCTCTCAGTCTGGTGAAAAACACCAAGCACAAAGACATCAGGCTCCAGTCAATTATGAGGCAGGGGAAACCGGAATAGGAACCAACGGGGGCCCCTACAGCCTTCCTGGGACTCCTTCTACGCCTCATTCTTCCCCCTGCCACTCTCCCAGTTCTACAATTCCTCCCAGACCAAATCGTATAGGATCAAATACAGAGTTTCATCCCCCGCCGCTGAGAAGGCAGGTGGTCACTCAGGTGTCTCTGGACTCTCCACTCAGCCCGGCCTCACGCCCTCGCAGCCCCTGGAGTCGCTTCGATCCCTACGACTCTCCGGAGGTGTGCTCTTTGTCTCATGAGAGTGTGTAAAAATGAATTTATGACCACAGAAGATGCTGAATTGTCTTTGCCAGCTTTTTAATCACCTTTGAGCTAAAATGAATATGGTGAATTTTAAAAATATAGAGAGAAGCAAACAGAGCAAATGAATCTTGAAATAGTTTATTATGTTTAACATATTTGGGTAACATTAATCTTTTAGAAAACTGCATTTGTAGCTCAAAAAAGACCTCATATCTTTTTTGTTTGAATACACATTGAATCTTTACTTCACAACAATATCCAAACATGTTTGCCATTTCTCTCCACAGGACCAGGATAAAGAGTATGTGGGGTTTGCCACTTTGCCCAACCAGGTTCATAGAAAGACCGTAAAAAAAGGGTTCACATTCACGCTTATGGTGGTGGGTGAGTCTTCAAGATTTTCTACATCAGAAAGGTTTTAGCTCGGTGCACTCGTCTGGATTTGAGTACACTGATATAAACTATGTTCAGAAACTTACATGACTGCTGATGATGGACTGTGGTGTTCTTGTCTTCATAGGGGAGTCTGGCCTTGGTAAATCCACTTTAATCAACAGTCTGTTCCTCACAGATATCAACAAAGACAGAAGGGTTCCCAATGCTCAAGGTAGTATTTGTGTGTCATTGACAAAATGTTGCTTCTATCTGGTTGCTTGAACCAGCTTTGTCGAAAATTTTGAGTCTTTCGAATGTAAAATAAGATCTTCCTTTGTGTCTGCAGAGCGGATTGATCAAACAGTCGATATTGTCAAACACATTGTCAGCATCGAAGAGAAAGGAATCAAGCTGAGACTCTCCATCATAGACACGCCGGGGTTTGGAGATGCCATCAACAACACAGAAAGGTGAAGTTACCAGAAGGGGTGTTCATCTTTATTTCTCCACAAACAGACCAGCTTGACCCAGACTTGTCTCAGTGGATTTTGGTCAAGGTTCTGGTTGTCTCTGTATCAGAACTTGCTAAAAGTTGGAGTACAGACAGACTCCACGCTTATGGATTCACTCTCTTGTTGATGGCTTCTGAAACACACTGAGCATGCTCATTATAACTGTTGCTTTTTTGCTTGAGTTGTCATCTCACTTCAAGGTTTTTCATATCTTTACATCAGCTGGAAGCCAGTGGAAGACTACATTGACCAACAGTTTGAGCAATATTTCAGAGATGAGAGCGGGTTGAACAGAAGAAACATCCAGGACAACAGAGTACATGCATGTCTCTACTTCATTTCCCCATTTGGCCACGGGTAAGCTGACAACAGGATGCTTAACAGCCTCACTGAAAATGTGTTCAATACATATTGAACCCATTTCTATTATGTTGTTTTGTTTTGTTTTTTACATCAGACTTCGACCTCTGGATGTGGCGTGTATGAAAGCACTGCATGAGAAAGTCAACATAATTCCTATACTGGCCAAAGCTGACAGCCTGACACAAGAGGAGGTCTTCAAAAAGAAAATGCAGGTATGGCATCAGAAAAAGGGGTGTGCAAAGTCCAAATTATCTCGTAGTTACACAGATAATTCACTCAAAACCACAAAAGTCTAATGTATTTTAATGTTAAAAACAGGTCTCTAGTTAAATTACTCTGTAAATATCTGCATTGGTGTGTTGGTTTGTTTTATGCTGTTTTCAAGCCCTTTTTTCTCCTCTGTCAGTTACCCTCAAAAATTAACCTTCACCACTTGGGGTCCATTTTACATCTACAGCCTGAAAGTATGGGACTATTTTTAATTTTTTTTTAGCTCATTCAAAAGTTTGTGCTAGCAAAAAGTTGGGCCAAGGAGAAAAAAATCCCAGGGAAAGTTGTTTGATGCTAATAATTAAATAAAAACACTCAGATTACAACAGTATGGCTCTGTAGTAGAAGAGTCCAGATGCCAACGTAGCCTGACTGCAGTCCTGACCTATTAAAGACACATGGTGCATCATGACATAAAAAATCCAACAACGTAAAATTAGCAATTCCCCCCATTAAAGGGACTTCTGCCTTTGTATTGGTGTGTTTTATTTTTATATGTATCCCTGAAATGTTGAAATGTCTTCCATGCACTCCAGATTAGAGAGGAGATCAGACAGTTTGGGATCAACATCTACCAGTTTCCTGAATGTGATTCAGATGAAGATGAAGACTTTAAGAACCAGGACCAGATACTCAAGGTTCTTACTCCTGTTTCAGATATTTCTCTTGGTTAAAATGTGCTGCCTCCTTAAAATTCAAGAGTGACTTTCTTTTTGTGTCTCTGCAGGACAGCATCCCGTTTGCAGTTATTGGGAGTAATGTTCAGGTGGAGAGCAAAGGACGCAAGTTCAGGGGTCGCATCTACCCCTGGGGTGTGGTTGAAGGTATGACACAGACACACAAACTTCATGGGTTTTTCTGTGTTATTGCAATCTCAATCTTTTGATGTTAAATACTGATGGAAACCTAATGTGATCCTCTTTGTTTTTGCATGTTCAGTGGAGGACCCAGCTAACTCTGACTTCCTGCTGCTGAGGAACATGCTAGTGAGGACCCACATGCAGGACCTGAAAGACGTGACGCGAGAGACACACTACGAGAACTACAGAGCCCAGTGCATCCATAACATGACCCGCATGGTGGTCCAGGAGAGGAAGCGCAGGTGGGTTTCATCAGCTTGCAGATGATTTGAGTGGACTGAAGTGAATCAGGATATTCAAACCGCCTTTGTGCCCTCTGATTTCGGTGTGTTTCTTAATTCTATGACGTGTCTTAGTTTGCGGGAGAAGTATCAAGATGCCAGTGAAGCAGATTTACCCCTGCCTCTGGCCGTCATTGACACAGAGAGGGAACGACTCATTTTTGAAAAAGACGAAGAGGTAGGCCTCTCTTGACTGTTTACTTCATTCGTTCTCTTCTTCATGCACTGATTTATTTCTTCCTCTCCGCAGCTGAGGAGGATGCAAGAGGTGCTGCAGAGGATTCAGGAGCAGATGCAGCGCAGCCAGAGTGAAGATTGCTGATGCTCCTGGGGGAGGGGTCGAAGCAAGCAAAGGAAGGATCCTGAACACAGCACAAGGGCCTAAAGGAGACGGGATAACTACGGCATTTTACAGACTCTGTGTTAAACAAGCTGATTTAGTTCATTCTGTCTGAAGGCTTTTTCAAACAAGAGAAGAAAAATGAATTCTACTCGGTTGCCTAAAATACCTTAAGTTTGAAAGGAAAGTATGTCCCCTGTGCAAAATGTTCCCTAATCTCAGGGATTAATTGAGGAGGGTTGAGGAAAGCCTCTTAGGTTGTCTCTAGCATGTTTAAAGTGTTTAGACTTTGGTTCTCTCAGTTTGTGTCTTACCTTTCCATTTCACTTTGATTACAATCATAAAAGATTGTAATCATCATCCCTCAGCAAGTCCGTCTTTGTGTTCCAGCTTCTCGAAAGTTGACGGCAACAAGGAAAAATCTAGAGATCCCACTGAGCAATAGACGCACTGTAGACATCTAGTTTTTTTAGACCTAATGTCAACGTCTAGATGTTGTTTATTTTTAGATGGAATTTAGACGTTGCACTTTAACCCATTATTCGATAACTATTTATGTCAAAAAGCAACTGTGAGTTGCATAACTGATCTCCAAGTACTTAACCAAAATAATTATGATAGCTGTTGAGCAATATACAGTGTTGCATAGATATAGCCCAGACTAAGATTTGGTCTAAACTTGGTTTAGATTTAGACGTCTAAAAACGTTCATTTTTAGACCTGTGGTAGCCTGTTTTTAGACCAGTCGTCTAAGATACATTTAGACGTCTATTAGACCTCTTTTAGACCAAAAACTGCTCAGTGGGATAGTAAGGCAAGTTCAGAGGATGGTTGACATGATTTCTCCGCAGAGAATTTGAAAAGCAAAAGCAATTCTTTCCAAGCAAAGTGTGACAGGAAATAGTTGATAAAATCCTCGGATCATTTGTTTATGTGTCCTAAAACCACCTCTTTACTCTGAACTTCATACCACAGTAACACTGCCACCTAGAGTCATGATAGTCTCAAAAACACAAACTGAATTAATCAGGATTTATTACTTCGAGTGTCCGTTTTGTCTTTTTTTTGTATTTTTGAATCTTCTTTTCTGTTTTCTAAAGACCAAAGCCAAAAAATGAATAAATAAAACCTCTTTCTATCTGCTTCTTCTGGTGGTTCATTCATTTATTCCTTTGAATAATTTCACACAAGAGCAGGATGTGTTGTAAATGTAATAAGATTTATTAAGAATCTTTAATATTTCATCAGCATACTTCTTCATCATTAATATGTTTTTATCCATTACCATCATTGTTATCTTAAACAGTGGACAGTTAGATCTAAAAGGCAGCCCAAAGTGTACAGGCGATTTATAACTTAAAACTTTCTCCATAGGGAAAACATGTTTTTATATTCATATATAATATCAATGTAGCATGAGGTCCAAGATCCTGCCCACGTTATACAGTATTGTACATGGTCCCAAAAATAAACAGAAAAACAAAAACTTGGAAACAAAAGAAACTAAAACAGCAATCTACATGCAGTTCAAAACCAAAACAAGCATTTCAAATTTGAGGATACATACACTCATATGCCGAAACGTGCATACGATCACAAATTTACAAAACTTTCATACGTACGTACAAATATTACAAAAACTCAAATTGAATATTAGACATTATTGTGTTATCAAGAAAAAGAGCAACAACTTTTTTTGATTTTTCACTTTTTCCACTCCAAGTCTCAGTCCTTACTAACACAAAAAAGGAAAAATGTAAAACGGTAAAAAGAAAAACAAAAAAAGGACAGTTAATCTTTGTCTCTTCCATTCGTTCATTGTGTACGTGTTTTGCCAGAGTTGTCACAGTGTTCAGGAAAACTGAGTATAGGCACACACGATAGCACCCTAACAGGCTCATACCATAATTCACCTCTGTAAAAAAAAAAAAAAAAGAGCTCGCTTGCTACACACAACTCACACACTCCATCATGCACGGGGCAAACTGTATAACCAAGGAAACAGAGCCATGCTACAGGTACAGTGGCATTAATTATAGTACAGAATATAAAACAGACTGAATACAGACACATACACAGACAGAACACACGGGGACAGAGGAGGCGCGAGGAGGAGGAGATCCACACAGAAGAGACAACATACACTACGCCGTTGGGTGATTTTTGTTTTGGTGTGACATGTATAGGCTGGCAAGGAGGCTGTGGAGCCATCAACTCTTTCACTATGTGCACATATAAACCCACACATACACACACTCACACACACACTGAGACATGTGGGTGCTGCAACATTTGGAGCAAAGGACTTGATCTGCTTGGTTTCTGGTCATCATTTTGCAAAAAAATCCATCTTTTCCCAATAACTTCTTATCCTTTAGAGCTGAAGATGATTACTTGTTTCATCCTTGTGCAATCTGTTGATCGTTTTCTTGATTTATTAATTAGTTGTTTGGTCTAGAAATATCTAAAAAAATTAAAAAACGTCAGTCATGGTTCACAATTCCCAGAGGGTTTACCTTAATTGTGTTCTTTAACTACCTGGAGATAGTTTTCAGTCACACAGAGGAGGAACAACAACACAGTATTCAAATTAAATCAATTTATCCTCAAAGTACTTCACAAAATAATACCTAATCACTTCTACCTGCTGATCTGTGCAGTAATCTTACTCGTACTGAAAAAAATTGACTCCCTAGAAAAATCATTAATGAAGAGGTTTCAGAGGTTTTTCATTCACATCTCACAATCCTCCAGAAAGCTAAAGTTTATCAAGTAAATTAATGTTCAGGGAGACTTACATAAGGGGCGTTTCTTGAGTAGGGATTGTTTCTGTCAACTTCATGTTTAGTGTGTGTCTCCTTCCTGAACCCTAGACAAGAGGGTTTATATCAATGTGCTCTTCACACCGTTCCTCTACTTCCTGAACTTAAGGCTGCTCCTTTATCTCCTGTCTTACATTATTGGACGAACTGATTTATCGAGGTGTGTCTGAGTAGTCACAATGGTAAGTCACATCTGGATCAATCAGATTGTCCAATAATATAGGACAGGAAATAAAGGAGAGGTCTTAAGTTCAGGAAGTAGTGGAGCTGTACACAGAGCCCATTAAGGACAGAGTTAGTCTGAGTCCAGCAGAGGGAGCTGTTGATTTAAAATGAAGAGGATGAAAAACTGGATTCACACACAGAGGAAAGCTTTCTCTAAATGTTCTAGCACCTAGATTTTGGAACATTGAAATTAAATTCATCCACATTTATCAGGTATTTAGGAAAAGGTGGACCTCTTATCTTGATGTCTTCAATTCAACCCATCTTAAAAGAGGCTTCGATGAGCTGAAGATATAAAGTTCATTCCAGTGTCCTCTTCTCCCAGAAGACTAAATCTATGTAATTATATTTAAAAATGGTAAAATTTTCCTGTCTGCTCTTGTACGCACCATTATGCATTTTTATCTGATTTAAAAAAAGAATCAAATTGATCTGGTGGTGAAAGTTTTCTTGGAGTTACTGCTTCTTCTAAAGCCCTCAGAGGGAAGTTGACATTTGATTCTGGACAAAGTCTCTGGACTACAGGACATACAACTGGGTTAAATTTAGAGTGAACCATCTTGACACATCACACATGACTGTTAGAAAGATCCCATAATAAACACTTTTAGAAAAGTCCATAATGAATAGTTCTGCACTTCTTTTCTATTCTATTTCCAGACCCTTGCAGCCTAAACTTCTTGTTGTACTTTTTAAATATGTAGTTTGATGGTTTCCTGTGAGGAAATCTAATTTTTCTGAAGTGATGCGCAGTCAGAGGTTGTTCATGTAGTCTCTGCATGTAAATTTCAACACAAGAAAGTGTAACAGATGCTTATGCGCTAGTGCATGCCAAAAAAATCAAGCAATCATTGTCTTTCTAGATTTGCTCTTCAGTTTAAGAGACAATTATAATTGGCCTCCAAAGTTCTTTTTCTTGAACTACTTGCAAAATATTAGTGTGCAAGCACAGACAGGACAAACCTTCATCAAAGGAAAGATGGCAAGGGACTCACTGTCTTTTCTTGGAGTCATTTTGCACTAAGTACAAGGACAACAACATGTGCTAAAAAAAATAAAAGTAAGATAATCGAGAATTGGACTGCTTCAGAAAAATGCGACAGTGTTTTAACTGTGTTCATCAGGCTGTGGGATGTACTTAAAGCCCTCCATGTCATCAATGGGACCGACGAGATCTCACACACACACATCTGCAACATCACACAGGGTATCGTGACTATATAAATACAAGGCGGGATCAAACTGTATCACCATGACGACAGCCTAACGAGAACCACATCTCTTCCATGCAATTTCCCTCTCTGAGTAAATGAGGATTTAAGGTAAAACATTGATGCCTGAGAGTGAACTGAGCTTATTATGTTAGTGCCTCTGGTTGTTCAGTCAGGAAAGAGGTAAGGAAGGAAGAGAGGAAAGGAAGAAGAGAAGGAGAGGAGGAGGAGAAGAGGGGAGGTTTAACAGAGTTCCTGTCTTTGCAGCGCAGACTACTGTCACAGTCTATTTTCACAAACAAAGGCTCTGACTCTGCTTTCATGTCATTTCTCATAAACCAACAGAGCTGTATTAAAAATATGTCTGCAGATATTTCCACAAGTTTTCCAAAAAAAGCAGTTTGTTGTTTTTGTTGAAGTTGTCATGTCGAAGACTCTGCTGCTGCTGCTGCTGATTATTGATTGGAGTGCGACAACTCCTCCACAGTTCTGAATCGTGTTCCTGATCTCTCCATCACATGTGTCTTTTACTAATTCAGGCTAGTTTGAGTGTGCTGACAGGGAAGGTTGGGACTGTAACCATGGTGACAGGGTTGAGGACGGCAGCCTGTCCCACCAGCTGGGGGTGGGGGGCCAGCACAGCTGTGGGTTTCCCTAGCGATGGGTTCCCTTGGGTCATTACTGCTGCGTTGTTTACTGGGGTTCCACTAGCGTTAGCTTGAGGGTTAGCCTGGACGTGAGGGAGGGTGTGGTGGGTGAAGGTGTGTGTGATGTGGCCCACCATAGTGGGCTGGGACACAGACACACCTTGAGGGTAGAGAGTCGGGAGGTGGGATGGCAGGGGACCCCCCAGGTGAGCCACAGGGTGGACGGTGATGTGTCCGATAGGTTGCGCTGCTATCTGCTGGTGAGTGGCGGTGGCAGATGGAGCTGCTGCGATGGGCTGAGGGGTGGAGGAGGAGGCGGGACCAGGTGATGGAGCGATGTGCGTTAGATGTTTGTGAGTAGCTGGCAGACCGTGATTTACAGCTTGGATGACTGACGGGTGAGAGACAGCGGCATGAGCGATGACCGTGGGCTGGACCTGCACCGCTTGAGGCTGCACTGGATGAGCGGGTGGTGGAGGGGGCTGACCGGGAGCTGGAGCTGGGGCGATGGCCTGTGGGGGAGGTGGAGCAGAGGGAGGAGGCGTGGTCAGGACTCCAGAGAGAGGCAGGGTGGTGTGCTGGATTGAGAGGTGAGGGGCGAGGAGCGGCTGGGCCTGCAGGATGGGAGGTGCTGGTTTGGGAAGAGAGGCTGGAGGGGGAACGGTAGCTGGGACATCTTCATCCATGTCCTGCTCAAAGTTGTCCTCTCCTTCTGTGGACACAGAGAGACAACTGTCAGTCATGATCACATCACGTGTAACCTCAGATGACACCCAAAGCTGACCCCCTCTACAACAAAAACTTCCACAGCATCACACCTCTGTTGATTCATGGCAGAATCACAACTGCAGTTTAAAGATCAAATATCAGTCATGTGTGTATGTGTGTTTGTGTTTGTGTGTTTGTGTACCTGAGGCGGTGGATGTGGACGCCTGGTCATCCTCTGGTTGGATGGTCTGTCGCAGGACTCTGTCGATCTCAACGATGTCCATACACTGGCTGAGCTCGTTCTTGAGCTCGGCCAGCCGCTGCTGAGTGGCGATCTTCTCTCTGGCCAAACGCTCCATCTCGTGTTCAAACTCTTTCTCTTTACGCTTCAAAGTCTGTAGAGAGGAGGCAGAGAGTGAGTGGATGGAGGTTTGCTGGCAGGTGACACACGTACAATTCCTTCTTCCTGTCGGAGTGTGCAGATGTAAACCAATACTTTCCAATGAATAACCAAATGTATAAACATAGAGTGAAAATTTTGGAAAAGTCTGTGTCTGTCCACCGTATTTTCCGGACTATAAGCCGTGCTTTTTTTCATAGTTTGGCTGGGTTTGAGACTTATACTCAGGTGCGACTTACATATATATATATTAAAATATATAATCTTACATGTTTGTTATTTTCACACTAAAGGGCACTCTAGTTGTTCAGAAGTGACACCGAAGATTATGAATTCGATGGATTTAGTGATTTGGAGTGAGATTGAGAATTTGGTAAACTTGTTTTGTTATTTTCTTTATACTAAAGTTATCTGAGTTACAGTTAATATGTTACGTTAACACACCAGACGCCTATTGAGTTCATTGTTTATGCTTCATGTAGCTGAATAACAATCAAAGTGCTACGTTAGTATACGGTACACCTATTTAGTCTGTTGTCCTCTATTCTACTGATTTTATCATAACTTGCCTTTCAAGATAAAATGTCTGTTCTTGTCAAATAAATTTCCCCCCAAAATGCGACTTATACCGGTGTATGATTTGTCTTCTTCATTATGCATTTTTTTGGCTGGACTTATACTTTGGTGCGACTGATAGCCCGGAAAATATGGTACATTAATTTCCACTTTATCATCGTTGCATCAAGTCATGATGGGCTGTCACTAAAATCATCTGATCATCAACTGATTTGTCATCTGTGCTGCTGTTTAAAGAGACACCTTAAAAAGTCTCATAATAAAAACAGAAACCAAACAAAGAGCTTCCTTTGTTTCTCCTCCACAGACAGACACTCTTTCAGGAAACCTTGTGCACATAGTGTGAAGCTGGCATTAGTTTTAAATTTGTCCTAAACTCTTACAGGGCTGCAGCATTTCACAGAAAACAAGAATTAGGAGCGACTTTCTTTCCTGACCACTCCCACGTCTCAGGTTTCACTGGAACACTCGGTTCTCTGCCCTGACTGGGTTTTAAACACAAGCAGGAAAGCGTGTAAGCAAATTCAAGCATGTTCACGCTGCACCTACTAAGCTCCTCCCACATCCCACTTCCTGGAGTCATGCTTGTTTTTCTGAGAGATCGGGGTCAGAGTGGGACGTAACGCCCTGCTGGATTTTATTTTGACCAATCACTCAAGTCCAACACAGACAGTTCTAGGGATCACTAGATTACTACTACCTGAGCGTTAAAGTCTGAGATTCAGCTGAATTCATTTGCTCACTCCTCACACAGGGCTTACACACACACTGGGTAGGAAGCTGCATGCATATTTGTCAGGAAAAAAAACACTGCAGGTCCACGAATAAGAAGAAAGATTTGCAAAGACATGGCACAGCTTATCCAGCCACCGCACGCTGTCTCTGTGACCCACTTTCTGCTTCGGTCAGCTGACCCACGAACACCAAACAGAACGACAGGCTAAGGACATTAACACAGATTACTAGTGAGGAATGAGGGAGAGGGGGGGAGGGTGGAGGTACAGGAGGTAAACTGGGGGGAAATGAGGCCAGAGCATGGAGAGGTGAGAAAGGACAGGCCAAAGGGTTGGATCAGTGGACAAAAAAAAGTTGAATGCTGATCTGCTGGTCTGAATGTCTTGTCCTATCACAGCCATGACATGACTGGAAACTCAATGTTCAGATGAGTTGTTCAACATAATTATGCTGATCCATACTCCAGCAAAAAATAAGGATGGAGACACAAGAGAAAGGAGAGAAAATAAGCCTACGGGGACTCATGATCCTACGACAGCACACTCAATAGGGTGATCAAAGCTGCTCGCTCTGCAGGCGTGTGATGGCTACAGGCAGACGGCTGTTCAACATGAGTCTGGTTCCCCCTCAGGGTTTCTACCTGCTAAAAGGGAAGTTTCTCCTCACCACTGTAACTGTCTAAATGCTGCCAAGTGCTCTGCTCACAGTGGTGAGACTGTCAACAGTCACAAACCTGTTGTACCGTACAGGACCCTGTTGCTTAACCAAATTAATTCAGTTTTTGTTGTCGATATTTTTTTTCCAAAGCAAATATCACAGACACATGTCGAGAAACAGAGGGGCGTGTCAGGTCTATGTTCGGAAAATAGGCCTGAAATGAAGCTGTGTGTGCGCATGAAAGGTGTGTGCATGCCAGTTACTAGACTGTGAATCAAAACCGATTCTTTAAGTGTTCACAGTTTGCGAAGCCAAAAGATTTAGAGCTCCCCCTACTGACTGGCTGCAGAATACGCCATGAACTTTGCCTCCTGCATTATAACAGATGGAATAGTTCCTTTTTCATGGAAGTCGCAGGATAAAGATTAAAAGATGACTGAGAGCTCTTTTGACAAATATGAACTTTGATACAGAAGTTGAGGTGTGTCTTGTTGTCCTGGAATTCCAGACCCTGATTGGCTATGAACCTTGTTAGAGGTAGCGCTGAGATTGAAATTAAAAGTTTTTGGGGCGTCTAACAATGGGCTGCTAGTAGCTTGTCTGCACTTGAGTGTGAAACTTCTCCTTTTGTTTGTACCTTCAATGGTTCCCTTGGCCAAACAACTTCTTTTTAAACCCTTAAATAAACAAGTTCACCAGATTTTAACATTTCTGTTCGGTTCAGTTACCTTTCAAAGTAAAAAATCAGACACATTAATATATTTTGGATTCTTACTCAGATAATATTGAAAATAAAATTTAAAAACCAAGTGAAAATAACCTAATTATGATGTTCTTTTAAATATTTAAATCATGAAGCATGCTGTCATGTTTGCTGTTTGTTCTTTTCATTTTATGACCGTTACCTTGAATTGCTTTGCATGGAGCTCTTGACCTCTTAAAATGCTGGGTAAGTGCTCCACCAATATCAGTTTTTCAAAGATCAAGCATTAATGAGTGCCACTTATTTTAAACTGTCCTAAATCGGCCCCTCTGCACTTGTATTTGTATTCATAGTGCTATATCAGCTTTTAAAACTACATGCTTGTCTTTAACAATCAAACCAATCAGTCTCGATTTGTATAGGGCGCCAATTCACAGTAAATGTTATCCCAGGACAACAAACAGATACAATAAAAAGACATTATTCTTCGAAACACTGAGTTTCAATGTGTATTGGTCCATTGTATTGAATGTGCATCAGTGCAACATCATTTCAAGGTCCTCTCTTACAATCCCAGACACCATTACGCCTATAGCATGTCACCAAGGAAACAGCTGTCACCCATAACTGTTTCCTTAGCAACCTCATGCGTAAGGATTTGTCTGTTTGAGCTGCTGTTTGTGAAAAAAGGAGGTTTCTAATTGGGTGAGGCTGGAGGGTAATTGCATATAAGGGATGATGTGACTGGCTGATTGCCAGTTGGTGCTGAAGATCACTCCCTCCTTCCCTGCTCCTCCTCCTTCTTCTCACCCCCGTCCTCCTCCTCCTCCTCCACATCCATCCCCCATTCAATATTCTACTCCATTTTCCCTTCCTCCTGTATTTCATCCATACCCCCTTCATCCCTCCTTTTTTAACCTATCCTCCCTTATTAAAAGACGAGAGAAGATGATTTTTTTACTCAGGATCACAGCTGTGTGTGTATATACGTGATCGGTGCAAGGTGAATACAATGACAAAAGAGGAAATCCCGGGGGAGGGGGATGAAAGAGCTTCGAGTTCATGTCATAACCACTCGGTTTGGGAGCAGTATCAGCAGACAGTAATTGGTTTAGTCTTTACAACACACACACATACACACACACACTCTTTCACACTGAAAAACACTGAGCAAGGGACAAACTACAGCACACCAGCCACCTGCCACTAGTTGCTATGGTTACCCTGTGTTCTAAGAGACAGCAGGAGGATACAGGATGAAAAGACGCAGATAAAGAGGGGAACGACAGAGGAAATTCAAACCAACTGTTGCAAATCTGTAACTATCTATCCACCTTTTTTTTCTTTTTTACACCACTGCATTGCTGTGGCGGTAAAAACTGCTCCCTAACATGGTCTCTCTTCCTGCAGTCTAAGAGGTGCAGAGCACAACAGTGTGAGTGAGCTACGGTGACGTCATGTATCAGACTCGCGCTGGCCATGTGCTCAGATCTCACATGGCTCAGGGAGAGGGAGGGGGACTGAGGGCTGCAGGTTTACATGAAGAGAGGAATCAAGAGAGGAGTGGTGTTGGGTTGGGGAGTTTATTTGTCTTCAGTACATCTAGAAAATGATCTTGACGACCAAAAGGAAAGGTAACATCCACGTGGCACTGTGTGGAAATCCAGCTTTAATATCAAAGGTTTGGATAGATATCTGTCCTGTTATTTCGGAAATACCCCCAAATTTTTCTTAATGACTTCTCATTTTTTCTTAATGCATTAGATTCAGAGTCATCTTTTCATTGATGCTAACAAAAGAGAGGATCTATATGATGAAATTTTACTTCAAGTCAATATCATGTCAAAAATGCATATATCTAAAAGTGCTCTTCAAATGTCCCAAAGACCAGAGATATCTGACCCACAGACTCAAAACCAAAAACAATTTAGATATACTGCAAATAATAAAGCAGCTAATTCATAAATCTTCTGTCAAATTTCATCAATTAATAAAAAGGTGGTGATTAATTCCAAAAGCTCGAAAGAGAAATCTGCCTGACTGCAAGTAAAAAAAAATCACAAATTTACTGTCACATAAGATAAAACGCATACAAAGCAATGGAGTAGCTGGTACTGTGAATATTTTACAGCAGCAGCAGCTCAGTCTCAAATCAAAGCCTTCATCGTCTCCTGTCAAACCCTCTGTTTTGCTCCTCGAGGAACGGCTTAAGATCTTGTAGCAAGTCTTGCTATATGAAAAAGTTCTTCAATCTTGTGTCCTAATTTGCCCCCTTCCTCCGACTCTTCAATGCATACTCTACCAAACTCAAACCCACAGAGCTCCAAACTCTACATAAAAGAACCCGCTGCATTTAGCTGCAGGGTGCTATTTATTTCTGCCACAGTGCAGAAAATCCTCCCCTTCATACTTCTGTAGACGGTGAACTCACCTCTCCAGGCTGTACACTACCCATCTTCACACCACCCCCAGCAACATTAGCGCTCTACAACAACCACAATATGCTACAAGTCAGTCCTCAGAAAATGCTGACTCTCCGGCCTTGTGATAAAAATATAGTCATTACTTTGTATAGGCTCTGGAACATTGGATGTATACACAGATTTCTTAAGGGCTGACTCACTATAATTTGCTGAATGCAATGTCATAGTCACAAGAGACCAAGCAACACAATGGGCTTAATAGCAAACAAAACAGGCTTTGTTTTTCAACCGCACTGGACCAAAGCCTGTGCCTGTTTTCTGGATTGAACCAATCAATTCAAGACTTACAAAACAAAATCGATAAAATGACTAATGAGAAGCAACAGTTCGAAAATATTGTCCGGGGCTGAACCCGTGCTCGCGTAAAAAATGCTGGAGAAAAAAAAAATAAAGCAGAAAAAAAAACATGTTTAAAAATCTACCTGAATGTAACGGAGAGCGCTGCGGAGGACGCTGAGGTTGGAGGTTTTCTTCTCATCGACGTTAGGAACATTCTTCTTCAGTGTCTCAAAACACTCTTTGAGGTGCGCTCGCCTAAAGGCCAAGATCCAGAAATTAGAAGGAGTCCCACTTCTTTTTTTTTTCTGTTTCATCAGCTGACATATTTATTTATCAGAAAGTTATTCGTTCTCTGTGGTTGTGTTTATCTAACAAAACCTCATAACTTCGATTTTATATGTTTGAAGAGATTTCATGGTTGTTTGTGTAGGTTGAGAAAATGCCACCTTAAGGCTTTTTACGACACCCTTGTGATACACAATGCTCTATGTATAAGTTATGGTCATTACAGAACAAAGGGATGTTTTCATTCATTCATTTGAACAGAAAAGCAATAATAAAAGGTTTACATCACTACGACTGACCTGTTCTTCTCCAGTTTATTATGCACCTCTCTGGTCCCCGCTCTGAAAACAGAAAAAACGAACAAAGTCATAAAAAGTCAACACTCTCATATTAACCTTAACAAACACACACAAACACATACACATAGACACACACACACGCACACTGACCCTCCTGGTCTCCTCTTCCCTTCCATCCCCCTCATGTCCTCCATTGTCATTCCATTTGGCCGCGGCTGAGATGTGGGCGGAGCTTGGTGTGACAACAGAGCGTGTTGAGAGCTGGGGCCGTTGGTGCTAATGGAAGTTGGGTACTGAATCTGAACCTGAGGCTGTGATTGGCTGGGCTTTGCATCAACCAGCTGCTGACTGGTTTCTAACTTCATCTGCGGGTTGCACAACAGGTGAGGAGAGGCCGGCTGCTGTTGTTGCTGCTGCTGCTGTGGAGGGGAAGAAGCCTTCTTGACCGAGATGCTGTTGAGCGATGTTGCCGCGGCAGCGATCGGCGTTGTAAGCGGGAGGGCCGGGACTGACGGTGTGGCGGTGACAACCGGAACCATCGGGATGACAGCGATGGGGACTTGCTGGGGTGGGAGAGATGGAGGCGTAGGGGCAGGTGGGTGATGGGAAAGTTGGCGGTGACAGTCATCGTTCCAAGTGATGTGGTTGGCTCTGACTGTCTGAGGCAGCGAGGTCACAACCTCCACACGCCGTGTCTCGGCCTCTCTGTTTATGAGCTCCTTCTCTTTACGCTGCTCTTCCTCTGCAGGAGGTTAGAAAAGAGAGAAAAAGGTCAACAACACAAAAATGAAAACACAAAAAGAAGACAAAATACAGGATACTGTGGATGCAAGGAGACAGACAAGAACATTAACTTGTTGATTATACAAAACATGGAACAGTTAACCTTCAACACACAGTTTAAGTTTCATAACATATGACTGTAGCCACCGCGTCTCTATCTGTGTTTTTCTGGCTCTTGTTATTAGTGTACAATTCTCAAAAGGGAAACAGTAATTGATGCCGATTGACTTCTTATTTTGTTCTAGATGTGATGACGCAAATGGAACCTGATTTTTATTCAAGGTTGTGTTTTTGGCTGGTGACAACTTCAAGTAATGAAATCTGCCTTTTAGCGTTAATAAACAATGAAAAAATAAATAAAACAGACAGCACGCATCCCTGGCAAAAGTTTTCAAGCTAGGTGGAAAATAATTTCTATTAGTAATATTGAAATGTTTAGTAATTTCCCAAACATCAAATGCTGTCACATTCCTTCGAGGTAACCTGTTTCACTTCCCTTTTTTGTAGTACACATCTATACAGAACACACAGAATGTGGTAAGGAGGGAGAAATACCAAAGAAACTGTGTCTCGGTCTGTTTGCTGGCTGAAGAGGATCTCCCTCTGTCTGCCCTGTGATTGGACTACATCAGCCCTGAGCCTGCTTCTATGACTTCATCATCAGTGCCATCTGACCAACAGCAGAGACTGCAGTCAGAGAGACCTCATCGTGAATTCAGAAAAAGTTCAAAAGAAAAACAAACAAAAAAAAAGAGAAAATGAGAAAATCAAAAGCACATCAAGGGTGAGAACCTTCCCACGTGTGGAGATACTCTCTCTTAATGTTACAAGTGAGTAGCTCATGCACATTGAAGCAGTCAAACTCAAAGGGAATTGGAAAGCCCTTGGTAACCATGGTAACAGCAACATTAGACACAGAAGATCCCAGGGATTCCTCAAATCTGCTCCACTCCAACACACAACTACGCCATCCCCGCCATTATCAAAAAAAGAAACACTGCACGCCAACATGCTTGTCTGCATGTTAGGTAACATTTTCATTTATTCTCCAACCGAAAAAAAAAACTACTGACGCAACAGCTCCAGGGCCTGCAGGAGGACACACAGTCAACATGATGAAAATAACAACTAAACACAACTATCACACTGTAGTTCATCATTTATAGTCTTCTTTATTTTTAACATCACCACTACAAGACATTCTAATAAAAATATTAATCAGAGTGGCACTGTGTCAGAATATATGTGTTCACTTGTTTTCACATGTGGGGTAGTGAATGCAGACATCTTAATCCCTCTTTTTTGTGGCTAGCATGTTTCGTTTTATGCAGGATCCTCATGAGATTGTGTTTTAGTCGCAACCAATCATCCCAAAAATTTAATCTGTAACAGTTCTGCAACCAGAGCTCTTCAAAAGGGGGACGTGTCACTTCTGATGGACATTTTCCAGATAGAAAGACAAAAAACTTTTAGTATAAAGAAAATCATTATTTGCTGCAGGTGTCAATAACCCTTAAAATATTTAGTTTAACTAGTTTCCAAGACTTAAAGGGATATTAAGCGCACTGTAACACCGAGTTAGACACCCCTTCGAGAGATGAATGTTGCCAACCGCTTGCTTCTCTAGTTTTACCAACTTTAGTAACGACCACAGGATAGCAATACACAGCGGTCTGAGGAGCCATTAACAAACCTCAAACAAAACACCACTCTATATCCACAAATAATGCTCAGAACAGCACCTAACTTCATCAACAGTATATATAGGGTCCCAGCCATTGCACAAGCCACTAGAGTGGCGTTTTGGTTGAGGTTGTTCGTGGCTCCTCAGACCGCTGTGTATTGCTAACCTGTGGTCGTTACTGAAGAGGGTATAACTAGAGAAGCAAGCGATCTGCAACAATTATCTGTCGAGGGGGTGTCTCACTCTGTGTTCTGGTGTGTTTGACCCTAAATTAAATTTTACGCCGGAATATCCCTTAAAACAAAAGTAGTTTTTAGAATTTAAATTTTAAAGTTATCCTGAAGTTTGTCAAAGATATTAATACCATTTGTATATTCCAATAACACCATGCATTACATGAATTATAAGCTACTTAAGTTTAAAACATCTTCGACCATTCCAAAATGTTTTCCTGTATCCACACACACACACACACACACACACACACACACACACACACACACACACACACACACACACACACACACACACACACCCAGCATGCTCCAGATTGTGAAGAGCACGCAAATGTAAATTACATAACTTCTGCATTGAGAGGAGGCTGGATCAGAGGGTGGGGGTGAGCAGGGACGCTGCCCTACTTACCCCCCTTTCTCTCTCTCCCTATGACCCGCCACTGTCAGTAGACTGAATGAAAAGGGCGGGGACGACGAGTGTGTGTGCGCGCGTGTAGGTGTGTGTGTGTATCTGGGAGAGAGACGAGGGGGGCAATGTGCACGTGGTAACTGTGGGCGGACCCTAGCACGCGGTAGGATAAGTATGCGGGGGGAAGGGGGTTGATTTGTCGGACACGTCATCACAGGAGAGAAACAAAAAAACAGACCCTTGTTTCCTCTCAGCAAGTCAACGGTTATTAACTCGTTTTTGACAGGTGGGTTTCACATTAATTAAGAGAAGAAGTGTCTAATTACCCCTCGCGCGCTCATAAAAACGGGGACGGGGGTGAGCGCGTGAGGGCCCGCCCCTGTGTGTGTCATAAGATAGCTGAGCAATGTCAGGGTATTATGTAAAGAGCAGCCTCTGCTCGCCACCGCCCTGCCGGTGCTCGACGGACAAAAAAATGGGACGAATCGATTCAGTCGGAATAACGTAAATATAGATGTGTGTAATGTAGCAAAAAACACGATTTTTATTCATATTTTGAGCGGATTTTACCCCGTATGCATCGATAGTGCAAACAGAAGATACACAAAGATGCAACACTAACATGACCAACGATGACTGAGTGACAGAAACTCCTCTGTTATGTCCCTCTGTCATGCAACCGCGCGCACACACACACTCACAAACACACACACACGCATTCTGACGCGCGCACGGTGAGTCACTTGTGTGTTGAAACTGTCACACACACCGAGAGCGCGCAAAGTAGTTCAGAAAACAACTTTGGCCGTTTCCGCATTAAGAGGGAAGCCAGTGTGTGCGATAAGTACCAACTCTAAGCTTTCATTTCTACATCTGTGTGTTTTAAAAGTAAATCCAAAATAACTAGAAACACTTCCGTTCAACATCACAGGCGGGTTGGTTAAATATGCAAGCCCAGCCGCTGATAGTAAGGGGATACAGCCCCCAAAGAAGGCAGTTTATGATGTAACACACACTTATTTAAGGTCAAGCACGTTCAGCACAATGCACCAGTCTGCTGCCGCTGTTGAACTCACCACGTGTGATCTGTTGTTGCTGGGCTTGCCATTCCAGATATCTGGCCGCCTCCAAGAGTGTATCGATGCTCATTGCGCGTAAACCCTCACGGCTGGCAACCCGGTGGCCCGGGACGGAAGGAGAAAACGATCAAGAGAGGGGAAGGTAGTGTCCCTGTAGGAAGCACCGTGTGTGTGCAAGGTTCGCACCCCTTACGTGTGTGCTACGCGTCCCCTGCGTTTCTCCTGAAAGCAGACGGGCGATTTTTAATCCGGCCGAGCGGAAAGTAGATCCTCGCATACGTAGAAAAAAAAATAGGATTGCAACAAGATGGCGATGCGAGCACGGGAATACACACAACAAGGCGAGTCGTGTTCTCGTTAAGGCCCGCCCATCCCGGATTCCTGCCCCGCCCTGTTACTACGGCCTCCGACAAAACCCGGCGACCGCACTACTCCCGGCCTCCTCAGCGCTGATAGCTTCCTCCTCTCAAATCTCTCATAAATCACACAGTTTTAATTTAAATCTATCGATATCTCTGCCCGTGAGCTCACGGGCTGCCGCCGTGCCCGCGTGCCTCCGCAGCATTAGTAAAAGGAGAGTCCCGTGGCTGTTGTCAGCGCGCCTTGTTTTAGCTCGCGCAGCTGGCCCGCAGCGCATGAAGAACAATCAGACGGCAGCCAACCAATCAGCGCTCAGAACAACAAGGCATGGTGCTGGTCCACATGGGCACCCGCCCGGCCCGAGCGCGGCTCATTTGCATGGCGAGAGCGTGACTGGCCACCCTGCTGTCTCGGGATCAGAGCTGTCAATCAAAGAGTGAGGGGCGGGGTTACGCAAAGCCAAATGTATTACTATGATTACTACCTATTCAGTAGGTCAAAAGCTGTAGCCTAATGGGAACTTTTTTATAAATATATTGTTTTAAATACAGTGTATATACCAATATAGATCTATTTATTTTCTCAAAGGTTTGTGTCATTGAAATTACTTACTTTATTTACATTACATTGAAATTTATTACTCTTTTCATATTAGTACTACCAGTGGATAGCCCACTTTTGTTATATCTCACTTTTTTTTCTCTTTGGATGTTTAGTACACTTAGTCTATATTTATTGTATATATTTAGTATATTTAGTCTGTATTTATTTAGTATATTTAGTCTGTATTGTACATACTTCTTATATTTCATTTTATTTTGTGTTTTTATTGCTGCTGTAACATGAGAATTTCCCAGTTTGAGATCAATAAAGTATATCTATCTATCTATCTATCTATCTATCTATCTAAATAAAACGTAGATTTAATAGTTTTTATGGACAAGATTAGTGAAGCATAAATCAGCATGACAAGTAAACATGATAACCTTAGTTTAAAAGTCTGTAATTTATAATCAGAGAAGTTTTACCCTGATTGAATTAATGGGAAAGGGCTGTAGGCAAATGATAAAACAACTGTTATACTTACCTGTCACAGAAAAAAAGAAATGGCATTGAATCTTTAATCAGAAGATTTTATTAAAAAGATCAAAATCCATTTATTGACACAAAACATTCAGGTGATAAGTTTATTTAAATGTATTTATAGATATGAAAAGTTACTGTTTGCTGTATTTTTCTGTTTACTCCATCTTGATTCTTCCTTTCCAGTCTTTCACATCAAGGGAGAAATCCTCTGATTTATTGCCTCACACAGGTTTTCTCTCTGTGAAACATGTTTCCATCTGGTATGAATGACATGGTACGGTGCATTTAAGTACCGCTGTCATGATTACAAGTTGTGTTATGGTGGTGTGTTTTTCCACAAACTAGTGTACTCGAATGTATATTGCGTACGCATGGTAACAGTCTTTGATTGGACATCACTAAGTTGCATATAACCTCAACCACATCACAGGGTCTGGCTGTCTTAGCCAATCAAAACAGCCTCTCAGATGTACATCTGAGCTGCCTTCGCCACGCCGTGTGTCCTGCCTACTTACAAACCTACTACCACTATTAACACTAACACACAGTTGATATAAGAAACACATGTAAGTGGGTATGTTTAGGTGTGAGTGTGAAGGTGGGAGGTGGAGGGGGTCGGTTTGCAACAGGCTGAAACACCATAGCAGTATCTATGGCAGAAAATGAATTAAGAAGTAAAAGGGGGAGGAGGGAGAAAACAGGGAGCACATGGTAAGCACATGAGCTGCATGGAAAAAAAGGTGTATTGGGATGTGTGCATGTACAGAGGGAAAAGGGGAGGCGGAAAAAGGGGGTGGCTTGGAGAAATAGGGAGGGTAGGAAGGATGTGAGGCAGGGACGGGCTGACCCAGTTAGAAGTGCTGCATCACTACTGGATCCACAGAGCAGAGACAAAGAGGCAGCGATGCAATACAGAGATTTTAAATAGGAAAAAGTATTTAAAATTTGAAGAAGGGGCAGGGACTGGGCAAAGTCACTGTGGATCCACAGACATGAGAGGAAAAAATATGTCTATATCATAGTTATAAATATGATTATCACCCCAATAAATGAATGAATAAAGCAGTGAAAACATACTGTCAAGAGATAAACACTCAGTGAACATGATGACAACTAACTCTATCATTTTCTTAGCAGCAGAAAATGAGCCTGTACATTTTTCTGACATATTTGATTGTCCTTATGAAGATGTGACAAAAACTGAACAGATCATTCTCTGTGGTCTGCTTTGATATAAGATGTTCAGATTTATCCTGTTTTCCATGACATTCGTATGAGACTACAGGTTAGTTTTGCACAGTGAAGGAAATTTGCAGTCGCTTTCCCTAAGAGGGGCATTCCACATTCCACAGCATTGTACCACTAGAGAGCGCCCCATCCTGTCAGAAACCCAGTCCAAAGTCATTTTAAACCTCCTCACAGTCCTCCTCAGGCTTTGCATGGATTAGGACTCTGGTCACGTAAACTATAATGGGACACACGTAATCTATACAGGGATGACACACAAACCTATATATCAACACAGACACCGCAGCTGTCTACACTAAGTTTAGACATTAAATTGATAATATAAAGAAAGGTAGCTTGTTGTGTTGATCATTTTAGCCCCTGTAAATCAAACCTCTACTGCTGCATCTGACCCAGAAGAAACTGGTGTGTACACTGACCTTGAAACCTCCCAACACCTTCATAGCATGCCGGCTTATCTGGATCAATGCTGGTTTATGATTCTCTGTTGCGGCTTTCACTTTCTCTTTGCTGTCAATGTGTAACAACAGTTTTGTCTGGGGTAGAGAAAAGAGGGTGACCTAAAAGCAAAATAAATGAGAGAGAGGCCCTCTACCCTTTTTTAAAATCTTAAGCTTGCATGAGGGGAGATGTGTGTGCAAGGCATGAGAGTGGTGGCGGGCAGATGTAGGCCAATGTTTCTACTCCAGTGCCTCTGTGGAGAAACAGGAGTGTCAGATTGAGACAGATGTATTATCCTTTCATTGGGTCCCATGTAGCCTGTTCTCTTGCTCACTAATTTCAGTCTGAACTGTGTTCTCACTCTGTCCTTTTACAACATGAACCTTGTGCAGTAATTACTTTTCTTTTTGGCATCCATATTGGTCTTCATGCTTTACCACACCACTCCCTGTTTCTCCACCCTCACAGACGTTCGGGACGAAGCAAGGTGTGGTGCTCGCGCACTTGCCAACTAGGCAACAGTTGCCAGGATACCACAGGGCCCAGAGAAAGAGTAATTGCTGTGTGGGTGAGTGAGCAGGTGTGTGTGTGAGAGAGCACAGAAGTAGGCTGTGGTACCGTACATAATTGATAAACTGTCCCTGCTGCCTCCTGATGTCTTTGGCTTTCCAGTTTGAGCCTGCAGTGAAAGTAACTGGGCTGTGCCTGAGGGATACATGTCAGAAGTCATCATTACAATCAGTCTGGCTTATATTTAAAAAATGATTAATAATCTATTCATTTTCTATCTCATTGTAATCACATCAATGACCATCAGCGTCTGACCCCTTATTGGATAGAAGTTTGCTAAAGATGCTACAAAACAAATAGGCCTGCAGCAGGAGTGCTTCTGTGCACCAGAGGCTGATAGTTATGCATAAATAATATCTGCTGTCTACAACATGGTTTCCAGTGTTTTGTCTGGTGACCCATTTCTTTCTAAAACATTTTACTCTGATGATTTAAAGCAGCAGGACCCAGATCTTTTTAAATAAAATAAACTTTTTGTTAGCCACATGATGTCTGGGTCATCATGTTTAAAAATGCATATTAGTATTTAATCTGTACATGTCAAATCTTTGGTTAATCAGTAACCACAGTACCATGAAGAAAGGAACTTAAGAGTTGTGAGTTTGAAGTTTGCAAATATGCCCAAGTGCAGCTCCGTCTAATGTTGAAGACCCTCTGAGGTGACGAACCAGAGTATGTAGTTGACATGTATTTCCATAATAAAACATCATAGTCGTCCTTTCTTGAATTTACATGGTTTAGTTTGCATAACAAAACGCTACTTTTTACAATTAATAATGACGAAATTGAGATCCGATGTAAACACTGTCAAAACTTTTGTGCTCTCAAAGACCCACAGCTGCACGAATTACCTGAGAAAAACCTGCAGGTCTCACATAACATGTCTCCTCCAATAGGAGAGCTGCAGTGGTAATCGGCTTCAAACTTCAAAGTAAAACTATACAACTGTTCAGTCTCTCAGAATTCTTATCAAGATAAATAACACATATTATTTGTAGTGCACAAATGGCTCTAACAATGCCAAATAAGCTGAAAGATAAACTACAAAGCACAACGGCACATTTGGCTTCATCGCATTGCCACTGTGTCCACAGCTGTCCTTGCCAGTAAGAGAACATCTAAACTTGAAGGTGGTGCTGCTGTATCTGACCTCACTGTGACACTTTGTGGTGGCATATCCTGTCTGACTCCCACAAGTTCTCCTTCATCTCCTGTCCTCCAAAACAAAACAAAAAAACAGACACATGAGTAACTTATATTTACAGAATTTTATTTCATTATGTTGCAAACAATGACATCCAGATATATTGATACACAACTTTTACTGTGCGTGTATGTGCATTTGTGAGTGTATGTGTATGTGTGTGTAAAGAGCAGTGAGACCACAGAAAGCAGAATGAAAATCCCGTGTGAGGGAGCCCTCAGTGGGTTAACAAGGCAGAGATAGCGAGCAAGAGGGCACGGGGCGATTTTCTCTGGGCTGACATACACACACATACAAACCTCAGAAAAGGTGAGCAGACTTTTTCCTCTGAAAAACACACACTTTTGCTATGGGGCGTGTGCCTGTGCTCTCAGCAGCTTAAGGATCATTAAGGTCCTGTGAGTGTCTACTAGAAAGCAAGTTTTATTAGAAGAGATGTAGTAGTATGAATGAACACAGTGGGTGAGAAGCTTTGCCTCCTCTCTCTCTCCTCTGACCTTCAGAGCAGAGGCGGCGGAGAGATTCTCCTGTCGTAATATACAAACACACACTCACTCACACAATGTATACACGCATGTACACGCGCACTCGCCCACAGAACCTTGTGTGATTCGAAATAGGGAGCTGCATCCTGGTTGGTTAGTTTTCTTCAATTTTCTTTCTCTTCTTCTTCTCCTGGATAGCTTTCACTCGTTTTTTTTCCCATGTTTACTTCCCTTACACCTTCTCTTTCACCATCTATGCAGTGACAGACCACGACAATGGAAGCATGGAGTAAAACCAAGCAGAACATAAAAACTAAACCCCTTCAGCGAGGGGTGCAGTCAGTCAGTCAGCTAACCAAAATCACCTGCGCCAGCACACAAAGATGTTTACCCTTTGACCCGACAGGAAGTGATGACAACAGTATGCAAATTCGGCAAATTTAACAGTATACAATTTTTTTTTTGTTTGATTACCATGCAAGGAATACTTCTTATCTTTGAGTGTGTTTATGTGTCAGAGATTGCGTGACATTTATTAAGCGTACCCTACATCCAGAATAATTTACATAAAAGGACAATAGTCATCTTAATAGGGCTGGACCGATGTAGAGGAGGAAAGAAGGAGAGGGGAGCGAGGCAAGAGGATGGGAAGAAGGTAAAGCGCCATGGTCAGCTATGGTTTGGAGTGCAAGAGGTGAGAGGTTTGGTTGGGTGTAAGGACAGGAGGAGGAGGAGGAAGGCGAGGGTAAAGAGGAGGGTAGGGAGGGGAGGGGGCTTTAGATTTGTTTGGAGCTTAGGGCAGAGGAAGGAAAGGATGAGGGATGGAGGCAGCCTCAACGGCACTCCCAGACTTTGACTGTCTGATCGACACTGCCCGTCACCACGTAGGGAGCAGTCTTGTGGAAATCTGTAAGAGATGTAAACGACTGTTTAGGGAACCTGCACTGAAGATAAACAAGAAGCTTATAGAAGTCTGATACAGGCTGTGTGTCTGTACAGATTCAACACTGGCCAACTTTGAATATTTAACAGGTCGGAGGTGCAAAATCGCTTCCCATCTTACCCAGAGAGGTAACAAAGTGTTCATGGGCACACAGGGTCTTCATGCAGCGTTTGTTCTTGTAGTCCCAGATCCTAATGGTTTTGTCATCGGCGCAGCTCACTATAAATCTTCCACCAGGATGAAACAGTACCCCGCGCACCCAGTTGTCGTGACCCACCTGAACAAAAAAGACTGATTAACCACCAATCCCCTCGAACACGAGCTGCAGCATTGTGACTGTGGTTGAGACCATCACTTCATCACTACTTACCAGGGTCATAAGGCAGATGCCGATGCTGACGTCCCACATCTTAATAGTTTTATCTCTGGATCCAGAGAGGAGGAAGGGGCCAGGTTTTCCACTCTTTTTGCTCTGCAGAAAAGAAAGACATCATGAAAGGCTGAAACACAAGTTCTTATGAGGCTGTTGTGCTTCTGGTACAAACATTTCAATCTTTGTGAAAAGGTGGGGAAATGCTGCTAATAATAGAAACACACCAATATCTTTATCAGTAAGGATATTGATGGTCAAGATATTATACCTCTGAACCTGTGGCCTCCAGGATGGTGGGATGAGCACATTCAGGGGCCCAGGAGATACACTCTACCACATGTTCATGTTCCCGCAACTCAGCTTTGCACTCCTTTGAGGCCACCACCCAGACACGCACTGTCTGATCGTTGGAGCAGCTGGCGATCAATGAGCCGTCCTGGTTGGGACGTACCATCCTCACCCACTCCCTGTGGCCTGCAAATGTCTTCACGCAGTACCTGCAGACAGAAGACCGCAGATAAAATGTGGAAGCTCATCAACACACATCGATATAACCAAGAGAGAGTTGTGAAGACTCCTCTTCACTTACCCGGTGGCCACCTCCCACATCTTAATGGTCTTGTCTCTAGAGGCAGACACTATGTGGTCACCATTTGGCATGATGGCTACAGACGACACGTTGTGATCGTGGCCTGGATGACACAGCAGAGAGTTTAGTCGTGTCACTGGTCCAAGTTCAACAAGATACTGATACCAACAGACAAATGTCCAAAGTTACTGTGTCAAGATATTATCTGATTTCAGTTACTGTCTCTGTGGTGCAATGTTGTTATTTTCTAAAAAATCTCTCTTACCGTGCATTGTTCGGATGCACTCAAACCCTTGAAAGTCCCAAAGTTTGATGCTCATGTCAGCTGAACACGAAGCAAGCAGCTTTCCGGTCTGGTCAAAAGAGATGTCCTGCACGGAGTCCGTGTGGCCTTTCAAGGTTCGCTCAAAGTCTCCTGCCTCGTAGTCCCACACCTAAAACCACAGACAATGACAGACAATGAGGGACTTCAGACTTAAGAATGAAGACGACCTGTTCCCCTCGTTTAAATCAAGACAGAGAATAAAACTGACCCCCCCCCCCCCCCCCCCCCGCCTAATAATCGATATCGGCATCGGCCATAAAAAAAAAAACATATCGGTCGGGCTGGGTTTTGATCAGCGTGGGGGTGGGACAGAGGAAGAGAGAGAAAGAGACAGACTATACTGCAGCTGGTCTTTCCAAGTAGCCCGCACAGGAAAAGTTCACCGTTAATAGCACTGATTTATTTAAATATGAACTAAATTCTGAACCCGACATAAAAGCTGGTTACAAGTAAAAGGGACACAAAGAAATAATTGCAAATCATGACCGCATCAATTATTCCCACTGTCTTGACTGTGTCTTTTGCTGCATTGTCTTGTCCTCTAAAGTAAATGCACAGCTCAGCAAATAAACACAACCAGCTAACATGACTCACCGCTGCTAATTTCAAATCAACAAGCTGAGTTCATTGCAAACATGAGCATGGAATAAAAGGTCTGTTCCCTCAAGTAAGCCTGCATGTGCTTCTGAGCTTCTCACTTTCATTAAAGACAGAATCACATCTCTGATGGATTCTCAGGGAAATGCTTCAAGCCATCATCAAATCACAAATATCTAACACACGCTGAATTAGTTAAACCCACAAAAAGTAGGCATTGGCTGAAAAGGAAACCATTTTGCAAGTTTTCCGAGGTGCTTTTCCTCGGGAGGGTTTGTCTCAGACAACAAATGCATCAACCCATCTCCACGTAGATGAGCAGTGACAAAGCAGAAAAAGAAACACGGGGAGGAAGGAGGGAAAGCAGGGAGAGAGGGAGCGTGAGGAATAGAAAGGATGTGGGGTTGGGGGGGGTGAGGGTCTGTCGAAGCAGGAGCACTGAGGATAAAAAGGGAGAATAGCCTCAGATCTGCAGTAGAGCTTTGATCTGAAGGGTCAGAGCTGCAGACGCTCGGTCATGTTGTGCTGCAATGCCCGCTGATCTCTCTTTTAAACGCCGCTGCATGCAGTTATCAATCTGTCGCTTTAAGTTTACACCCAGCAGCACTGCGTACTTTAGAGAAGACATCTCAAAGACATTACAGTGAGTGAACCTAAGAAAAGGAAAAAGGAGCTCAAAAATTCAGATTCAATTTTAAAATGCACAGACTTATAATAGGAACCTCTTCATGGTCAAACTGATGCATTAAATAATGGTGGATTAATGGAGTTGATATTAAGTAAAATAGTAACTTTTTCCATAGAATTTTTTTAAAGTCAAAACTGCATTTTGTTAAGAGTATATGTAGAAATTTTTAAAGTATAGATGTTCAAAAGACCGCTGAACTTCACGCTCTGGAGTTTGTTGTTGATCACTCTGTCTTTTATGTGAAACTTTGTTTTCAGCTGTTGTAACTTTGTAGACTCAGATCTAACACAACCAGCTGAACTCTCTAACCAACAGCTCCGTTGAAGAGAGTTCTGACAGAAATCCAAACATTTCCTGGAGGGACATTACAACTGTGAAATTCAGCACAGCGTGAGTGTCTGTTACATTGAGCAGGAGGGGGCAGAGTGAGCATATGAATGCACTTATATCTCAGAGAGTTTTGATGTTTGTAATGACACAAACCTTGATGGTGGCATCCTCTGAGGCTGTGACCATTACAGAGAAGACAGGGTGGAATATGACACGTGTGACTGGAGCACGGTGCCCACTCAGTGCGTATCTCTCTGGGGGACGGGGGATCCACTCCTTGGGGTCCCTCTTCTGACCCACAGGTCCTCCATGTGTCATTTCTTCCTTTGCCTCGTTTAGCTTGGACTCCAATTCCATCACCTAAGAACAAGCAACAGAGGCACATCTCGATTAAAAATACTTGATTGTGGCCAATTTGATGTTTTTCTCCCATCATCTAATAGTTCAGAATTCCAAGTAGTTGAAATTGTTTCTCTAGATGGGTGATGGAGAATGGCCATCAAGAATATTAATTTATGATTTTATGTAAACAAACATTTTTCACAGGGTCTGACTAAACCCTTCGTCCAGCAGCCAAAAACCAAGCAAGTTCACTGGCGCAACTGGAGCTGAAAATGACGTCACACCAGAGTTCCCAGCGTTTCAGTTACCAAGTCGGAAAAAAGCAAATCGGAGGCAGAAACAAGATGGCTACATATACCAAATTTATTTTAGTGCTTGCATTATATTTCGGACAAGGCAAGCGCTAAAATAAATTTTGCAGATGTAGCCATCTTGTTTCCTCCCCTGACTTGGTAACTGAAACGCTGGGAACTCAGGTGTGACGTCATCTTCAGCTTGGACTTCTGACTTCTGAGGAAACTCGAACGCACTATTAGCCTTACCTTCTTCTGTAATCTGATGACTGAGGTCCATTTCTTTTCCAAAAGCCCTGCATACTTTTTGTCTACCTCTTCATTCTGTGAATCAAGATGAAACAGACACAAGGAAAGGCATTTACACTCTTCTCGATCAATATAAATTCACAAGATTTCTAGCATGTATCGAGCGTTTCTTTCTTACCATATCTAACTCTGCCTCTTTTTTAAAGGTGGAATAGGCTTCCTCGTATCCATTGGATCGGAGATAGTCAGCTATAGCTCGGTTTCTGTAAAATATGTCATACAAACAGTTTTCAGGTTTCAGGTGTTAACTTGTCACCATTTATGGTCCCATTTATGTGTCCCTTGAAAATCATAAAACAAACTCATCTAGACTGCCTTTAATTCAAAACATAAACCAGAGTCTCAGTTATCGCGCCATGAATAAAGTCAAATGAGTTTGTCACTGATTAAGTACTGCTCCACCTCATCAGAAGTGCTGGTTCCTCCCTAAAAAAAGCAGCCTCCGCCCACACTGGCATTTTAAATTTCCACCTTGAATGTCAGCAAATCAGAGCAAGTTCTATTCTTGAGCAAAGAAAACAACACATGTGAACAAAATCACTAGGTAACTGAGTTGTTGGACTGGAGATACATGCAGCTATGGAAACCAAGTCTTGTCAGAAAGCAAGAACAGATGACGGACAGGGTGACCAAAAGCACGAGAATACACAACCTTAAGCACAAAGAGCACAGACTGCCACAAAAACACAGACAAAGACACAGTTCTGAGAGGAACAGCTCTTTCATGAAATAAGCGGTAAATATTTCATGAACTGCGGTGCTAAATTTAGGCTACAGCTTGAGGACAACTTTAAAGGGCCACTAATTGTGACCCTGATACAACTTTGTGTTATACACATTGAACTCTCGACCATCACTGGCAGCAGAATTTGCGCTGAATTAGCAAAATACTTTTAAAACTTATCAGGGAAAGAGCAGGATGGATTTCTTGAGTGACACACTGAGATTAGACATGGACCAGTTCACCGTTTCAAGGTACGCCATGGTTAACTGGTCATGGTTTCAGAACCACTAATATTCTTCATCATACCGCTAATATGGTATGAACTCCTGCTGCACCCTGTGTCTTTGTCCGAGCACTCAGACTGTGTATTTACTGTATCATCATTGGCAGCCTCAGCCACTAGCCTGTACTGTTTGACAAGGTGGTTGTGGCTGTGCTGGTCACCAGGTAGACCAGACAATAGACACTGAAATGACCACCACAGAGACGCTCATTTTTTGTGCAAAAACTATAAATTAAAAGAATCAATACAGCATTACTTGAGACTACTGATGGTAGTAGTAGAAGCAGATAGATTAATTCCATCTATTAAAATCAATACAAATCTGAAGTTTATTTAACTGTTTTAACTTACTATGCATGTTTCTAATGTTTCAAGTACTTGTTCTTGGATGTTTCCCTGCTCCAACACACCTGATTCAAATGATTAGCTCGTTATCAAGCTCTGTAATGGCTGAATAACGAGCTGGGGGGGGGGGGGCGCTCGAGGACTGGACTTGAGAACCACTGTCTTATATTAACACATTTAAGAGTTGTAATCATAATAACAACACATTTTTGCCTTAATACTGTTAAAACTTAATAGCAGGTCATGTCTGATTGAGATCATAGGGAGGGAAATATGTTTTTTTTTTTGGCTGACTGGTTTGGAGTGCACACAAGGGGATGTTTCTGTACAAGGCTGCTCACATGAACCATCATTTTGATCCTCCCTCTCCCCATCCCCCTCAACTTCTCCACTCTTGTCATGTGGGTTATGAAATATTCACTGAGTAGCTATCACCTCTAACTTATTTTCTTCTCACATCTCCTCAGTTATAATCTAGTCGTGTAAAAGAAGAAACTTTGTCACAATATCTGCGTTAACCTCTTTGAATGTTTTCTTTCAAGACATGAAAAAACATTTGATTTGCATTTGGTCAGATTTCGGGAATATTCCTTGAAAGCTCAAACATACAACTGTGACACCTTTTGAGCAGTATGTGCTTGTTTGTCTACATGTCTGCTCTTGTTTGCATGTGTAATGAGCCGGCACACCCGCATATTTACATCCAGCCACTCACAGTTCATCTCTTTGTCTCTGTGACAGCACCATGCTGGCTGCTGTTCTCTCCCTCGTGGGGAGGTAAGGGTGAGGTGATGTGCTGGAGGAGCCTGGCTGGGGGAGTGTGTGCTGGAGGTGTTTAGTCCCTCAGCGATGTCGTTCCTTCAGAGTCCCAGTACTGGTGGAGATTGTGGCGCACAGAGGGAGTTGAACTGGAGACGCAGCTGTCAATCAAGTGTCAGCGCAGAGCTCCACGGGTATTCACTGGCTCGGATCTCGCTAACTAATCAGACGTGCCCATCACCTAAATGAAGAGAGAGAGAGTGGGTTAACAAAAAATGCAAAATATACGGGCTATGGCTTGGAGGAAAAATTCACATTTATTCAAGGACAATAAGCTGGCAGTAACCTGTAGATGTTTAAAAAGGTTTTTAAAAAGTTCTCATTTTCTTACATGAACATTTCTGATCTGCTTTTTCAATTGAACAATCCAGAGGCAGTTGAAACTAGGACTGAGCGATAAAATGATCGTGATCGATGATTGTGAAATGATCAGCTGTGAGCATCTGTAAATTGCTGGATAAGTAAACAAAATGACCGAACATGGAGCTAAACGCTGAACGGAGGGCAGCAAAATAGATGCCAGCCATGACTTTGAGTCATCCTCCGAAGATGTTATTGTTGAGAAGTTATTTGACATTGGTTGTGTTGCGGTGGTTCGGGTATCTCCAAAGTGACGTAGAGTAATTAAACTGATGTGTAAGGTATGTCGGCGGTCGGTGCCCTCAAAGACCGGCAGCACAACAAATCTGTTTAATCAGTTGAAGAAGTTCTTCCCGAGTGAAAATGCGAGCGGAGTCTGAACAGCCTGTCACTGCTGACGGTACAAGTAGCATTAACAGTTTAACCACAACTAGCAGTGCAGCCACCAGACCAAAGTATCAATCAATCGTATCATCTACATTTACATCATCTGATGTAGACAGCTTAAGGCGTCTTCATTATCTCTGAGGGGGCGATTTGTTCATTTTGGGTCTTGCATACCTGCAAAAACACTCAGGACTGTAAACTAGTTCTCTGTTTTATTCAGTATTTATCTACATTTGTTGTACTGTTGAGTTAAAATGGTTTTTATTTTTTTCTAAGTGTATCTTATTTTTTGTTATTTACCTTGTATGTTAATAAAATGTTGAACTAATCCCTAGTTTCTTTATTTTTTAGAACAGATACTTTAAAACTGGCAGTAAAAAAAAAAAAATGTGATAATAATCGAGATCTGATGATATGACAAACTATATCGTGATCATTTTTTTTGCCAAATCACCCAGGCCTAGTTGAAACTTTCAATACAGTAAAGACAGAGAAGTAGGAAAAAAAACAACAAAACAAAAAGGTAGTAAACTTCCCATATAGTGAAAATCTCTTTTTCTGGTCTATAAATACATACTGTACTTAGGTCACCCCCCCCAGCCTATCTATCCTGATAATGTGGAAGTTAACAGCTTCCGCATCATTTTTGAAACACACTCATTGAGACAAACAAAAGCAAAACATAACCAATACAACATATGAATGTTATTCATAACTGTACCACGCAGGTTTCACACCACAATCTTGCACATTTTAGAAAAATGTATTGGGGGAACCATTCAGTTTCGCAAAGACCCACTTAAACTCCCACCTGTGGGTCTCAAGGGCCCATTACATCGAAAATCTCGCCAAACTGCAGAGTTTATATTTGGATATTTGGACCATGAGGCAGTCATGATGGAAAAGCACACATCAACAAGCTGAAAAATCAAAACACATCACTCAGGGATAGTGAAGCTAAATCGAGAATTCACTTCCTGAGCTACAGCAATACTGGCACCTGGGGCCACAATAGCACTAAGCAGCTTAGCCACCAGACCAGACGACCAAGAGTCTCTGTATGTGTGGAAGTGTTTCTCGGTGATAGATACCACCAGTTTGGCACAGCGCTGTAAAGAAGGGGCAGGACGGTCGGCAGCTAATAAGATTAACCCGAGACAAAGAACAGACCTCAACAGCAAGCCATCATTTCTTATACTTTATTTCTCATCAATTTATTGGATTAACCATCTGTTGTTATAAATAAAAAGATCACTTCCTGAAAACAACTTATTATATGAAGGTCAATCAGATCAGAGGTTTTGGGGAATACATTTTTACTCTATAGATGAACAGTTGGGAACCTTTTTTCAGTGACAGCGTGATAGCCAACAACAAAACATTAAGCTAGTGACGTGTCTGTAGTGTAGAAGGACTTTGCTTTTCCTGCCTGCATGATGAGTGCTCTGAGCTGACAGGACAGAGTGAGTGATTTTAGCAGAGCAGCACTCTCAGCATGGTTCAAAAATAGCCATTTGACCACATATACCTACCTCGAAACTATTATATAACGAAGACATTCTCTGGAGCTTCTGCCCCTCCTATACAGTACAGTGCATCTCTGCAGCGTTTTAAACAGGGTTAGAGGTAAACAAATGCAGCGGGTGACACCGTGAGGACTGCTTTTGGTTACATTTTTTTATAAGTTTTGCAAGAGACCTTGAGTTGTCACATTGAAAAGTAAATATACAGTTATTGGAGTTGGGGGTGGGACTTTATTCATGTCAGAATTATTAGAAGTCCAAAAATGACTTTTCTAAGTTTCCTCTGCTGCTGGCATTGTTTACTCTGCACTGGCATCCATCGTTCACAGTTGCAACAAAAGGGTGTGTGGTGCCAAATGCTGGCCTGTTTTCATTAAAGGCCAGTATTTGGGTGCACTTTGGACGCTACAGTCTCCTGGGTATATAGAAGCTTTACATGACCTGCTCCATATGCAAAGTGTGCAGAAAAAAAACAAACTGTTCAACACACAGAGGAACTGACAATGCACAAGCTCAAACACCCGCAAAAGGAGCATAAAGAGGTACAAAAACTGTTCATAAATTCAGGATAAAGCGAAAAATACAATCAAGATCCATTGCCTGTTCCATTTCCATGGACTTACATGTCATCAGTGAGAGAGTTTTCTCCACCGTTAAGCATATCCTTACAGTTCAGCAGATAAATATGACTCCAAAGCATGCAGCCTCCTTTGCTTCGACATTTGCTTTAACAAGTCAAAGTACTGTTGTCCATTATCCTGTGACTGTAAAAAAATAATCCAAATATATAAAATATTTTAAATGATTGTTTAAAACTTAGTCCCCAGTAAACACAAAGGCAGCTGGCCTAAGTCTACCATTATATCTGAAAGTATCATTTTCATCCTGTACAACATGAACCCTTTGCTTTCACAATGTCTTATCTTGTGTCACTGAAAATTCTAAAGACCCCCAAAAGGCTTCATTTTTGAAATTTTTGCATAAAACAAACGTCGCCTTTGTTCTTGTTGTTGCCTCTGTGTCTTAACATTATTATGATCATATAAAATAATCTAAATAAAGAAGCTGCACAAACTCAAACACACTCTAATGTCATATAATAATCACAGCAGACTGATATACACACCCATTTGTCACAAGAGAATCAAATTCAAATCAAATCTCGCCTCAAGAATTAAATCAGATTGTGAGACATAAAGATTCTCACCCCTGACAGTTATCTAGGCTTCCTGTTGAACAATGGGGATGCAGTCCAAGTCATAAATCAAGAAGGGTTCAAGGTCCTGTCTACATGTCAGGCTTATCAAAGGAAATAATGTAAGAGAGATTGTTTGTTTACGGCCTCTGCAATCACCTCCCCACTGTGCCCTCCTCTCCTAGAATGTGAGAATTGCTTTGTATGAATTTAGCTGGATAAACAAAAGTCAGTCTGAAGGACAACACCTCAGCTTTGGGGTAAAGAGAGAAGTTTGAGCTTGACAAGCTCAAAATCCCTTACTAAGCTCCAAATGTCACCACTTTTCATTCATGAGGAGCTCAGGGAGAGCGTTTCACTTCATCTCCCATTAGTGTTGTCCAACTGTTTTGATGTTTTGATTTCAACAGATCTTTTAAGAACAACCGTCACAGACTGGAGGCAAAAAGTATAATAAGAGTCTTAGTTTTGTTGGTGCCATTATAGAAGGATGTTATGATAATTTCTCAAAACTCACTCCATCATATTGTGTATTTACTGTTGAATGGATGGATGGTGTTATAAATTTAAGGATAATCATAATCAGTTCAGTTCTGAAGAAGCCTTTTAGAAGGGAGGCGAAACACCTTCAAGAACCCCAAACAAGTCCAGTTGTCTTTTCAACGAAGAGTTGAGGGTCACTTTCCCCACTGATCTGTGGTCACAAAATGACCTAAAGAAAACACCTAAGGTGAGGCATTAGCGCCCACTTAGCCCCCCACTTAGCCCCATTAGCAAACATAAGCTACTGTTACATTTACTGCTGTAAAAGCAGGTTGTGGTTCTGAGCCTCTGTATAAGGTCTTAACAGATGGAACAGCCCCAGGTTTTATTAACAGTGAAAATGCAAATCCAGCCCATCGTGGCTTTTGTTTACAGAAACGTCATCGGTGAAATGGTGAGAACAAACAGCTGTTATTGTCCAAAAAAATGAAAACTTCCAGCTGTTTTTTTTTTCTGATGCCTTTGTCTTTGGGAAGACAAAACAGCTGTGACTTTGCTTCACAACCAAAAGAACTCTTACAACCAATTCACAGAGACATAGCGAATTAACAAAGTGCAGAGCAGAGGAAAAAGCCAAGTAGTCGAATACACTTTGAAGACTTAAAAATGTAAAGAGGTTCTGGATGGGCATGTCCATGAAAGACCTGCAGTGAAGCTTATGGCTTCACTGCTCATTGTTCATTGAAGGCAGGGCCTGAATACGGGAAGGGGACCAATACTTGAGTAATTGAGTACTTGTTGTTGTTGTTATTGTAAATATCATTCCTCATGTAATATTACACTACTCACGCATGCATTGTTCTTGGCCAAGTTACCGCAACTCTGCAACAGAACTGAGGGCTGCTTTACAAAGTGTTGACAGAGTGTCTGTCACCACAGACTCATGGTCAGGTCTCATCACAGAGTTGTGCGTTACCATCACAAATCATTGAAGGATTGAATGAACTGAATACAGCTGTCCGTAAGATAAGCAGCACGCCGCAAAAATTTTTGCAGGGGGGCAAAAATTGTATTATATGAGAGCACTGGATCACTTATTCATAAAGTAATTCGATTACTCAAATATGGGAATTACAGGAAATGCCCATCCCTAGAACAGAGCCAATTCCAGAAGGAAAAGGGATAATGCATGTGAGCAGATCTATGCAAAACCAAAAATACAACAATCCACAGGAGTACATTAAATCAAGGATGCTGTTAACAAAGTGAAATTACTGTAGCACCCACAGTTGTCACTAAACCAGGATTCTGAATTGAAATACCAGTAAAAATCAAATGATATCCAGTGTTTCCTCTAGCTTTTTCTGATACGTGTTGAACATTCAGGGACAGTTCCGTGCTCCATAACCAGTTTTTTTAATTGTTTTTTTGGCGACACGGCAAAAAGAAGCCAGAACCCCAGGTTGTCAAAACCATCCTTCGCAAAACTGGCAGGGTATGAGCGGCAAGCGCACATGACCAGAATATCAGAATTGGCGATAAAAATGATTGGTAAAAAAAATAAATAAACGTATACGTTACTCTACGACTTCAATTTCTGTTTTGGGATCTCGTTGGCAGGGTAACACTGATATCGACAGCTGTTTCACTAGTACAGGGACAAAAATTCAGTCCCCCCAATGTGGTTGATTTCTAATTAACAGCCTGCACACAGAGCTGGCCAGGAAAAGTCACTTAACACAACAAATGTGACCAACTGCTAATAGTTAAATAAAAGGCAAAATATGTAAATGTGATTTTTACCTTAAAATAGCAAAATACAATATTTAGCCTGAATTTTCAAAACGAGAAGGCATGGGCATCAATTTTGGTACAGTGGTCAAATGAGACAATCCCATCATCACCTGCTGAGATGTTTCACTCTGGAATCAGCATGACTTTGGACATTACCACACATACAACACCATTTACCTTTTAAGTCTACTGACTGGCTCAGAGTAAAATCTTCTGGCGGTGGAAGTTTTGATCGAGCTTTCACTAAGCCCAGCAGTGAGCAAGCTGTATTAACTGTACATGCACAAACACTGCACAACTCCATTTACCACTATCAGCCTGCTTGACCACCTCTGTGATGTCAATCACGCCTCATCTTTTAGTCTCCAAGCACTGAAAACGAGTCCCACACAAACAGATGTCACCTCTCTTCTCTGAACAGTTTTCAGTCTAAAAAATGCAACATTCTCTGTAAATGTCTTTACTGGTGGATCTAATGGTTGACTGTGGCAACAATTATCAAGCAATATTTCATTATAACCTGAATACCTAAGTGGTGTTGGCTGTGATAAAACAAATTCAGCAGGCGGTATCAACTGGTCTCAACGACTGAAAACAGTTAATCACAGTTTCCTAAAATCTGGGATCAAATCTTTAAACGTCTGTACTTGTACCAGGAAACAGTCAGAAAGGAAACTGGCTGGGTCTCTGTGATAAAGGGTGGATCTATTGGGTCACCCCTTAGGCCAGATCTATTCAATTCATTGCTATTCTGAATTTATAACAGCCCTGCGCTCATACTCCATCATCAGTGCCAGTAAGTCTGCATTTGACTTGGCAGAGAGCTCGAGTGGCATGGAGGTTTCTGACATCAGAGCCTCAGCGGTTAGGAAATATTTCATGCTTGTTTTACCAACAACAATGACGGCGGCTTGCTGTACACTTAGCTCCTGCTTCAAGAGACGGTGGTTCCTTGGCAAAATGAAACAGAAGCCGAAATGAAGCAGTTAAGACGGTCAGCTGTACTGGGAAGACATGAGAGATGTCCCTTGTTCTGGTAGAGTACAAAATAACAGAGTAGGTTAATACCTTAATCAATTGGAGAAGTATTTAAGTACTGGTACACATTAATAGTTTTGATACTAAATAAAGATAGTAAGTCAAAGTAAACATGAGTATTTGTTTCAGTTTGATTAAGATGTTGCCAAACAATTCCAAGTCTCAGCATCAGTATGTGGACTTGAAAATGCTGAATCAGCGTATTCCTAGCTTAAACTTATATGTTATAGTTTGCTTGTTTCATGCTACCATAGAAACATTGCAGTACAATATAGCGACATCTGTGGAGAGGGACCCACTCCTAAGTAGACACAAAATGTTTGTTCAAGTAAACAAAAGATTTTTACATTTATGTGATTATACTAAATAAAACACAGTCATGAATAGGGCCCGATCGATTAATCAGCGAGCCGACAGGAAGACTGACTGATCATCTCAGTAATATTTATTTATCATGAATCGTTTCTGGTCTTTTGAAAGTTGAAAACACTTTTCTGGTCTGAGTTTGATTCATGATAAATAAATATTACTGAGCTGATCAGTCGGTCTTCCTGTCGGCGTGAAGAGCAGTAGCCTACAGTATATCGAGTGTTGCTCATTTTGAGTTGGAAGTTAACTTAACTGTTTGCACTTTACAGGAAATCCCTCATTCTTTTTCAGTTGTTTAAGATATAAAAAGGATTTGAAATGAGTTTTCTGCCTTTAATTCTTTGAACAAGTGTTTGAAGGCTCAAAAGCAGCCATTTGTTTAAAAAAAAAAAAGTAAATATGTAGATATAATACTTATTTTAACAAAATTTAACTTCATAAAAAAATTTAAAAATCAGAGGAGTAATTGGTAATCAGATATTTGTCCCTCCTAATCATCAGTATCGGCCCTGGCCCCAAAAAATCCATATCAGTCAGGCCCTAGTTATGAATGTTATATTTCATTTCTATCAGGCCAGTTTGGCTAAATGTCACAAAACTAAAAAACAAACTGCCAAGTCCTGTGATAAAACTCCTCCCCAGTTTGAGAAACAGGTACACATATCATTACTCTCTCTAAAATTAAATTCTTCGGTTTGAAACAGCTTTGATGAAAAGCCTAATGTTTAAATTTTTTTCACTTGTTTAATTCTTTTCTTTCATTTTCCAAATACTTCTACTGTAATAATGAACAAATAAGATATTACTGTATCTTGATTGGACAAAACTAAATCGAACAAGAAGTCACTGAAACAGGGAACAGGCATAACTTCTGGTTGCACATCATCATTGTAGATATCATGCCCTGTTTATGTCAAGCTCCTGTACTACGCCCCTCCCTATGACTGACCTTCAGGTCAAACAAGCCCTCTGCTGCGAAGGCAATGTTTAAATACTAATCAAACATGGGGGCAAATCATCTTCCCGCTTAAACCAGCTGACAAACAAAACTTTGCATTTCATTTATCAGTGATGTCACTTTATGGCAGGTCCAGCGCATCTATCACAACAACAAAAGCAATGAGTTCAAAAGTTGCTTAATAGTTATCTCACATATACGAAACAGTTGAGAATTAGATTTGGAGAGACAGAAACAAATTATGGGTACTACTGTGACAAAAATACAAGAATATTTGACAACTTGAGTCTTTGATTAGTTTTTCCAATAAGTGCAATAAAAGACAAAGTGAAAAGCAGATTTAAAAAGGCAAAAAAGCTGAGGTCCCTGTCAAAAACATCACCTTGCGTTGAGATGTTTTGTAAAATGGGGCACCAGCAAGGCTTATAACAAATTGTACAGACATAATTTTCAGCTTTTAACAAAAAACAAGAGATTCAACTAGCATGTAAAATTCAGAAGAGAGCACAGTTTTTGCATCTTTAGAGAGGCTAAGTCTATCGGCTCTGCATAGCCTGGCTCCTCATCATCACCATCAGAAATTCGTATTGGTGCTATCTAGGTCTCCACCCTGATTGTGATTCATCAGACCTCCGTTGAGAAGCTGTGGGGGAATCTTGCGCCGTGCACGATACCAACCAAAACCAGTCAAAAGCTGCTTTACAATTTTTTTAATTTTTTTTTTTAAAAAAGGGTCCCAGTTTAAAACCTGCTAGGGTGACGTCTTTCCAAACCCGAATGGCCACAAGGGCAAAGTTGCAGCAATGGCTCAGCAACGCCCTTCCCAGCTAACGTTAGCTTAGCATGATAACGCAGATGTTCAGTGGAGCTGTCAGCGAGGGCAGACTGGATATATGTTTTATAACAGAGTCACTAAACCAGTATAAATAATCAGAGCTTTGTGGTCATACAGCCAGGCGACATGATGAAAAATTAAGGAGCAGCATCAGTTACTTGAATGGCGGATGTTAGAGGTTCCCCAAGTTTGAATTTAGGGATATTAGCCAATATTTCACAGCACACGACTACACTGATTTAACTGCTTTATGTGAATAAAATGCTAATTTTAACCCTTAATAAGTTCCACTTTAATGCTAAAATGAATCATCCCGTTTAAGGACCTTCAAATAACATCGGTAAACACGTCAGGAGGCTGGCAGCACTGAGGTTAGCCTGGCCGGGCTGGTAGACCACGTTAGCTCATCCACACACAACTTCCATAAATAGACGAGGCTAACGTTAGCCGTGTACTGAGCTAGCTTCACAACAAGTGTCTTCAAAGAATCCCGACACGACCGAGAAACGCATAATTGTTTTAATGACAACAGCCACTCTAAGCACTACCGATTTACTTCGCTGCCCCGCCATTACAACGCCCAGCCAGAGGACCGCTTCTCCCGTGGATGCCAACTTTGCCACTTAGCTTAGCTTTCGGCCTCTCCGCCATTTTGAGATCGGGACGGGAGAGCGCAGACACTGCAGGCGATCCGTCTCCACAAGTACCAAAACAAAAATACGACCATATGGATACACTGCGAACTTACCGTTGGTCGAATTTTCATTCTCGTATCCCTTTTACAAGTCCAGGCTTAGGATAAGAAACCCTAATTCTGAAGTGATACTGTGGCTTTTCTCATCACCCGGCACGGTCGGTCAGGTTTTTGCTCCTCTTCGGTACCACCGCAGTCGCCCGGCCCCAGCTAACGGTCGCGAGTGGATGTCGGCAACGCGCACGTTGAGTTTAGCGGGGGCGCGCAGAATGCTTGTCTGTCATTGCTTTTGAATTAAAGGGAAACACGCAATGTGTATAGAAGTTGTATACTTACGTTTTAGAAGAATTGTTCATTTTGCATTTATCCACTTGAGTCAAAGGTGTTATTATTAATGCTATACCACCCTTCCCTACATGCTATTGTTTGTGATAATATAATAAATAATCATAACAAATCAGGCATTGATCAGCTAAACTCCATATACAGTATATTTCTCTAGATAATGTTTCTTTTGGAATGGTACTACCAAATAAAAATGATGAACTCTGTTGCAATGTAATCTTATGTCTTGCCAAATATTTCATCCTTAAGAATGAAGTTATGAGATAATCCCCCAGATTTATTGTTTTCATAAACGAATTTAAAATGTATTTGAAATCTCTTAAAACGTTAACTGGTTTGAAGGAACAAAAGTTATATGATAACTTTAAGAATTTTCCCACTGATACAAACAGCTAAAAATGTTTTAAAAAGAAAGAAAACCCTTGTAAAGTTTTGCATTGCATAAATTATTTTATTTATTTTTAAGTTACTTTGATGTTTCTGTTTGCTTGTTGTTGTCGCTTTCCCATATTGTTAAGTATTTCTCACTGATATGTTATTTCAATATTGAAATTACTGTATTGAACTGATTCTGCTATGTTTGGAATTGTAATTTTATAACTCTGAATAAAGCATAAAAAAATAAATAAAAAATAAATGAAAAACAAAAACTCCAAATACCGTTCACAGATTTGCCATTGAATATCTACGAAGATTTTTTTAGCATAGACAAATGTTTCTAAATATTCTTTACAATTGTGGTGTTATGCAAACTAGTATCATATTTTGTTAGATATGATATGCCATGGCCCTTTTGTTACTTTTCTACTTTTGTTTATTACTTTTGCTTTAATGTTGAATTGTGTTGTGTATACCAAACTTGTGCTGTATTGTTTGGACTAAAGAAAAAAGAAATGAATTTGTTTAAATTTCATGTTCATATTATAGCTATTATCAATTATTCACAGCTGCATCTAAAATAAAATTGTCTCTAACTTGGTGTTTTATGGAAAACTCAGCAAAAAAATTACTTGAAAACATGATTAATATTCCCATTTCAACCCATTAGATTGCCATTTTCCAATGGAAAGGCAGGATTGAATGATGCTTTTTTTCGCCATCATGTCCTTAAAACATTTTTATGAAAATGATAAGGACTTTTAGTACATCATCAATCATATAGTATCCATCATAGTTTTATTCGTAATTACTTTTATTACTCCCTCTCATATAGTGATTGATGATAGTAGGAGAACTACAAGCCCTATAAATTCTATTCATGTTGTTGGGCAGATGGCACAATTGTGCAACCCAGTGGACACATGAAGAATTGTGAGGCAACGTTACAGAAGTTTGGACTTAAACAGGTTGTTTTATTTTTAACAGAAGGAGTTAACTTCAACATACCTTGTTTAGTCGTATATCTAAAAGCATATCCATTTGATCCATATTACAGGTTTTATGCATTTTCATATGTTTCATATGTTAAGGACAGTTATAAATATTAACCATTAAAGTTACAGTCTGTAGAGTTAATTAATGGACCCCACATATTTCACCAAGATCTATACCATAAGTATGAGACAAATTTCTAACCACAGATTACAGGAGAACAAACTCCTTTTTTCCAAAAGAGGACAGGTACATTGGTTTGTTACTTGAATGTTGTTGTTGTTGTCCAAAGTAGATTAACCTACTTAGGAAAGCAGCAATTTTCCAGGCTTTTGCTGCCATTGTTGTTTATAGTTCATGGTCATTTTCAGACGCCTGCTAGAAATCCCAGATGTTTCTCTGACAGCCTCTGTGTTCACAGCTCAGTATTGTAGCTCACAGGTTTCATGACTTTTTTCAGGCAGCTTTTCCACCTCTGCCTTTACTTTCAATTCAGCCGTCAGCTCCGACATTTCCTTTGCACTAAAAATAAAAGAATGCATTGGAGAAATCATCGTGTATAGTCATCATTTATCATTTACTGAAAATTCAATCTCTCTGTGCTCACCTGAGGGGAATCAGTATGATTCCACATGCCAGATTAAGCTGCTGAAGGATTTTGGAAAGACTTGGAGTAGAAAACTGCAGGGAAACACAGATAAAGAGATAAAGTATCGACAAGAGATGCTTTTTGAATACATGTTTTTACATGATCGACAAACCTTTGGAGGTGGAACACAGGCACTGGGTGTTTTGCTGTAGATACTGTTGATGGCTTTTTGAAGGATCACAGCTTGCTGAGTGAGGCTCTTCAGGTACTCTGAGCTTTCCTTCATACTTTCATGGTCCTCCCCAACCTGACATGTATAACAATGAAACAATGGGCATATAACATTACAGTAGCATTAGCAGACATAGTTTTCTAGCATTTGCAAACATACCTGGCTCTTGTATATGGAATAAGCCTCTTTCTCATGTTGCAAAGCCAAGCGGAACTCTCCTTTACTTTCATACACGGTGGCGAGCAGATGGTGACTGCATAAAGAGAGGCATGATAAGATATGTAAAATACATGCTCATGATTATAACAAAGGGACAATAAGACAAACTGCCTTACCTCTGTGCATATTTCAGGGATGTGGCACTGTGGTATTTTGAGGTTAAAGTTAAGGCATTCTGGAGGAACTTCAGGGAAAGCTCATACTCCATCAGTCCATGAAGAATGAGACCCAGCATAGTCTGATGTGGGGAAATAAAGCATGAGCATAATTCATGATTCCTGATATTTAGACGAAAGGTGATCACAACTTTTAACACAAGTTAAAGTTTATATACGTACAGTATAAGTTGGTTTTTATGTGATTTTCTGTCGTTTACTTTAGTGTTTGGTTTTGACTAAATAAGGCTTCAAGCTGCCATTTCCCAGTATTTTAATAACTTGACTTGTATTTATCTTTTCTCATTTGTCTTAAACAGGACAATCATCACTGTATTTGAGCTTTTTTGGAAGCAGTCAATGGACATCTTACTGTTGCATGGGAGCAATACAGGAAATGAATACAGAGTTATATTGGTGGGTATAAAAGTGAAAATAAAATGGATAAAATCTAAAAATATACTCAAAACTTGCGTAACTAGTTAGAAGTATATTCATATACAGAAAATTGTATCTGTTATGCCTTAAAGAAAATCATAGTTTGTTTAAGTCTCAGTAAATGTTTTGGTCACTCCTTTAGATTATTTTGATGTCTCCCAGCTCACTTTTAAGTATAAACTGTGAATGTCTGACAAACATGCAGCTAAAGTCTCACTTACATCCAGAAGTGCAACATGTGGATGATCTTCTCCAGTTACTAGCAGGGTGAGGTATCGAGCACGATAAAGCAACTTTAGGGAGATCTGGGGGCGGCCTCCAGCAAAGGAGTACAGGGCCAGGTGAGTCTGTATCACAGAACAAAATACTTTCACATTCAGATTTAAAAAATATGAAATAATAAGATTTAGGCCAAGTATCTTTACAAGACAATCAGGTTTAAAATGCTTCAGTTCATTCATGTCAACAAGTCTAGGAACTCACGTAGTCTTGTATTGTCTGTGGATGGTCTATACCTTGGACCCTCTCACTGCTCATAACAGCCTTTTCCTGGTGACTGAGGGCCTAGAAGCAGTGAGTCAAATGTTAATTTAAAATGTTTCATTGATGCAATTATTCAGGTCAAAATCAGGATGATATCACGCTGTAATTTAAACACATATTTACATCGGCATAGTCCCCAAAGATGTAGCTAATCCGCCCGAGGAGACGCAGGCACGTGCACACATCCTCGTGCAGGATCCCACATACACTGCTGAACAGAGTCAGGGCCTGGCTGATCAGCTCATAGCTTTCTTTGAGAAGCCCTGGAATACAACATAAACGACTGCTGATGAGACTTGTGGGTGTCCAGTGACAAAAAATTACATCTTCAAAACCTAGAATGTAAGACACTAAACCTGCAAAATAACCTGCAATGTAGCAAAACAGAGTGATATCAGATCATGTAATCTTACAATGCCAATAGAGATGTCTACTTGATTGATTAAGATTAGATTTTAGGTCTAGATTTCAACATACTGCTTTGTTTTACGATTTTGTGTCTCACCCTGCTGTACTGCCGCTTGTGCGTGTTGCACAAGCTGCGTGGCATCTGTCGCTGTGTGTTTGAGGTGTTTGACCACAGGAAACATGTTGACCACATCTTCCTCACCAAACACTGGCCTGTGCCGAGACTCAAACACATACTCCCTCAGCTGCACCTGAGCAGACAGAAAAAGAAGAAGAAAATGAGAAAAAAATGATCAGCCTTAACTTGTCTCGCCAATTTTCTTAGCCAGCATCAAATAAAAGCATTTACTGTGTGTTTTTACAGGTAAGTGTGCACCCAAGTTTGAATCGAACTTTTTATTTTTCTGGATTTCTTTAAATAAATAGTTTGACAGTAAGGAAGTTAGCAGAAATAGAGTATCTTTGTTGCTGCTTCAGATATGGTGAAGAGTGACAGACCTGGATGCCGGTCTTGATGGCAATCTCTCTGAGTAAGGAGATCTTCTGAAGGCTGTGCTTTTCTATTACTTCATCTAAACTTTCACTAAACACACAAAAGGACAACAGAGTGAAATCCTGCTGCACATATCCAATTACAGACCCCCCCCTCCACACACCCACACATACACAAACACACCTGTCTGTTGTGAAGTGGTAATACTCTTCTGCCTCAGCCTTGATCTTGACCCACAGCTCACTTGGGCTCAGCCTGGTCCACACGCTGTCTGACAACGAGGTCACTCGACTCCCGTGGCTCCTTCGACGTCGGCTCTTGCGTCGAGAGAGGAGCTCGTCTGAGCAGGAGTCCAAACAAGAGGAGGAACCGAGGAGACAGTTCAGGAAGTGACTGACGGCCGCAGAGAATGCTGCAGGTTCGACATCCTGAGAGTGAATTAGATAGAGATTGTTAAGAAGAATTCTAGTTATAACATTAACAACAATGATATTTCACCTGCTGATATCATATGTGCCCTTTACCTGCAGATAAGTCCTGAAGATGTGTTTTGCACTTCTGATGATGACCTCGCTGATGGAAATTCTCTGTGAGGGAAAACGTGATCAGACTGACAGACATCATTCCTTATTTCTGGATATACAACAAGAGTAAACCACTGGATAGGGGACACAATTAAAAATGTTTCATTTTTCAGTATCTTCTTAAGTTTAATGTTTTTTCCCCTTTTTCACTTGTCAATTTACTGGTCTAGAAACAGCATAACAGATATTAAAGCTAGTTTTTAGAGATAGCACGAGTATTTCAACTGAGAACTTAGGAAACGTATGGTTGTCACTTTGTCTATGATTAAGATAAAGAGGGGAAAGGCCTGCCAATAGTGATAATGAAGAAAATTATATGTATTCCATCCTTTAGGGGGAAATCTGTTTGATAGTTTTGTTATGTACTAAGCAGCTTAAATTTCACCCATGTTAGTGGTGCCCATAACATACCGTTTCGCAAATTTACCTTTCTGCCAATCTAACCAGTTTTAAGACAGCTATCACTTGCTTGCCCTGAAGGAGTATTATTATGAAATTGGATGTCCTTTTCCTTTTTGGATAAAAAACAGTCAAACAGCATGAAACCACCGGCCAAGAAATTTGGATGCTACTTTTTCATATCCAAACAAAAAAAAGAAAAACAGGTACACTGGTAATCAAATGTAGTTTAATTCTTTAAGGAGCATCTCTACCATTTCAGTCTTTTGTTGACCTAAAGAAAGTCGTTATGATAAGTGCAGTATTGTGATCTTCTGTCTCGAGTTCTAGCTCTTGTCAGATCCTGAATATCTAAGATTGTGATAAAAGTGATGTAAAAGAGACTCAAGAGCAGCTGTAATGACTGTAAATCCATGAGTTAGAAATACCTGTATGTGACTGAGTCTCCCTTTCTTCTCCATCCTGTCCAGCTCTTGCAAAAGAGTGCCCAGATATCGTACGTTGACACCCCGCTGATGCAGGGCTGAGGTCAAGGTTGCTCCGTCCATCGGCACTGCTGTGTGGTCAAGGCAGTCTCTCAGCTTACCCACACACAAAATAAATCCACACACACTCCCAGCGATTAGTGAATGAGTTAGAGATATCTCAAAATTTAAGAAAGAAATACACGTGATCAGAGATGTTACTTTGAAGACTCACAAAGGCTGGAATCTGGTGAGTCAGCAGAAAAACAGCCGCATCCCATAACAACTGTTTCTGCCTCCGAACATCTTCAACACACTCGGAGGGAAAACACACACCTGAAGCAAAGGCACACAGTTAACTCTGAGTTTTATTTTTCAAGACTTTCAAGACAGGTATTTTATATTACCTGGAGAACAAACATCAGGATTGAAGCGGATGTCAAAGCAAGAGTCACTTGATGATCCAACAGACCTGCAAGCTTTTAAGGTCATGTTTCTTTTCTGAAATTCTGAAAGCAAATATAACAAAGTCAAACAGTCTGAAACACCACTCTTGGTCCTGATCATTATCATCGATTATTATCGACCGATCAATATTTGTGAAGGTCTACTAACAAGGTTGCAAATTCCTCGACAAGGAATCAGTAGAAAATTATTTAAGACCTGTTTTAAGTATGTTACATTTTTTGATTAGTGTTAAATACTTCTACGGTTCTTTTCACTGTTAACTAAACACTTCTTAGCCTAATGCTTCTAGCTTTATAAATAACTATTTTTTATTTACTCAGTTTTAGATGTCTTATTTGTCAACAAAGCTGTACCTGTATCTTCAGTGCTTGGGTCAAAAACTGTCTCCTCGCTCTGCTCTCTGGCTTTGTCCTGTTTCTCCAGGCCATCAGACACCATCTTTTCATAAAGTTCATGCCTGAAGCAGAAAAAAAAGAGATAAGGAACAAGATACTTCCCTCTGAAAGATGAAGGTCCACATGTTTTGTTCCTTACTTGTACTGGACGAAGGCCTCGATCAGCTCTGGTCGCAGGCTGGCCAGGCTGTGATGGTGTTTCTGTGGGTATCCAAAGCTCTGACACTCCTGCGGCACCTCACTTCTGTCCTTTGATACTGTGAGCTGGAAGTTGAGGTCAGGAGGGAAGGTCCGGAGAAGGTCCAAGATGTACGCTCTTCCATCATTACCTATGATTCCTTTGGTCTCAATGCCTGAGCAAAGCTCCACAGGGCTGTTGTTGTGGTCCAGCACCTGGTGACGCTGAATTCTTAGAGGTTTACAGGTTCTGTCCAGAAGATCCAGGAACCTGGAATAAGGTTGATAGAATTAAACGTTGCCTGAATACACTTTGAAACTCAATCAAGATATAAAAAAATAGGACAGAATGAAATAAAACTTTATTAAACGTTGAAAATTGTCTTTGGCCTCACAAAGAAAATCTCTAAACTGCAAATAGGAAGTTTAGAAAGAGGGCCTGGAGTCCTTTCTTACTCTTAGCACAATTCATAAATACAGGAAAACAATATCTAAAAGTTGTCACTGTGCTTTAAAATTTCTCAAATGAATGTTACCATTTTCCTGCTGTACCTGGGGTGTGTAAAAACAGTTTTTCCGTAGTCATTAGAGCCATAAACAACACTCTGCTCCTGGTTTTTCTCCAGTATCCCGGGAACGATGGTCTGAGCAATAACACGGATGCCACGATAATCCACCACAGCTGTGCCAAGTGTGTGAAGCCCCTCTCTGTCCACTGACATGTATGCCTATAAAGAACAACACAAGTATTCAGTTTTAAATAGAAGCATGAAGGGAGTAGATAACATACAACAGAAAGCCACTCAACTGAGGGACTTTGGCTGATTGACCCTTGATTGTTTTTTTATTATTATCCACACAACCACAACTTATAAGAGCTTCTTGATCTAGCACAGCCCCTTTTGTGATTCAATATACTTTAAACAGGACAGATTAAACGGCACATGCAGATCAAACACCTGGCTATTTGTCTACCTGGGCTCCTCTAAGGTCACAGACAGCAGCAGCATGAGCAGCAGTGTTGCCCCCCAGTGGGCGGTAGTGGTCAGATATGTCGAACCCCAGGCTGAAAAAGAGGTTGTTCCAGATAAACATCTGCATATGAGGCGGCTCCCCTGGATTTAACGGCATGACGTTACCGTCCACAACAGCCACAGCTCCTTGTGTTGCAGCAGCAACAAAGTCAGAGTTTGTCTGCAGAAAGGGATCAAAAATACAAAATAAAGAGCGACACAATCTAAACCAAGAGAGGGAAAAGAAATGCAGCTCAAACTCCGCTGGAGGGAGCATGTCTAAGTTAGTTCTTATACCCCTGATTTGCTGCTCTCAAAGCAAATCAGAAAGAAAAATAAGCATACGAATCAACACACGGCCTCACCTTGAACATACACCTCTCTCTGTGCAGACGCTCTTCAAGAGAGCTCCTGCTCAGTTCTCTGCATCCCTGCAGCTCCTCATTCCAGTCTCGACTCTATGTTCAAACACACAACCTCAAAGTAAGCATCACAACCAGTCAGTGATTGTTGTTTTGGCTTTGCATTTCTCCTGATTTACGATTGTATGTCTGCAACCTGCCCAGCTGTGTGCTCGTCCTGGCCCATGCGACTTGTGTGTGTCTCCTCTGCTCTGACACAGTCCAGGGAGTGGTCTCCTTGATGAGCAATCCAGGTGAACAGCTGGAAAGGTGCTGCAATTCGCTCATAAGGATGCTGCTGTACTCTGGATCACACAGCAAGTGACAGAAGACATTATTTCTATGATTATAATAGGTTAGTGTAGGTGTCAGGAAATCACTGATATGAAAAGTGTTAAATGTCACTTGTTCTTTTATCATGGTTTATGCTTTTGTGCTAACCTCTTCTTCTGCAGAGTACTGAAGTTCTTCCTGAAAGCAGGGCTCACTTGACTCAGCAGCTCCACCAGAGAGTGGCATAGGCTTTTGGGGGCTGCAGGTTTAGGGTTGAAGTTGAAGGCAGTTGACCTGGAGCAGTCAGAACGCAGCACAAGTTAAATCCAAGCAAGTTTCCATTCACTATCCTGTGTGTAATTAATGTTGGCTTAGTGTTCTCTGGGCACAGGGTATTTTTTTTTTAATCCAACTATTTTTTTCTTTTATTGTTGCTAATAAATTTGTAGTTTTTGAAGCAATAAAAATGAAATTCAGAGCCAGATTATCGTCAGAAACAGGGGATTTTGGGCAACACTTATGGGAGACTTGAATTTCACAAAAGCAAAAATCTCTAATTTTCCTCCCCGAGTTGCCTCTGAGTTTTGTAGTTTGTTTTTAGATTTTAGATTTTTGTTTGAACTTTTCAAAGATAATGTTTTGTTAATTGCCTTTTGCACTTTTGGTTATTAAATGCCTATGTTAAGTCTTAAGGTATCCCAAAAGTAATGATAATTCTTTGTGAGGGCAACGTTGACATTTGGACCAGACCATGGCTTCTCATCCAATAGTTGTGGATTGATGGGAAAATGAACAGGCAACCCTGAATGTCTGTAATTAATCAATCACGTGCACCAATCAATATTTCTTGAGTTAGGCAAAATCTTTAAACTGCCACAGGTGCTGTGAAAAATAATGAGGATGTTTTCAATGGGCACAATGAATGTATTAAGTTTTGTGACAGTCAATCAAATAGTTCTTGGGACTCTGAAAACACTGATGATTGGTTTCTCCTCGACATGTTTAACACTCACTGGTTGAGGTAGAAGCCGCGCGTTGATGACGTTATATTGAGCTCCTTGTTCTCCATTGTCAGGACATTGAGATACATTAAGTCTCCATGCATCTTCCTGTTTCCTGGAGGAGGGTTCCAGCTGCTCATGGCCAAGCCCCGCAGGCACTGGAGAGGCTGAAATGACACTTGCATAGCTGATTCCCTTAAAGTAAACAAATCTCTTGGGATGTTAACATCTTCACATCTACATATGACAAACTGATTGTTCACCTTCCAGTCATCTCTGACCGGCTGCAGAGGACTCAGAGGCCGCTCCTTGCATCCAGGCAAGATGTATTCAGGCGGCTGAAAGTCAGCGGGCTCTTTTTCAGAAGTTCGCCTGTTTCCAATACTCTCACTTTCTGAATCAATAAAAATAGAGGCGAAAAAGGTTGAAGAATTACAGAGAGAAATGTTTAAACAAAAGCAGATGGGAAATGGTGACTAGATTAAAAAAGACCTTTGTCTCCTCTGGTGTAAAAGGTAAGGTAGGATAGTGAGCTGCAGTTCACTCCATTATACGCATCAGTCAGGTCGAGGCTCCTCAAAAGATCCCGGACGTGTCTGAGATGAAGACGAGCATCACGCACAGTGTACGAATCTGCAAGACAAGCAAAATAGATGCTTCTGAAGTGTTGAATTCAATATCACGAAAATTTAAGTTACAAGGTTTCAACTTATATAATAAATTAAAATTAAAATAATATAAAAATATGGACGCAAAGAAACTATTGTAGCTCGAGAGGAAGTTATCATAAATGTGGGCCATAGATCTCGAAGAATTAGCATGACTTCCTTACTGATGTCTGATAAATTAACGTCTTTAGGCTATTCTATGTCACCTCATCTTTGTAAATGAACAATACATAGTAATAAGATTTTTAAAAAGCGCAGTGCTAAGTTAGCCAAATATCTGAAGTCAAGTCTGAGGTGTGTGATGCAGTGTGTAGAAATATTTGCTAATTTGAGGAGATGTTCTGGAAAATAACAATTTGATGAGGTGTTGAGAGGTGTCATATGGCTGTATCCTTAAGTGGACTACATTCTTAACTTAACATATCAAGCAAAAGCAAAGAGAAGGCAGTCACCCTCCACCACTTTAATGAGCGCCCCCTCCTGGATGCCCTGGATTGAGCGTAGCTGTGTCAGGCTGTCAAGCACACTGCCCCCCAGCTGAAGGGAGAAGCATGTGCGGTGGCAGGTGATCTCATGATCCATCAGTACCTGGTAAAGCTCTGCTACCAACATCTGGCCTGAAACCTGAGAGCAAAAACAGAGTTTTATTCTGAGAGTTACAGAAACAGACAAACATGAAGTTTTTTTTAATACAAAATAACAAGAGCAAAGCAAAACCTGAAGCTCAAAACTGTCTGCTCCCGGGGGCTGGATTCTGACAGTGAAGCCCATCTCTTGAAGATCAACTATGTCACGAATGCTGAGCTGTTCTCTTTCATCATGATCGGGTTTTTTTGGGGAATCATCGACAGAGTTTTCTTCAGTTTGGCAAGGAGCTTTTCACAAGGGAGACAAAAAGAGGTAAAAGACAAAACTGGTTTCATGCTGTACAGGAAACTATTTTACAAGCACTTAAATCAAAAGGAGAAATAGATATTTACTTTTATTTTATTACAAATGCACGGAAATCACTCAAAAATATTTGTTTAGAAGTTAATAAAACTGGACGATCACGCTGCATTTACAGACATAATGTAGAAATTATTTGAATGAACCATTATCAACTGGATCACACTTCAGAGAAATTCCAGCACAGACAAACGGTCAAATCAAAATGAGGCACCTTTGACATATGTTGCAGCCAGAAACAGCCTGTCCACTGAAAACAGGGTCATTTGCTTCACCTCAGCCCCCTCCTCCTCCACCTTATGCAGGGCTTTCTCCAACTCCAAAACCCCCTGAAGACAAGCTTTGATGTCCTCCTCTTTTCTCTTTGTTGGCTGCAGGGTTTTCTGGCACCGAGTTTGATCTGTGTTTGAAAGTAATGAATCTGCAGAATGACCTGCATGCTCCTCAGACTTCTTAACGGTTGTGTCTGTGTCGACGTGTCCAGTCCTTTTATCATCCTGTTCAATCATTAGTTTCAGGTCTACATCACGGTCATCAGAGTCAAAGTTCTCCAAAACTTCAGCTTTGTTGATGTTAACTTTTGTTTCCTTCTGTGATTGAACTACAGAGAAGTTCTCGCTCATGTTGTTATGCTCAGTCTGAATCACAGAGTCAAGCTCTTTTTCCTCAGCTGACAAAGTGTGCTGCTCCTTCAAGCCTGTATCGTCCTCTGTAGACACAGTGTTTTGTTGCAAATGAAACAGAGCCTCTTTATCAGTGTTTACGTCGATTGTTTGCTCTATATTTCTTTCTTTTTCACATGCCTGCCTTGTTGAATTGGTGCAAAACTTCTCATGACCGTGTTTCTCTTTTACTTTATTCTGTTCAGCCTCCTTGTCGGTTGTCTCTGATGGCATTTTGATTTGAATTTCTGAGTGCCTCTCATCTGCTGTATGTGTGTCTGTTTCCCCCAAAAGAACGTCCACCTGCGTCTGTACTTCACTTTCATCCCAAACATCGACAACCCAGTCTGTTTTAAAACCAGTTCCAGTCAGTGTGTTCATTTCTCTTGTAAGAGTTTCATTATCGCTCACCAGTTTTTCTGTTTGTGCATGAACCCCCATCTGTGATTCTGTCTGAGTCTGAACACCTGTACAGATCTGTGTCTCCCCCTCAGTCTGTGTCTCCACCTCTGAATAACTCCTGTTTCTCCATCTGCTGCTCCTCTCTTGTCCGTCATCCACCTGCTCAATCAGCCCTACTCCCTCTTCCTCCTCGGACACCAGTAGACACACCATCGGTTCCACTAGAGTCACATCCCCTCCCAAGTTGCTGCTTAGGATAATATCTGGAAACAGGAAGTGCTCTGGTTCAAGGGCGGGGTTTGTCACTCCTGTTGAGACAGTTGACAGATCTTCCTCCAGGTCATCTGGCAGACTCGGCGACTCACACTCACTCTCCTCGCTGGATAACAGTGGAGATCTTTCAGCCTCTCGCCGGGCAGGTGTATCCTTACACTTAAAGTAGTGTGACAGTGTGTAACAGCACTGCAATACGTTTCCCATGGTGCTTTTGTGCTCAAAACGGCACTGCTACCGTGCCGGTTGCCTATGGGGGAGAAGACCAGTGTTTACTCAGGATTATAGCAAAATTCAGAACTGCTTTTGACAAAAGTTATGTTTGTTTCTTCATATCACAAGACAAACAAACTGAGTTAGACATGCTAAGTCATAGCTGTCTCTGAGTGTTGATGTTGTGGTCATTCTTCCTATTATTAGATTACTTTTTCAAACATATCCTCAGTTTGTTTTTTTGGGTGCCTTTTGGAGTCCTGCAAATTAGCAGCCACCATGCTATTGATCTCTGGAGACAATACTGAACAATAGCTTCCTTTTGTTCCAATATATTAAAAATATAGTAATTTAATTTGTCAAGTACAGCAGGACTGAGAAGTACATTTTAGTACTTGGCTGTGCAGTATCCACCCTCCAGTCAGAGTTACCATGCCCCTATTTTAACATTATTTTAACTGGTAGTAAAATTCAAAGGAGTTACTTTCATAAAAATTTAGTTTAGTTTAGTTGTCATTAACAGAACAATGTTCAGATCATAGACTGTATATAGAATGGACAGAGTCTGCCTCCTCGCTGGGTGAAGCCACTACGAGAACAGCACCCTCTGGTGACGGGCTGCAGTATAGGTCAAAGCAAAGCTTATGGGGCTGTGGACAAACTTTAGAAATTAATTATACACAAAACATACATTTTTCTCCCCCCTGCTTGCGATGTTGACATGTAGTTACTGTAAGACTAGTTTGTGCTCAAGTCCTCTTTTTTTCTGTGAAGCTCCGTTTTTAAAAGTTATTAGAGTGTTCATGTTTTCTGTGATTGACACCTGATACAGCCTATTGGTGTTCAGGGATTGTGTAGCTCCCCCGGGGGATACGCTGTTTGAGCCGAGTGTCATCACAACGACTCTCAGCGACTCTCCCGCCGAATGTGTACAACGCTACTGCGCAGTGCTAGTTTCAGGAAATGAAGAAAAATCGCGGAAATACTGAGAGCTTTTTGGCTTCAAATCTGTATACAGGCGGGAGGCGGAACCACATTGTCCATAGTATATACAGTCTATGGTTCAGACCAAATCAGTTTGTTGTTTCTAAGTTTACTGGTATTTTGAATGGAAATTTCCTTGCTTTTGGGGCCAGCCTCAAGTGGCCACAAGAGGAACTGCAGTTTTTTTGGCACTTCCACATTGGCTTGATTTTTAACTATTGAGATTGCCTCTTTATCTACATTCAAAAAACACCTGTGTGTTCAAAACTGTTTAGAAATTAAATTTGGGGGTCTGGTTTGAACCATTAAATAAATCATTTAATAAAGATGCTCAGTATAAACTAAGATTAGCATGTCACAGTCAAATGTGTGTGTCTGATTTTATGGTGTAGGTAAATGCAAGCAGCTAAGCGCATTAGACTGCAGCTAATGAGAAGAAGATTATGTTGTGTTCCTGTGGTGTCACCTTACAGTGCAAAGGACTGAAGCCTAAATCTCTTCAAATGAACTCCACAATGATGTCGAAAATAAATCCTGTAACACAATAAGAGAGGCTGAGGACAATTTTAGCACAAAACAACTCCCTGATTTAAAGTTGTTTGGCTCCATAAGTCACACATATGTCCTAAAAAGACAACATTTACATGCTTTGATACTTTTTATACTAATGGAAGTTTTTATTTCAGTAACACACCTTTGTGCTGAGAATGACATAACACAGAAAAACATGTGCATAACTCAAACATCAGAAGCATCATAATAACAAAAGTGTGACCAATCTATGTGACTTACAGGGACATAGAGAAGCTGCCGGACCATCATCTTCTCAAGATGCTCTTCATCCTGCCAAAATCAGACAGCTCAGACTCCAAAGCTTCTCCTCAGACCGGGAGGATCCTGTCCTGGTTGAAAACAACGCGGTTCACAGGCGTTTGTGTGTGTCGGTATATGTGTGTTTGTGTGTGTGAGAGAGAAAGAGAGAGCTAGAGTGTGAGTGTGTGTGTGTGTGTCTGCCCTTCATGGGTGAAGAGGAGCAGTGCGAGAGCTTGTAGGCCCTCTCTTCACACTCATGCACATGAATACACTCCTACCTATACCCATTCCAGTCCAGGAGAGGGCGACCTCTTAGCCGGTCATGATGTAACTTCCTGTATTTACGCCAGCCCATGCGCCCTCGGCTCGACCAAACTAAAATGCGAGCACGTGCAGGTTTATAAAACAGAAGCTCGGGCGCATATTCCACTTAAATATCTCCACCTGAGAGGAGAGGGCCTCAGGACACCCCTTCATGGACAGAAAGTTCTGGAAACAATCCTCTCCAGTGTTCCGCCACCTTCTGGCGCGGGCCGGAACCCAGCTCTCTGGTTGTCATGGCAGCACTGCAGCGCGAGATTAACATTCAGGCCACAGCATCAGAGACAACCCTGGGAACATTTGAGAGAGGGGACTCTCGCTAGGAGACAAATTGCATGTGCACTAGACACAACTCAGTTTGCGCATGCGCCAAGGTATTGCCTGTCAGTTTGTGTGAAGCACTTTGTTTGACATTTTGTGGTGTTTAGAGTTATACATATATAAAGTCTGATCAGCACTTTGGGGTGTTTGTTTATTTCAGTGGCTATGGTGAGAAAGAAACACTAATTTTTAAAGCATAAATTCAGTAGATTATCATCTGACACTGTATTTGTTTGATGTCACCTTACAGTATTTAGCCTTGGCCAACACTTTGACAACTGGAGAAAATTAACTGGCCTTTCACAAATGACAGAAAAATTGAAAGAAAATTATGATGGGTGTAGTTCTTTTTGGCATCCATCTGATGACTGCATTACCCAGAATGCATTTAAGCATGTTGCAATCTGTATATGTAACAGGTTAAAGTGTTTTTACAAGTTAATCCAGTATTACATCAAATCTTCCTTAGTTTGTGTAACATTAATTTTATATGTTACACAGCCCCTACTTCCTGCATGATTCTTCTGTTTTTCCTCACTCTAAATCTGGTTTACCTCCTCTCCTCTGCCCTTTTCTATTGTACCCCTATGGGAGAGGTGTTTGTAGGAGGCTGCTTTATACTATAATAAGTTCTCTCTGTGTCCCAGTCCCAGTGGTGCAGCATTATTGTCCAAACAGAGCGCAGAAATCCACCGGTTACACTTAGTCTTCTGAACTCTTTACCTCCTTTTCAAATTACAAGGTCACATGTAAATCGAAAAAGAAATTAAAGGGATTTTCCGGCGTAGAATTCAGTTAGGGTCAAACACACCATAACACAGAGTTAAACACCCTGTCGAAAGATGAATGTTGCTGACCACTTGCCTCTCTAGTTATACCAACTTTAGTAACGACGGCACGATAGCAATACAGACAGCTGCGTGCTCAACCAAAACGCCCCTCTATAGCCACAAATACTGCTCAGAACAGCACCTAACTTCATCAACAGTACATATAGGGTCCCAGCCATAGCACTAGCCACCAAACATCTTTTTAACTTTGCCTAATTTCTTTAGCAAAGTGACTAAACACAACTCACCTACTCTCTTCCAGCAGCCGCTTGTTTGTATGGAGACCTCCGGGCGAGTCCGTCAACTACAGTGGGGTGACGCAGCTCAAGGAAGAACATTTATGATCATTTCTTCATGGAAATGCAATCAGACAGAGAGGCTAAGGTAGAAGAACTACCACATCCGCAGTGAAAAATGATTAATATGATGATTGTTACTTCAAGAAATGATAAAGACATGATCATAAATGTTCTTCCTTTAGCTGCGTCACCCTGCTGCTGTCGACGGACTGGCCCAGAGATCACCGTACAAACAAGCGGCTGCTGGAAGAGAGTAGGTGAGTTGTGTTTAGTCTCTTTGCTAAAGAAATTAGTCAAAGCTAAAAAGATGTTTGGTGTCTAGTACCATGGCTGGGACCCTATATGTACTGTTGATGAAGTTAGGTGCTGTTCTGAGCATTATTTGTGGCTATAGAGTGGCATTTTGGTTAAGTGCGTGGCTCTTTGTATTATCGGCGGTTTTTACTAAAGCTGGTATAACTAGAGAAGCAAGCGTTCGACAACATTCATCTTTCGATGGGGTGTTTAACTCGGTGTTACGGTGTGTTTTACACTGGAATATCTCTTTAAATGTTCGTGTCTGAAGTTCACAAAACTTCTACTTGTGTAAACTTAAAAGCAGGCACATCATTGCTATCATGGCATCTTCCTTATCACTGTGCAGTACATGTTTCCATGAATGCTTTTACTGCCACCCAGTGTAGGCCTTCATGTTCAAGCTAATTCCCAGCACTGACAGTGCTGAAAACAGACAACAGGACACCAGTAATACTTATCTGCCATAACTAGGCACATTGCATGAATTTAATAAAGTGCAAATGATACAAAAAATCCCTAAGCCTTTAAGAGTGACTTTCTGAACCTGGAATAGGGCTAGTGCAGTGATAAAGCAGGTTGCCACTTTAAAGAGTTGGGTGTTAGTGTTCATAGACCCAGAGGCAAGGCTACTAATTACAGGCAGAAGCCGTGATCAACAGTGTGAAAATGAAAAAGGCATCGATATGAAACAGTTCTCCTTAGTTCCAGTCACTTCCTCACATTTTCAAGGTACATGCTGTACCATCAGCGTGACAAATTCAGTTTATACATCTATATGTATGTTTTTTCTTACACTTGTGTGCACCTAACTCTAAATTTCTAGCTTACTTCCTGAAATCTACAGACAATCACAAAGTAACTTCTCTCCCATCTCCCCGCCTTTTATGAATAACAGCATCACATGTTAGTTGATCTAGGCCGAGACCTGCTGGAAGACCACATTTGTCTTTTTCAGCTCCTCACAGAGCAGTTTCTCCCTCTCCTGCTCCCATGTCCACTCTCCTGTGCACCCTGCTGTCATCTATATCCTCCCACTCGTCGTCGAGCCCCTCTACCTCCTGCGTTCTGATAGGTTGTCTCAAACGAAGGAGGCGGTATCTCAGTGGCACAAGGAAGAGGGCGGGGTCAGGCATTGGGTGTGGCCTCTGTGGTGACGTCACTCTCTCCTGTGGGATGCAAGCTCTGACCCTCTCCTCCCTCAAGGTGATACGTCTCTTCTGTCTGGCTTCTGGTTTGATGGGGGAAGCTGGGGGAGGAGGAGACAGAAGCCAGTCTGAGCCCTCCCCTTCCTCTTCTTCATCCTCTTCTTCCTCCTCTTCTTCCTCCTGTCCTCCTTCTACAGGTTTACCCTCTGGTTCCTCCTGTCCCTCTGCAGCAGGCTGAGCGCTCTGCCGTTGCTGGAACAGTTTTAAGCGTGCGGCGTGGAGCTCATGGCAGAGACTGGTAGTGATGACATTTTGGCGTTGCAGCTCACGACTCAGCAGCGTGATCTTGTGGCTGCGACGTTTCAGTTCTTCCAGGAAACATCGCTCTTCGTCCCTGAGACTCCTTCCCAGCGCTGATGCTCTCGCCCGGCCAGCCCGCAGCTCTCCACGCGCAGCAGCCATCATGCAGTGCTGGTCCTCTAGGAGGCGCTCTGCAGCCTCGCACCGTGCTGCAAGTTCTGCTTCCTCCTCTGAGACACAAATGTAAACGCAGAGATGCACTCAGGTAAATGTGGACATACACAGAAATTTGTGCAGATAATCACTCTCATCGTGTCATTTGATCTACCTCTGGTGGAAATCTTTTCTATTTGATCTTCATGACAAATTTTTATTCAATTTCTCACATTTAATTTTTCTCTTCTAACCCCCAATTTTCATTGCATCTGGAACGGCTCTGAACTGGAACGATTGTCACCGTCCACCAATTCCTACTGGATCCATTGGTGAGGCAAATTTTGTGGCCGATTACAGACAGCAGTAATCACGAGAACTCACAAGAACCCACGGTTCATGTGCAATCGTGCAATAACGAATTGTCTCCATAAAGACAGCCACAGAGGCTAACCATGAAAGCAATAGATTGTGTCCTTCCAGAGGAGGAAAATCCACCTCTAGACTTCTAAAATCAGCATCTTCTCATCCATGGTGAAATGCTGTCATTCACTTGTTCGTCCCCGCCCGTTTGCATGGTGTGAAATACGATCCGCCTGAAACAAAGAGTGTTTCATTTTGAATAGAAGCCGGATGTTTTACTTTGAGTCTGTGCCCGACTTCCTCTCCGGCACAGGTTAATCTGTGCTGACTTTATCCGGCATGCTCCGCGTCCGGAAAAAATTGAACTCTTGCAATCAGTTGCGGAGTCCATTAACTCTAGATATGGCCTCTATGGCCTATGATGTTCTGGTTGCGGTGGAAATTGGGGTTAAGAGCTTCTTCAACTTTACTTCACTACATGGTGAAACTGGATAACCAATCAACATGAGTATGAGTATTATTCTGTCATTTAGATCTCTGTTTGCATAAGTGCCCCCTTTCTCTCTCTCTCTCTCTCTCTGCATATTTAAAAATGGTTCACTTTCCAGCCCCAAGTCAGGTTTAATATTTAAGACGATGCGACCAGTGCTGGACACTAGACACAAAGACCAAGACAAATCCAGCCCACTCCAATTCCAAACATGAACGATAAAAATAGGAGATCAAGCATGAATCATGCAGTTACAAATTACATTAAACTGAATCAAATGTACAGTTGATGTAATTTTACTGCACTGTTTTTGTCATATTACACCCATAGATAATATCCCTGAGAGTTTCCATTCCTCCTCTAAAGAGCTTTGTGGGTTTTCTTTTCCATTACTTGGATAGAGGATTAAGATTTCTTTCATACATCACTAGCTTTGTTTCTAATATCTTACCTTCTGTGTTTCTGTCAGGAAACCTGGAGTCCAACTCACAGCTCAGCTCTGCAATGAAGAGGACAAATTGAAGCACAACAGGCAGAAAGACACAGAGCAGCATAAAATGTAGAGCAGCAGCAGCAGCAGCAGCAGGGAATGTATAGACTGACCGTGGCAGCGTCTCTTCAGGTGTGTGATCTCAAGCCGCAGACCAGTCAGCATGGCCAGGTGCTCCTGCTTCAGGAAGGCGATGCCCCTGTTCATGCTGGCCACCTGCTGCTCCAGCCTCCCAGCATCCATGGCTGAACCCTCACACACAGATGTTGACAGCTGGATGAAGAAGGACAAGAGATTTCCCTTAAAACGTCAACATTAAAGCCAGTTTGTGCTCTAAGAAGAAAAAAACACACAGGTTGGTTAACTAGTGTGACTGTCATTGAGAACAAATTACACCTCCTGTTTATTTACAAAATTGGGATTAATCAAAGTCAACTCAGCTTTAGACTTTATTTGCTGTAACACCACTTGTGCTCACAGGATTTCCTTTCTCCTGCAGCTCTCCATCTGATCAAGTCATTCGTATCTTGGTTGCAAACTACCACCATCTCTCCTATGATGTCGTTTCGTCTGATTTCTCGCCAGTGAAGATTCCCAAATGTTGCATCTACCTGTAACTGAGCCCCCCTCACTCTGGTCGTGGCCTACCGTGATGGTGAAGCGGTTTCCTATTCAGAGCGTTTCTCATGGATCCTCGTATCGCGCTGGTATCTCCGTCCTTGCTGCTGCAGAAGCAAACGAGATGGAGAAAACAATGGACCACAGCGAAACCGACCACTATGCAGAAACGCCACTTCTGCTCGTTTCTGTCTTTTTTTACGCTCTCAGGTGAGCCGTGGTGGCAGCTGGTCGACGTTTGGTTCAATCCTGCAGCAGTCATGAGAAATAACCTCCTGGTAACCTTCTATGTGCAGCACGGTGCCGCTGTGGTACTCACAAAAAAAAAAAATGCAGCCCGGTATGGAGGGTGAACAGTGCCACAATGAAGGAAGAGGAGGAGGAGGGGCTGCTTGGAAACATCGCAGCTGCTGATGCTGTAGATAAGGTATACTGTGCTCTGTCTGAGGTACAAATCATGACATTAAAAAGTGGGCTGTATCCTATACACTAGTATAATAAACAAATTAGCATTAAATACATTGAGAGGTATTTAAGTTTGGTAATAATGCAGTTTATGAGAAAGACAACGCTTGAAAGTAAACACAGTAAAAGTAGCAATAGCAAAAATTAAATAAAATAATAGATTAACGTGGTTTAGAGGCCTAAAGCTTGGATAGTTTAGATGTGCAAGAAGTATTTATTGATAACCAGTTGAAGTATTTTGGAAAGTATCACGTCAATTTGTTACCGCCACTGTATTACAGTATGGAAGCAAGCTATTTGGTGCAATATATAACTGTGGACAGCTGAAAAAAGTGTGTCATTTTATATGATGACACACATTATAACTAAATATAATTCTAAAAAGAACTGAGACAGTAAATACAACTTGGCCCTGTCCTCCGTCATCATATGAATTTGAAGCCACATTGCTCTCGTTATTTCCGTGATTTTCTCCACTTCATGGAACCACCACTTGTGCAGTAGCATTGTATGCATTTGGCGGGAGAGTCGCTGTGATGACGCTCTGTGTTATAATTTCTATAGTTTGTCCACAGCTCCATAAGGATTGCTGGAGGAGGCGGGATTTATGACCTAAACTGCAGCCTGTCACCAGAGGGTGCTGTTCTCGCAGAGGCTTTACCAAACGAGGAGGCAGACAGCATCCATTCTATATACAGTCTATGGTAAATACTCAAGTGCAGGGAATGACTGTTTACAGTAGTGTACAAAAATATCAATACTTTCTGTAATTAAGCTACAGGTGTTAACATTCTTCTAACATTTTTTCTTGATTGAGCTCCTGTTTGTTTCCCTAGTTTACTGCTTTTGAATATCAGAAACATTAAAATTTAACTTAACTCTTAAAAGTCAAGGATGGAGTTAACTTTCTACATGTTAAGATTATCTAATGATTGTATAACTTTAAATTATCTAATTTCTTTATCTTTGCATTTTTTTTTTTTTTGTTAATCAAAAATGAAGCATTATTTAGGGTGTCCACTGCTTTTCCTAACCGTTTTGTGGCACTGATCATTCCTCATACTTATTATAATTATTCATAGTGACTCTTTTTGAAAAGTTCTGCAGCAAAGTCAAGCTGCAAAATCGACCATTAACTTAATTCTATGCATGATGACACATGAAATGGAAATAGAAAGATGATTTTGTTACTTTTTTATTTGTTTGGTTGTGTAAACACCATACCTGTTGTAATCTGGTCATCACTAAAGTTGATACAGGAGTCTTTCTTTAAAGCAAACACAGCAGGGAGAATAAAAATGACTTTTTCATTGTTTCCCTCTGTTTCCAGTGAAATGCTTGACAAGACTTATCCTCTCCTCACTGCTCTCCTGTTTCTCATTCATGCTGGGAAGAGGGACGCGTTTACTGTGCAGAGAGGTCTCATAATATGGACAGACTTTCAGATGAGCAGAAATAGGAGGGATATCTGACATATGCCACGAGTCCACAGGAGAGAAGAGGTAACTAAACTCCCAAACCTGGACAGAGACAAGAGGAGAGAAAATGAAAAATATGAATAAAGTTCTGTAGTAAAACCATGAACAATGAAATGATGGCTGAGTTGGCTGATTTAGTATATATTATCTCACAGGTGTGGCCTTCCACTTGGATCCTCTGCGTGAGCAGGACTCCCTCTCCCACCGTAGGGTGACCATCCCTCTCTCCTGCAGCTGAGAGGAGCACACCTGCCTCATGAGCTTTGACACCAGAGCGAGCTGGGACAGGGACAGACTGTCCAGGAAACTGGCCATGTGGCACAGCACTTCATAGGGGAGACAACTCAAGGGGTCCTCTCCTCCTGGAGAGCCCCTCTTCTTTTGACAGGTGGCGGAGTCTGAGCTCTTTGCGGAGGCTACGAGTGTTGGGCACAGGTTAAAGGTCTTCAGCTGCAGACTGGAGGGAAGAAAAAATACTGGTGGGTACATCATTTTCAGTCAGATATCAAGGGACAAGTTTTTAAGCTGAGCATTAATGAAGTCAGTCTTAAAATTCACCAAACCAATGAGGAGCTTCATTTGTACAACAATTACAAGTACTGCTCTTTGTGATTGTCTATGCATGTTGTGCTTACTTGTAGGAGACAATGGCTTTCTGTGTAGAGGGATGAAACCTCCTCTGGCTATAGGTGCACCCAAGATACGCCAGGGGGCACCTCTGTTCAAACCATCCATTAAGACCTGCCTGGATGTCGCAATGGACGTTTCTGGAAAAGGTAAAAAAACATAAATACTATCAATTAAGACAGCATGTAAGTCCACGTTCAGCCTTTCGAGTCTGAAAGATCAAACTTTATTGCTTTAAAGCTGAAAATTATACATGTTACAGGGCTGCAGAAGTCACCAGGAGGTTAGTTTCAGATCACAAATTCTGTCAAAACAACCAAGTATTCACAGAGACACCTGAAGTGAGTGGCGAACTCTCGGCGTAGGAAGGCGTGGCCACATATAAAGGTGAAGGCGCAGCTGGCTCTGTTGTGTCTGCTGTTCACACTCTCCGCCTGCAGCTCTAGACGAAGCTTCAGTGGTCTGTCCACAGTCACTTCAGCTAGCGTTGTCTTTGCTTTGAAAGGAGCCGTGCGGAAAGAGTGCGTCTGCGTTCCTAAATCAACGTAAAGCCCGTCGGCTGCCTTTGACTCGCTGATCTGTGTGGAGACCAATTAATCATAACACCAGTTTATTTCTTGCAGAAGGAATAAGGGTTTACATTTCTTAAAATGCAAAGGCTTAAACTTTCAATACTGGCTATCGTTTTACCAAGAATTTCACCATCCTTCAAATAGCCTACTGTCTCTCTGTTCCTATATTGTTTTGATGGCATCCATCCGTCTCTAAGAAATCTACACAATGTATTCAGAGGTTTTAATGCACCGTTTTTTAATCAAACTGTCACAACTTTGGCTCACCTTGTGGCCCATGACAGCCTCCTCCGCATAGCCAAGCAGGGTTGCTTCAGCTTCATCAGAGTACCAGTCTTCCTCACTGGCCCCAAGGTCTGATGTGTCAACGCTTCGAGGTTCACTCTGAGCCCTGGCGGCCAGGTCGTACAGATGAACCCGCCTCCTGTAGTGATAGCTGTCAGGGACCTTGAAAGAAGACGTAATATAAGTTTTCAAATATTTAACCCTGAATAAATATGTCCTACATCGTTTTCTGCAAATCCAAATATTGAACCTTTCACTAAAGCTCTCAAAATGTTACAGTCAGTATTCTATTACAATCATCATATTGTTATACAATGATTTCTCTGTATGAAGTGATACCTAACTGCATTGATTTCTACTTCATACTGGAGAATGTATGAATCAATTAATCCCTTTAAGGTGGGAAAGATTTGACCAATCCCATCCAACATTAGCTAAGGTGGCAAGAAATAACTTCCTTGTAATGGGTAGAAACCTTGAGCAGGACCAGACTCAAGTTAGAGTCTGGCAGAGTCACAAAAGATTCAATACAGACTCCAGATTTACATTGAAACACACGTGGGCACCACACCCTAGCTTCGAATATTAACCTTGAAAGAGCGTAGGGTCTGTACTGGGATGGGCTCCAGGCTTCCATAAACAAAATCTTTCTCCCTTGGTGTACAGGCTGGGATTTGTCCAAAAGAGACCAGCATGCGCCCATGATGCACCACATACATGTTGTACTCTTGCGGGGTGAGATCCCTCCCGAGACGATCGAGGACACCTTCCTGCCACGGAGCGTGCCCTGTCTTACTCGTGTCTGGCGGAGGGCAGTTTGCGTCCGGCGTCTTTCCGTCCTTTTGGTCAGCACATGTCTTCTGTGACGCACCGCCTTGCTGCTTTTGGGCTTTCGCCCTCTCGTCATTTTGTGGGTTTTGTTTCGGATCGTTGTGTTCTGCCTGGGCAACAGTACATGCACCTTTCTCCATGCCGAACATCATCTCACACAGGTTGTAATTCTTTAGGTTTAAGGTGAAAGGTGGTGACACAGTGTACTCCACCACCCTCTTCTCGCTCTCACCTGCAGCAGCAGATTCTGAAATAGAAATGTAAAGACGACAGATGAGATTTAAAGTATATGGAACGCTTTATCTTACGTGAGTGTTTTCTGGACAATCATCTAGTCCGCAGTCTTCTTCATGATTGTAGTTGCATGTTGTTAAGTAGACAAAGAGATATATCATTTTGAATCAAATTAGAAATTAACCAATGGAACTTTTGTGGTGTAGGGTTTTTGGATTATTTTGAGCCGTAGACCACAAATGTTAGAGATAAAATTAAACCAACTTTTAAATATTTCAGATGACATGTTACGAATCCAGATTATGACAGTTTCAAATTCTTATAACTGATAGAAAATGTTTAACTTTTTCACAGTGTAAGAGCCAAAATATATTTGTTGAGTTTGATTTCTACTATGTACGTCAATTCTGGGGATTGTCACTAAGAGGTGTGGTTTTGATATGTTTGGTGAGTTATTTAAATCTCACTGTTGTAGTCAGACAATGGTTTGGTAAGCTCTGATGATTTTCTGTTGACCATTTTTCATTGTTTTTCACAATTTTTCACCGTTTCACTCATCCTGTTTTAACCTCATTTAATCGTATCACTGTTTTCTTTTCTCTTTTTCGAACAATTAATTACTTTTTTAACACTCAAACTGGACTGATACTTAAACGAGTCACAGATGCAAGCGAACCTAAACCCCAGCGGTGTTTTTTGTTGAAGGAAAGCAGTCGCTACACACAGTTTCCCACACTTTGAGCTGCACCAGGAGAGTTTTGATTTTGTTTAAAATTCTGTGTTATAATAAAGTATGACCTATTTAGGCCAGAGTTTAGAACACTCATAGAGATATTTACAACATTCAGGTTTTATGGTTTTCGCAGTGATTCTTTACTCTAAGCATTTCCCAAAAGCAACATTACAAGCGTACACAATTTTTCTTAGAGGACACTTTTTTGGAGATCATGCTGCATCAAAAGAAGCTCAACTTTACCTTCATTGTTATTTGTATCAGCAACTAATGCCTCCTCTGCCTTTTTATCTTCTTCATCTTCCATTATTTCCTCTTCCTCTTCCTCCATCAGCTCTGGATAAAGCGGTTTCATTTTCAGACGGTCGTAAAGGTCTGACTGATCCACCAGAGCCATGGCGAGATCCAGGGCCTCCCCTTTTTCCTCTCTTTCCTTCATCGCATTCTCCTTCAAGACGATGTTGTTGTGTGGGTTTGTTTCATCAGTCGGCCAGCGAAGCCACTCCATGGAGCAGCAGACCACGCTGGCTGAACACACCTGCAGGTGAGCAGCCCTGGAGGAGCGGGGCATGTGGAGCTGACAGCCATACCCAGCGTTTAAGCAGGGGACTCTTACGTTAGGACAGAGCAGCAGGTGCTCCTCTTCTTTGCACTGGTGGAAAAGTGCTCCACAGTGCAGGCGGCAGGGAGTGACAGCACAACACACAGAGGCCTGCACCCGCGCCCTGCAGCGTCGGTTGTAGCAGGAGTCACAGTGGACATGCTGTTGCTCCCTGGAGGCTCGAGATCGTCTACTCTGATATGACTAGACGGAAAAAGAGAGAAACAGACTGGGGTGATGGAATAACCAGGAGAAAGAGGACAGGATAAGGGTGTATAATACTTTAAACTAGGGCCGGTTTGTTTACTTACCATGCAGAACTTGACAACAGTGTCCTTTTAATCCTGCAGTGAGGAAATTTGACACACAGATAGGACAGTGATGTTGAAAACAAAGCAAAAAAGTAATGTTGAATTTTATGGTATTCCTTTAATACCCGAAACAGTTGACCCGCAGATGAAAAAAGGTCAACACAAGAGACACAGAGTTGATCTTTTTACAGTTTAGATTTTGAAAAAAGGACTCAAATTGCACACTTACAAATGTGTCAGCCCACGTCCAGGCGAAGGTCTTACCAAAGTGCCACTGCAGCGTGTTGATCCTTCTCTTTGGTTTTATAACATTGCTTTCCGTCCTTGGCAGGTTAAAATTAGCCGTGCAGCTACAGGCAGGTTCAGTCTGAGAAACACCCCCCACCACCACCACCACCACCGCCCCTCTACTATGTTGTCTTCTGACTCAGCTGTTGCGTTATTCAAGTCAGTGACTGAACATCAGTTTTCAATCCTGGGAGTTTTTAATGTTCTGAACTCCTGCATGTATAATAAATCATCAGTTTGAATAATTGAGGTTGAATATAAACTGTTCATGTCCACTAGAGGACACTGTTTGGATGGAGAATAATACTCAGCCTCGTTTTACTCCCTGCAGGTTGAAATCAATTACTACAGTTTGGAAATAAGAGGGAAAAGACGAGAGGTTTTCATAACAGAAGCGGCTGAGACCAGGGGGCTGTAATGTAAGCCATGTTTCTGACCACCTGTGTAACATTTCTCAGTCCCTGCTCGGCTCTATTTATAACACACACACATAACCCAGACACACACACACACGGACACTAGTCTTCAAAGCTCAAGACAGAGTACAAGGAGTGTGTTACTGTCTTCTTCCAGCTCATGCAGCGGTAGGATAAAGACTATTATTCACTTTTCTAACGAAAACTGTAAATGTGCATTTGTTTAGTCTGATTGTAAATTGGGACTTTGACACTGACAGTTCCTCTCTGCTTGCAGGATTGACCTTCAGATTAAGAAAACTGATCAGATGACCTAAATCATGGTATGGTTTTATCTTACAACTTGAAGCTCCAAAGATATATTTGTTTTCTTTTGCCACCACTGCGATGCAGGTCGTTCAAATCTGTTTAATCAGAGCTGGCTTAAAATCTCATTTGCTGTTACCTCTTTGTCAACGCTATGTAAAGTATTGCTCGTATTATATGCTCGTATTCCCTAAAACATATTTTTCATCATGATAGACTTAAGAATTGGAAATAAGGTTTAGTTGAGGTCAAAGGACGCCCTCCTACCAAATGTATCTGAAATGCAAAAGTGTTTTGTTGTTACTTTTATTTCACTCGACCTGAAGCTTGTCCTCATGAGAGGTTTCATCTGTTGCCTCTTTCTTTTTTCTCAATCAGAGTAGTCGATCTCGAGCCTCCAGGGTGCGACAACACGTCCACTGTGACTCCTGCTACAGCCGACGCTGCAGAGCGCGGGTGGAGGTCTCTGTGTGCTGTGCTGTCACTCCCTGCCGCCTGCACTGTGGAGCACTTTTCCACCTGTGCAAGGAGGAGGATCACCTGCTGCTTTGTCCAAATGTGAGAGTCCCCTGTTTAAATGCTGAGTATGGCTGCCCACTCCACATGCCCCGCTCCTCCCAGGCTGCTCACCTGCAGGTGTGTCCTGCCAGTTTGGTGTGCTGCTCCATGGAGTGGAACCGCTGGCCTGCAAATGACGCCCACTCTTATCCAACGACAGAGCTGTTTGAGAACCTGCTCAAGGAGAGAGAACAAGGTGAAAGTTTGGACCTAGTCATGGCATTGAAAGACCAGGATTTCCTGTTTCACTCCTTAAAGATGAAGAAACTGTTCCCGGAGCTGACCCAGACTGTGGAGGAAGAAGAGAAAGAGGAAGAGAGGAGGGAAGAGGAGAGGAGGAAGGAGAAGCGAAAACAGAAAAAGGCTGCTTTGGAGAGGGAGGCAGCAGAAAGGGCTGCTGCAAAGGAAGCCAGCAGTCAGGCATGGGAATCTTTCTACAGCGGTACCTTTGATTGTAAAGAGCATGAGGATGAAGATGAGTTAGACGAGGAGGAGTATGAGGAGGAGTCACCACTAACCCAGGAGGAGAGGGAAGCAATTGCCAGAGCCACAGGAATAGATTCTGATCTGTTAGAAAACTACAACGCCTGGGAGCGCATGTTCAGTATGGAGATGGGAGGATGCAGGCAGACTGAGGGAGCGGCCGGGCCAGGCAGAGGTCAGGGACCTGCTAAAGGAAGAGGAAGAGGCCTGGCTACACTTCCTGAGGAAGATACAGCAGAAGTCTGTATGGGTGCATCAAACACCCTCAAACAGGGGAACAGTGCGTGCACATCCAACTCCTCCTGTCCCTCTGCAAACACAAAGACAATGAAATTTGTGTATACACGTATTGAACCGATGAAAATCATCACTGTACGCACTTTCAAAGTCCCAACCAGCTTTTCTGCCAGGCAGGGTCGCATCCGCAACCCTGGTTTCTACAAGCGGAAGTCTCAAGCTGTGGACACTAGTGACCTGGGGGTGGCGCCGGAGGAGATGCCAGTGTGGGAGGAAGTTCAGGTGAGAGACCAAATAATATATTTTTATAAAGGTGAACCTTCAACCTGGATGTAACGAAGCCAAAGAAAGTTAAAGGGAAGCAAACTAAAATACTCCAACCGATGTTCCCTTTCAAAATAAAGGCACTCAATTTTTTATTTAACTGACAAAAAAAATTGGTAACACTTTATTTGACACCTATCTCTATAATTCATTATAAATATATTTATAATGCATGTATAATGCAGTTATAACACACTATAATACCTGACCTTGTAAGTCATGATAAAATGCTTTATAATGTGTTATGATTATTGCTATAAAGCATTATGATCATTTCTGAGTGTTTAAAACTATAGTCATACTGTGTTATAACGTGATTATTACGCATTATCCATATATTTATAATGCGTTATAGAGATAGGTGTCAAATGAAGAGTTACCAAAATAATAATAATAAATTGGGCCATCTAAAAAACTTGAAATCAATAACTCTTAACAAAAAAAGAGTTTTATTTTGGCAATTACAGAACCAACCACTAAAACTAAGTATCTGGAGTCCAGTTTAAGGCCACCTGCTTTTGTTTGATTCTGTGTTATCTGTGTATGGAGCACACTAAAAGTACAACATTGCTATTGTGTTTTTAATGAGGGGAAATCTGCATGTCATTTAGCTGTCATAAAATAGTTTAAGTTGAGGAGACTGGCAAATTACGAAGGTTATGTCTTTATTTTATAATTTCTGTAACACTGAATGCGTAACATGTCATTTTAAAGTCTTGTAACTCTACTTCTCAACTTTTTTTTTGTATACCACAAATCCTGCAGGGAAGTATGTTTAGCTAAAAGTCAAACATCATGTTCGGATAAATGGGATGCATGTCTATGATGAGTAGAGACGGTAAACCAAAGATTTAGGCTTTGGAAATGAGCTGAACACTTATTCCACATGATGTTTGATTCTCTCTTTAGGCCTCTCTGCTGTGCTCGCTGGAGAAGGAACAAAGAGGTCACATGATCGCAGAGAGCGTATGCGCAGATGGTCTGTTACAGGATGAAGGCACACAAACCTATAGCTTCCTGTCTGCTCCTTTCCGGTGGAGCACAACACTGGGTGACCTGACTGCTGCTAAACCACAGGAGCTGCACCTTCAGCTGCAGGTGGAGAGTGTCACCAGTCGGCATCATAAGGCCAGCTCGGCCTTCACTTTCCTATGTGGACACACCTTCCAGCGCAGAGAGTATGGAAAACATTACAAGTGGGTTTCACTCTCTTTCCACATCCACTTCCTTCAAGGGAAAAGTTTATCACTCAGACCAACACAATGCTCTAGTCTAAGGTCAAATAGTTGTATTGGGCTGAACTAAAAAGCAGTACTTGTTTAAATTCACGTTTCATTTTCTGTTTCATACTTGTGTTTGAATGTAGGAACATTCACAGTGAAATCCAGATGGGCATGAATGGATGGTTTCAGCAGAGATGCCCCCTGGCCTACCTGGGATGCACATACAGTCAGACTAGGCTGCAGCCTTCAACATATGGAGCCACTGTCTCCTTTAAGTGAGATAAAACTGCCAATCTTTACAATTGTGTAGTATATGTACACCGTCCTTTGTGTGTATCTTGTAACTACAGTAGCATCAACATTTGTTCTCTGATAATGTCCACTGGGACGATTAAATCTCTGCAGACATTTTAGAAGAATGCACAGGAGTGTTAATATAACGCACATTTATAAACCACAGTCTCCTTTTTGCTTTCAGTAAGGATTTGGGCTGTTTTGGCCTACATCCAACCGTCCCTGCCTCTCTGGGTAAGACCTTCCAGCTGCCCAAAACTGCAATAAACTCCTCCACTGATCAGGGGAAGAGAAGAGGAGAGGACTCTCTGAGTTCGTTACCCTACGAGGTGCTGTGCCACATGGCCAGTTTCCTGGACAGCCTGTCCCTGTCCCAGCTGGCTCTGGTGTCCCAGCTCATGAGGCAAGTGTGCTCCTCTCAGCTGCAAGATAGAGGGATGGTCAACCTCCGCTGGGAGAGAACAACTGATGCACATGGAAGAGCCATGTGGAGAGTGAAGCAGAAGGTAAGAGGCAATGTGTCTATCCTGACGATATATGAAGCATGACAGTGGAAGTTGCTTTATAAGCAGTATTCAAGTTATTTTTGAATATGCAACTTAAATTCAAGAGAATAATGTATATCAAAGGGTCAAAACTAAGGTGAGAAAACGCACTAGGCAAGACATGGTTATGAACATAAAGTGATGTCGGTTGTAAGGCTTTACATGAATAATGTTAGTGGTGTTGAAAATAAAATTTTGTATGTTCAAATCTTATTTAGTGTACAATACTGAGCATCAAACTAAGAAAACATATACGTCTAAGTCTAAATTAGAAACATTAAAAAAAACTGCTATGTGATACAATATGCTTAAAATGTAATGGATAGGCTACTATACCATGAGATACAAGAGGGCACAGTACAGTATGGAGTAATACAACGTGATACGATATGACTTTTAACACAATGGCATACTGGATATGTTAGAGTACCATGTAATGCAACACCATATGGTAAGATCCGGTACAGTCTGATATGATATACAACATGATGGGTTTCCATAATAAGCTACAGTACAATACCACACATTGCAACACCATATGGTACGTCAGAATATGATATATGTTTGGATACACTATGCAATACATGACACGACATACATTACAATGTGCTGTATGTTATACAACACAATATGCTGCATGATATGAAATGAAAATAAACATTTCAATACAGTATAATACGATAAAATACTATTTAATACTGCTGTGACTGTGCCAAACATTAAAAAAAATCACTGTAAAGCTGTGTAGAAACGGCTGAATTGTCAGATTGGACCTTTCTTGTAAGTGGACAGATGTGAGTCAAAGTGGAACTATTTGTACAGTAGGTTTTAACAAATAACAACATGTGTCTCTATAACCACATCTTTGTAATCTGGTCCTCATATTTTGTTCTCTACTGTCTGTTTTCCTGTGTCTGTATGACCTCAGGTGTGGCAGTTCAGCACCTTGTTCTCTCCAGTGGACACTTGGTGTTTCCGAGACGTGCCGTCCATGTCTGAGCATCTGAAGGTGTGTCCTTACTATGAGAGAGAGTCCAGGACAGAGAAGATTCGCCTCCCACGTATGAGAGAGGAAGTCCGCAGCAACACAAACTGCAAAGGTCCCACTCTGGTCAGCTTGTTCCAGCAGAAGAGGATCATGATGTAGTGTAAAGTGCAGAAAAACTACTCACTGCAGCTTTAATTCATTATGATATAAAATATCGTAAAATTATTTAGTTGTTTGCATGTTGCCCACTCTTTTCCTGTCACTTAAAGACAAAGACAAAACTGTTGTAAGCTAATGTTAAAATCATGTTTATTCGCATTAACATTCTTGAGAGATAACTCTTAAAATTGAAATGTGCAGTTTAGATACGGTTTCTTATAGAGGTTGTATATTTTACAAATAAAGTAATGTCCTGATGAAATATGTAAAAATTACCTAGGTGGTTGGGTATACTACTTTCATTTGTGATAACCTTAAATAGCAACAAAATTTTGAAGCAATGTCATTAAAACTGATAACAAGCTAAAAAAAACAAAGTCTGTTTAACAATGAGAGCTTATGAAAAAAAAAACAAACACAAATTTAAAAGAAGCTGTAAGGCTCAATGGTTCTTAGAAGCTCAATCCACTTCTTATCCAAACACACCAGTGGCTCCCTCTAGTGGTTGATGAGGAAGTCCGCTCTGAACAGTCTGTAAAACAACACTGCGTTCATGATGGAAATGAGACTTGTGCCCACTGCTCCCATCATAAAGACGAAGAGAGGCATGTGTTCACTGTGAGCTGCGAGCCAGCGTATCATCCAACCTGTCGTAAAGACACGAAACACCAGCAACCTGCAGAGAGGATGGAAAATCAGAGAGAGGGGACAGTCTGCAAATACAACACAGGCACTTTAAAACATGTAGTCATGTGAAGCTGACTGGTAGATTTGTTCAATTTAGATAGAACAAGGTTTCCTATACAAGTGCATTTCAACTCATACTGCGGGAACTTTTACATAACCACTCATGAAAACTTAAATATCCCATGAGGTGTTGTTGAGCCTCCAGAGGAGAAGTACATGGCTACCACTTACGTTCCGATGTTGAGCCAGCTGATCAGACTGTAGGTCACAGAGGAGCCAGCAGCAGTAGTTTTATTCCTCCATCCTGACAGGAGGAGAAGCTGTCTTATGTGAAGGAAAACTGAGTTGATCTCCATCAGCAAAGAGACCACAGCAAAGCCAAGGTAGAGACGGGAGGTCACAGCCAAACTGAAGCAGGAGATCACCTGACGAAACAGTTTCAGCAAAGGAGACAAAGGTAAATAGCCTACTAGAGGAAGGACGCAAACAAGTACTATACACATTTGAATGACAGAGGATTATCGTCTACATGAGTCAATAAGTTCTGAGGAGGGTGTAAAAGGCTGAAACAATAAGGGATTTGAGCTGAAGGATAAACTTAGTGAAGGCAGTGGGGATAAATCAAAGGTGGTGTTGGAGTAGGGAAGAGTGGGTTGAGATGAGCCATTTTTCATATTTCGGATCACTGCATCAAGGCAATCATAGTTTTGTCTCTAACTAGTGTATCATATTTCAAGATGTTGTTCATCCCTGCAGACCAACAGAATGAGTGTCAACATAACTGTCTTGATAATATAGCATACCAAAAAAAGTGGTCTCCTATGGTCAACTTACCCTGTGTATGGGGTAAGTTGACCATAGGAGTGGGGTAAGTCAAGCCGTATCCCTACTATCCCCCCACCCAGCACCCCAGCCCTCCCTCACCATCTATCTCTCTGAGCTAAAATGGTGGACTTTTATGTTAGGTTTTTGGCCTGATGTTGTAGCTCATAGATACCACAACTGATGTATAAAACAAATTTAAAATGATCTTTTTTGGTCTGAACACAATTCTAATAAAACTTATAACAGACTAAATTCACTTTCAAGAGTGAAAAATGTTTCACTCTTGAAAGTGAATTTAGTGAACTGATTAGGTTTGACTGATCAGTTTGTCCAATAATGTAAGACAGGAAATAAAGGAGCTGCCTTAAGCTCAGGAAGTAGTGGATCTGAGCACAGAGCCCATTGGAGTCTGACCCACACCTGCGTCAGTAGGTGGCGGTAATGCCCATATTAAAGGTGGACCACCGCCATGAAACTCCACAGTGAAAAAGAAGACGTCTGCAGCTGCGGAAATTTACAGTGGACTGTTGCACAGCTGGAATGCGTTAAGCTGCAAAGGAGTAAAGCATTGTCCTGCGCGTGTGGAGGTCACCCTATCAGCGATCCTTTGTAGTGTGTCGTTTCGTGTGTCGTGCAGAACAATGTGGCCTCTGGTCAATGTGCCTCGGAGTCTTTCCTTCTTCGAGCCGGACGAAGCTGAGGGAGACGAATGGAAGCCCAAGTCTGAGCCAGAGAGTGAGGAGATCGACGACGAATGGGACGATCCCTCGTTCGTTTTAAAAGAAGAAGAGGAGGAGGAGGAAGAGGGTGAGGAAGAGGAGGAGAGCGAGGAAGAGTACACTCCAACGTGTGTGCAGACTCGGAGGTGTCCATGGAAGACGAGACGGCGCGGCACGCCCACGAGGTCCCGATCACCGCTGGCTCGCGCAGCAGCAGCAGAGCCATGCTCAAACCTCGAGCCCTGGAAGACCGAGGAGGAGGCCGACAGTGCCCCAGGAGTGAGCAGGTTCCAGCCTAGGAGGCCACCAGGCGTCCAGGTAGACCCACACTCCTCCTACAGTCCAAAAGACCTTTTTCGTCTGTTCTTTTCCAATGAGTCAATCTTAAAAATCTGCAAGAACACCAACAAAAACGCTGCAAAAAACAAAGAATTAGGGAAAAAATACAAGTGGGTGGACATAGACAAGGAGGAAATGTATGAGTTTTTTGGTCTCCTGATCTACATGTCATTGGTGTCGCTGCCAACGGATCATCATTGATCCGTGATCCGTTCGGATCGACGTATTCGGTTCGGCACACATGTGATCCGCGGATCGATTTCTGAAAGCGGAGAAAGGAGGAGCTCGAACGCCCCGCGACACTTAAATCCCCTGTATGGGAGCATTTTGGCTTCCCTGTCAATTATGATGAAGAAGGAAAGAGGTCAGTGTACAAAACTGCGACGGAGTGTAGGCACTGTGGCATAAGAAAGCCATATGACAGTGGAAACACATCGAGCATGTTCACGCATTTGAAGCGACATCACCCGGGTGTTTTACTGACAGGTGTTGTGCCGTAGATTGCACCCCTGCCGTAGAACGCACCCCCTGCATCCCCTCCACCCGTTAGCTTCTTAAAGTGGAGATAATGATCTCATATTTGATATGAATAGCCTGAATGAAATTATTAAAGGCAAACGCTGTTGAATACATCCAACGTAAGGAAAACTTGTATTATTTCGCCTTGTTATGTACTTTCAACCGCGCTCCCGTTAGGGGGTGCACTATACGGCAGGGGTGCATTCTTTGGCATAACACCTGAGCTAAAACGAAAGCTGCCCAACAACCGCTCATCACCGCAGTATTTAAGCAGCCTCTTCCTGCGCAATCCGACCAGGCTAAAGCTTTCACAAACTCTATCGGTGTGTTTATAGCTGCAGACATGAGGCCGTATTCAGTTGTGCAAAACGAGGGCTTTAAAAACATGCTGAAAGTGCTTGAGCCACGTTACGACATCCCATCGCGCACACACTTCATTTTTGGTTCATTGTTACATTTTAAAGGAAGGAGATATGCCTGTATATTGCACTTTAAGTTGTTTTTCATTAATAATTATGTTAAAAAGAAGATATTATGCCCTGTGCACTACTTTTATATATTTTATTTGTCTTGTTTTTTTTCTTTTTGCTGATCCGAAAAATGATCCGATCCGTGACTCTTGATCCGAGGAACGATCCGATCCGTGAGTTTTGTGATCCGTTGCACCACTAGTCATTGGTGTCGCTGCCAAGTATCCATGACTACTGGAGATACAATCACTTTTTGTCTGTTCCCATGCCAGGCAGAGTAATGTCAAGAGACAGGTTCAGGTCCATTTCCTGGAACATCCACCTCAGTGATCCCGAGGAGGATGTAGAGAATGAAAAGAAGAAGGGAACACCAGGCTACGACAAACTGTTCAAACTCAGACCTCTGTGTGATGAGATTCTCAACGCCTGCCAGACTTATTACCACCCGAGGAAGGAGCTGTCGGTGGATGAAAGGATGGTGGCGACTAAGGCAAAAACTGGCATGACTCAGTATATGAAGAACAAGCCGACTAAATGGGGGATTACACTTTTCGTCTTGGCTGAGTCAAGCAGCGGCTACACCATCAGGTTCAGCATTTACACTGGAAGGGCTTACACTCCGAGTGAGCATGGCCTGTCTTATGATGTGGTCATGGACCTCATCAAACCGTCCTATCTTGGCACTGGGTACCATATTTACATGGACAATTTTTACACCACCCCCAAACTGTTTACGGCCCTGGCCAGCTTGAAGTTCGGAGCGTGCGGCACCTACAGGGAATGCAGGAAAGGATTCCCCAGAGAGAGGGGAAACGCTCTCACCAAAAAAAGTGACAAAGGATCAGTGAGATGGATCAGAGAGGGCTCACTGCTGTTTGTGAAGTGGATGGACTCGAGGGAGGTGTCTGTGTGCTCCACCATTCATCCTGCGTATTCAGGTGAGACGGTGAAAAGAAGAGTGAAGGATGGAGATGGATGCTGGGCTGTGAAAGACGTTCCCGTTCCCACACCAATCAAGGCCTACAACAAGAATATGGGTGGGGTTGATCTGTCAGACCAGCTCATTCAGTACTACTCCACCCACAGAAAAGTTGGTAACTGGAACAGGACTGTGTTGCTGCACTTCCTGGACATTGCCACAACAAATTCCTACATCATGCACCGAGAGATGAGCAAAACCAAGCAGGAGCAGCCCATGACACACAAAGACTTCATGGTGGAGCTGGGGTGTCAGCTTTGTGGCGTGGACAAGGCAGGTGTTTCTCAGCGCAGGAAGGCCGATCACATTCCTGTGCCCATTGTCACGGCCGAAGCCACAGCCACAGATGCCAGCCTGAAATCCCCCAAAAGCAGGAAAAGGTGCCAGCACTGCCTCCAAGTGGACAAAAAGAGGAGTGACACACAATGGAAGTGTCAGGCGTGTAATGTGGCCCTCTGTGTTTTGGTAGACAGGAACTGTTTTTTTGAATGGCACAAATAATTTGTGCCATTTGTGGGACTTCACATTGTCTTGTGAATAGTTGTGCCAAAAACACCTGAGGCATCGCCTGCATTTTAATGTAAACAGCGGTGGTGATGCACCTTTCTATGCACTGGCGGCCTCGGCTAGAAGTTTCGGATTGTTCACTGAGTGTTCATAACCTGTTCCATTAAGTTTAGTTCAATCAGAGTTCTGTAGGCAAAATCTTTAGTTTGATATGACAATCTGTTTATTCCTTTTGCAGAGTAAACCAAACAATCAAACACAAAACCAGCCGCCAGCCTGTGGTCAAAAAACTAAAGCTTCTTGTGCGCCACACCTGAACCAATTAGTGGGCACCTTAAATAGGCTTTTTGCGCCCCCCCAAAAAGACTGCGCCACACAGGTGAAAATTAAAAAATGGCTCCACCAAGAGGTAAATTACCTTGTGGTGTGCTAAGATTGAACTGTTGTTTTGAAATCTACTATTTATATTTGCCCTCTAGGTTTAGAAGATGTCCTTTAAACATATTTGTGGTTTTGACATTTAAAAACGTAACTTCTCACACATGGGAGGTTGTGCTGAAGAAATGACACCAAACTAGGCAAGATAAATGAAATGAAATATAAAGGTTAAATCAAAAGAAGTTAAAAACGGCCAAGTATACCCTCGAACCCAGAGGGCTAGAAGTACTCTGTGCATTAGAAAAGGGTAAAAATATATAAAAACATAAAAATACTATTCCATAATCAGACCTTGAACTCTGAAGAAATAGCTGTGTACAAAATGAATCCACCTTCAAGTTGAGATAAATGATTTACAACCTCTCCTGTAAAATCAGCAACTTTAAAGACAAGACAAACACACAGCAGAAAGTCGCTCACTTAATTCTGAGTTTCTTAATAGATGTGATTTTATCTCTTGTATTTTTTTGTATGATATGGACTTACTGGGTCTGGGATAAAGTTCATATAGGACACAATCGTCACAAACACTGGGGTGATGATCACTGACCTGCTCGAGGTGAATGAGGTCAAGACCTCTGCTGCCTGAGATTAAAGTGTCACACAGATCAAGGCTAGGGGGACAAACAACAGCGAAAGATGACAGTGCGTTTTCATTCACCGACCTCCTCATTATCATGGTAACTGCAGGTGTGCGTGTGTGGATTTTGGGGGGGTGAACCAAGAAAATACTTTAAAATGTTGTTACAAATATTCCCACAGACACTGGCTGTTGAACGGGTTAATTTTAACCGCATGTCTCAGATTATCTACCTCTGGAGAGGCTCCAGTACAGCTATTGAGATACCTCATTACAAGTTAGACCAGCAGACTTTTTACCAGATAGAAAAGCATTATCGCTAGAATGTATGTCAAGACTGGAAGTTAAAATACCAGTAACAATTTTGTGAGATGATTGTAACAGAGGAATTTGAGTGTATGTTTCCTATGATGTAACTCAGCAGCGATGTACTACTTTTATACATACATAGACAAATAAATGCAGTATAATACTGTTTTTCCCTCTTTGTCAGCTGACTAAACAGACAGACAGTTGGACGGACAGACAAACATAAACTCAGAGTGAAGCTTATTACTGTGGAGTGGTGGAGAAGCACCTCCCATGTCTGTTTTAGTGGAAGGTTGAAGCCCACATCCAAGAAATCATGGATAAAATAACCTGCAGTACAAAGAGAGCAGAAGTGTTACATAAGCAGAAATCACACACACAGAAAAAGAGAGAGAGAACTTGTGAACCTTTTCACTATAAACTTTGAGTCCCCACCTTTAACGTAGCTCAATTAAAAAATTTCCAAATTCAATTACTAGGTGACATATCCACATAAAAGGTTGTGTGAAAATGTGACGTGTGTTGTGCAGGTCAAAAAACATTGTAGAGGATGCTTTAGAGATTAATGAAGCAGATTGTTGGCTATTTAATCTGAATAATAAATCAGATGTTTGAAGAGTAAAGAAAAAAAAAGATTGCTTTAATTTGCATGTTTATATCACTGCCTCAAGGTAGTATGGCTCATGAAAATTTTTAAAGCTCCTGTGAGGAACTTTCTTTCTTTGTTGATTTTGGTGCCCCCTGTGGACAAAGTAAAAGAAGCAGTATTTTTAGCGTACCTACCCCCTCACAGCAGTTACAGGCCTTAAAAGTTACAATATAAAAACTGCTGATGTTGCCATCGATGGTCTCATTTGCTTTTAACCTTATAGAGATGCATCACTGATTATTTCAGTTGTTTCATAACCTTTAAAAAATACTCACAGGAGCTTTAAGTAAAGCATATTTACACCAGTACACACAGAGACCGATGGTGTTTGTTGTCTAAGCTTTAAAGATCCAAACAGCTAAGACATTATTCAGATTAATGCTGCAGGGGTTGGCTTCATTTTATCTCTGTTTCCAGGAAAATGAACATGAGTAAATCTAAGTTGTGTTAGCGTGGGGTTATCACCTGTTGACACAGCTACAAGGCTGTGAGAGAGCAAGGAATGAGAGGAGATCAGGTCCTCCAACATTTGAGGTTGGTGGTACAAGCTGTATGTTCAGAAAAAAAGAAACCACAGGAATAAGGAAACTCCAAAACTTAATGTTTTCACTATGTCTGAGTGTGTTTTTACGTACCATATCACGGCCCAGGCTCCGGTCAGCGAGCTGTGAGCCAAAGACGTCAGGGTGTTCCTCCACTTCCACTTCTTCTCGCATGCTCGCTCAGGTGTCGGCAAATATCTGACAATTTTGTTAAACAGCTTGAAGGCACACAGTGATCCCCCAACGACTAAAACTGTTGACCTTAAATCCATGGTTATAACCCTGAGCTCACTTCTGATCCCATGTGCTGCTGAGTTGAGAGCACCTTTAAGCAGAATAAGAGCAGAAAAAGAAAAGCAATAGCACCCTGAGGGCTGTCTAACACACTATCTCTGCCCTCTTCCACACATTCCTCACCTCATTTGAACAGATAACAGGTTAAAGGGTCGTGTCGTGGCCTTGTCATTGTGACATTGTCTGATCTTAAAAGAAACGCAGTTCTGCATAAAGTTGGTTCTCTTTCTTCTACATCAGAATAGTTTAACATGGATGCATCCACTTTAATAAAAAAAAAGGATCAGACTAACTCTAAAATTGACTGTATGGGCAATTTGCTGCAACCTAAGGCGATTCAAATTCATGGGACAACAAAGTAAGACATCAGCTCTCGAGGAAAGAAGTTATAGGTGAAGAAAATATGGTTCACAATGTGACAAAAACTTGCTTGCTCAGCTTATGTGTTAAGCCAGTGGTTCTCAAGTCCAGTCCTCGAGGCCCACTGTCCTGCATGTTTTGGATGTTTCCCTGCTCCAACACACCTGATTCAAATGATTAGCTCGTTATTAAGCCATTACAGAGCTTGATAACGAGCTGATCATTTGAATCAGGTGTGTTGGAGCAGGGAAACATCCAAAACATGCATCTCTTTTTTGTCTATATTTAGCCTTTATTGGACAATTTACAAAATTCCTTCCAAGAAAATTAAACATAAAACTTTGAAACTTGACAAGAAAAGTTTGCAACAAATCAAATGTTTAAGTAGGAAGTAAGTTGTAGTTTTTTCAAATCACTCGACCACATTGAAGTGACTGATTTTCCATCCGGTTTAAATCCTTAAGCCTTGAAACTTGAAACTACGTGTGACTAAAAGCACCTCCGGTTTTGTAAGAGATGCTTTTGTCGCAGGTCGGCTGCTGCCTCGTCAGCCCTTTTCCCCACACAGCCGCTGTCCAACACAAAAGACCGGCTTGGCTTTTCTCTGGGACAATACCGGCCTCAACACATCCACTGACATCACAGGGACCGCTCACTTACCGGAGTCCCAGAGTCACTTTTTGGGGTTGGGTTGGTTTTTCTGCTTCTCTTCTTATCAGCACCTCCAAATCGTCCACTTTTTCAGTGTGTTGGGGTCGAGAGGGATGAGGGTTGGGGATGGACCGGTTGCCGTGGAAACAAACTCTAGGCCCATCATTGAGCTGATGAGCAGAGGCAGACGGCACCAAAAAACGACTTTCCGTGGGGGCATCTGACTAACTTGTCTGTTTCTGGAGGATTTTTGTGTTTCTTTGTGTTGTTGAAACTGAATCAGAGACATGTCTCGGACCAAACAACGTGAGTAAATGTAGTTTTTTTTACTTCGCTCAGCAGTTTGATAGCCTATGGACTAAGAAGTCAGTGTTTAAAATTAAAGACATTTTCTGTATGTATGATAAAAAATACGTCTATATAAGAAAGTCGTTTAACTACTGGAATTAATATGAAATGTTTGCACGTGCCCGACTGTGCCGTATCCTCGTGCGTGTGCATGTGCGTCTCTTCAGTGCGTCAGGAGCTTCCGAACCCTGATCCAGAGGACTCATCAGAGGAGCTGACAGCGATGGTGTGTCTGGAGTCGGACCTGCAAGATGGACAGTAAGAACAGGATGGGGTGTTATTACAAACCTGGCAACCTAACTAACCTGTTTCCATTTTAAACCTGGCAACCTAACTAACCTGTTTCCATTTCAAACCTGGCAACCTAACTAACCTGTTTCCATTTCAAACCTGGCAACCTAACTAACCTGTTTCCATTTCAAACCTATTTCTTACATATAAAGATTTATGAAAAAACAAGTTAGTGATGGGCACGACAGTTCTTTTAGATGTACTAAATCATTAGAATCAGTTCACTAAAAAGATTTGTTCAAAAGATTTGTTCACCAAATCACTAAATCGTTTAGCAGGATAAGCCTGCGACTCCGACCTCCTGAACTGATACACAGCTGAACAGTTCAGGATTCAGTTCACTTCATAGCTTTTGTGACCGGGAGATGAGAGTGTTGTGACTGTGTTGCTTTGGCAAACAGGTTTGTAAAAAAGAACTTGTTTATAAGTCATAATGTTTCAAGTGTACTGTCCTATGGTATGCTATTTATCAGGTCTGCTTGGTAAATTGGGCTCAGTGAGTGATTCATTCACTGAACGTTTAGAAGAATTCACACTGAACATACACTGTTCCCTTGCAAACCCCTGCAATGATAGGATGCTGCGGGTTTAATGTACTACTTTTTACATGCTGTGTCCTATTATATGCATGTTGTTGTGGTGGCAATTTAGCAGTAAAAAAAAAGGTAGTTTTGTCCCACAAAAATGATTCCAGAGAGTGAAGTTCAATGCGGGATTCGTTCACCAAGTGATTCAGGCGTCAGTGCATGTGGTCCCTCGTTTGCCGGCTGCTGGCCTGGCAGTGCTGTTTCTTACTTCAGCTTGACTGAAGTGAGAAACGAACGAGTCACTCGAGGAAGTGATTCGGTTCAGTATGTTCACTTAAAAGATTCGGTTCTCTTGAACGAATCGTTCGCGAACGACACAACACTACAACAAGTGGTAATAACCAAACATATATTAATCAAAGGATCTTGGTGACCCTGCTGCAAAGACGGTGATAATGAGGTCCACAATTTTAGAAAAGAGAGTTGGTAACACTTGCATTTTAAGTAAAAACAAAGTTCATAATGTGTGACTATTCTCCCTCATGTGGCAGAGAGGGTTATCACCAAAACACCACCAAGGCATGTTTATGATGCATGGTGTGTTATTTTTTATATGACCATGTAAATATTGATTATTCTTTAAGATTCTTCTGAATATGGCTTTTTTTTGTTCCAATGCCATAGCCCCCATTCTGTTTCCATGAGGATGCTTTACTTTCAATTTAACTTTAAATCTGTGCGTAGTTTAATATATTGTTATGCCGTATTGAGAAAGACTTATCCATCATCTGAGACCATAAAACTTTTAAGAGAATTAATCATAAAGAAAAATTGACTAAGTTGCAGGGTTGTTGTCCCACTTTTTTAATCAATCTTTAATTTTCAGTCAGTGGAGTCTCTCCTTGGAAGTCATAAACACCCGACTATTTATCACTCTGTTGAGATTAGCTGTGTTACTGGTGACCCATTTATCACCCAGGAGACAGAATATCACCATCAGACCAGACTGAACTTTGTCACTACTTGCTTTTTTTTTTTTTTAAATCAGACCTTAAACCAGCGACTTTTACATATTCCTCTCCTGTTTTTACATGTGTCTGCAAATGTTATTGTAAATTAAGATTTCCCTCAATAGTCTCTAGAATATAAGTAAAAGTTTATTGGTTGATTGATACGGTAAAAGATTTATTACATATATCATTGGCTACCCTTTAATGACTTGGAGGAGACAGTCTGTGGCTTTGCGTAAAATGAATAAGCCTACAAGTTTACACAGCAAGATCTTTAAAGTTCAATTCCTAGTTTTGGATTTATGTAAAACTCCTTTTACTCCTTTTTTCTCCTAGTCCAACACATTTGGGGTGTAGAGTTTACCGCTGTATCCTTGTGCATGTGTGTGTGTGTGTTATCTCAGGATGATGGAGGTTGAGGTGGGACACCACAGCGTCCTGTTGACACGCAGCGAGGGTAGATACAGTGCCATCGGTAATCAGTGTACACACTATGGCGCTCCACTCAGTAAAGGTAAAGACACACGAGTTATCATTTCAAAGTTTGTATATCATATCATTGTTTCAAGTGCTTTGATAATCAGTCAACTTTTGCTGGCTTATTGTCACTCAGGCAAAGGGACAGGATATTTTAAAGTGCATTTTAAAATCAATATAAGCTAATAGAATATGTAAATGCTGCTTTTACAGTATGATTTTAGGTTTAAATAGTATCTGAATCATTGAAGCTTTTAATTATATCAGCTTTTATTAGATTTTGTTACGGGTTTTGTGTGTGTGTGTATGCATTTAGGGTGTATTGTAGGCCACACAGTGCGCTGCCCGTGGCATGGGGCTTGTTTTAACGTCCATACAGGTGATCTGGAGGAGTACCCCGGCATGGACTGTTTACCCTGCCATAAGGTATAAATCAGAAGAACCGACAAACACACATATTAATGCTCAGCTGTTTACACCATTTGATACAGTTTGAATCATTTTCTCTCTCTTTTTTCCAGGTTAAAATTCAGAACAACAAAGTTTATGTATCTATAAACAAAAAGGTGAGTGTCTACTTTTTTAGCTGATATTGCTTTGCTGCCTGTCCTGCATTGTTACTGATACAAACTGTATACATTCCTTCAAAATCATTGAAAGAAGCGACATGGGTGAAATTGGATGCATATTTTGTGTTTTCTACTTATCACAAAACTGCCCCCCCTATCAGCTCAGTTCTCTAACATTGATGGGGGTTTACTGTACAAATAGTCGTCTATTGAATCACATTTTTCAGCAGCCTGTCATATAATCTGTAAATCAAAAGAATACAAATGTTGAGGTATATTAAGTTGTTTTTTCATACTTTTATTTCTTATACTTTTAACCATCTTTAAGTAGGAATAAAAGCTCATTCCTCTTATTGACTGGTTTATGTGATCGTGTGTTTCTCCTTTGTTTCAGACTCTCGGCCATGAGAAGAGACTTAAGAATATGGGAGGTGCTATGGAAGGAGTTACCCACACTATTCTGCTGCTTGGAGGAGGTAATTAAGGGCCACTTTTTGTGTGGGATGATTCCTCTAAAGCACTGACAAATATATACTTTGGTAACCATCCTAATCAGTCATTTTAATGCAATAACGCCTCCTACTCACATTTTCCTGTAAGTTTAGGAACATCTTGTTGTTAAATGTTTTTGAATGTCATATCATTTCTCTATGTGCTCATGAGTATTGATTCAGCTGAATGACTGTACTCCCTTTATGTCATGTTTACCACTATATAAACTTTTTATGCAACCTGCGAACTGGACTATAGATAAAAATTCTTTATGCTAAGTTAAAAAGGCAACAGTTCAAGTTGGTGGTAAACATTGTGGATGAACTTGAAATAACAGAGTGGACTGAATGTCAAGAGTTTGTGTTTCCTGTGTGTTTGTGATTGTATGTTATCTCCCTGTAAGTGCAGGAGCCGCGTCACTGATCTGCGCTGAGGTTCTGCGACAGGAGAATTTTGGTGGCAGAATTATCGTGGCCACCAGGGATGAACTGTTACCCTACGACAAAACCCGTCTCAGCAAGGTGAACTAAAAACTATCATCATTAATGCGTGTGTGTGTGTGTGTGTGTGTGTGTATATTTTTGATCTCTTTCCACTTGATCTCACAATCTCACAAACCCTGCAGGTGATGAATGTGGAGAGCGACAGTATTCTCCTGAGGAGGATGGAGTTTTTCCACAAGTACGACATCGAGGTGTGGCTCAGGAAAGAAGTGAGTTTTTTCGGAAGATAGAAGTGGATCTTTAGATTGGACTTAATTATGCGTTGTTTGGTCTACATAGTGAATTATTCACTTCACCATCTCTGGTCGTATTGTAGGCCCTGTCAGTGGACACAGATAAGAAGACAGTTACATTTCAGGATGGTTCAGTCCAGAGCTATGACCAACTTCTCATCTCTACAGGATGCAGGTATAATAATCTAAGATTTATTTGTTGTTGGTATGTATGAAACTAATTTTACTCTCCACAACCTTTAAGATCCTTTGTTATTCTTTCTAAACCAAAGTAAAATAATACACAAATAAATACACTACCGCTACCGGAAGACCAGACGTGCTGCTGCTGCATTCTGGATCACCTGCAGAGGTTTAACTGTACATGCAGGGCTTCACCTTTAGGGTTTACTGACTGAGAAGTCAAAAAAATTCAGAGCTCCCCCTGCTGACTGGCTGCAGTTTTTTCTCTTTAAACCTGTGGTCTTCATGTTCTCTGCTGGAAAATGTCAAATTAAAAAAATAAAATCAAAGTTAATGTCATATTTTTCTCAAACACAGTGTCTGTCATTATAGTTCTTATCATGGTGATTCATGTCTTTGTATTTAGTATTGTATTTTAGTTTCAGATAGTTATTTGATTTTATAAAGATGATTGGTTGACATTTTTGTTGATAAATGTAGGCTCCAGCACTCCTCTGTGCTGTCCTAGAACAGAAGGATGCACGTCTTTTGGCTTCATAGCTCACAGTGGGCAAAAATGAATCTGTGTCGTCCATTCTATACAGTCAATGGGCGTTTCAAATCACTAAAAAATAATTAGACAATACTGAATAAACGGACATGTGCAACAAACAAAAGAAAGCTTGTAGCCAAAGTGAGCAGAGCCTTTCTCCTGAGTGCAGCAAAAACCAAGAGAAAATATGGTAACTGCAGCTTTACTTTGAAAACATGGAAGTGGTCATCGTTGTCCTTTCTGTTAGAGCAAAGGGTCTGGACCTGCCCGGGATGAAACTAGGCAATGTCAAGATGTTGGAGACACCAGAAGATGCTCGGCAAATCCACGCGGCCTGTCTCGGCTGTAATGTTGTCCTCGTGGGAACTTCTTTTGTTGGTACCGTTTGAAACCTTTTTTTTTATTTTAGTTCCCTGTGCTGCCAAAATATAAGTAGACCAGAATACAAAAGTTAGGGAATAGTTTTTTTCTTCACCTTCACCCATATGTTCGTCTTCTCAGGCATGGAAATTGCATCATACTTGATAGACAAAGCCTCCAGTATCACAGTGATCGGCAGCAGTGAGATGCCATACCAGAACACACTGGGCCGGGAAATTGGAAAAGTCACTATGATGGTAAGAAAAAGAGAAAAACAGAGACCTATATTGTGTCCTCACATTGCTTGTTTTAAAAGTTCAGTGTTTTGTAGTTTAATTTCTGCCGTTCCTGCAGATGCTGTCGGAGAAAAATGTGAAATTCTACATGAATGATAATGTAACAGATGTCAGAGGTGCTGAAGGCAAGGTATGCTGGACAATTACACATTATTCTTTTTTTTTTTAAATAGGTCCAAGTTCAGACAAGGGGAGTGTCAAGTAGATTTTTCTTTCATAAAGGTTCATAAGAGTTAGACGTTGTCTTCTTATTTAGAGTTGATGATATTGTTCACCTATTGTGACAAAAGAAAAAGGGTGAGAGTGAACGTTTTTTTATCCAGCCCTTCTGATAACTTCAAGTCTTTGTCGCCCTTTTTTTCCTCAAGGTAAAGGAAGTTGTACTAAAAAGTGGAACAGTCATTCCAGCCGATGTTTTGATAGTTGGCATTGGTAAGTGCACTGCAGATGTGTTCTGTGAATTCATATTTGTTAAAACTTCATGTGAAAAATGACTTCTCTGCTTTTTACTTCTGTGTGTTTTGATCAAATTGGCATTCTCTATAAAACCTGTGATCTAAAGACCTTTGACGAATACCATGCATAGTTTTGTTTAATATCAATTCAGCTTCTTGATTCAATCACCATTCATAATGAAGATTATAAGTATTCTGTTTCATGGCTTTATACGGTACTTCTCCTGAGATCCACATAGAACGTCTGACCAGTTGTAAATTACAAGGTTTTTGTGGTGATTTTAAGCGTAATTTCTCGAAGGTAACTTGTTCTTTTATTGACAGAGTATGTCGGTTTAACTGAGCCCATTGATCAGAACAGAGGGAAACAGCTAACCTGTTCACAGGCGATGAAATAAGTAATATCTTCTGACAGGGAGTCGTATACAGTAAATGTCCGCTACACTTTCACCAGTGCAGATTAAAAGGCTGTAATTTTTTTGAGTTAATTTTGGAAATGATGGATTTTGTTGTTTTTGGATTAAAAATAGATAACTGCTTCCTCTTGGGACTTTTTCTGTGCAGGGCTGAGTGTATTGCATGCTGAGGCCTCACACAGTTGTAACACCTTTTCTCTCTTTTCATCCCTCCAGGTATCAAACCAAACTCTGAGTATCTGAGGGGCAACAAAATACAAATGGACTCTAAAAACTTTGTGATCGTTGACAAGGTCAGTTCACGCTCCCTCACTCACTGTTTATGCAGAACTTATCCTGTCCTGTCTGTTAACAGCACATTACAACTTCTATCATCTTAACTCTGAGGGCCCCACAGACTCAACAGCAGAAACAAAAAATGATGACAGTTCTATAAAAGGTAAAACTACTCTGAACCATAAACAGCTTCTCCAAATCTTCCTCTTGCAGTACATGCGCACCAATATCCCTGATGTGTTTTGTGCGGGGGACCTGGCCACCTTCCCCCTGAAGATGGCCAAAAACCGTATGGTCAACATCGGACACTGGCAGATGGCACAGGCACATGGTAATGCAGTCTGAATATAAAGACACATTTTATCCAAGACTGTATGTGTCATAACATGCAGACTACAAGTAACCTGTTTTTTTTTATATGGGATCTGTTGATATCTGTGTACACTAAATATGATGCTCTTCTATTTCTAGTTAAATTTTCTATCAATATTTTTGTCTTTTAGGGAGAATAGCAGCTCTGAATATGATGGCTAAACAGACTGAACTCAGCTCAGTCCCTTTCTACTGGACCGTCCTACTTGGTAAAACCATCCGATATGCAGGTGGGCGCCCATATGTACACATGACGGATATTAAATGAAGAAATATTGTGCATATTGGTTTATGTATCCATTTGATCCATATTTTTGCATTTACTTTTTTGCATTTTTTTAAACCTGAATCCAGCCATAAGAAAATTAACCACCTTTAACCATGTTTTATTCTGTTTGTGCAGGCTATGGGGAGGGATACACTGAGATTGTAATGAAAGGGAAGTTTGAGGACAGGAAGTTTCTGGCATTGTACATAAAGTGAGTTGGTAAAACAGCTGCTCTTTTAAATTAATTTAATTGATTTTTCAGTCAAATATGTATGTTTTTTAACCTACCTGTCCTTGCAGAGATGATGAGGTTGTGGCAGCGGCGAGTCTGAATTATGACCCGGCTGTGTCTGCAGTAGCTGAAAGGCTAGTAGCAGGAAAAATCATCACGAAGAAAGAGGCTGAGTATGTAAAATCTTTCAGTTTTTATGTACATTTCTTTTATGTTTATTATGTTATGTGCACGGTGAACAAAAGGGGACCAAAGATAGACCCCTGGGGGACCCCATAAGAGAGAGGTACATGAGAGGAGGAGGCATTTTCAAGCACTACAGAAAAAAAAACTGTTTGGCAGATAGGAATGAATCCAGCGCCACATAACTATTTCCAACAGAGTATTTCTGATTAAGAACTGCACCTCCTAAATCTCCGACCCAAAAATGGGGATCGCTTTTCAGCCTCAAGTTGTAAAAGACATATCCCTCAACTCATTGATCTTGCATTTCAAAAGTTATCGCCCTCTTGACCCTGAATTTATTAATGCATTTTTCGCACTCTATGATCCCAGATTTACAAAGATATCCCCCCATACTCTTTAACCATATCATAAAAAAAAAAATTACCCCAAATTTGAGAAGATGACCCCTAACCCTGTGACTCGACACACTCTGTGACACCAAATTTCAAAAGTTTTCTCCCTAACTGTGTGACCCCAAATTTGAAGGTATAGTGTGAAGTATTTTTCAGCATTGAGCAGAACGGACTACAAAGCTAGAGGAATATTATACCATGTAGCAAAATGAGGCAAACTAAGTGCATCTAATGACATAAACTATCTTTTCTTTGCCTGTGACAGATCAGATGACCTGAGCTGGCTGCAGTTGTCCTGATTGAAACTCTCCTCCGTGTTTCCTCTCTACGCATCATCTGTACAATGTCAACATTCAGCCAGAATATCATTCATCCGTCTCTTCAGCACCCCTGCCTTCCCAGAGGACGAAGAGTCTAAAGTCCTGGATTAAAATCTTTGACAGAGAAAGGACAAACTTTACTTTTAAGTCTGTCTCAAAGAAACAAAGTGAAGTCTATATTGACTATGTTGGACTATCGGATCTAAACTGTACGTCAAGGAGTCAGTGTTCATGTGAGAGAGACTCCACTATACGAACAACAGATACCTCAGATGGATGCAGCTTTTGGACTTCTTTTTCTATACTTCTTTTTATTATTTTATTAGATTTTATTTAATTTTATAGCTCCATGTCTCCTGGGGTATTTCAGTAGCAGTCCAGAGACATCACACTGAAGATGCCTCGGTATGTTTTCTACAAAGGCAGTGTGCGCTGCCTCAAATGAGGCTGTTGAAAAACACAAGTGACCTCAGTGCCCACTGCAGTCGTGTACGTGGTCCGGTTGGTGAATCGGAGGGGGAGGATTAGGATAACAGAGGGGGAGTGGTCATCTCTTTGAAGCATAGATGCTGAAATAGGCAATGATAACAAAAAGCACCAACAGAGAACAATAAGCGTTCGACAAACAGCTTTCAAAGGCAGATGGACAAAAGAATTGCTGTGTTTTCCTCACCTCCCCCTTTTGTGCCACTGCTGGTTATATCACAGTCTTTAATTCAGTCCTCTAATTCAACCTCCACAGTCACTCTTCACCCACAGTGCTCTTCCTTGTCTTGCTACACCCAGGGTTCAACAGGTTCAGACTCTCAAGGCCAGTACCAGTATGATGTTTCAGTTCGGAGGTGTCACCGGATTATAGCTTGTTCAGATGTTGCATGTAAAAAAATTCCTCTTTTTCTTTTCTTCTTTTTTTGTAATTGTTACATGTGCATCTATAGAATATGCCACACTAATATGTGTGGCATATTCTATAGATGCACATGTAACAGTAATTATGATACCAAGTCTAATATTCTTGATCCCATCTAGTATCTAAACTCAAAATACACCATTTTACTTGATATGTTGATTTTAAATCTCCTATTATTGTTTGAGTACTCAACCCATTATCTCAAGTGAACAAGTTGTGATCTCAAAATAACACAATAATTAACTTGAAACATTTTGAAGTTATTAAATGCATGTCCAATTCCTGTTTTATACTTCAAAAATATGCCTCAAAGATCTTGTGATCCTCCTTTTTAAAAACAAAATGATGATTTTAAGTTTCCTGTTGTTTTGTACTAATCCACCTTTGATATTTTAAGATTTAGATATTGATTCATAATCGCAGGATAATGTTTAAAGAATGAAAAGCAGCCCTCAATCTCTGTGGTTACAGTAAGTATTTAGCATTTGAAAATTTTGAGGTAAGAAACCTTCTGTTTTGTTTCTCTGATAGTCTCAAGGAAAAAAAGTCAGTCTCAAATCAGATTGAGATGAAAAGCTACAACACTCTTGTCCGTAACAGGTTTGTTATCGAAGTAAACCCTGATGGAATGACAGGGGTGTACTTGTCATTTTAACCTTTTTGTATTTGTTTCACTTTGTTTATCATAAAAAAAAAAAATCTCAGGCACAACAAAACTGTTTCGCTCCTGTTTATTGAGTCATCAGTGTTAGATCGTGGACTTGTCTGCCATCTACTGTCCAGCAGTGGTGGATCACTTTAAACCTTTTTTAAGAATTTTTCACTTTGATCTAAAATATCTTTTAGTTTCTCTATTTGCATTCTTTAAATCTCACAAACAGCAGCCTGGACTTAATAACTAAGTGTGTGAGGCCTCAAAGTGAATCCACATCACAGTGACAATGAAATGACTGTCTTTGTGTTTCACAGAATGAGTAAACATAATTTACTCAGGTAAAATTCAGCCATTAAGATTGAAACAGTGACTAACCAGCTTCTTGACATAATAGTCAGTAGTCTGATAACACATTGTTTTATGTCTGAATTAGTAAATACCACATACACACAATATAGCAGGTAGCCTTCTGGCTTCAAAGAATGCAGAAAATAATTAAAAAAAACTAAGTCAAGCTCTGGAGATCTTGCCGTCCAACCCCACTCCCAACAAAATATTACTCATTTTACACCCGACTAGCAAATATGAGTCTTTTTAGAGTTTTGGGGAGTATCATATAATTTAAAGACACTACAAAATCTGTTTTTTAAAATAGCCCATTCAGCAGGTGTATGTCCTGTCTTTGCCAGCTGACAGTCATGAGAGACCGTGGACATCAGTTTGGCCCCGAGTGAACAGATTGGATCGGTGAAATGCTCAGTTTAAATCCGGTTTAATGTCAACACAGCTCTGAGGATTTCAGAAACAAATTAAAAATGTGGTGATAAACAGAGTACGACTTCTGCTTCTTTATTTCAATTTCAGATGGAGTAGTGATGCAGCCACCTGTTTCTCAGATTCAGCAAAAGCCTTTTTCTCTTCACTCTGTGTGGAAAAAGCAGTCTGGTTGTCTTTTAGTAGCGCCTTTCTGTGTGTGATGTAACGCTGCCTCCTGTTGGCCCTGTACAGCTCCAGCCTCATCTCTTCAGCCTGAGGGTCTTGCAGTGCCTCCTCCCACCTCAAGCTCTCCCCAACCTGGCCACTCAGCTCTGCCTCTCCACTCACACTGGATTTGTTTTTCAGCAGGCCTGTTGAATCCTTAGGGCTTATTTTTTTGCTCCTGCGGCCACTGTTACCGAGCCGTTTTCCGTTCTTCCTTCTAGCAGCCTTGAGCTCTCGCAGCTGGCCTCGAGGCTGACCTGGACCCTGAGGGGCTTGCAACGACTTGGACACCATCTCCGGAGGCATAGATGCACCAAGATTTCTCTACAGGGAGGCAACGTAAACATATACACGTAGACACTGTACATTAGCAAACAAGGCTGGGGATTCGATTACTAATGATTCCCTCTTGAGTCAAAGTGGTAATTGCTTGTTTAAAGTAATGAGCTTTCATAGGCCAGTGATGGAAAATGACACACTGAGCCTGTTTTTTAATGAGCCCTTCAATCCTGCAAGGGATCCTTTACTACCACTACCTCAATTTTTATGCTCATTTCTGCATTGTGTACAATTATAGTGACCTCAGTTTGAACTGCCACAGGAGCAACACGTTAGGCTCACTCTAGTATGCTGTTTTCAAACTCTGTAGCATGTTAATGAATCCATGCTGAGAATAGGTGTATTTATTTGAGAATGCTTTTTTTAATCTGATGGCAACAACCACATTACTACATTTTTATTGAGCATTAAAATATTCTAATATAATAATAATTCTAATGATGAGAAACAGCAGGATGGAGACGGATAACTTAGCAGCACCTTTACTATTCAGCCATCTTGTCATCCCCACAATATAACCCCAAAAGCTTAACATCCTGGACAACCCTGATCACATGTCACAGCACTTACAAATCAGAGGCTAGGACCTCAAAATAAATGTAAATGAAGCTCAGAAACACATTCTGCATAATCTTCTCACCCTAACAAACCCTAACAAGAAAAGCATTTAAACTTGTAAACTTGTAAATATGAACCTGTCAACACTTTGTGAATAGCTCTCTGTTTGAATTCTATAAACACTATTTTTTAGCTTAACTTAGAGATAGTTAACTGTAATAGTTTACAGAAATATATGATCTGACTTCACTGTTAAAGCTTACACGAAGCTAGTTAATTCAGTCCATTATTTTCCTGTTCAGGGCAGCAATAATAAACCTGGTTGAAAGATGTTACACTGGTGTGAATGTAAACAGTACCAGTACAGTGTACAACCACAGCTTTAAGGTAGGCCTACATGTATTTCTCTTTTAGGGTACATTAGCCTACTCTTAAAAAACTGTCTGAGTAAAGCATTTCAGACCAAAACTCTTATCTACAACAGTTTTTCATGAAAAAAAGAGTCCAGAGTACACAGAGAGAAATGCAGGCTAAGCTAAATCTAACCACAAAATGCTCAATATCTACGGTCAGCTACTTACAAATTCTCGCTTTGCTCAAAGTCTACAGATGCTCCTGAGTCCCATGACAAGCTGCCGTATATGTCGGGGTTTTAAAAAAACAAGTGGAACACGCGAGGCCCCTCATTGCTGCCTCTACCAGCCAAGCATTTCCTGATTCAACGCCGCGTTGCCATAGGATTACGTGTTTCCATGGCAACAGGACGCGCCCTCCGAGTACCCATACTTTCGCGTTTAACCAAAGACTTGTGCTGTAAAGTGACCAATGTGAGCCTCAGTGTTTGGTAAAATCAAAATCAAACAACACACATTCAACTTACGACCCAAACGGACTAGAAATATCTGTGTCTGGGGAAATTTACAGGAGAACAGATAGGTAACACCTGCATAATTCGACTTTCTGGGAACCATTTACAACAGCAAACATTTTGACCCCGACGTGATTTGAACACGCAACCTTCTGATCTGGAGTCAGACGCGCTACCGTTGCGCCACGAGGTCTCCTTGTGAACTCCCCATGACGTCAGATACAGTACAAACAGGTGTGAACTGTCACACCTGTGGCAAGGGTCAACACACCTTCACGTAGGAAGCTTAGTCTGTAATACTTTCCCACTGTAAGCCACTGAAGCAACTGCCTTTTTGTTTTCCTCATGCTTGGTGCTGGACTGAATGCCCGGCAAGTTTGTTTACTGGATATAACAACCTGCAAATAGGCTGTATTTTATCACTCATGCTTTAATTTTAGTTAGCAGGTGATAAGGGAGAGTAGGTTAAGATGAGACATTGTTCATATTTTGAATCACTACATCAAGGCAATCATAGTTTTGTCTCTAACTAGTGTATCTTCATATATTTCAAGATGGTGTGCATCCCTGCAAACCAACAGAATGAGTGTAAACATAACTGTCTTGATAATATAGCATGCCAAAAAAAGTGGTCCCCTATGGTCAATTTAGCCTGTGTATGGGGTAGGTTGAAATTTATAAAAATGGAAGCCATTTTAACCCGAGAATGACTTTACGTGACTCAGAACATTCACAGCTGTATTTTTGAAAAGAAAAAGTAAAACATTTCAACAATCTGAACTGAAACTCTGATCCTCTTATCAGACTTCTTTACTTTCTCAGTTAAGCCACTGGCTCAACTTACCCCAGAACTACTGCAATGACTTTATTAGTCCTCTTAGCTAAAATGGTGGACTTTTATGCTCAGTTTTTGACTTAGCTAAGTCATGTTGTAGCTTATAGATACCACAATCGATGTATAAAACAAATTTAAAATGATCTTTTTTGGTCTGAACACATTTTTGAAAAAAACTTATGGCAGACTAAATTCACTTTCAAGAGTAAAAATGTTTTTTTTTTTTTTTTTTTTTGGAAATAAATGTCTAACCCCTTCACCCATGTGCTTCTAACCTTCACAGACTCCATGAATTGATGCCCATCTCCTAAATATTTGGTCACATGATCAATTTCTTTGACCATTTCCAAGCAACAGGGGGTGGCTCAACTTACCCTTTGGCTCAACTTACCCCACTCTCCCCTATGTTTTTATACATTTTATGCAGAATTTACCTGCGGGCTGCTATGGTATTAGGCCAACTTTTATCAAGCATCCAGCACAACTACAGGCTAACTTCAGTTGTTCCAAGAAGTGAGCTTCTTGCCCCTCCCTTAAACACATGAATATGCACCAGCCGACCTATTGACTGTTGGAGCTTATGTCCTTAAGAGACTGCTGTGAGAAAGAGAAGGAGCGCATTGTTGTCATTGCTAACTGTACTTTACTACTGTATGTAATTCTTGTTCAACCAGCTTTATGGATTTAAATGTTTGCTGAGTCTTATCATGGAGGGCTCAGGTCATATGCAGAAGTTGCACATAGGTAGAAAGGTATCATGTAACCTAGGGGTTCTCAAACCTTTCAGCCCTGTACCCTCATGATTATGGTTCTTTAAACTCATGACCTCAATTTGGACAAATGTTACTCACTGCAAGAAAAGCAGGAAAAGTGAAGACACTTTGTTTTCATCAGCATGATTTTATTAAAGAATCAAGCTGCTGTTTTGTTCATAGATTTTACAACAATGATAAAAATATGATATTTGAAAAAAATCTTTGCATCAGTGGGTGTTTACATACTGCATTGTGTAAAAGGCCGGTGTCTCACCCCCTGTGGTGGTTCTGACCTTCTATTTGGGTACCACTGATCAAACCAGTTGATGCATGCAAAATAGTGTGAAATAAATAGTCTACATCATTTAAATGAAAGCCAACATTAAAGCTGCTATCATCAGTATTTTACAATCAACAATCACATGACCTTTGTGTCAAAATGATTGCTCAGAACATTATGACACATAACAGTCAGCTGGCTCGACATTTTTTACACTGCCTTTTAATTTGAATGCTCTGATTTTTGTTTTACTGTTGTGAAGTTGTTGTATATAACTGACCTGTGCTTTAATATAAGTGTACGGACAGTCCATAAAGCAGGCAGATGTGTAGAAGTCTTTTTTGGGAACAGCTACACCCGCTGATGACCAAACAAGCCACTGGCAGACAGTTATACATTGTTTAATTAAACAAAACAAAAAATAAGCTAAAAAGAAAATTCTAAACTTAATTACCATTTACCATTGGCAGCCATAAAACAACCATTTATGGCTACATCTTATTCATTTAGTGGACCTCAATCTGGTCTCAGAAGCAACTTTGCATCATCAACCACATTTAAAAGGTTGTTCTAAACATAAAAGTCAGGAGAAAAGCAGTGCGGTAACGTGACTTTACTTATGTACACAGAACTGAGAACAGTTTATGAAACTATGCTTCTGTTCCTCCATGGGGATTTCATGTCATGTCTATGACTACATCCACAGCACACAGTGTGGTATTTCCCCCCGGGGGTTTTCCATCCTATTCCTGTTACACAGATTCCAGTCATTCCTCGATTAATTAAGTAAATACGTGTGCCTCTTCAGAGTACAGTCCTTTGTCAGACTGTAAGTTTTAGAATAATTGTGCAGTCACTAAACTTGGTTGCTATTTTCTGTCTGCTGTTAAACCAAACACCCACCGGAGCTAAGAATAGGCTCGCTCTCTGACCTCAAACAAGTCTATCCTGCTTCTGCATTCCCTGCACATGTCTGAGCTTTTCCTGTAAGAGCTACAGGAAGAGAGAGGATAAATCATGATGCTGAGTCAGAGCAGACACGTTACATTTATTGACGTAGGAGTGACAAAGTTCAGCTATGATACAGTTGTTTTGTTAAAGGTCCTTCTCTAAAAGGAAATAGAGAGCTGGCTTTTAGGATAAAAACTGCAAAGAAATTTGACTCGTTTTAACAGACAAACAGATCTCTTTATGAGACAATAAGCACCAAATTTAGCCAGACGCCAAACCCATTTTATTCTTCACACAACCACATCTCATTTTTATGGGTTTTTGGCCATGTGATTGACTGTGGCTGTTTTAATGTGTTGAGAAACATGCTCACGTCTTGTTCTGATGAGCTTGCGAGTCACGAACGGCGGTGGGGGAAGATGTGATTCGCACGCTCGCTGGATGTGCTGTGGACATCATAGTACAAACAGATAGTAGCAGCAAATGCTCTGACATCTTCAAAAAAAAACCCAAACCTTATGTTGTGAGGCAGGTTCGTGGTGAGGACCCAGATGCAGACACAGAGACTGAGATCAACTTAAAGAGACTTTTAATGTCCAAAAAAGGGAAGATAGTGCAAACAGAGGAAGTCCGAAGGGCTGGTTGGCTGGCTGTCGTGTGGGCTGGAGACACTGCAGGAAAAAACCAGAGGAGACAGGAGTTAATGAACATGAAAATAGTCACTGGGAGCAAAGTTCTGAAGATTATACCACGAGGAAGGCCAGGAGACACGTCTGTACCGCTAGGAAGGGTAGACAATACTCAGGCCCTGAGGCTGAGGGCTGCAGGCTTCTTAAAGTGCCTTGATTGGAGATGTGGAGCAGGTGTGTAGTCTCACTCAGCCTCAGCGCCGGGGGAGGGGAGGAAGCTCACAGTACCCCCCCCCTTAACGAACGCCTCTTGGCGTTCTGCTGGGCTTGTTGGGGTGAGCGACGTAGAAATCCTCAAGGAGTTGGTGGTCCAGGATGAGGGAGCGGGAGATCCAGGAACGCTCCTCCGGACCGCACCCCTCCCAGTACGCAAGACACCGGAAGCCTCGCCCCTGCGGCCGCACATCCAGGATTTTCCGTACGGTGAGGGCAGGGTGGTCGTCAATCAACCGGGGGGGTGGAGGGGCGACGGAAGGAGGGCTCAGGGTGCACGAGGCAACAGGCTTTAACAAGGAGACAGGGAAGATGGTGTCGATCTCCCAAGAGGTGGAGCCGACGACACAGGAGGCAGGGAGGATGGGGTCCGGGGTAACCAAGGAGTGGGTCCGAGAGAGGGTGTCTGGTTTGAGGTCGCGGGAGCCGGGACGACAGGAGACGGGGAAGGTGAATCTATGAAGGAAAAGGGACCAGCGGGCTTGCCTGGAGTTGAGGCAACGACCAGAGCGGAGGTATTGCAGGTTTCTGTTGTTGGTCCAAATGAGGAATGGTTGTTGTTCTCCTTCCAGCCAGTGTCTCCATCTTTGGAGTGCCCACACAACAGCCAGCAACTCCCGGTTTCCCACGTCCTGCTTTCGTTTGGTGGGTGAGAATTTCCGGAAGTAGTAGGCGCAAGGATGGAGCTTTGGCTGGTACGCAGGCTGCTGGGGCTTGGGACGGTACGCAGGCTGCTGGGGCTTGGGACGGTACGCAGGCTGCTGGGGCTTGGGACGGTACGCAGGCTGCTGGGGCTTGGGACGGTACGCAGGCTGCTGGGGCTTGGGACGGTACGCAGGCTGCTGTTTGGCCTGAAAACTGGGGGCTTGGGACGGTACGCAGGCTGCTGTTTGGCCTGAAAACTGGGGGCTTGGGACGGTACGCAGGCTGCTGTTTGGCCTGAAAACTGGGGGCTTGGGACGGTACGCAGGCTGCTGTTTGGCCTGAAAACTGGGAGCCTGGGGCTGCTGCTTGGCCTGAACACTGGGAGCCTGGGGCTGCTGCTTGGCCTGAACACTGGGAGCCTGGGGCTGCTGCTTGGCCTGAACACTGGGAGCCTGGGGCTGGTACACGGGAAGCTGGGGCCTAGGCTCGGGCTGGTACACGGGAAGCTGGGGCCTAGGCTCGGGCTGGTACACGGGAAGCTGGGGCCTAGGCTCGGGCTGGTACACGGGAAGCTGGGGCCTAGGCTCGGGCTGGTACACGGGAAGCTGGGGCCTAGGCTCGGGCTGGTACACGGGAAGCTGGGGCCTAGGCTCGGGCTGGTACACGGGAAGCTGGGGCCTAGGCTCGGGCTGGTACACGGGAAGCTGGGGCCTAGGCTCGGGCTGGTACACGGGAAGCTGGGGCCTAGGCTCGGGCTGGTACACGGGAAGCTGGGGCCTAGGCTCGGGCTGGTACACGGGAAGCTGGGGCCTAGGCTCGGGCTGGTACACGGGAAGCTGGGGCCTAGGCTCGGGCTGGTACACGGGAAGCTGGGGCCTAGGCTCGGGCTGGTACACGGGAAGCTGGGGCCTAGGCTCGGGCTGGTACACGGGAAGCTGGGGCCTAGGCTCGGGCTGGTACACGGGAAGCTGGGGCCTAGGCTCGGGCTGGTACACGGGAAGCTGGGGCCTAGGCTCGGGCTGGTACACGGGAAGCTGGGGCCTAGGCTCGGGCTGGTACACGGGAAGCTGGGGCCTAGGCTCGGGCTGGTACACGGGAAGCTGGGGCCTAGGCTCGGGCTGGTACACGGGAAGCTGGGGCCTAGGCTCGGGCTGGTACACGGGAAGCTGGGGCCTAGGCTCGGGCTGGTACACGGGAAGCTGGGGCCTAGGCTCGGGCTGGTACACGGGAAGCTGGGGCCTAGGCTCGGGCTGGTACACGGGAAGCTGGGGCCTAGGCTCGGGCTGGTACACGGGAGGCTGGGGCCTAGGCTCGGGCTGGTACACGGGAAGCTGGGGCCTAGGCTCGGGTTGGTACACGGGAAGCTGGGGCTTATGGTCGAAGACTAGTGCGCAGCGGAGCAGGAAACCTCTGCAGCCCCCACTCTCCCCAGCATATGGCTCAGGAGGAGGGACATTGGGCTCTTTGAGGATAAAGGGTGGTGGAGGAGGTGAAGAGGGGATCGTACTCACAGAGGGGGGAGACCCAGATTGCTGCGGGGGTAGCCGGGAGAGGAGTTGATCTGCCAGTTGCGCCATTTGAACGGTGAGGCCCTGACAGGCTTGGTTGAGGCCCTGGAGCATGTCCTCACGCCGATCGAGGCGAAGTTCGAGCTCTTGGAAGGCTTGATGAACTCTGTCTGGGTCTGCTGGGTCCATTTTCCTGGCCTGAGTATTCTGTTGTGAGGCAGGTTCGTGGTGAGGACCCAGATGCAGACACAGAGACTGAGATCAACTTAAAGAGACTTTTAATGTCCAAAAAAGGGAAGATAGTGCAAACAGAGGAAGTCCGAAGGGCTGGTTGGCTGGCTGTCGTGTGGGCTGGAGACACTGCAGGAAAAAAACCAGAGGAGACAGGAGTTAATGAACATGAAAATAGTCACTGGGAGCAAAGTTCTGAAGATTATACCACGAGGAAGGCCAGGAGACACGTCTGTACCGCTAGGAAGGGTAGACAATACTCAGGCCCTGAGGCTGAGGGCTGCAGGCTTCTTAAAGTGCCTTGATTGGAGATGTGGAGCAGGTGTGTAGTCTCACTCAGCCTCAGCGCCGGGGGAGGGGAGGAAGCTCACACCTTAAACCAAGGCAGATTTAAAATAGTTAAGGGGCTGGTCCATATAAGCCTTTTTAACCTAATTCATCTATAGTGAAGGAGATTGGTGAATTTTTATGATTTATCTACCTCAAAGCACTCTTGATATAAACAGCAGTGACAACTTTTGGAAAGCATCCTTTTTCATCAGCAGATTTTAAGGATTTTTTTTAGTTGCTTATGACCTAGAACATCTCGTTCATTGAGTTGATCTAGTTGCTCAAAATAAAAAAATATCACAGAATAATTTCAAGCCTCAAAGCAAACCTGGCAACACCTGCTTTCTGTACAAAAGCAGTTCAGTGTTTTCGGCACACAGCATCCATATTTCAAAATCTCTCTAGGACAAGCCCGATGTTGTTGGTGTGTTCCAGCTTTTATATTTATTCGTCTGCTGGATTATTCAACATGGATTTACAGTAACATTGGTGCCATAACATTAAATCATGCACAAACCCAACAAATCACAAAGAATAACTCAACTTTAGGGGCAACACTGCACTTCTTAATGTCTCATCGCTGTCACTGACAAATCAAAATCCATAAGGGGTGTGGTCATGATATTAACCTTGTCACAAAATGGTGGTAGTTTGGAGGAGAAACTAACTATAATTGCTCAGCAAATGTTTCGTAAATGCCAATTTTAGGAAATTCCATATTTATGAAGCCAAATTTGATCACTCAAAACTTAATTAAAAGCTTTTAAAAAGGGAAAGAAAAGGAAACTGAGCTGTACATTAAAACCATTTCTATTTTAAAAGACAGAAAGGTGCTTAAAACTACCTATTATTTTTCAGCCCATGTCCTTTCTGACAGTAATATTAGCTATTTGCCCTTTCTAGCAATGCTATTGAAGCAACGATACTGAAGGCTGAATTGAATTGAAAATAACTTTTATTGTCTGTTCAAAAGAGCAGAAATTTGTCTTTAAACCCGACTTGTTAAAACTCATTCAGTAAAACACACACGACACCATTTCTTTCCTACCAACAAGTTATTTATCAGCATTTTGGTGGCACAACATAAAACCATCTTTCCAGACTGTCATTGTTAAGTATTACTAACATCAAAGGAAATGGCTTTTATGTGAATTTGAACAATAATTTTACCTATTTGAGTCTAAATAACCTCTACCTCGTCAAAGGAAACTGCAGCTGAGCTAGTAGTCAGTTAAGATTACAGGTCAGCATTTTAGATTGAATTTAAAGTGATATGCATTTACACAGAAAAAGCATCATGTATATGATTATTATAAATATTTCAGTTATATACCAAGGTTGAACTCATCTACAAAAACTCATGGGTCACATCTAATCAGCTTTGACTCATGTACTGTACGCTTCTGGCACAAAGCATGCAGAGGAAGGAGAGGCCCAGTGAGGATTTGCTGAGTGTGCATGCGGTCCGTCAGGTGACAGTTGAGGAAGCAGCTCGTCAAAGTGCAGCAAGCTAAAAGCTGCAGAGTGACAAGCTGGTGTAGGGGAAGGAGGAAGGGAGGGAGGGAGAGAACAAGAGACTGGCCTTCCAGTCCTTTCCAGTGTGCAGGGAAAAGTCCATCCTGACCTGCTGATATCTTTGGAGGTCATTTGGAGACTCAAGCTGTCTTACTGCATCCTTTATAGTCACTGCCTTTATAAAACATTTCAATGAGGACATTGAGAAAAAACAATGGAACAGCTTTGCTCTGTGCCATTCAAGGCTTTTGATTAGAGTTGATTTTGGTGCAAAAAGTCAAACAGTATAAAATATCTCTGTACTGATCTTTGAACATTCATGGTTGTATTTTTGAAACAATTTCTCACCCTGCTTTCTTATTTTTGTCAAGTGTACTATCATTAAATTTGCTGTGAGAAATATGTCAGCATTATATTTTTTTATCGACTCGTGAGAGCTTTGAATTAAGGACTTTCACAGTGCTCACACAAATGAGGTGTTTTGCTTTTGATCCTCAAAATTAAAAATTGAAATGGTTGTGAAAAGTTTAATGTTCAGTACGATGGCCAAGAACCGCCACTGCTGCAAATGAAAGAATGCAATTTCCTTTTTTTCTATTTGCATTCTTTTTTTTTAAAATTTGCAGCAGTGGGGGTTGTCGGCCACCGTAGTTCAGCCCTCAAAAAAAGAAAGAAAAAGGATTTACGGGGTGAACAGGTATAAAAATAAAATGATGAGACACGTTGAAAAGTAGCTGTCAAAGGCTTCGAGTCTTGCCCGTGTACGTCAGATGCGTGCAGACTCTGACGTCCTCGTCTCATGGCTGATACGTCATTACGCTGCCAGCTGATCGGAGTGGGAAGCCGGTGTGTCTGACTTGGGTGTGTGTATGGGAGAGAGAGAGAGTGAGAGAGCGAGAGAGAGAGAGAGAGAGAGAGAGAGAGAGAGGACTGGAGCAGGAGTTGTGTAAAAGGGGCTGAAGTCCTGCGTTGCGTACTCCTACACCTCCACCTACACCACCGATCCTGCTCTGAAAAGTCGACTCTCCAGCTGATTTAGAAAACCGTTTTAACATCGGAGACGAGAAGCAAACCGACAACGACACACCCTGCCGAAGGTCCGGGACTCCGCCGAGCAGTGGGCGAGGCAGGCTGAACTCCACCGGACCGATCAGAGGGGTTCGTCCGCGCAGGAGAGACCCGGCCGGTGGGCAAGGTGGGGCTTGTGAGTGTCAGCGAGGCTGTCTGTGTGTTTCTGCTGGTTTAATGCTTGTTCCTGTCAGCCTGATTCAGCCTGTGGCGGCTTGATGACCCACTTAGCGTTTCTAACGACAACTAGGAAACCCTTACTAACACGACTTTTTGCAAGTAAAACCCACCCCTGCAGCTCTCGTTTCTGCGCCCTGCACTGGGCTATTTTTCGTCGTCAGTATGTCGAGCACATACATTAGATCTTTTAGGAGTTCTGGCTCAAGGCCTGTCTGTATGTCATTTGGATCATATTGTACAGGCCCATGGAGAGAGCAGCTTGTGATTTATGAGAATCCTGGACATTTGAGCACAATCTCTTAGAAACATTAGATTTGCATTTTCATGACTGATACAGTGAAAATTGTGGCCATGCAGTTATTTTTCAAAGGCTGACTGCTGCTACAGGGCTGGATGATATGTGCTAAAAAGTCAGAAATATATCACAATGTGTACAAATGGGAACAGAAAAGCAAGGAAATGTGTACAGACTGCAAGATATTAGCACTTATACAGAGGCAGATTTATTTTAGGTTGTGTTAAACCCATTTGGACTCCTTACTATCACATATCAAGAATTCATTCAGTTTATTATTGGGGAATGGGGGGATTATATCGCTATCGCAAACTGATGCAGTCGCAAGTTGTGGCTGACATTTATATAATCCAAACTTAAAAAAAGTGTCAGCATTCACAGGCCCCTTTAAAATGTGCTGAGTTCATTATAGGCCAAGGAAAAAGCCTGTGCTCAAGTAGGGGATAGGTGAAGATAACTAGGGCCGAGTCATCCCTCAGAAATGCAGTGACACCAGCAGTCATGTGATGATATCTTCTCACAAATTAAAGAGGAGTTTGTTAAAGGAAAGAAATGTCACTGCGAAGATTTGAGAATACGTAACACATTCCTGAAGCAGGTGACGCAACAAAGTATTTAGGCCTCCTTGTCCAGATTTGAGCTCTCATATATTCATCTTTTACGGTGTTAAACACTTTTGTTTGAAACATTTAAAAGCAGAAATACATATGAACTGTGTGCCTGAGGAGAGAAAGCTTGCTGTGTTGTATGTTACATAGATGGGGCATGTCTTACATAATTGTACAGCCAGAGTTCAGTGCGCCTGTAGGAATGTGCAATAGGCTGTGTCACGAGCTGCATTTGTGCCATTGCAACCCAGAGCGTGACATAAGCCACCCTGTCAATGAGGATCACATGGCAATGACAGGGTGTCAGTTCAAAAGCAGCATGTCGACTTCTATTGTTCCCCCTGCATCCTGCACACAACATGAGAAACATCCTCGAAGCAGTTTTAATGCATATATTTGCAGAAGTGAAGCCATCTTGCTCAACAGGGTAACACCCTTCAATCCTATTGCATGCCTTTTCGAGGGAGGATGGGGCAAGAAGGGATGTGTTATGTAGGTTCATTTAGACAGAAAAATACAGACGTTTTTTTAATCAAAATGCCACAGACTGCCCGAGGACAGGCTTACAGGCCTCACGCAGCACACTGCCATCTCACAAGATGAATCCAGGATGACATTCAGCGACGTCTCTCAGCAAGTTAAACAACTTACACCCTTTCATGTCTAGTGATCTCAGGGTTAAAGTCAGATAGCCTTTAAAGATCAGCAGAGCAGAAGAAAAGCCTCTCTTTGCACTATGATCAGTGTTGTACCAAAGCCACCGCCCTTTCCCTGCTTTTGTCCCCATTCCAGTCTGAAATGATCAGTCTGTGTTGCATACTATACAATCTGGGCCAGTAAACTTCCTCCAACTGGGCCACACCTATAGCAGAGGAATGTACCTGAATTGATTTATGTCGTCGATGGAAAACACCCTAATTATAATGGGTTTCCACTCACAAAGCTGTTGCTGCTGCATCATAGTCCTCAGCTCTCTCATTTTGTGTCATAACTCTGTAATTTTCCGTGCATTTAACTTTTTAGTTTTACTGCTGAAGGTCAGACTAGTGATTAAGGTATCTTATCTCACCACCTCATGGTATCCTCACAACTCGGTTCAATCCTAATCTAGGAAAGGTCAACTCCTAATCCAAGTGGGCTGCTTCTCCCTGGCCACATCTCAACACAAGAACTAACTAACTTGTTGGTGAGCTAGTGTGTCGCGGTATAGTGAATTTTTACTACATTGCCGACTTGCTGCTAGTCGGGTCACATTTTATGAAGGGTGTTGGTACTGTGTTGGTATTACGTGGAGTAGCCTAGTTCCTGCGTGTGTACCATCTTCTTAAAGCCCTTGTTTTTGACATTACTGCAAGGATGTAGGTCCTTACTCATAATGACTGCCGTAGACTGACTTTGACTGCAGTTTGCAGACAAACTAGTTGTAAAGTTGCGTTTGTTTGGCACAAGTTGTAATATCTCGGTGTGTTGAGAGGTTAAGTGTATTGTTGCAATCTCTTAACACAGCCTCATAGAGTTTAAACAGGACGTGACTTCTATGGACTCTTTCTGTTCGAGTTTTACACCCAAATCCAAAATGCAAACATTAGCTTTGAATGTTGTGGGCGCTGACTTAACCTCACCACCTGCTGCTGTCATCATTTTTTGATTAAACAGTAGTTTTTAAATGTACACTGCAGATTTAAGTAGCATTTTTGCAGCTAAATAATATGACTTTGAGCTCATAACATTATGACTTTATTTACTTGAGGCTTTTTTCTGATGTTGAATCTTCATTGATTTTATTCTCGTTGGAAAATTATTTAACTTTTATATTTTTGTAAGAAGATGACTTAAAAATCATATCGTTTAAATGCGACCCCAATACTCCTAATACATAGGAAACGCTAGCTTTTAGCACTGCTTCACTAATGTCAACTTGTGTTACCAAAACAATGAAAAACTCGTACTCATTATCTCGGCTATAACGTATGGTGACTAAGATAAAGTAACTAAAGGTGTCACCACCTTGTCCCTTCAAACAACAATTACTTGCGCCTGTTGTGGATAATCGCTTTTGGTTGGCCACAGTCACTGTTGCCACAGCGACAGGAGAGGCACCTTTAGTTCAGCGGCTGCAGTGCCCCCCACAGGAGTGGGGTGTCATTACAACAGAAACAATCGATTCCAGAAAAGCCTGAATCAATGGGTTAGCTATAATGACATGAAGCAAACTGTTACTCAAAGCAGCCACACCCATAAGTCTGTGTAATTTTTAACTTGAATGTAGTTTAAATTCAACAGGAATCCATTTCAATATTCACTGCCTGCACATTTTGAGTAAAGAAAGTAGTTAAAGAGATGTGCGGTGTACCTTTTTAATACGGGGGATACTGAGGATGTACGCGTTTGGAGCCTGTGTCAAGAGGCCCTATGAGGGACTGCAGTGTTTAATAATTCCATATTGGTGTCTTATTTTCCCATGGATCACCAGAGAAAAAAAAGGAAAAGAGAGTAGCACACTACTAACCTGAAAACTTTTCATTTTGAAAGAAGCTAAGCTAAAGTTAAGGGAAGCTTAGTCCCCAACCCCTGTGGGTATGAAGTCAAACAGGATGTAAGATTTCAAATAGGCTCCTTGTCCAGTCCTGCCTCACAATACATTACGCATTAGCATGGTTATATTATGTGTGACGGATTACGTGAAATCATCTCCTTTGTTAATAAACAGTTGCAGCATTATTCGGTACGTAGACTGGTCTGCTGTCTGATTATAAGTTGCCGTATTGAAACAAATTTACACTATTTTCAAAGATACCTAACGTCAGGCACCTAAAATGAAGGATTTGTGACTCCACTCTTTCATTTGCACCAAAGGCTCAACAAGAAAAACTACAGCAGAGAAAAAATGTCAATGATTCCTCTTTGCATTGTGCGTGCTTCATTCACACCCTCCTGTTGACACACCAACGTTCCTATTTCTCTCTGACACGCACATCCTGCTGGTTAGACTCCACTGTGTCTTTTTCTCTTTCTTATCCTCCCCACTGTGGCAGAGAATGCACGTCCATAGCTGCAGATAAGGCCAGTCTTTTGTATTAGACTGTGTGTGTTATCTCACCTTATATTATTGGATAAAAGCCCGTCTCAAGGCCTTCCACACTGGCCGTCATGTAGCTCTGTCGTGGATAAGACCTTAACAAACAGACAGAAGGAGAGAGTGAAGACAGTGAGGCCATGTCCATCTCGTCTGGTGCGGACCAGATGTAGACGGGTAGACGAAGAGAGGGATGAAGGATAGAGGGATGGTAAAAGAAAAAAGAGAGACTTTGCAAGCCCACAGCAGCTGGATGGAATTTCTAACATACGCAGCTGGAATGTCAGGAATGCAGGACAGTCTGATCTGACCGAGAAAGAGGGTGGAGAGGACAGGCAAGTCAGGGAGGACACCAAAAAGTAGAAAAAGAAGAAGGAGAGATATGGAAAAGAGTGGCGCAACAAACTAAAGTCGTGGGGTTCAACACTACCCGTCATTGTGAACAGGAAAATACAGAGACACTGTTTGTGGAGGGACTGTCACGCTATGGAACAAATAAGGGATTCAGTTTGAGGTTGTGGCAGTCGTAGTTAACAGTTATGACTGTCAGCGGTCCTGTGTGTGGCCTGAGGACTTGTACTGTAGGTCTTCCTGCTTGAATTCATTCAGGCAGGAGAGCGTGTGCAGGCCTGTGTGGGGGAGGGGGATGGTGGTTTACTTTATGACACTAGTTTGAAAAATGACAGCTTCCCATTTTTTTGGAGGGCTAAGTCAGAGCATATCTATAGACGGTGGGTAGGTAGTTACTGACTCACATTTGTCCGGGATAGCCAAAATAGTAGCCTGCATCTTAGTCACTTGCTGATTAAATTTGATCTAAACTTGTAATAAAAAGTAAAATGATCACTCAACTGGTTTTGCTTACACGTCCCTTCCTTCAAGCAGCATTCAACACTCAGGTTTGTGCTAATTGTGAGTTGGCCGTGCTTCATAATGTGCAAGTTTATGCATAACTCCAGTGTACGAAGATGTTTTTGAACCAGTCTGCAAATATGTTTATTATGCTGTAAAAAGTGTCATTGAACATAGGGCTGTAATGTGGATTTCTTCTCTTTTGCTGCTATAGCCTCAAATGGAAACCTGAGGAACTACTTAATTAGCTTCTTTTTTTTTCAACACCAGTGAGGTCGTGAAGTCTACCCACTGCGCAATGCGACATCTATTTAACGTATTTTTTGACGTCATTTCAACGTCTAAAAGAGGTCCAATAACGACATATAAATCTTGAATACAATACGCACTGACATCTAGATGTGGTCTTTGACGGACAGACCCAATACTGACTTGATCTGCACGTCTCTACGACGTCCGATGTTTGGTGGGTAGATTAGCATGGCAGTATAATGACGCGGCACAGGGACTATTTAGCCATGCCACCATGCAGTCTTGTTCTCTGGAGGCCAAAATAACAATCAGACACCCTTCATATCCCAAAAGTGCTTCTTCTACTAAATACTGAAGTTGATTTTTTAGTTTTTGATCTAGTAAATAAAAGAAATTATTTCTTTTAGTGTTATTAAAAATCTGTAAGCTGTAAATTTCACGGTGCTTACTTTTTACAGTGTACATCAGTCACAAGTCTGAACAGGCAGTCTGCATGCTGACTCATCCACTCCTCAAAGAGTCAGACATTTGTCATGTAGATAAATCTGTTTGGAGGTGGAAGGAAATCTTGTTTGTATGTGTGCAAGCTGTGTAGTTTTAACCTTCATTATTGTTACCTGTCTTAATGCTTAAACGACCTCTGGCCTACAATCACAGCCAAGTGTGAGACAAATGATTTCTGTCTCTCTCAGGTAGCGTCTGTCGAATTTTAAGTCTCCTTGATTATGACCCGACCTCTCCTGCTGTGCAGTCTACAAACCAAAAGACACTGAAATACCTGAGATTATTCTGGCTCTCCTCACTGCAGGAATGTACAGCGTGTTCCTCATCATCAACTACAGACATGAAGCTTAAATATTTTAACATACCCACAAGATAACATTATTTGAAGAGAGGAGAATCCTTGCATCTTATCTGAGGAAAAGCCATCTCTCAAACCTGTGTTGGTAAATGTAGTAAATAATCGGCTGAAGTTTGTGCTGATTTGGCTTATCGGTATGGTCAGTAACTGTGATTAAATTCAACAAACATAACTCCGAAGTTAGCCAACTTATCAAACCTCCTTGCGTTTGTTTGGCAATCTTCATTTTTGTCTGAGATTTCGTTTTGTAACTCCGTGATTGTCGAGGGAAAACATGTTAGCAAAGGGGTTAGCGTCCTAACCTGCTGAAGACTGCAGATCTGTACAGTTGGGTTGTGTAACTCATCAGTTTTTATATCACCATTATAAGAAAGACGCCCATTTAAAACATGGATTGACAGAAGGAGGAACACACCCTATACTCCAGGCTAGATGGCTGTTTTCATCGAGCAGAGCAAGCTCTTTATTCTGCTAGCTGCTCATAGGGCTTCTTTGGCTACAACACTCTGTAATATGCTTGAACCAGATACAGGTTTTTTCTCCTCTGGACGACACCTGAACAGTTATTTTATTAAACTAGACTTCAAATATCAGTTAATCTTTGGACTTCAGAAAGGATCCCAAGATATTTTCCTTCATGAAGAGGCTGTCTTCTCCTCTTCATCACTGCTCGCTCATGCTTTGTAACCACAGTAACTGACAAAAATATAGCCTACTCAGTAGTTCCCCAGAGGCTAGAGTGTGATTTATGTGTATCATAACTGTGAGAATATCTCAAATTTGTTGCTGGCACTGTGTAACGTGCAGAGGCCAAAGCCTTTATCCCTTCTGGTAAAGTGGTGCATGAACTCCCCAGCCATTCTGACATATCAGCTCATTTCACTCACTTACTCACAGCTGATTGCGCGCGCACACACACACTCATACAGACTTGACTGCACCCACTTACAGTTCGTGTGTGACTGGCTGAAAACCAGTTCATACCCACACTACTGTGAGCAGGGAGTTTAGAGAGGAAGTTTAACCATCTCCTTTTCTCTGATTCTGCAGGAACAAGAGGACGAGAAGAAGGTGGAGCTCTGCTGTTTGCACCTCCAGGCTGCCTGGTTTGAAGTCTCACGCTCCCTGGCTGACTCCCAGTACTCGCACGCCCTCCATGGTCACTAATGGCTGACACATGGCAGTTCTTCACTGGCAAGCTTTATGTTCCTGTACACATGCTAAAGCTGCCAGCTGAAGAACTGCTCTGGTCTGCCCTGCCCCGGAAGACACTTGTGAAGAGGAAGTGGACTGGGGGGGGTGCTGGTGGGAAGAAGTTTGAGGAAGAAGTTTTCAATCCGATCAGTAGTTACACTGGGGACCTGAAGATTTGAGCCACCTTTGTTTTCAATCTTTATAAAGATGAAGGCATATTTGACTTTGTTTGTGTTGTCCTCTCAAAAAACCTGCGTAGTGGTGTGTTTTCCTTGTTTTACAATACAGAACTTATTTCATCATATGCTATGCTTTATTGCTCATCCTGTGAAAATAAAAGGCATACATACACCTCAGGCTCTGTCTCTCTTTTTTCTTAAAGAAATAACCCACATACAGGCAAGAGAATATGTAAGATTTGTCACAGACTCGTACATCTCTGAAGTCTCTGGCGATCCCATTAAAGGAGAACAAGAAAGATCCTAGTGAAGAAAGACTCGTTTGAAGTTTGATGTTCTCAAATATGCAATAGTTTCATGGCCTTTGTTCTCTGGGCAGGGCAGCTAATACCCGCATTAATAAGTCAACCAGTTAACATTAGGTCAGACATCTACCATCCCAGTTTGTTACATAAAACATGAAACTGGAGAATGATAAAAGGAAAAAGAAATATAACCCGAATACTTTTTCCTCTGAGCCTGAAAGCTTTGCTGGCTGCTCCAATGGACACATTCATAATCTGCTCAGTTATCACTTTGCTCTAAAACTTAAACTTCAGCTTGATAAGAACCTGATTTGAGGTGTACATAAACAGAGCATTCAACGTTTTTCCACATAGGAATATAATTACTAATTGTACAAACCTTTTAACATTTATAAGTGTTTCATGCGAGGTAGACGTCTACATGTTTTGACCTCAGACCTGGAAACTTCAGGGTCTGGATGTTCCCCAGTATCACCACTAGATGGTGTGGTACTCTGTTTAAAAAACTGAGGTTCATTGACAGTCAAGAGATTCTCTGGGTTTTGAGGAGTGATTAAATCACTTTGGGTTCTTGTGGATAATTTAGAACTAAATGAGATGAGTGATCAAATTTACGCTGATTAGGATTGAGTCCTGTATCTTAAAATTGGATCTTCATTGTTTTCAAAGTAAGTTCATATTTTTTTCTTTTTCTGTTGTAATCAAGAACACAGAAAAACCTACTGCGGACATTACCTTTTAGTTTTTTGTCCAAGACAAGTTTTTTTTTTTAAATAACTTTTAACATACATTCTGATCAGAAAAAATCAACAAGAAGAGACCGTTATCACTTCCCTTTAGGAATATCCTTTAAAACACCAACACATTTATGTTTTTAAGCCTTACTTTTTAAATATTCATTACATACCCACAGCCTAAAGGCATGCTGAAACATTTTTTTTAAGTTTTAATCAATAATTTGTTCCTATGGTCGTCCAAAGTGCATATCCTCCAGGATGCAAATGAAGCTCCCTTGAAATCCACTGGAAATGAGAGAACAGGGTCAGGACGAAAGATGATAATCAACTCTGAAATCGGATTTCCAGACTCATTATTGGGTAATTGGGACGTCGAAATCACGTCTCCTCAGGGTGCAGAATGAAAGTTTTTCGGACGTCATTTCGACGTCCAATTCTGACGTCTTGTGGACGACCAAATCGGACGTTGACATGACGTGCAATTTCGGTCGAAATTGGACGTCGAAATCAGGTCCTCTGGAGGTGCAGAATGAGTTTTTTTTATCTGGTCTGGTCTAGACGTCGAAATCAGATGCAGAGTGAAATCAGGTGCAGAACGAGGTCCGATGTTTTGTGGGACATGTTAATTCGTTTCTAACAACTTAATGTTCAATCATCGTACTGTCCACTTAATATCACTATGTGCAGGTATTTGATTATCTTGAATCTTTTTAGATAAAAAAACATCATAAACATAACATTTCATAAACACATATTTATAGACCCTACCTACATGGCCCATGAGAGTTCACATAATCGAGGGTCAGCGCACATAAGTCAATCTCAAAGAAAATAAAACAACATGCACACTCATGTATAAACATCCGATAAAGAGGCTATTTTATCTTCCTTTCCAGGTTTCTGGTACAGATTAAGTTAGCCTGAATACATTAAATTTAAACCACCAGTCTAGTTTTGTTCACCAGGCCACCACATTATTTCAGGCTTTTAGCAAGCAGCTCCATAAAACAAGAATTTACTCAGGTCATCATATTTATTACAATGGAAAAGGAAATAAGACTCGTTTTCCACCAGATGACGAATACCAGATCATGACTGTGCAACCAAAGATCCTTGGCTTCCAGATAAATAAGATGTTACATGTAATTCAGGGTTAAAAATTTTAAATTACACATTTTATCTTGTTGTAAAAGTGCATCAGGCAAAGCATCACTCTTGACTGTGGCGACATACTTCACTGTAGCTGGTTAAGGTGAGACAGGTGAGTATCTTATTAATATTTACTTTATCTTATTAAACGTAAAAGAAGATTTAGAGGGGGAGAAAGTTAAAGACAGCAAGTTTCCTGTCAGTCTTGCAGAGTATGACTTTACAATTGAACCTGAGTCAGCAGGGTGTGCATCTGTTGAGAGGCTCGTGCTTTTTAGAGTCCACCTTGACCCCCTCTCCCTCACACACACCCCGCGAGGCGTCCTACATGCTGATCCAGCTGTTCCCCTCCGTGCGTAAATGGAAAGCTTTTACGCACCGAGCGTGTTCACTCCCTGAATTACATGTAACATCTTATTTATCTTTAATTGTTGTTTTTTGCATTGTCACACGCCTCGCCTGCTGCATAAGTATGCCTCAAACACTGGGGATGAGCTGTGGAGATGAAGAGATGCGGTATTATCTCACTACATAATAGAGGGTGTGTGTGGGGGTGGGGTGGGGGGTAAAAGGCAAGGCGTGCGTCCGGACGCTCAACGCCAACTAAACAAGAGGGAGTCAGACATCAATAACATCTCACTCATCAATAAGAAATTCTGATGGAGTTGGATTGCTTAATTAAATAGGTTGCCTTGAAGGAATTAGGCTTTCAGAATTCATAATATTTAATCTAATGACCCCCCATGGAGAACATCTGAGGAGGACTCTTCAGCATCCCCATCCACAGGAAAGCGGCTCGTGAGGACACACAACAAGACTAAGATTTCTTGTCTTTCAGCGATGGCTATCAACACCGATGCTGCTTTTGGGAAAAGCGCCCTGGGTGAGAGGGAAGTTTCAAATCCCACCGAATTTCAGGACACGGAGAAACTGCTCAACACCACGACCAGCGAACCAACCGGGCAGACCAACATCAAGCCGTCCGACTCCTTCTCCCTCACCATCAGAGGGAGCGTCCGCTCCCTGGATGCCGACCAGAACGGACACAGATCGCCACTGAAGTCGGGCTCCATCGGACAGTTGACTGCCCCACCCAAGTCCTCGTCCCGGCTCAGCTTAGGTCCACTGCCCTCCCCGGTGCCACACGGGTCCGCGCCCCGGAGTTACCTCTGGCTCGCCGTGCTTTCCTGTTTCTGCCCCGCGGTGCCGCTCAACATCTATGCCTTGTGGTATGCACATGTGGTGAGTTTATTTCAGGCGTCCATTTACTTACATGTTTGGTTGTTGTTATCTATGAGTGAGATGCATAGTGATAGATGAAGTTACATGTTCCCACTTTTTCTACTTTTTACAAAACACTACTGGTGTTTGTTGTTTTTCTTTAAAGAGAAACTGTAGTGTTTACCACTTCACCCTTGATCACCTCATTTTCTTCCATTAGTCGAGGACAGTTCTCCATACAGGAGACATAGAAGGGGCGAGGAAGTATGGACGTCTGTCTATGCTGCTCAGCTGTCTAGCAATGCTGCTGGGTGTGGCTGTCATCATCTTCATAGTGTTAACAATAGGTATAAACAGACACACTTAACACATTCCCAGTCCAAGTGTGCAGCTGTGAATCCTAACTTCTCTTTCCTCTCTCAGAGACCCAGAATTGAGCTGAGTGATCGCAGGAGTTACACCTCGGGCTCCTTAAACTTCATCTGATCTCCAATTTGCACAGAAGAGAGTTGAGGAAAAGAGTCATCCTGAGATGACAAAGCACAAAATCTGCGCCGAAAAACAAGCTGAAGAGACTCTGACATACAACTTAATGCTTTTCTGCTGTGGACCAAAGACAGAAAAAGGAAAGAAGTGGCAGGCCGGTTTTCTTTTTCCGGATGACATTTACACCACAAACTCAGGAACAAAGGATGGGAGAGGAGTGTGGCATTCAGCTGTAGTGACAGCAGTCTGTAGAGAAGTTTCTCATGATTAAAACTAGTGGTGTACTGATGTACGCACTTTTATGTCCCCAGAACTAAATTTCACCTCTTTGAGAACAGAAATCCCGTTTTATCATTAGGAGGAATGACAAACGACATAAAAATAAAACAACCCAATAATATAAAACAACACAAAATGCATTAGTGCATCTCTAGTTAGCGACTGCCTGCCCTGTTTCTCTTCACTTTCGCCACAAAGTGCAAACTCGCCTCTTCATTTGGGACTCGGAAAGATGCATAAACTGATTTCATACACTGTTTACACAAAGTTTAATTCTCATATACATTTATCATAGCGTGATATCTTGCTTTGCGTGCTTACTATGATAAAAGTGAACCTACTGAACTGCCTGGATTTATTCACCTCATTACGATATACTGCAAGATTTGAATGGGACTGTTCCCCCTGTATGCACTGTTCTGGCATTCTGATGTTGATGTTTCTATATTTATACTGTATGACTGGTTTACTGTGCCATAGTTCTGCATGTCTGAAATAAACTTGAATGAGCATGACTAACTTCAAAGTGAGTGCTTTCCCAGTCATTTATCAGGCGACTCCAGTATAGCAGTATCATAACACAACAAGAACATTACCGGTAATCAAACAAAGAAGATTAGTGTGCATCTATCAACAGTTTCAACGACAATAGGATAGAAGGAGAACATAAACTCATCAATATGAGAGCTGAATGATTAAGACTTAAAAATGTGGAGTATATGAAAGTGAGAGAAGGAAGGTTCAAACATGAAAAAGTCTGCGTTTTGTCCAGACGGTCGACCAGCGAGTCAGTGGAAAGTGTAGAGCAGCAGCAGGATGGTGCAGACGCCAATCACCCCGCCTAGAATTAAAGAGTCCCGCCTCTTGCGCAAATTGATTTTCTGGATGAGGCTGTTGATGGCAGGGAAACGATCTGAAGGGTGGGAGGGTGTGGTGAAGGGAAATTATTGAGATCTGAGAGGGGTTTCCCTTCCTCACAGAGAGAAAGAAAGAGACCGAAAGCAACAGAAAAAAAAAGGCTAAAAGCAGTCTGATGATTGAGCTTGATGTCAGACCGGCTCTTACTGTCAGTGACGGTTGTCTTATTCCTTATTAGACGCAAAAGTTGAGCAAATGTAAAGCAGCTAAACTTCAACCTTAGTCAGAACTAAGTGATGCGAGGAGAAGACAGGGAGAAATTATTTTAAGACAAAAGGATACTGGCCAAAGTTGTGACCCTGGTTTGAATGGACTTCAACATCCCACGCTGGAAAGTGATGTTCTCTTTGGTAGCCATGGCGATACTGGAGGAAGAGAAACCAAGAGGGATTAGTGGAAGAAAAAGACGCATGTAGCAGGATAATAGACTAAAATGTGCTGTGTCTGCTTGAGATGTAAGACGCAAGTGTGTGTGTGTGTATGTGTATCATATTTGGGTGAGAGGAAGAGCGAACAGAGTGATACAGCTTACCTTATTGCACTGTCGAGAAGACTATCTGAGCTGTGGACATGAAAAAGAGAGAAAAATCAATACTCATTTGGAAAGTCTTGTACAGAGATTTGTTACCTTTTCAAAGTACGACAATTTGAGGAAGAATTTACTGCCTCTAATTCAGCATTCATTGCTTTAAACTCTTGGTTTAATTTAAAGTATACTGTCTATAAATCCTCTGGTTAAGAGTCATGGAATCATACTACAGGAGAAAAGGAAACCACACAGCTCTTTGAGTCTATTATCATAAAAGGAGCACTTCCTGTGAGGAGAGGAGCCACCTAATGGAGGATTATTTAGATCTGGTTGGTCAAATCTGCGGAGGCCACTAAACCCACCATCAGAACTGTGGCCTGAAACATGTGTGAGTTGCTTTAGTTGGATGTAAGCAAAGAGTCCCACAGATGAGAGGCACTGAGGCTGAGGCTGTTAGCTGCCCGGATAAGTGACGCACAGAAAAATGAAGCGCTCAGTCCAGAGCCGAGCTGCAGGGCATAAAAGGGCAGCGGCAAGTATCCTGGCCGACTCCGCTGGAGACCAAAAATCAATACTGAGCTTTATACTTCCTCCATCTATTCGTCAATCTCTCCCGCTGTCTATCAGCTGTTGTCCTCGGCTTTTTCTCTCTTTTCCTTATTAGCCTGCAGGGTCCGCAGATGACGCAGCGTTTACCTTTGCTCGACTCTGTGCTTGTAGGTGTTGTTTTTCTCTCTTTGCTCAGTTTTAAAGAAAAAAACAAACAAACCAATAGGTCAGCAGTCGTCTTGGCTCCTAGAATATACCTCATGTTTCCAGATGAATTCAAAAATAACCTATAAGATTACTAAACCTCTCTGCTGAGTGACTGTACAAAGCTTTCTAGATACTAAAACCCCAACAAATCAGCAGAATAAGGGTAAACAAACATGGGCATATATACAACTAATAATAAATAACAAATCCAATAAACAAGCTATGCTCAAATATCAACCTTCTTAAAGAAAAGACAGTAACATTTTGGATGTATTGTGACTGAGGTGTGCAAAACAGACACTGAAATCACAGTAAGTGAATGAGAATAACAGCCGCTAGTTCGTGGCTAGCCTTTAAATTTGTTTTCCTTCATAACAGAGATTTTTTAACCACACGTGGAGGGTTTTAACTCACTGTGCCACTGCAGGAGGACATGTTTAGAGAACAAACCTCTGGCTTCATGTGGCTGAATGTTGGTAAAGGTAATTTAAAGTTAGTCAAAGAGCAGGTGCTCCACTGTGACATACATTTGAACCTGAGATGTAGACTCAGAGGTGTGCTTTTAATACTTCTGAAATTATTCAAGCAGTGTGCTAACATGAAACAGCACAGAGAACCATAATCACTTTGACTTCCAGTAGTTGTCAAATGAGTTTAATTATTAACATTGAGATGTTTCTAAGTGGGTCAGAAGTTGTTGTGATTAAAACAGAAGAATAAAAGGAAGAGAAATGGTGATTCAGTGATAATGAGGTCAGAGAGCTGATGCATTATGACAGAGTGGCAGCAAGGTGGGGCTGCAAACTAAAAACTTGACTGAGCTGTGATTGACGTTCTGACAGCACTGAGGAAATGCTCTGTGGAAACATGTTGGAGGATTTTTATTTTTTGAAAAGTGGCTCTCTGAAAGAAAAAATCTTATTCACGGCTTCAAGAAGATATTTTAAAATTGTGAGGTGAGGACGGGGATGATCATAAATGTAATGTAAGTCCTCAAACTGGACATAAAATGTGTTTATCCTTTCGCCTGTTTGAAGTTTTACAATAAAATACCACTTCATGTGGATTTATATATTATGTTCGTTTAAATAAATATCTGTACCATTGATTTTTTTAGAATATTGGTGACATGTGATTTTCTTTTCTACTTCTATTGAGACCAGTGGTGGACTGATATCACTTTTTGAATGGCTGATGCAGATACTGATAATGTGACGGCTGGTTGGCTGATAAATAAAATAGATATCACATTGTTCCTGTCTTTTTTCTGCATATGACAAAAAAAGAAAAAAAAAAAGATCTGTACTTGAGCGTATATATATGAGACAATATTTGGTTCTATACTACTATAAGGGACTTTTGGAGTTTTGTCCAAACATCTGAAATAATTATAAAAGACCGAAATATAAGGTAAATAATGAGGTTGAAATAAAAAGAAGAGGGGAAGTCATGTAGGAATTCATTATTACATACAAATCAGAAAAGAAAATGGTGATATCAGCCCTCTAAAGGCCGGTGCTAACACCTCTTTGCAGGAAACATTTACAGTATCTTAAATATGAGTTGTTGTCTCTGGAGATGTAAACAAAACGTCCAATTCAGAAAAGCCTTTTTAAAATCTAACTTAATCTGATGCCGCACAATGTGAGAAAATCTCACAGATCCCTTTTAGATTCTGTAGAAAAATAAGGCTGACAAAAAAGAAAAAAAAATCTATTCATGGTTAAAAAAAAAACAAAAAAGGTTCCTCCTTTTAAACCCCACCCACGCAAAGGTCAGCTTTAAAAGAAGACCATCTCCCCTCATCAATCTACAAACTTCACCTCACAGCGCAGAATAAACTAAAGCCAGCGGTAAGATAAAGACTGCATGTTTGTCTGTTTTAACGTCTGTCTGTAATATGGTCTTTTTCAGTCAGTATTTTATGTAACATGCATTACTAGGCAAAGCATAACTTGTGATAACTATCAAAGAAAGTGAAATAATGAGCTGTGATAATATCTTTTTTATAATCACCCTTTTTTTCCCTGTCTGCCTAGAATTCAGCAGGAAAAATGTCAAAAGTTGCAAACACAGAGCGTGTTGACATCAAAGACAACACCGGGGACGTTGGTGCTGAAAATGAAGTCACTGCTAAAGGTAAGTAATGACCTGATTTTATTTACTTTTCGGGTTGCTTCCACAGTTTTGTAGAATATCTATTTCTCTCTTATAGGAGGCATCGGAAAAGACTCCTCTATCAGTAATGTGTCTGACATCAAAGTTGAAGGAACAAATTCTGGAGATATCGGTGCAAAAAACCAATACGACCTAAAAGGTGAGTTGTTTTTTTCATATTGCTGAAATATTATTTAGCGTTTTAATCACCAATGCTTTGGTTTGAGTATCTCAGAGAGAGTCTGGGGTTTATTTTTACCTCCGCCATCATTCTCATATTTCAACAGGAGGACTGGCACAACATTCAAGTGTTGGCAACACCTCCAATGTAACAGTGGGTCAAAACAAAGGAGAGATCGGTGCTAAAAACAAGATCAACTTAAGCTGAGGTAGGGGGAGATTAACCTGTGACAGCTGTGTGCAGATGTTTACACATACCTGTTTTTCATCATATGATCTGTATGACTGACACGGATTATTATTTTTTGTAATCCTGCTCACTCTCTTTGTCTTTTCTTTCAGGTAATCGGCCTCGGATGGATGACTCGTCCTTGAATGATGAAACATTTGCATTGTTTAATCATGAGATTTAAAATTTATGAATTTATGATTTTCAAATCAGCAAAAGAAAATGTCATTCATCAAATGTAAAGTTGAAATAAAGTCCATCTACTACACAATATCATGTTTGACTGAATATTTGATCTTATTTACTTCGTGACTGACCTTTTTGGCTTTTCTTTAAATTCATCCTCCCAAATACAAATATTTTCACGAGTTTATCTCAAGTAACGGTTTGTCTCCAGGCTTGATTTTCAGGTGACAGACTTATTATCAGTTGATAGTATACAACAGACACGCACCTCATGTATACAGTGAAGCCCTATGAATATCAATCAAACATCAAAAACCAATCCTGGATCTATAAATGATGAACTGATGGTAGGGTCACACTTTTATGATACGGTTTGTGACAGAGATAAACACTAGCACACATTACTTGAGAGTAAAAGTTATATATTTTGGATCCGTGACATTACCAACTTGAACAAAGATGCACCAAAAATGATACAAGGTTATAGAAAATGATCCTCTTCTTCTTAAGTTTGGGGTTTCATTAACTGTGCTGAAGCTTAGAGCTTTAATAATAAAGTTTGAGTGTAAAAACGAAGATAAAAAGAGATAGAATGAAAAAGTCTATTTTCATACAGTCAGATAAATCTTACACTAATCATAGGGATAAGGGGAAATTATCAAAAGTGTGTATACTATTGGAGATGATTACCAAATGTCTTTATTAAGTGAATAAACATTTAAGTATGATGGAAAATAAACGCTCTAGTTAACCTCAGCCCCCCCGCCCCTTTTAGACTGAGGGGGAAAGACAAAGTGGATTCAACTGAAAGAAAAGTACATCTCCTACCATGAGGAAGTTTTAAATATAAAGCACAGACAACCGAACAGAGCGCACATCTCTCCTCATATCAACAAGGACAGGACAAACTTCTGAAGGTAAGTTAATCAATTAGACAAATGCGACACATTGATTGTTTCTTTTTCACTTTTACGTCACTAATTTTTCAGCTCATCCTTAAACTGATGTTGAAATCTTGGACTTTGTTTGTTTGAATGTATCTTCTAATAAATCCTGCTTCATTTGATTTTGAGGTTGTTTTTTCTGTCAACCTGTGTTGGTTTCAGCAGAAGCAATGGCACAAAGAATTGGTAACACTGAGGACATCGTCGTTGGGACTAACACAGGGAAGATTGGAGCTGGAAATGTGATCAATATCAGCGGTGAGTTCAAAAAATGCGTCTTTCTCATTGACAATATCACACTCAGCAGTTTTCATTCTGAGTAGAAGAGTTGGAGATGCAAAAAGTAGACCCATGCAGAGATAAGGACGTCATGACATGGAGAATATCAAGCCCCAGATTCTTACATTAGCTCTCTTTGGATCCGTAAAAGGCTTCATGAAATATTTTTAAGCTTTAAATCAGGTCTCTCTTTTCAGAGGCTCTGAGAAGTCTGCTAATTTATGATTTCTTTGTCATTATCTACGTTCAAAAAGGAGGAACAGGGGCCGGGACAGCTACTGATACCTCAGGTAACAATGGGAATAAAAGTGCAGGGAAATCTACACCCTCTCCTTCAGGGACCTCCAGCCAAGAGAGAGGTCAGTTGTGCATCTCAGCTTTCTAAAAAGACATGAGTGAGCGTTTAAAATAAGAGTGAATCACATTTGACTGTATCAGTGCATTATTCCTTTGTTACAGGGAAAGCGGTCAATATCAGTAATGTTACTGGCTTGGTGGCTGGGGACAATGCAGGAAACATCGGAGCGAAGAACACCTGCAATGTTAGCGGTGAGTACTCGTTCTTAATCTCATTCTCCATGATTTCTCTTTGAGTAACTCATGTCACTAAATAAGAATCAAGCCATACGCTTTAGTGGCATTTTGTGTGATTCAGTCCATTCCTCATTCATTCGTTAATAGGAGGAAAAGGAGTCCAAGTCGCTGTTGGAAATGTCAGTAACATGGGGGCTGGATCCAACACAGGAGACATTGGTGCAAGGAACAACTGCAACGTCAACGGTGAGTTCGGTGTGTCTTACAGCAGAAATAAGATGTTTGGAGATTTCTTGAAAGTGTATCACCTCACCTCCATAATAAATCTCACATTTACTCTTTTATATTCACTCCTGTTTTTTATTGCAACAGGAGGAGAAGGAGTCCAAATCGGTATGGGCAATGTGACCAATTTGGCCGTTGTGGGCAACGTTGGTGATATTAGCTCTGGTAACAACTGCAATGTGAACGGTGAGTCCTGTAACTTCTCTGGCTATGATGGTACTTAAAGATAATTCTCTGTTTTTTGAAGGATTTGAAGGATTATTTATTGTGAATTGACAGGAGGGAAAGATGTTAACATCATGATCGGGAATACAGCGAACACAGGGATTGGGTTCAACGCTGGAGGCATGGGTTCAGGGAACAATGTTAACTTCAACTCATGTGAGTGTGTTAAAACTGATGTTCTGAGTTTGTGTGTGATTATTTTATTAATGTATTTTATGTAATGCTGAAATTGTGAGGAATATCTAATGATGTCTTGTAAATTATTCGGTTTCTCTGTGTTTTTATTTTTTAGGAAATTCATTGATCCACACAAATCTTGGCTTGTGACAAAATCAAGATGCTGATCAAGATTTGTTTTTGCATGTCTCAGAATAAATTTTGTGCTTTGAATTACTCCTTTCTTGTCTTTATTGAACCAGTTTGTGTCAGATAATAAGTATGTTATGAGTGACAACCAGCCCTCTAAAAAGTGAAGACAGCTGAAAGCGCACAGACTTTGTATGAAGTTGCAGTTATTAAAAGTACTGCTTCAATTGCCACCGCTGTCATCGGACTTACTTATTTAAAAAGTGAGTTATGGGATCAATAATTATTTATGAATGGGTGCCTACATGATGCACTTCTAGTTTAATGGGTTTCAAAACTCACTGCTAACCCGAACAAGTTCAGAAAACTCAAAATTTTTGTCGTAACCTGTTACATAAGAACTTTTAAGTTATGCTGATAATTTATTTCAGTTACACTATACTTAAATAAATATGTGTTCAGTTGACTTAATCTGTATTCTAAGTTAAATATATATTTTTTAAAAATTCCCTTTACTTAACATTTATATCTTCTTCAGACTTAAATGATTTGATTGAATGATACTTATAAAAACTAAATTACATGGACTTGAAAAATTTACTGTTTACATCAATATTATCTACTCAAAATATTTACCACTTAACAACTTAAAATATACAGGACACCCTGTTTTCAGTTTAGGTCATGTAAGTTGATTGCTAAGGTGTTCAAACTGAGCCTCAAATGCTGTTATAATGTGTTTAGATGGCGACATTAATCTACTAATTAATTTGAAAACCCTCATGTCAGCCTCTGTTTGAGATGCTTTAACCAAAACCTTTTTGTTATAATCACAAAAACTAAAGAGGAAAGAAACTCAAAAATTGTTTTGAAATCTTACATATATAGGATTTACACCAAGACAAGCTGCCCAAGAAACCTATTGTGATGACATCAACTTTTACTAGTTCATGTGCAGGTATTCATTCATACCAAAGTGTCAAGTAACTGTTGGTCAAAGTGTCAAAGAAATTCTCCTGTAATTTTGTACTTCATATAAATATTAGATATTTACATGGTTTGACCTTTTTATCCATTAAAGACTTCTATGTTTTGTTCATTCGAAATAAATACATCGCATGTTATTAACCATATATTTGGTGGTTTGATACCTGTTACATATGGATAAATACAAATTCAAGCTTGATGAATACCTGTACAGCTTTTTGTTTACACATGGAGTCTTGCTTCTATGATTCCTCACAGAGATTTAAAACAATGTCAGATACATGAGGAATAAATATTTAAGAAAACACAACCAAGTCAGGTTTGTCCAAACAGGAAGAGAAGAGCCACTGTGACTAATACCATTGCAGATTCACATTTTAGAAAAAACTGAAACTTTGCTTTCAAGTAACAGAACATGCATAAAAGAGCTGAGGTTATATATCGTCTCTTTATGGTCGGTTACTTAGCTAACACCTAAAGACTATGTCCAAAATAAGACTGATGCAGAAAACCTCAAAGTATCCACACCAGCACGTTGCAGCATGGTCAGGTTACAATGGTCAGGTTCGACAGTTCCAACAACACGTTGATTACCCAAAAGTGAGACTATAATAATATTTAGCTACAGTTTCTTACAGCAAACAGTGATGAGTGTCATTTTTAATATTTTTACTAGCTGCTGAATGAGAGGTCTAAAGAGATTCATGGTTTAAACTTACAAGATTTCGGCACTTAGGTATAAACTCAATCCATGCACCCTGAGCAATGGAGTCAAAGGCAGATTACACTGCTCAGAGTTTGCTTTAGAAAGAGGCGATGTGTTTGATTTGTCTGCATTCCCAACCATTTTTAAGTAAAGAAATGTTGAGCAGTGGTTGTAATACACACATGCAGACAAACAAAAGTTGCATTGGGGACATTAAGATTGATGTCGTTGATGAATAGATGGCATTGGCCCCATTAGTGGCTCTTAAGGCATTCCTTTGGTGACTGTGGGAGATACAGGTGCAAACTTCCACCTGCACAACTATCTGACAGGTAATTGTTGAACAAACTGAGCGCTTAATGACGCTGAGATTTGTAAAATGCAAAGTCTTTGACACAATCAAAAGGAAAGTGTAAAACCTGTTCACACAACTGTTCCTTCTTTCAAGCACACAAGCCTATCAACTCTTATTCATATGATGTTTTAATCTACTTAAACAAGGATAGTTTAATATTGAATTTAGTTTCTCTTTCGTTATGTAATGTGAGTCAGTACTTATTAGGACCAAGAGAAAAAAAGTACTCTCCAATCAGGACATTATGTTATCTTCCTTTTCCTCTTTTATGTTTTGACGATCACAGCACTTCGTTGTTCCACTTCACAAATTACCACAAGCTGAACCTCACCACTGACTCTATTTCAGTTTTTCTGTTTCATTTTCTGTCTGCTAACTTTTGCTTTCTCTGTGTTTTTCATGAGAAAGTGCTTGCAACATAGACAACCACCCTTCTATTACAGGAAAACGTGACTAAAACAACACGCCTGGAAGACCACCAACATGCATGTTTGCATGTACATACAACCACACACACAAACACGAGCACGTAAACCGGTAGTCGTGTTTCACATCACCATCATGACCACTCAGTCTTTCCTGGGAACCAGACAGATCTGTGGGAACCATGTTTCAGCACTGCAAGCGTTGGCTAATGTGTTGTTATATCTCAAATATCTGTGTGCTCTGAAGCTTTTATATTAGATATCATCCTAAGCTACCTGGGATAGGAGCAAATTCGTCAAATGAAGATAAGCTACAGATAACACAGAGGAGAAACTCACCAACCTTTGTGAGGACTTTTCAGGGCATTACATTACGGAGCACAAACTCAACACTCAGAATGTCAGTGATTGAATTAAATGAGAGGCAGGCAGCACAGCGAGTGCAATGGAAGTATGGAGTGGTTTCAGATGAAGCTCTTGGACAGACATAAACAACAAAAACTATTTTGTCCAAGTGTTTCAAAGAGAGAAGTTCTTTTCTTACTTTCTGAGATGTTCATGTTCCTTCAGATAGAGCTCAGTCCGTCGGTTATTTACTCCTGAGCTGCTTTTGTAGGATCTAAGGGAGACAACAAGGAAGACAGAACTGTTAGATGATAGTAAATCTGAAGTAAGAGGGAGTAATAGGATGGAAAAACTTCAAACTGAATAGAGACATTGTGATATAAATGTAGCTGATTTCTTGGTTATCCTTCCAACAGCATGTATATGATAAAAAAAGAGCTGATGGTCATTTAAATATTTACTGATTCTTAAAGTTTTTCAAAGTCTTTTTCACGTTAACTCATCTGTTAGGTGGTCCATCAAAAACTTGAGGACAAAAATGCCAAAGATTAGTGTTTCAGACTGAGAAGGGTCCATGATTCCTCATCAGTGAGCAGGTGTAGGGAGTGGGTTCAGTCCATGAAACAATCAAGTACTAACTGGTCCAACAAAATCCTTGTGTTTTTTGATGGTAGGTCTGACATACCAGTCATATGATGTGTGTTTTCTTGCAGCACAGGCACAGGCCACTAGATTAAACTAAGTACTCTACTACCCGGATGTAAACAAGGCTGTTATTTTATTTAGAAAGTCAAGTCATAGTCTAAATTTCCACCTATAAAATTAGCCCCTTTGAAACACCCCTTACTATTGTTATTACAGTAAGGGTGTCTGCAGGGATGTTACTATTACTTTAGCAAAACTTAACCCCAAAATCACGAGTATTTCATTCTAGAATCTATCCTTTGCTCAGATATAAAAATCAGGCGTCTATCAATAATTTATTCATGAATTGGGTCTGTCAATTCAAAACTGTCACTCCTCTCTGTCACAGGTTGTTGGTCATTGTTGTGTATATGGGATTTTAAACTGTGACTAAAGTCCATATTTCTGTGAAAAAGCATTTTTAGTAAAAAGAAGTTTTTTAATACACAGACAAGGTGTTTTCCTACAATTTTCTTAATTCAGAAATCATTCACTGTTGTTGGTTTTTGCTTCAGTCTGACAGAGATTTTAGTCCCCACTGTCAATGATGCCTGGATGTTATTATGAGCTTCCTGTGTTAATGCTTTTAAAGTGATTAACTCTGTGTAACCCACAACTCTGTCCTCCATCTCTTATTTACACAATCCCCTCCATATTTAGACTAATAATCAACTCATTAGTTATTGTTGCTTCTCTTACTTCTCTGCTCCTCCATACCTCATTTATAGAGGACAATTCGAGCTCTGTCTCATTATTCTCATTAGCACAACAGAAGATTGGGACGTCTCTCTCTCTCTTTCTCTCTCTCACTTGCTCTGTCTGACTATCCTGCTCTTCCATTTTCTCCCGATAAAGCAATTCTGTGCATCAGGCAGCCCAGATGTAACCACCCTCACTCAGCTTAGGCTGAATGAAAGCTTTGTGGTTTGATTTACTGTAGAAGGCACTTAAGAAAAATATCCCAAGAGAAAGACAGAGATACAGACATGAGGAGGGAGAGAGAGAGAGAGAGAGAGAGAGAGAGAGAGAGAGAGAGACCGACAAAGAGGGAGAGGAGGAAGGAGATTAACTGATTAGAGGAGGTGCCTCTTATTAGAGGATGCAACATGATCGAGGGAATGGAGACCATTAAAAGTCGGATGAGGGTGGGCAGGGGGTGAGCAACAAACTTGACTTGTCTGCCTCCTCCTGGTGAAGGAATGCATTGCATAGCAAAAGTCCACAGAGGAGAAAAAGATACTGGAGCTGTAGAGACTTTTCTATGTATTGTTATTTTGATAGACAAAAAATAGGAGTTAAGGGTTATACAAAAAAATTAATTGCCTATATGCTTCAGAAAAAATTCAGAATTTACAAAACACCATTTTGTATTGGATTCAGAGCAGAAATTACTAATTCAGAGGAATTGGCTTTTTTCATCTCTGTCATATTGAATATCTCATTTTAAAAGCGAATTTTAACACAGCCTTACTGTTAAATCTCAACTCTGTCACTATATCAATTTTAGTTGGTTTCATCATTTTTAAACCTTATGCTTGAAGACAAAAAGTTCTTCAGCACAAACATAAACTAAAAACACTGTAACTCATATTACTGCAGACAATTCAATACAAAAATTCAATAACACACCCAATAGCGTGCCCAATTTCAACACCTGAACAATACATGACAAACCCCTTTATTGTGCACTGTGTACACTTTAATTACATTTCTACGTGTTGTATTGTTTGTGCTCTGTGTGCTGCTCTTGTTGTTTCTTTGACACTGAAATTTTCTTAAATGTGGGATAAACATACATTTAGTTTATCTTACTCAGTGCACTTTTTCCCTAAATATTTAGAGGGCTTGTGTCCCAAACATACAGCAACAGTTTAAACCTAATGAGAGATTCTGGAGTGATAGGGACCTACCCACCAAAAGATTTTTTTTAAATTGAAAGACATTTGAAAAACAGCATTCAGAGCTGGATTGGGCTTAATGGAGCTCATGTAGTAACAACGCTTTACATGTATGTGGAAGCCATTTATGAGCCTCATGGTCTGGAGAATGACTAAAACCATTACCTGAGATGAGGACTGGGGTTCTTATTTAAAAACTGCAGAAGGTGCATTAGCACTGTGACACAGTTCTTATTTGATCCAACAGATGTCCTGCACAAGACATGTAAGTACTCATGAACAACTTTGAATTGCTTAGAGATGTGCGCTTACTCAATGTCTCTGTGAACAGAGCCTAGAAGGTCCTCTCTTTCTTTCAGACTGAAGAAGTTGGTTTTGGTTTTGTGGAATTCATGGGTGTAGTCCTGCAGGTAAAAAAAATATGATTAAAAAGTCAGTAAGACAAGATAAAGAAGATCAGTTAGTAAAACATTTCTTATTGAGAACAAGGAAAGCACTTAAACAAACCTGTAAAATGTCTCTGTGTCTCTGTAGGGTGTGCATCATCGCTGGGTTATATGATGAGGCTCCTGGAGTACTTGTGTGTTCTGCCATTTTGTTATTGACAGCCGTAAGCTGTGTAAAAAGACACGGTCCACTCTAGATTACAGCTTAAATTTACAGGGCATTCTTGGTGGTTTATTAGAGAAGCTGTATTTGACTTACTTTTGCCAAAAGCTGCTCCAGCTCAGTTGTCATAGCCACCAGCATGTTGTCTTGAGAAGAACTGTGAGAATCAGATCTAAGTTAAGAGAAGAAGAAATATAAAACACTGTTGAATGGCAGAAATAAACGTTAACAATTACTTTAAAAAACTGATTCAGACGAAACTCTGTAACAGACAGTTGACTTCTTGACATTTCACATTACTCAAACTCTCAAATTTGGAATCAAAGTATTCAAAACCATCTCAAAAATCTTGACAGATTTTATTTGTATCCGAAAAGCCAAAAGAATAAGAAATATCAAATCAAGTTCAGATAACCCCTGAACCCGTCCAGGTTGTTGCTGACCTGCTTTCTCTTGTCCGCTGGTCTCTGCTGCTGTAGCTGGTGCACAGCTTACTGAACGAGACCAGCTTGGGATCCAGCTCATTCTCCAGCTGTCGAGCCTGTTTACGCAAATCTGAGTGAAGAAAGAAAGAAAGAAACGATCAGAACAAATGTTCAAAGATTACAGTGGAGGTTATGTGGAGTATCTAACCAAAGATGTCATAGAAACTGCACAATTCAACCTATTACAACCCGCATTATAATAAACAGACAATGATAGCAGACAATATTATATCGCTGACACATCCTAAAAGCTCACTAATCTGGTCAAAGGTTTCAGTCAGCATTCAGTTGGGTGGTGTCGGGGATTCAAGCAGATCATGGAATGAACTGGATTTCACAATGGATGAAAATACAGTAAAAAATTTTTTAAAGTAAACTAAAGACCTACCTTTTTAGTCTGGCTTTTAGTTGAACTTTGTCTTAATCTTTTAATCTGCATTATGTGATTTTACACTATTTTAGTCCCAGAGTAATTATTTTGTGTTTTATTACCTCTTTTTTAATTTACTTTCTTTTATTGTTAGATTTTAAGACTTTTATTTAATTAACTTTTAACGTTATATCACCTTTATTATACTTTATCATGATTTTAACATTTTAGTCCTAGATCTAGTGTTTCCTCATCTTTATTTTATCTGAAGATAGCGTTTCCTCAGTCATCTGTGGCAAGTTGAAGTGTCCTCACCTGCTCTTTTGTGTATGCGTCTGTGTGTGTGAGTGCTGTATGTGTTGAATGGGGGTTGGGAAGGTGGGTGGGGTTTGGTATTTGTATTTGTATTTATTTTACTTCATTGTTTACAACATTCATTCCATGTATGAAAAGTGCTTTAAAAACAAAGTTTGATTGATTGAAAATAAACGTGTTTAACTTTAACAAAATCCCAAATGCTGTGACTTTTTCCTGGATCATAATATGTCAAGATATTTCCTTTTTTTATTCTTTCTCCCAGTTTCAATCTCTTCTTTGTCATTATAGCAAACAAGAGGATGAGTGAGTGGAGTATTTATGATCATTTAAGAGGCTATTTTATAGTTGTGTTTTACATACGACAGATTGAGTATACAGCAGTGGATGTATGGCTGATTTTATGCTCAGAAATTTAAGACGATGACTACAAACATATAAATATTCAACATGTAGACAACTGCACTGTGTTTGTTTTGGCCTCAGAGCTGAAGCAGTGATTTATGTCACACTTTTAACATTTAGTCATGGATTACTTTTACAGTTTTACATGCAAACAGGTGTCAGAGAGTAAAAAAAGGTAAATCTATTTCCTCATTGATCTCCCTTCACCTGAATTCAAGGTGTCATGAAAGCTCATCGTGCGGTTGTTATAAAGACAGTGGCGATTTGAGGAGAACTTTCTCAACTTCGGCACGTTCAGTCAAAGCGAACAGGTTCGAGTTCCCTCAAAAAGACTATTTATTCTCATAACATAATGTTGAATGTCTAACCTGAATCACCGAGAAACACTAGAGAGTGAACAAACAGACAGTAGTTTTAGATTATGTGATGAAACAAGCTTTACCTTCCCAGTAGTTGCTGCTGGTTTCCATATTTGTTGTTGACATGTCATCAATTGCCGTCAAGGAGAAGTAACTGTCGTGATTCTTTATGCAGCTTTAAGTCACAGCGGCCTCTAGTGGCTCCACACAGATGTTCAGGAACTACTTCGAGGCCCATTAGGAGGTTATTTGAATGGCATAGAGACAGAGTAAAGAGATTTTCAAGTGAAACAAAAAGCAAAACAGCAGATCACTCCCAGTTTCCAAGGTAAACAACGCTATAGCGCCAATTCACAACAGTCGTCATCCCAAGACGCTGTCCAAAGAAAAACAGCAGGTCTAGACCATGTTCATTGTTTGATGAATTATCAAGACCCAACCTCAAATGGGATTTGGCCCATCTCATCTAACATGAGTGACAGTGGCAAGAAAAAACTTCCTTTTAACAGGCAGAAACCTTGAGTAGGACCAGACTCATGTAAGACAGACACCAAGCTGCCGCTGGGTCTAGGAGGAATACAGATGGATAGAGAGGGTGTGTGTTTACGTCTCAGATTTGTCTTATTTGGTTAAGTTAGAGCCTAACAACCAACTATATTACTTTCCTTAAACTACTCTTTTTTTGTATTGGTTGGTCTATCAATGGTTGTCATAATGTTTGATCCAAAATGAACACATTTTAGTAATTCTCATCAGAATATTTAACGTACATGATACAACTTTAAACATTTATTCAGGCAAAATAAAAGTTTGTTAAAAAGTTAAGAAAGGCTGTTTCTCCAGCACATTAATCCTCTGGCCTAACTCTTATACCCTAAAATTAGAGTGAAGACATTATTAGTCTTGTTTGTGATGGTGTTGTTTGCGTAGTCATGAAAAGGCATCAGAATCAGTTTCACTGGAGCTTTAACTTTCAGTGTATATCATTTGTATGAGGTTTTTTAGTTTAATGCCAACAAAAGTCAGTTTAGAGGGAGTGTATGCTCCTAATTTAAGTTATTTTAACATAAAGGTTCAGTTCAATAACAAGTAAAACTAACACAGATGCAGTTTGTTTCCGCCATAAGACACAAAGTTGGGTTTTCACCTTAAAGGTAAAGAAAGTTGAACCTCTCTCACCTCTGATGCAGCATCATTAGTTAGATATTTGATCCAGTAAATAGCACCATATAAAATTCAATCAAACAGAAATATTGACAAAATTATTTTATACAAAATTAGATATTTCAGAACACATTCTAGTTCATTTCAAAAGCTTTTAGACTCCAGTTTATTAAAATAAGAACTTAATAGATTTGGACAATCCCAGGAACACTGGAAAAGTGTTTGAGAACGTTAATCACATTTGTACCTTCACTCACAGCTGGCTGATTTTCTAGAATTAAATAAATAAATTTACGGTTATGGTTTGGTTTTTACAAATGAAGCTGTTTGCTGCTCTCTATGGTGTCAAGGTGTCGGTGGAAAAAGACAAACAAGGAAATAAGTGAGGTACACGTCACTCACATTGTGAACATCTATGTAATTTGCTCATTCTCTTTATTCATCGTCTTGAACATAGGCAGTCATGGATAACACAGTAACAGCAAGACTGGTGATCATGTTGATGTAGAAGACATGACGATGATGATGATGATAATGATGATGATGATGATACCACCAAATGTGGAGATGAGTAAGAGCAAAAACTTTGAGGTGTTTTCATCCCTCTGCAGTCAACCTGAGCAGAAGAGGCCTCTCTTTCACACCGATTTCACTTTTTCTCTCAATTCTGTCATTCCTGTTTGCTGTCTTTCTCATGTCTTTCCTTTTCTTTTGTGATGTTTCTTTTTTAGAAAAAAGTGCTGTTGACAACTGACACCAGAAAGCACCTGAAGTTTGGCCCAGGATCCTGCTAAGACTAGCAGGACCAGTGGAGGTGGGAGATTTAGGTTTGGGGAGAGGAGGAGAAAAGATGAGGAGGAGAAGGAGAAGGAAGAGGAGGAGATAGGGAAAAATGAATGAAGTTCTTTCCTCTTAGTGCTGGATCCTCCTGATGGACTGAATCTGGGGAGTCTGGGAATGGGAGCCAAACTCACGGTAACACTTGTACTCTCCACCATGGCAGTCACTCTCCAGAATGTACTGTTGGCCACGATAACCGGGGAACTGGTAGCACACAAAGCTGCAGAAATAAACAACACACACTTACTATCCACATATGTTATACAGGTGGTAACTCAGAGCAGGTTGTTGTGTTGTATTTCCTCCAAATATTAACCATCACAATGGACTTACGCTCCGCTCTGAACATGCATAGATCCAACCTCTTTGTTTATCCAGCCCATAGCCTGCAGAGAGGGGTAGTCATCACTCAGCTCAAACTGACGACCCAACATGTTCTCTGACTCAAAGATGGTCATACGGGACTCCTTATGGTTCTGTGCCAAAAAAGAGAGAGAGGACTCAGGATGAAGCTCAGCCTGAATGGACATACGAAGTATTTGTGTTACATAGTGAACCTACAGCACAGCAAATGGGCCTGAACGAGATCATCCTCTCAATGCGGTAAGAGTTGCTGCCACTGTAAGCTTCGAAGCAGGGGTAGTCTCCCTTCTCCAGGACAAACTGCTGGCCGATGAAGCTGGAGTGCTCGTAACCTACCCAGCTGCAAGAAGAGAGAAAAATAAGACAGTGAGAAAAGCTGGAAGTATTCTCCGTCTTCTTGTTATTCAGTTGGATGTCGGATGCACTGGATCGTGGCATTTGCAAAAAGTCTTGTTATATTTTCCTGTAACTTAAGAACTTTTACTATAATTCTATGATTGGCTTTTCCATAAAGTTCATAAAAATTTGTAGTTGTGCCATGATATTTTTTAAGAAGTTCAGAGAGGATGAATTCTTATGCAAAGCTACATAATATCAGCACAAAGTTCTCTCAGAATCTATAAAAAAAGTTCTATATTGAAGTGTCTCAGTCAAACATGGACAAAAGCAACTGAGGAAAAGCCCCAGGGATACGTACGCGCCACACTCAACCTTCAGGGAGCGAATGTTCTCCATCCCACACTCCATGATATTCTGGCAGCAGGCGGTGAACTCCATACGCTTGCCCTGGAAGAACTCCTGATCGTACACACTGATCTGCAAAACACATGTGCAAGAATAAAGATAAAGAGGTGGTCCAACTCAGATTGTTGTGCATGCATGTTGTATGCTTACCTTCCATGGGCCCATGGGCACAGGGTTTGTCTGAGTCATTCTGTCCTGTTTTCCAGCTGTACCTGTGTAGAAACACACACGCAAACATAGTCAGGGCAAAGATGGAAGAAAAAGCTGTCAGTTGTTTGTTTTACAGCTTGTCTGTGTGCTTTATGCTGTCCTTGGTGGCACTTTAGATTTCTATAAATATGTGCTCACTGTGAGTTTAAACTTCTGTGTTGTTATCTTAATCTAATATAGTCTCCTGTTTTAAAAATATTTCTTAATTGACGAGACCACCAAATCAAGACTTCCTGATGTTTCCTGGTAAATTATATCAAAACCTCTCATTACATCATCTCCACAGCTTTGGAAACGTTCACATACTTTCGACCAGTTTAACCTACCCTAACTGGTGAGCAGTGTGTCGTAGTGTTCCACTGAACGGTCTGCACCGACGGTGTGTGTGGGGGTATATATATACACCCATGGGTGTCTGAGGCCGGGGGCAGGACGGCCTGGACTCATGTCAGCAGTTTGCTTTGGTGTCCTTTGTTTTGTTGAGTGAGCCACCGAGGGGTTAACTCACAGACACTCAGTGATTCATGCTAACACAAAAAAGGGCGCACTGCATTACATACCTCTCCCAGCTCAACCTATACGTGAGGACAAAAACAGGCGGCCTAACAGTCCAGTTATGATGAAATAAACCTACAGTGCGTGAAACTCAAAGTCAGTGGTGGTAAGCTTTGCTGTGGTGATTAGTGACAAGTGCAGTCCAGTCCTGAGTGCAGGATTTGGTCACGTCAAGGAGTAGAGGGAGATTTTTTTTCCAGTGGGCATCTACTTCAAGCTATATTTTGATTTGTGAAATGAAAACTGACAATATTTTTTAGAAAACTCAAATTTATTGCCACAGTCATACAAACCAAAGTCATTCATGTAATTGCTCTCATCATCATTATTCATCAAAATATAATAAAACTTGATAGAAATAGATATCCTAAATTCCTGTTTTTAATCCAGATGTTTTTTATTTATTCTTTAATTTCATTTTTAGGAAACTCTTTCACTTAAAGATTGTGTGAAAAACTCCTGTAGACAAAAAGGTACTGCTTACATTTTTGCAGATTTTGTCCTGGATGTGTGTGTATGTGGTGTTTTCTGACAAAAATCGATTTCTTTCATTAGTCCATTAAATGACTTGCAAAAATACTTTGATGATTAAAAGAGTGGATGGCTAAATGATAATAAATGAACACACAAGTAAGTGAACGCGTACAACCATGAAATGTGATGAATTTAAAGATTTATAAACTAAATTTAGACAGCAATTTCGTGAAGGAACTCTGGATTATTCTAATCAGGGAAGATTACCATATCATTTTTTCCACTCACATACTCCACACATTAGATTGTGTTGTTTTTCCAATGCTAATGTCCTCAAACTTGTACTTGCATAATTGCTTTGTTGGCCAGACTCAAATATTGCTGCTCTCCATCCTGTATTTACTCCACTGAAAATGCAAAACTTGAAAATCAAGTTTCATTATGACTGAACAAACCATGACATAAGAAATCTAGTTAGGTTGTTAAAGAAGTTTGTTGACTTCAAAATTTGAGCTGAGTTTAGTTGAAAAATGTTTAACCAGAGGACTTGGTGCAGAGTCTTGTTTTCACTTTGTGGTTTTTAACTTGTGAATGAGCACACCTGTTACTATTTGAGGAAAACTTTTACAAGTGAGTAAACCAACACTGAAGGTTAACAGGGGCGATGGCACAGATTGAATGGTGTGTTGGCAGGACTAGCAATGATTTGGCATCAACTGATGAGCTTTGATTGGCAGCTTTACTATCAGATAGTGGGGTGAGCAGATTATTATTACAGAGTCACGGTCAAGCTTCAGGACTAAGTATGATTCTGAATGATCTGTAATAGGCTATCTCCAAGCAAAAAAGGCTCTTATTAAACCAATGATTTTTAAAACTATACTTTCATTTAGATTGAAATTAGTTAAAGTTTGTTTAACAGAGCTCCTGATTGTGTCATCACAGTGAGCTGGTGTAAAGTACCAACAAGAGAGCAGCTGGTAAGTGCATAGCTGAGTTTCTCTCTCGTCTAGCTGCACTGAACAATAAACATTTAGGAATGGCTTACTGAGGTCAGCACTCTGCCCAGACTCTCTGTCTGTGTGTATGTGTGTGTGTGCATGAGTGTTAATGTTTGCATCTGTGCATTTAGTTTCCTAAGTTTAGCCACAATAGAAAAGAGAGACAAGCATAGGGACATACAACCTATAGCATTGCAATAAAACTTGTTTTTGTGAGCACATTCCTGATAACAGTGGATTTGTTCAGCTCAGATATGAGACACCACAGGCATATGTGTATGTGTGTGTGTGTGTGTGTGTGTGTGTGTGTGTGTGTGTGTGTGTGTGTGTGTGTGTGTGTGTGTGTGTGTGTTTCTGCTGATGATAGCAGCAGCAGCTCAGACGTGACAAAAGGACGAGCAAACTCAGCAGACCGATGTGAGCTCACGGTGAGCATATACCCAACTCTTGCTCACCCACAACTTCTATACGTGTTTGACAGCACGTATTGTATCGTTTCACAGACACACAAACAGTTTTACTGTGATTACAAAGACATACACTTCAATCAAAAACAGATCTGTCCTGGTTTGTGTTGGGGAAAATATAGTTTCTTTTTTGGTATATCATGATTACTTCCTTTTTTACAGGACCTTCAAAATAACAGCAGCATGGTCACAAAAAATGCTTTTTATGATACGATCAAACCAAACAACAATCAACAACTCACCAGTCAATATAACCGGAAAATAAATACACTGGTTTTGCAGGAAATGCAGACAGCCTCTAGGGTGCGTCATTATCACATGGAATTTGAGTTTTAAGGTCTATTAGGATTAGTAAGAGAGAAGACAGCTACACTTTGATTATTTATGGAGTTATCTGAGGTTAAGAACTGCAAAGCAATGAGTTAAATGTAATGTCAGTGAGAAAGGCATTTCACCTGAGATCCCTGTATCTGCACATGGACCTAAAATCTCACTTTAAATCATTTAGACAGGCCTTGGTCTTCAGCTGTGATTTTGTTGTTATAATATCTGCTCTTACCTGTAATCAAAGCTACCATCACCACTGAGTCATGTATTAGAATGAAATGGAGATCAAACCTTGAATCCAACATGTATGTATACATTTAAAGAAGCAGTCAGATGTGACTGCAGGAAACCTGGGACAACAGCTAGACTAGATCAAATGCATCTACTTAGAGCTGATTTTATATTCAAGCTGCTATGAGGAGTTTTTTCACATTTACGAAATAGGCTGAAATTTGTGTTGTTGCTTTTTTATGACATAAAATAGACAATATATGAAAAAAAATTGTAATAGCTGGTAAAAGTATGTTTTACAGACTGCTTTTGAACACGTCTCTGCACGCAGTTTCCGTAGTGTAGTGGTTATCACGTTCGCCTCACACGCGAAAGGTCCCCGGTTCGAAACCGGGCGGAAACATGTTTATTTTTTCTAGACTAAGATTTACAATCATTATACATAGTTTCGGACCATTTACACCATGTTATATTTGATTTAGTCAATTCAATTTTGACTATGAACATTTCCTGTCATTTTACTATATCTTATTAATTTATTTTGCTCTAAACTAGAATAAAAACAATCGTTTGATATATCTAAGCGTTCTATCTAAAGTTCTTCTTATTCTTAAAGAGAAGTTAATATCCATTTCCTGAAGAAACTTGACCCAGTTTGCCTCAAAAATTTATTTTAACTCCATCACTCGCAACGGTTTTATGATTTACCTACTATTGTTGCATGCATCCTCACACCAAGTTTCCGTAGTGTAGTGGTTATCACGTTCGCCTAACACGCGAAAGGTCCCCGGTTCGAGACCGGGCGGAAACAAGTGAGAATTTTTGTTTGCCACTATTGTAATAGTTAATACCATTCTAATTTTTTAATCGTGAACACATATTTACGTGATTTTCTTTTGCATTTCCACTGCTCATTACTACCCTAGTCCCAAACTCTCCAACTCCTGATTTGTCCCTGAACGCAGCCGTCAGGGGGCGTGTGCATTTGTGCTGCAGCTGTTTGGCAGCGTGTTTGCAGATCTGCATCCTCTCCTCGGGATCTGTGATCATGATATATGTTTTATAAAACCATTTTAACACACATTTAACGTCCAGATCACCCGAGTTGTGCTGTAGTTTCGGTAAGTTCTCAGATTTCTCCTCCTTACTGTGCTGAATGCATTTCTGTCCGAGCATCGTTAGCTTCTCAATGAGGGGGGCTAACGTTAGCAATGAGACCGCCCTGACCCCCTCTGGGTGTTGTTTTCTTCGAGTAGGAACAATGTTCGATTTAGACAAGCGAACACTTCCAAACTGTTGAACAACCTCAGGCACAATCCCGCTTTAACCAGCATTGTTTGAGTTTTTCATTACCAAAAGTGAAGTTTTGTTAGCAGGTAGCCATTTTGATGCGTTCAAGGTCCGTTCGAAAAAAGACAACGTGAGTCACGTTTGTGTAAATCCTTTTAATGCCCGAAAAAGACGTTTTAAAACCGTGTTTCTTCATCAAAGATTTCAGAAGGACACTCTGCTGTGTTGTTGGAGGATAATATGAAGAAAAATTAAAAAATGAAATTTGTTTAGATAAGTAATTTATGTAAGGATAGACTCAATATGCAAGCAAAGGACGTCAGTTAATATTTAAAACATTCAAAACAAACAAGGAAAAATCTCAAACGTGAATGAAAAGGAGCAGAAAGAAGAAACTTCTTATAGAGATATAAATCAACTAAACACATAACAAAAATAAACAAGAACTGCAGGCCAACATGCCTTTTTACTGTTCAATACTTAGTATTTTCAAAGAGGATATCAAACAGAAAAGACCACATTAATTTCACATTTTTTTTACAAAACAAACAGACCAAGACTTAGATGAACATAATTCCCTGTATTTACTCAACATACTGGCTTTGACACTTTTTTGAAGATAAAATTTGACTTAGTTTCTTTGTTCAGATTGTTCCACAAACTTATTCTTCTCACTGTAACACAGCGCTCTTTCAGTTTAGTTCTGAATCTTGGCTTTTTAAATATTTCAAATCCTTTTAAATTATTACAACTTTCTCTTTTTTCAAATCGGCTCTGGATGTTGACTGGTTTGCTCGTATAAAGTCAGTAAAGCATTTCGTCAGACTAAAGAAGCTCCAAGTGAAACTCAAGCCATGAAATAAATTGTATTAATTCACACAGTTGGTTCAAATGGATTATATTTATTACAGGCAAATTTATCTCCTCAATTTTTTCCCCCTCATTTTAAGTCAGGATCAGTTTCTTAATGAATGATTTTCCATCAGCTCCCACTAAACGCCTAATAGCACTGACTGGGTCTGACTGACCCCTAATGGTGAAAATGTCTACTACAGCACACTGCAGCTCTAAATTTTACTGATTATGATGAAAAAGGACATTTGAGCATTTGGAAATATCCCACCAGGGTTTAGACTTTAGGAAGGCTTTTAAAAACTAACAACTTTATTAAGTGTTTGCTGATAGAGGTGAGAATGACTCTGCATTATGAGCTCAGGAAATAAGTAATAACGGACTGATGTTGAATGAATCTAAGGTTGTTAAAGTCAGCAGGCCTAAAATCCTGTGATGGGGAAAAGATCATTGTTATGATGCCAAAATAATTTCTCAGTCAGGAGCCAAATTTGAAATGAAAGCCATCACAGCTCCCTAAAATCAAGGTGTATTAGTCTGTCCAAGGATCGCTGTGTATATGGTCGTATTTTAGGGCTTGAAACTGTATTGCTCAGTTAGCAGACTTTACTGACCCAAACTCTTTGTTCTGTCTTTTATTAGACTGAGAAGATGCCTCATTGAAGTCGACTCAAGACTGAGTTCTGGTTTTCACTGTGAAGAGGAAGTCCTTTTTGAATCCAGTTCTTGAGGTACTCTTTAGACCACAAAAAAAGGAAGAGATTTGAGGACTTTAAAAAACTTGAGTACTTAATTTTGGATCTCATCATGGATGGAATTACTGATTACTTGTGGCAGCGTCGTATCCAACACGGCGTTAGGTATCAGAAAAGTAGTGTCCCATTTCCAGAGTCGGTCCGACTGGGTATGGAGTTCAATGCAGCGCTGGAAAAGAAGGAAACGTTAGATTTGTCTCTCCTGACAAACGCTGTGATGCTGGAGCTTTGTGACTTCGCCAGATGCGTGAGCAAGTCTGAGGCTCATTTCTTATTCGAAATCCTTGAGTTTAACTTTGACCTCGGAGTGGATGGGCTCAACCAAGTGCAATATATGAGCTTCAAAAGAAGAGTTCACTCTAGGGCTAAGATGACAATGGTCCAACTCAAGTCCAAACCTGACAGATGGAAAGAACCTTTCTCACTACCAGATCTGATTGATGAACGGGCTCTGCCTGAATCAGAGCAATGGGAAATCCGTGAGAGCAAGACTTTTGATACTTCAGTACTCACTGCTGGAAGCAAGAACAGCCAGTCTTCGGAAAAGACCAAGAGTGATGGAAATGTCCTCGTCATGAAGTTTGGCAGAGTCCTGATAAAACTGACAGATGAGTCCTTCCCAAACTGTCAAGAGTCCGGTGTATCTTTGATTATCCGACCAGAAAACAGACCCAAGGAAAGACTACAACCAGAACAGCTCACCAAAGGCATACTGATAGAACTGCTGGAGTTCTCCAAAGTGATTTGTGGGACTCAAACCGGGATTGTTTTTGACCTTGTTAAGCTAAACTTTGGCCATGAGCTCAATAAAACGCTGTATCGTCTACGAGTAAACAAGATCACAGAGCGAAAGTATGCCTCCCAAAGTGCAGAGGAGAAGGAAGCTCTACTGAAGGAACCTTTTTTATCCCAGAGCAAGAATCCAAGAAAAAATTCCAAGAGAAGAAAAAACCGAGACATGGACTATCTAGAACTGGAAAACCTCATTGTGCCCGGTAAGAGACGGTCAATACTGAGGGACAGGGAAAGCAATGAGACAGAGATTTGGCTGGATAGCGACCTGTCGTACATGTGTCCTGTTGATTCTGACGCAGAAATGCTGTCCGATGTGGAGGCAGAACCAGAGAAAAGTATTTCTGAAAGTTTTTTGGTAGAGACACTTGAGAAAACAATGTCATCGGCAAGAGCAGAGGAATCGACGAATGCAGAAGCAGGAGCAGGAGCAACATTTACACTGCTGGCGGAAACGTCAGTCGTAGGAGAATCGTCTGCAACAGATGAATCTATGGCAGCAGAAGAAACATCTGGAACAGTGGAGGAAACCCGAGCAGCAACTGAAGAAACTTCAGCAGCAGGAAAGAAAATATCGGCATCAGTAAACCCATCGTCATCAATGGAAGAAAACCCGTCGGCAATCACAGAAGAAACATTGTCAGTGGTTATAAAGGAAGAAGAGGAGGAGGTTTTTGTTTCCTCGGTGCAGTCACAGTTAGAAGCGTTTGATAGTCAACCTGACAATACTTCTCTCAAGACGGTCTCTGATCTGTTTTCTAAAGACCAAAACCAGGACCTTGATGTAAAAACACCAAAACAGAGGCTTTGGGTGAGGCGTGCAACTCGTTCCAAACAAATCCTGAGGTCTTACAGAGTGAATGACATTTTCGCAAGCTGCAAAGCGATAGGTTTAGACTTCAATGTAGGTTCTGGTAACAAACAGAAGTTGAGTCTGCAGCTGTTCACCAACTCTGTAATGTTGGGGGTTCTCAAGTTTGCATCTGCAATGAAGAAAAGCATCCATAGTTTGCTATGTGAGATTCTGGAGAACAACTTCAACATTAATCTTGGAGATAGTCTGCAAAAGCGCTACTTAACAGTTTACTTAATGTCAAAAGAAAGGAGTTTTCAGAATCACCCTGCTAGACACACAATGGCGTTTCTCAGCAGCCCTTGTAAGCTCCACAACTGTTTCAACATGGTAGATGTGACCGGGGATTTCCAAACTGGAGAGGAATTTGAAGACCGGCAAGGAAACCCTGATTCAGGAGCATCTGAAACAGCCCCGTTTGAAGATTCAGACCCATACCCGTTCTGTAGAAAGATAGGCCTTGACCTGTGGTCAACAGATGAACGTCCTGCTAGCCAAAAACTCGATTTGGTTGACCTAACCAAGGGGGCTGCTATTGAAATGTTTGGCTATATCAGAGAGCTGTGTGGAAACATCCATGAGACAGTTAATGATGTCCTGGCACACAATTTTGATCTAGATCTGCGAAATCCTGAGACTGATGATGCCAAGGCAATCCAGAAATGGTACACGAAACAAAAAGTAGTAATGACACAACACTACAGGAACAAACATAAATTACAGAAATGGCTGGAAATGCTTGTTCCACTGAATGTACGATCACAGCCTCATCAACAACCAACATCTAGAAAGAGCCCAGAAAAACAGGATGCGCAAGATTCAGCATCTGGCAGAAAACCACCAGCAGTTAAAGAGAATGTGGCGAAGGGGAAAGGCGGCTATCGTCTCTGTAAAAACATCGACTTGGACCTCTTCGTTGACACTAAAACAAAACCAAAAAGAAAAATGAACCTAGGAGTGCTTACGAGGGGCGTCCTCGTTGAGATACACCAGTACGTGATGCGCAACAGCAACCGGTACATCCCCACGCTGTACCAGATTCTTGAGTTCAACTTTGACCTGAGCTCTCAGAACCATCGCAAGGTGGAGTTCGCCTGGGACATCGCGACTCAGGTGTTGAGAATCGCAGGAAATGTTAGCAGGAAGGGAAATTACCTGGATAAAGTTGTAGAGTTGCCCTTTGAGCTCCGTGAGTCCTCTCAGATAGTCTGCAAAGAGGAACCGGAGCATGGCTACACTGAACAGGATTTTAGTGAAAACTCAGACGTCGTGTTTGTGAGAGAACTGAAGCCTGTTGACATAGAAGTCGAGATACAGTAGGGGTGTAACTCTTGTTTTTCTTGTAGGAGTAATGTTGAGGTTTTCAGTCCACAGTCTGTTTGTAGCTGCGATTCCACTGAGTGTTTGGTACAGTACAGTACATTACAGCACAGTCATGTTTCCAGAGTCAAAAGTTCAGAAATAAATTATTCAACCGTCCAACCGACAGTCTGAACAGCAGACTGTGGAAACACAAGCAAGATGACAACATGCGTTACTTCTGCAAATAGTTCATGAATAGATAAAGAAAACAAAAAAAATCACAACGTACCAAAACTCAAGATAATGCCTTCACATTCATTTTCTTTAAACCCGTAGACTGAGTGTCGTGTCGATTTCTGAGAGACTATATCTTGAGACTCTAAAGATTCTGTCTTCGTGGTTAAAGCTGAATGATCTTACAAACAACAGAGGTCATGGTGGCACTGTTTACTCTGCAGTGCAGTAAAATAAGCTTTACACTCTGGTGAACCTTTGTGGTTACTCAGAGGTCTTATTGTCCTCTTGTTGTTTAACAGTCAAAGCTCAAAGTTTCCTTGTTTTGATTTCATGCTGCTGAAAGTTTTTGCCAAACACAAGCTGCTGAATGTTTTTTATTTCGGGGAGGAAACGTTTGCTTTTCAAAGCCGCCTGGACAAAAATATGGATGATCGAACGTGCCTGACATGGATGTATTTTTTTTTTTCATTTTCTGTTTGTTAGTTTTTAAATGTTTTGTTGTTTTTGTTATTTTCTTTGCTGCCAATTAAAGTGCTTCAACTCTTGATCAGAAAGTGTTTCATTATCTACGATCTGGTCAGATTGTGAAAATATCAAATGAAGAAAAAAGAAAAAGTAATACGATCAAATGTGAACAACTAGAAGATTAAATGTCATAAAAGAAGTCAAGTCAAAATCTGTAAAAGTTAATAAAGTCACAATAAAGTTATACAATTGCAAGAATATAGTCCATAAATTCAGAATAAGAGCGAATAGATGAATTTGTGACCGAGAATGAGGGCCACATTAAAAATAAGTAAATACGATTTTTTATTTAATCCAAAAATTTGTGATTAAAATTTCTTCACATAAGAAAAAAGTCATAAAATAACAATTTTACAATTCTGTCTCATTACAGAAAGATTTGATTCTCATGTAGAAAAACAGAATTAGCAGAATTTCTATAATCTCATAACATTTCCCCACCTTTATTTCATTAAAAAACTCTTAAAACCTTTAAAAAAATTTATAAAAGTTACAAAATATATATATAAAAAATAATAAAAGACATTTCCACTGAGAAACGGTCAGAATCTAAACTCTTTAACGTGTTTAAAGACTGTTATTAAAAAGCAAAATCAATGTAACCGAACTCTTATTGCATATTCACATTGAACTAGTCAGTACACTGATTTCTTGAGCACACTGGGACTTTATTCAGGGTATTACTCAGTATCTTGTTCCCATCATGCTCTCTGTCAGGTCTCATCAGTCTACTCTGAGCTGCTGTGAGGATGATTAAAGTCTCAGTTTGCTCAAATGGAACAGGTGTCAATGATTAGGAGAGAATTAATCAGATTGAGACAAAAACAGGAGGATGTGCTCTGTGTTTTTATCAGCAGTGACCACTAGATGGAGTCAGAGATATTCCTTTGGAGTTAAACTACAACCTGAAGGGCAGTTTAGGATCAATTCAGCAGTAGATTAAGGTGATAAATCACTTTTTTATGTGTTAAATCATGTTTATTTGAGCCAAAGTGTCTGGGAATCAACAGTTTAAAAGTCACTTTAAACCACAAAAATACAAACACAGCGTTTAGTATTTCAGGACCTGTAATTTCACGGTTTTATGAATAATACAGACGCTCTTCTGTTGTCATAAATTTGAGAAACAACTGAAGTTTATAAAATTAGTTTCCTTTGATGGGTGTCTGAGCCTCGGACACAGGAACTCAGATTAAAGCTGCAACTCCTTCACATCTTCAGGGGCCAGTAAAGGAGGTTTGAACCGTGAAGGTGGCGTGTCCACCTGGAGGGAGATCTCAGGGAAGACCCCACGCCTGCCTGATGGATCACGTGTCATCTCTGGTCTGGAAAAAGCTCTGAAGTCCTCAGGATGGAAGTTTAGGTCTAGGAGGGAAATCTCATGGCTGACACTCCTGAGTTTTTTTTTTTTTAGTCAGTCAGGGACTCTGCAGGATTTTCCGCCTGATAAATTTATCGTTTTTATCTTAAACTTTTCAGCCTCTGACTGAATCACCGGCTGGTTTTCCGCTGATATAAATAAGACACAGCTTGTGGGTGTTACTTTTTACACCGCTCTGTAGTCAGGAAATGTTTTCACACACAGTTAAAGGTGGGGAAGGCAGGATTCCGTTAAAGAAGCTTCTTTTTTTGTGGTGTATAAACAAAAAAACTTTTCATTTCAGTCAATAGTTATTAGTTATTGATGATGTTTGGTAATATAACGGTATCATTGTGTTTTGTTATGTCTGTGTAGTCAACATTTACATTTTTTTGAAGTGTAATCAAAGCCGTTCCCCGCCTCCCCAAACGGATTGTTTGTGAGGCAGACGCTGCTCCCCCGTGTCGTTCACGAGCCCAAACAAAGTTAGCGTGCTACAATATCGGACAGTAGAAACCAACCAGAAAGTTCGGAAAATTGTCTGAATCCTCCTTTGGCCATGACTGCCGACACAAGCAAGAAAACAAAGTAAATACCGGAGACTCTGGAGGAATAACAGGCGCTTAAAAAGGAGGTAGACTGGACAAGAGCTAAAAAGCCGGGTCAACATAAACGATGGGGGACGCTTGGGGATCTTGGTGACCCTGTAACCTTTCTGCTGGACAGGTAAACCGCTTTAACAAAGTAAGCCAAGTGTCTGTAACAGAAGTGTTTCTTGTCAAACGGACCTGCTGTAGCGTGTTGTAGCGCCGCTAAACTGTTGACCTCGGGTCCTGGACTATGTCACTTTATCCTAGTTGTAGAAGTCCTGCAAACATTGTGTTTGCTGGTAGTCTGTTGGCATCTACAGTAGCACCAATGCTTTTTACTTTCACCTTGACTGGGCCCCATTTGTAATTATCTGAAGTATTTATCTGCATTATACCTGAATTTAATTGGAACGATACGAGCGAGCAGGAGCGCCTGTTTGTGGGCGGGGCTTGATGGAGCAGAGAGGGAGGGGAGAGGAGGAGCTGAGGGGAAAACTGGTTGGGAGGGGTAGAGGTTATATTCAAGATTTCTCCTAAAAACTGGAACTTCCTCAGATCCTGACTACCCCACCTTTAAGTCAAACTACAGTTCTAGCTGTCTCCCTAAACAATTGACAAAACACGTTAGCACAAGGCTAATGGGGCGTAAATCATTAGCGAGGTATGTTAGTTTTTTATTCCTACTTCTGTCCGTCACATTTGGTATTATTTTCTTGGAATTATGATAAATATGTGTTTTTGTCTCTCTCTCCCCTTTAATTGAGATGGTTTCTTTAGCTTTAAAAACACAGGAGGGAGATGTTAAAAAGAAGCCAACACACAAACAGGAGTGAGACGGTCCCTTATGTGTTTTAAAGCTACTGTGAGGAATTTCCAGCATTTTCCTCGACCTGGTTGAGACGTCTTCTCCTCACCTGTATGACGTCTGGTTTGATGATGATATTTGATTGATTGACAAACTGACGGACAGAGAACTTGACCCCCTGAGTGCGGACTCACTCACTCCCTCGGTGCCTCATCTGCACCGACATGTGCACACTCACTCGCTCACTCTCACTCTCGTCACCCCTCCAGCTGCTCTCCTGCTTATTTTCAGCCTGATTCCTAATCTGCTCAGAGACTCCCAGGACTCTGCAGAGCTGTGACATAATCCTCAGGGACCGGTGTCTGTCACCGCGCCTCGTCCAAATGTTTCAATAAAGAAAAAACTTTATTCACAGCTCACAGGATTCACGAGTTTTACCCACCATTTCCGCGTTCGGCTCAAATTTTCCGACTCTAATCCAGGGAATTATTTGCAGATGTGAATAAAAGGCAACATGTGCTTTATTGCTTTATTGCTTTATTTCAGCCAATCAACACAAGACCACCCTCCTGAATCTGCTTCCAAACGGCTATCAAAGCTTTCATTCATCATTTCCTCCTCATCCTATGTAAGTCTGGACCAGGAGGAGGAGGAGAAGAAGCGTGGATAAGCCGAGGAATCCTCGCCAAGACAACGCAGGACACGAGAAACTGCAAAGAGACGTCTGTTTTTCGGTGATGTAAGATTAGAGAGGATTTGTTTTCAGCCGAGAAAGATGAGCTTCTCTCCGTTAAAGAGATTTTAACAACACTGAGTCACAAGGAGAAGTTAGAAAAAGCAGAAACTGTTAAAGATCGTTTTCATGGTTTCTTTTTCTTGGTGATGATCGTTTCTCTCAAACCATGAATCCCTCGTACCAACCGTCCAGAAGATAGCACCAGAAGGAGACCACCATATCTTCTGAGAGACCTGAATATGTCCATGAAACGATGTCAATCAGGGACGTGAGTCTAATGATCCCTAATTTCAACCTGAAAAGCAAACCCAGGAGACCCCGTAGTCCCAGATATCCAATGAAAGCTTCTGACAACAGTCCACAAAACAAAAGAAAGGTGGAGGTATGAGGCCACCATGGTTTGGTTTAAAATCCCAATCCTGTTACCCCCAATTTCCATCGCATCCGAAAAGGCCGTATCCGCCGATCGTAGCTGATCGTAACCATTCAAGTTAACGTGTCAAAGAGTTCTTTTTTTTCCAGACAAGTGAAAGGTTTTTAGACCCCATTTCACCCTGATGACACCATGGATGTGGAGATGCTGATTCTAGAAGTCGAGAAGTAGATTTCCTCCTCTGGAAGGACACAATCTACTGCTTATATGGTTAGCCTGTGTGGCTAAAGACAACTTGTTATCGCGGATTCTTGTGAGTTCTTGCGATTCCGTAATCCACCAAGAAATTTGCCTCACAAACGGATCCAGTAGGAATTGGCGGATGTGCTGCCATAGGATGAGAGTTGAGCTTCATTGAGACTGCAATTAATGTGTGTCGCTGGTTTATTTTCAGTGAAATGTTTCCAAACTTCGGAAACTTTGGGTCAGAGTTTTTAAGCCTCTTTGTTTGTTTGTTCGGCCATAATTTGTACATTCTTCTTCTCGGTTTCCAGCGAGCGATACTGCCCCCAACACTTCCTGTAGTGCACTGCAGTTACAGATAGTTTCACATTCTACTGATTATATGGGTAGATTATGTGGCTTAAGACAACTTGTTATCGCATGATTGCACGTGAATCTGCGGGTTCTTGTGAGTTCTCGGGATTCTGCTGTCCGCAATCCGCCATGAAATTTGCCTCACAAATGGATCCGGTTGGAATTGGCGGAAGACGAAAGATTGCAGCCGTTCTGGACCGCATCAGTCTGGTTTCTCAGCAGGACTCTTCTCCTACAGAGCTATGCTGTTGTAATCCCTGCAGAATGTGAAGCACAAATATTTATAATCCTGAACCTCAGCTGACTCAGATGATTTGGGATTAAAAACACAGACCACCTTCTGAGGGACTCTCACAGCGGAGTCAATCCAAAGCGGCGTGGAAGCAGAGACGCCCTTATTTCCCAGATCGGCAGTGTGATGATCTGCCTGAAAGGAGGTCAGGAGTCAGAATCTGTCACTGTATCCCTCGATATCCCGCAAATGAAGAGATGATTTCAGAAGGAGGGTCCAGGAAGAAAAAAAGAGACGGCTGAATGTTTTTTTTTATCTGACAGTTCGACTCAGTAAATCTCTGCGGCCTCGGGCTGCTAGTTACCAAGGTTAGGTCCAGCTGGATGATTTGTAATCTTAATTCTTCAGATTTGTTGGAACTGGATTTCAGGCAGAACAGAGATAAGAAAAAAAGAGAGAAAATCTTTAATCTAGGAGGAAGTTAAAGAAGCAGTCCGTCATTTACTGGATCTGTGTGAGAGCCATCTCACGTCTTTGATATGAGTTTAATCCCGTCGATTAATCAGGCGGCATTAACATATTTCAATCTCCTCTACGTCTTTGGTTTACGTTTCTGTCTTTAGGGTGAACCGAGCCGCTGATGTCCATTTCAGAGCACAACCTGAAGACTTTTAACCGACTCAAATTAAAATACGTAAAAACAGGTAAATATTTCTGACAAAAGATTGAGCTGTTTGGCTTTTAAGTTGCAGATTCACTTCGCTCTCCTGCAGGTTTGAAGCCTTGGGCGAGATGACCGCTCGGGAGGATGATGAACAGCTGCTGGACGGGGGCTGAACCGGGAACAATGTGAGGTAAAAACATGTGAACCCTTACTTCCTGGACCATATCTTGACCTCTTTTCTTGAACTTTTGACCCTCCCCGCTCCCTGTTCGATGTGTTCACCTGTTCAGACTTCAGTCCCTGTTTTTAAACCACACAAGTCCGGCCCGTTCTGTCTTCTAGCTTTGGTTTGATGAGGCTTTAAAGTCCGGTGGTGCAGTCCAAAGAGAGTGACGGTTCACTTGATTCCTGCGCCAGAAAAATAGCCATTAGTGGTCAAACGGGTCCAGGTTGGTCAAGGATCTATCCGGACTATACCTGATCCACTGATTAATGGAAAATGAATCAGTAACGAGGAGGTGGAGTTAATTATTCTGACCTAAATGTTCCACGTCTGCTCATATGTGAGTTTAAGAGCAAAACCAGAGTTACCAGGTTCTTCCCAGATTCCTACTTGTGTGTGTGTGTGTGTGTGTGTGTGTGTGTGTGTGTGTGTGTGTGTGTTGATGGTTGTAGGGGAGTTGAATGATGCGGAAAGAAAATCTGCTCTGGGAACATAAACACACCGCAACACACACTGGAGAATAGAGAGAGAGAGAGAGAGAGAGACAGAGACGGGGAATACAGTGTGTTAGAAAGTCGAAGGTTCCTCTGTGGATTGCCAGCACACACACACACACACACACACATGCACACACACACACACACTCAGTAAATAAAAATAAACCTTTTATTCACATGACTGAGTCTGAGGTTGTCGACGTTCTTCCTCACACTCTTCACACGGACAATTCGCTCCTCCTGGAAAAATCACCCGGACTTCAGACTCGTGGTTTTTGTAGTTCTTGAATTCACGATCGTTACTCGTTGGAGTGTGTTTGGACCGCACACACACCTTTACGTAGAGCTTCAATAGAAGTGTGAACTCTTTGATTGGTTTAGAAACCATTCAGCCAAAGTGACCGCCAGCTTCAGGTGGACCAAGACTCCCCGGCCTCAGTCGGACCCTGAACTTTTCACCGAGGAGTTAAAGTTAACAGCATGTCTCTGCAGACTCACCTCAGGGCTGTTTTCTCACTCTTACTTTACATTTGGACATTTTATTGACAATCAAAACCCTAAATCTGGAGTAGAAGACGATCCCATTAGCTTTTCAGATCTTGAATCATTCGTGAACGACACAACACTATTGGAAATATTAAAACGGTTTCAACAGTGTTCATTTGTTTTTGATGTACCTGGTTGATTTAGCAACATCTGGACTTTTCAGGAGTTTAAGATCACGAATGCCTGAATTTTTCTGATCCCTGCTGCTGTAAACCACGACTGTTACTCCACCGCGTCTTTTCATTATCGACCGTCTTCTTCTTTTTTGCCCGCAGGTTCAGATCAGAGTCGAACAACAGCAACTTTTCTACCTGTGAGCGTTTCTGTAAATTTGGATGTCAAACCGGTGATGGAGGGAGAGAAGGAGGTGGAGGTGTATGTGTGAGAGAGTGGAGGGATGAATGTGTGTGTGTTTGTTGGCTGGTAAAGAGCTTAGTGAGCATGAAGCAGCTGGACTGAGCTGATAACTACCCACTACCTGCCAAACACACACACACACACTCACACACACACACACCAAACACACACATTCAGATTATGTACTTTATCTGTTAACATACAAACTCCAACCTGCTGCAGTTACAGTATTCAGAGCCCCTCCTGAACCCGGACACAGCCGTGGACGAACACGGAAGAGTGGAGCTCTGTACATGAAATTAAAAAAGAAGGAAAAATGAGATAAGAAAAGACAGAATTAAAGTTTTGAGAAATAAAGAAATAAAACAGGGGGAACTTATCTTTTTACCGCAGAATTTGGCCAAAAGCAACAGAATGAATTAAAAAGTGACCTTAATTCAGACGGACGTGAGCGGCTGAATCCTGATATTTAACAGGAGAGCTGAAGGCTAATCAGTAAATTCAGACTGAGAGATACACCGACTATCTGACTCTTCAGGGAGGAAAAATGTGGTTCAGTTTTTTTCATTCAGAGCCACATGGAGATGTTGTTCAGCATTAATGAAGCCTTCACAGATGACCTGAACAAAAGAGACCTTGATCTGTCTTACACCAGTCTGGTCGTCCTTCAGGTTTCTGCCTGTTGAAGGAAGTTCTTCCTCTCCTCCAAATGCTGTAAAGTGTTTCCCTCATGTGGTTGAAGATTAGGGGATTGGAGAGGATCTGATCCCGTCTTTGTAAATAGAGTCTAGTCTCGACCAGAATTGAATCTCCAGAATAAATGATAGATTACCTGATTTCTAAAATAGGGTGACCATTCTGAATCCCCAAAAAGAGGACACGACTATGCGGAGGTGGAGTCACACGAAGTTAAAGGTGGGGTAGGCAGGAATCCGAGAAAGAAGCATCTTTTTTTGTAGTGTAAATACAATAAAGCTTTTAATATCAGTCAATAGTTATTAGTTATTTATGATATTTGGAGATATAATGATATCTGGTAGTCTGTTGGCATCTACAGTAGCACCAATGCTTTTTACTTTCACCTTGACTGGCCCCCATTGTAATTATCTGAAGTATTTATCTGCATTATACCTGAATTTAATTGGAACGATACGAGCGAGCAGGAACGTCTGTTTGTGGGCGGGGCTTGATGGAGCAGAGAGGGAGGGGAGAGGAGGAGCTGAGGGGAAAACTGGTTGGGAGGGGTGGAGTTTACATTCAAGATTTCTCCTAAAAACTGGAACTTTCTCAGATCCTGATTACCCCACCTTTAATTTTGACATTTTTCCAGGTGGGATCGAGTGTCTTTTATGGGCCTCTAACTCAGGAAGTCCACGCGACACAAAATTGAAACTTATGTACAAAATCGCGGACATTTGAGGGGTTTTATAAAATTCACCTGACAAACCCGTATGGCATCCAAAAAAGAGGACATGTCCGGGTAAAAGAGGACGTATGGTCACTGTACTAAAATATTTGATGACTGCAGCCCTACTTTGTTTTCTCATTGGGTGGACTATAGAAACAGTGTGGGGGACATTTTTTCTCTGACTGTCTGCTGGTTGTTTGGCTGGAGAATGACTTCATGTTCAGCATATATCTGTATTTATAGGCAGAAAGCCTGTTTTTTTTTCATTACATTGACATTAAAAATGTCCTGCTGCCTTCATTTAAATTCGCTCTTATAAATTATGTATATTGTAAGTTCCAGAAGATGTGATTTTTTATGTCGTGGTGGATGTTTGATTAGTGAGTGTAGGTCAAAGGTCACCGTGCTTATTCATTCCCAGCTGCAGAGCCTCAGGCAGCGAGAGGGACGAAGATGTGGAGGTTCACCAAACAGAAAGTGAAGGCTGGAAAAGCTGCAGAACACAAGTGACCCGAGGGGAGAGAATAAATAAAAAAGATAAAATAAAATACAAAGGATCAGCTCAGGAGGAAGAGAGGATGAAGGACAGGAGGGGGAGGAGCGAGTGGAAAAATAAATGAAGACGGAGGAAAAATAAGAGGAAAAGAGCCGAGTCCAGCGGTATTCGCTTCATTAATCCAGAGGATCTAAACACACCACCTGAGGCAGTGAAGGTAGAGAGGACACGGAGGGAGATGATTATTCTACTGCAGATCTCGAGTTAGGGCTGAGTGTGGGGACAAACTGGAATTTCATGTCGTTCACTGTCAAAAACAGTCAAATAAGGAAAATAGTACAAAAACTTTTTCACGATAAACTTTGAGGAGTTTTATCACGTCACCTAACAGACTCCTGGTTTTATCTTCCTGCTGATTTTTTAGCAGAGATGTGAAAAAACTTCCTTGGGGAAAATTCAGCCAAAGTTTATATCTCAATAATTCACATATCAGACATTAATCATCCGTATTTTTAATAATTAATGTTTAATCTGACAAATGCGTCATATGGTGCAAATTCTCTGTTGTCTGAGCGCTCTTTTGGAGTTTTATAGAAGTGAAAAGGTGTTAAAGGCAAGTCACAAAACTGTAGTTCCCTGGATGTCCACATGAGGCTCTCTCCAAAAGTCAAGAAAACCTCAGGGTCTGTATTATGATGCAAATTTTTAGGGCTGAATCTAAAGGTGTTTTCACACCTGAAAGTCTGGAGGTCCGTGTTTTTGTTTGTTCGGTCTGTTTAGGTCTCACACTGTCATTATTGCAAACGGACAAACAGACTTTACATGACGAACCTACAAGATATCATCATCAACTACGTGTTTTGCGTGTCTCTGTAGTTTACATTGATTGGTCATTTGGCCGGCGGGCATCTGACGTCAACACGTGAAAAGTGCAGGTCATGAATGGGTGAAATCGTCATTCCCGCCATCGTACTGTTTTTGATTTTCATGACTAAAGCCGCGTTCAGACCAAACGCAACCTCGGCGTCTTGAGCAACGACTTCCAATGCAAAGTCTATGTACAGCCGCGACCTGACGCAACTAGGTGATCGCTGGCTGCCGGCGACCGCTCAAAGGATGACCCGATGTTTATTCCAGTTAGATTCCTCGCTTGTTCACGTTTCCTCTTTGACTCCGCCCTTTCTTCTGTCGCTACTTTTAGCCGCCCAGATCTCCGAGAAGGGCCAGGAAATGGGGGGGGAGTCGGAACTGCGGAGGGGGGTGTGTCGAATACAGCGAGGTGATTGGATGGATAGGCGGAGCAGGAGATTGACCAATAGGAGCTATCTGGGATGAATGGCTCCCATTGGTCAGTGTTTTTGCAGCCCTGCACCTGATAGGGTGAACAGATTTTTTCCGTTCTTTTTTCTCTTCACTTTGCGGAGATCGCACAATAGGACCATGATCGCCATAGAAACGAGGTTCATAATAACTACCAATCTCTCCAAACGTCAACCATGACTTTAAGTAGTCGCCTTATGAACAGTGGGAAGGATGTTGGGGTTCAGTTTTGGTGACCATCATGAAAACACAAAAAGGAGAATTCGAGAGGGTTGTAGTAATGGATTGTGGGTACACTAAAAAGTTTTCATTACTTTTATTTGGAAAGAAAGTGGGGACATCTCTGTGACCCACTTAGGGTGTTCGGATGAAGTTGAACCAGCCTGTTTCCTCACACTTTGTCTTTCCTCCTCCCAGCTATACTTAGCGTTACTCGTCCATGTTTGTACACTCCGCAAATCCAAACGGGGATTTAGCAGCAGACACTTTTCCATGTGTCACTTCCTCCCTGTCCCCTGGAGACCCAGATTTTTTTTTTGACCAATTCTCAGAAGAGGATCCAGAAACCGGTCAGGCCTAACAGCGCTGCCCAGCGGTGCGTTGGAGCCAGACAGACAGATTGGACGCAACAGGGGACAAATGAGCAGAGACTCGTGGGTAATTTGGCGTGATGATGTGATTTGATGCAGCGTCTGAAACCCTCTTTTTCTCCTCTGTCTCTATCTGCCCCTCTTCAGTCTGGGGGCAGTTGTCTCTGAATGGATGAATGGATGGATGGATTACTGGAAGAATAGAGGCAGTGGGAGGTTTGTGTGATAAAGAGAGGAAATGGACGGTGTGGGCAGATGAATGGATGACAGAGGAAGAGTGGGAGGTACGGAGCAATGAATGAATCAAAACACGGGTGAGAGGCTGAATGACATGAAGAGTAAAAAGGTAGAGTGATGGAAAAATGGAAAGAGACGTGGTTGGGTTAAAAAAAAATCATGTAACCGGAGATTGACGTGTGAATTAGATAGGAGGTGGATAAAGACTGGAGGAGGAATAATTGAATAGATGAGTAAAGGAAAACATGGCAGCATTAAAGTCTGGTTAAATGAATGGATGGACTGAGTAAATGAATGAATGAATGAATGAATGGTCTAGCAGATACAAAGCTAAATCTCAATCTAATTTCTGTTAAAATGATGGGTGGATTGCTTGATTCGGGGAATGGTGGAAAGATGCTTGATGATTGGATGAATTGTTGCAAAATGGGTGGATTGATGGATGGATGGATGGATGAATGGTTTAATTGTTTGTTAAATTGATCTGACGTGGACTGGTTCACTGACTAAGATAACTGACTGAATGAATTACTAAATGGATGAATTGATGAATGGTCCAGCAGATAACAGTTTTAATCTGAAGATAAATGGATGAATGAATATATTAATGGGTGAATAAATGGATTAATAGATGAATGAATGAATGGTTAAGTAGATAAAAGTTTTACTTTAAAGATATAAAGAATAAATGAATGAATGAATAGATGCAGCAGATAACTTTTTTAATCTAGAGATAAATGCATGAATGAATAAATGACTAAATGAACGGCTGAATGAATGAAGATAAAAGTTTTACTCTATAGATATATGAATGTATGAGTTAATTATTTAATGAATGAGTGAATGAACAAATGACAAATGAATGAATGAATTGTTCAGCAGATAACAGTTTTAATCTCGAGATGAATGCATTTATGAATAAAATAATTGATGAATGAATGGATGAATAAATAAATGAAGGGATAGTTCAGCAGATAACTGTTTTAATCCAAAGATAAATGAATTAATGGGTGAATGAATGGATGAATAGAGGAATGAATGAATGAATGATTCAGTCGATAAGTCGATTCAGTCGATGTTGCATATAACAGTTTTAATCCAAAAATGAATGAATGAATGAATATATATGTGGATGGATGGTTCAGTGGACAAAAGTTTTACTCTAAATATGTACAGTATGAATGTATGAATTAATTATGTAATGAATGAATAAATGAACGGATGAATGAATGGGTGGTTTAGCAGAAAACGGTTTTAATCCAAGGATACATGCATGAATAAATGAATGAATGAACAGATAGATCAATGAATGAATGAATGGATGAATGGTTCAGCAGATAAAAGCTGTACTCTAACGAGGAATGAATGAATAAATGGATGGATGGATGATTCAGCAGATTAAAGTTTTATTCTAAAGATAAATGAATGAATGAATGAATAAATAGACGGTCTGTTTGACTCACACTGCGGTGTTTCCTCTGACGTGACCTCTCTCACATTCTCTCTTTTTGATTTTTGGACTCGTAGAGGAGGAGAGACGTAAGGACACGTAAATGAATAAATGAAAACTAAAGGATGTAAGTAAAGTGGGCGTGCTGTCAGGAGCATGTGTGAGAGTGTGTTTATTCAGAATGAAAGTGTGGAGAGGGGATGTTGTGTTATGACTATTCATTCTGCCTTCAGGGGGGTTTAATCGGTCGGAGATATTCTTTTTAAAAACACGACCAAAAGACATAAACTCTGTTGATTAAAGGCCTCGCTCTGCATTAACCCTCCGGTTTCCTCTCAACCACTTTGACCTCCACTGCCTGGACAGTTTTTTAGTCCTTCCTCTATGTTTCGTGGTCTTTTTGTTTAGACAACATTAAACCAGCTTTAATATGTTGAATAAAACCTGATGTGTTGGCTCGTCCAACCTTGGTCCTGATAAGAATACTGCTCTAACTTTTGGATAGATTGCTTTACAGTTTTTCATCTAAATTGCAGACACTATTTTTATCATCTCTAAAGGATGTATCCCAAACAACTCCACCTTGGTTTCTTACAAAGTCCTGTTAATCCCACCTGTTAGCATTTGTTGACATACTGTCAGCATTAAATCATAAAAAAAACATAATAACAGCGGCACACATGAAAAGACGCTTCAACCCTTTCTGTCTGGGCTGCACAAAAGTCTTTACAAACTCCTCTTGTGTGAAAAATTACCTTTCCTATTCATCCCTGCCGTGGTCTTTGTGCGGGTTGTGAAAGTGCTTCCTGAATAGAGGCCCTGCTGTCAGATAAAGCTTTTCACTCTTTAGGGTGGGCTGTTTTTATCCTGCAGGGGGAGGCAGAGAAATGGTGCCTCAGTTGTGGTTATTGGTCGAGGTCAAAGCGTTTAAATGATTTGCCAGCAAACCTTTTGTTTGTCTTGGCCAGTTCAGCCAGTTGGGACTTTTGTGTCTCCGTAAAAGAAAAAAGTGGCTTGAAATCCTGAAAAGATGCTCAACAATATCCGCCTACACAACAGTAGTCGCCAGACCTTTGCCGCTATTTTCATTGCCACAATCCCTCCTTTTGAGCGTGTTTTGTGTGCGTATATCAACATTGGCAATTTAGGTTTACTTGATTTCTCAGCTACAGATAGTATCTACGAAATCTGCAAAAAAGACCATGTTCCAGGGACCAACATCACGTCTCCTAAATGAGACTCTTCCACTGCATCCGGAAGGGCTCCAATCCAGAATGGCGACGATTCTTGCCGTAAGCCAATTCCTACCGGATCCGTTTGTGAGGTGAATTTCGTGGTGGATTACAGAAAGCAGGAATCGCAAGAACTCACAAGAACTCGTGGATTCACGTACAATCGTGCGATAGCAAGTTGTCTTTCGCCCCAGAGGCTAACCATATAAGCAGTAGATTGTGTCCTTCCAGAGGAGGAAATCTACTATTAGACTTCTAGAATCAGCATCTCCTCATCCATGGTGTCATCGGGGTGAAATGACGTCTAAAAACCTTTCACTTGTTCATCTCTGTCTGTTTGCATGGTGTGAAATACGATCCTCCTAAAACACAGAGTTTTATTTTGAAAAGAAGCCGGATGTTTTATTTTGTGTCTGTCCTCGACTTCCTTTCCAGTACGGGTTAATCTGTGCTGTATTTACACAGCATGCTCTGGCAATTGGAAAAAAATAGAACTCTTGCGATCAACTGTGGAGTCCGCTGAATAGCAGCAGAACCGAAAGAATCTGGTGGAAATTGACACGCAAACTTGAATGGTTATGATCAGTTACGATCTGCGGATATGACCTTTTCGTAGCCGTTCTGGATGTGGTGGAAATTGCCAGTTAGATGCCCTGCAGTTGCGTCTCATCACCATATGCAGCCGCTGGGGTGCGAACATTTGTAACGGCTGATGTAATGTCAGTTTCCTGCGCTCCGCTTTCTTTTAATTGTACTTTACTGACTTCAAAGACTGAAGTCATTTAACTAGAGAAGAAGAAGAAGAAGAAGAAGAAGAAGAAGAAGAAGAAGAAGAAGAAGAAGAAGAAGAAGAAGAAGAAGAAGAAGAAGAAGAAGAAGAAGAAGAAGAAGAAGAAGAAGAAGAAGAAGAAGCACCTGCAGGGCTGTCTCACCCTGAAAACTGTGTGCTCATCAGTGTGTCTGAAGTCGATCATTTTATAAGACTGTGTCTGCCAGAAGATGAAGGTGTGTGAGTGTGTGTGTGAGTGTGTGTAAACTCTGCCTCCTCATCTTTGACATTTCCAGGTCACTCAGTTAGAAAATGGTTTCTCTGCTCCCGCCCCCTTTCCTCCTCTCTCCCCCCTCTTTTCTCCCCCTCTGTTTTTACCTCTCACCAGCGCTCAGAGGCAGGAGAAGTTTCAGAAAACTGGGATAAAAAGATTTGGAGGTAAAGACGATGATTGTTCGACTAAAATCTAAAATGAAACCAGTACCTAGATTTGTGCCGACCTGGACTCACATCATTGCATCATTTTGTTGACCACATGTTACATCAGGCTCAGCTTACCTAAAAGAAGATGGTGCCAAACTTTGCGTCCCCCCTGGATCAAGTCCCAAATATGAGTCCCAGTCCAAGTTGAGTCCCAGTACCTCAGGATTTATACACTGTTAATCACTGGCTACACAAACCCCCACCTGAAGGCACACCTGATTCATGTTACACCCAAAACACACCAATCAGAAATCAGACGACTTACCTCAACCTCTCTGCACCCTACGTTTCACGAAGCATCAAGATTTCGTGTCGCCTGAGGGGAAAAAAGTAGAGAAACACACCCTGGTGTACTGGGCACCACGTTCATGAGCAGGAGCATTTTATATTGTTAGAATAATTGTGTTTAAATGTATTTATATGAGCCATTTTGTCCTGAATTTGACATTTTTTATTTGGGATGACTTTTATTGTTGCATCAGGATTGAAAAAACCTGGATGAGACAAGAGTTGATCTGGTTCGCACACAGACACACTGAGAATTTCTGCAGAGGAAAACCAGAATCAGGGAAACCTGCTGGAGGAGGGGGGGGAATACACAATTTGTTGTGCTTACAGCAGAGATGCTGAAATCAGCGAAAACATTTTGCTTCAGAAGAGTTTTGCTCCCATTTACAGCTGCTTTCTCTGCAAATTCACCCCATAACAGCTGAGACGGAAGCAGGCGAGGGCCGGGCGGCGGTAATTGGTTTGGTCTCACCTGCTGAGACACACACACTCACACACACTCACACACATACGCACACACAGGTGACAGGTAAACAAAACTGTCATAAAGGCGAGCCTGTTTAAGCAGTCAGCTGATTTTGAGAAGAGCAGAGTCAAACAGTAAAGCTGGGTAAAAGCTCTGCAGGGATGAAGGTGAGGGAAATTTAGCCAAACTGCTTATTAAGCACGCTCAGTCATCTCGCACTCGCTCTGACCCTCTCTGTCATGAGTTTAAACCACACCGAGGACTTTTGAGGTCTTTTAAAACAGGGTCTACGTCAACCAGACGTGTCTTATTTCTGAGCTGGAAAAGAAATGAGTCCTTCTCTGAGTGAGACGTGAGGCACAAGGCAGAAAGACGTTGGATAAAGTCCCTCAGTTATAATAAAAATACTAATAATAATATTTATTTATAAAGTTAGTTGAAGCTCTAACTTTACTGGGGGAGAGACTCTTCCTTCACGACTTTGGCGAATGAACGACATGTGTCACCCAGTGAACGACGCTGTGACTTCAGCAGCAGGAAAGGGGAGGGACTTGTTTAAAGACGAACTCCTGATCTGCGCCGCTCACTCACTCGTGTACTGCACCTGGCAAGACGGGTCTCTGAAGCACTGACTGATGTGGTGAACAAATCTTTTGAACGAATAATTTTGATGAACAGATTCTAAAGATTCAGTCAAAAGAACTGTTCTTCCATCACTGTTGAACAAGTCTTGAAAGTTGTTTTGTTTTTGGTAAACTTCCATTTTAGTTAAAAAACAGTTGAGCTCCTCTCCTTTAGTTAATAAGTTCTTAATGAAACCTTTAAATCAACGGGACCTTCATGTACAGTAAGCAGCTGCTGCGACCTAAACAGAGCTGCTTTAGTTATACAGGCTCCTCGTCTCTAAGCCAATCACAGAGGAGCGAGTTTTATTATTCCAGATGAATATTGGACTCAGAGGAGCAATCGGGCAGGACTGTTTTATTAGCACACAGATCAATGTCATTACAGCTATTAAAAACCAGTTTGAGCTTCATCAGGCGTTTCCTGTGTCGTCTGATCTGGTCCACCTCTCGGGAGCTGACGTGGGCTGATACCTGGAGAGACTTTAAATGGAGTTATCTTACTTTTTACTTTTTGGATGAAAAGAAAGAGACTGAAAAAAGTTTGATTTCTTTTTCAAGTTTCAGAGTAATGTTCCTGAGTGTGAAAAAATGAGTGGATTTCATCATCTACAGTATTTTCAGTTGTCCAGTTTTCAGAGGAACCTCATTGTATTAAGTGGTATTTGATTTACTGCTGCCTTTCTGTTATCTTGAACCAGTCCGCCTGCTCTCCTCTGACCTCTGACATCAACAAGGCGTTTTTATCCACACAGCTGCAGCACACTTCTTTGGTTGTGAGTTAAAATCCTCCTAGATCCGCTGTTTCTGAAATACTTAAAGTCTATTAAATCCTCTTCTCTGATGCGCGGTTTAAACTTCTTGACCATGTCTACATGCCGAAATCCACTGAGTTGTTGCCATGTGATTGTCATGATTGGTTCTTCTTTATTTAGTTTTCCAGGCTTTATTTAGTTGTACATTTTCCCCTCGTGTGTCTGTCTTCTCTGTTCCCATTTTGTGAGTTTTCAGTTTGTGTTTGACCCTGTTTCCCTCCTGTTCGTAGTTTCGGGTGTTTCCTGTTTTATTTTGTAGTTGTCAATCCTCCCATGTCTAGTCTAGTTTTACTTCCTGTGTTTTCCCTCTTTAGTAATTGTCTGCACCTGTGTCTCAGTGTCTGCACCTGTGTCTTAGTCTCACCTGTCTGTCGTTGCTCGTCTCCCTGTGTGTCTATATAGTCCCTGTCTTCCCCTCTTTCTTCGTCCGTTCATTGCATGTTTCAGTCGATGTCAGAGTATCCCCAGTTATGCTGGTCTTCCACCGAATGATTTTCACAGTCCCAGACAAAAAACTGAAAATCTTAAGTAAATCTTGGAGTTTTACTGGAGTCACAGCATGCTCCCGTCATCTCAATTGTAAAGTTTAAGATGGTAATCTGCGCAGTCTTTTCCTTGTTGCAGTGATGTAACACAACCAACGACCAATAGATGAGCTCTAACAAAAGCAGAAAAGGAAACCTGACAGTCAAAATAAGAAAAATAAGAAGGTAGGAAGAATAACTGGCCATAAAAAGGAGCGGATAGTGGAGCTGTGGGCAGATCAGCCCTGCCTATTCCACATCAACTGCAGGGTTTCCCGTACATGTAATGGCGCACCACCATAGCTAAATAAAAGCCGCCACACATCAACAATAACATTTTTTCACACGCTACCTCAGACTCAGTATGTATCAGTTTGTAGGGCGCACAGGGGCTGCTGTTGGCTCCCCAAGTCTCTGGTTTTCTCTGTTTACATGCAAACGTGCAAATGGAGTTTTCCAAACTCTTTACTGGCTGTAGTTTTTAAAAAGCATCATTTCCAGGGGTGAATTCTCCATTTGCGTCTAAACGAAGGGAACAATCGATGGTTTATGTATCTGTTCTTTAAATTGTTTTTATGTCTGAGTTGTTTTTGTCCACTTATGTACAGCACTTTATTTTGACTGCGGTTGTTTTAAAGTGCTTTATAAATAAAAATGAGTTGAAATGAGACTTTGAATTTTCCTTGTTTTTTTTTTCTGTAATCAATCCTCAGTTCTGCATTTGTCACAGTGATTGGCTTATTAGCTATTTGTGTTAACGAGCAGTTAAACAGATGTACCTAATTTAGTAGCAAGTGACTGTATTTTATCATTAGTTTTAACATTTAAAATGTCGTCCTTACAGTTTAAAAAAAATTAAATCTCCGGTTTAAAGGACTTGCATATGATCAACATTTTTTTGATATTTTGCTGTAATTGGAAAAGAAAAAAAAAAACACCTTGGACAAACCTTTGATTCAAACCTGTTTTATTTTTACACAAACAACGCAGATATTTTTTCTTTTGTGTACTGCACGTAAATATTTTATCATCCGAGGAAGTCCCAGTAGCTCTGTAAATCTTTAAACACGACGTCCATAATTCATATATCTGATCAATAAACCATCGCGGTTTTATATGGATCAAACTGGTCGTTTATTCGCAGAAGAGCCGCAGAATCAGGAGTGATAGGCTGGAGGCTGGCCCACACACACACACACACACACGCACACACACACACATTTGTAACACACTTGCATAGATTTGTGTGAGTTTTAATCATTTATACCCAGTGTAAAAATGGGCACAAGGTTATTAACAGTAAAGTTAGACACACACACACACACACACACACACACACACACACACACACACACACACACACACACACACACACACACACAAAGACATACACTAATGCACATACATGTGTACACTTCAATGATTTATATCCACATTAAGCACAAGAAAGTGAACACGCACGTTAGAAAAACTCTCATAAATAACTCTCTGCATTCACACACAGGTGAAAGCACACACCTTTGTGTGTTTTGTGTGTATTTGAGCTGCTGTGAACTCTGGTTGTCTGACACAGCATTCGTATCACATCTGAAGCTCCGAGTCCTGCTGATTCCCGTGTTTCCTCCTCGACACGCTGCAGAGGAATACTTTGTTGTTTTCCTGAAATCGTCTCCAGAGTCCATGAGAAAACACCGACTGTGTGTCTTTTTACTTCAGGACTTTTCAAAACAACAAGACTTGATTTGGAGAGATGAACGAGTCTCGACTGTATCCAGCTCGTTTTCTCTGCATAAACTTAAAATGTTGCTACTTGGCTCTGGTGCCTCAGTCTGTAAACACCGTCTGTTTTCAAATTCAACTACTACACTAGCAGTATGTACTGATTTGACCAAAATTAAGTATGTAGTATGCAGTAGGCGTACAAATGCGAAATTTGAAGTATGCCAAAAATTCCCGGATGACGCACTGACTCGGGAAAATTTCACAGTATGCATCGGTCCAGTCTGCTTTGCCCACTGTTACCTACAATGCAAAGCGCCTGGGCAGACGGCGGAAAGGTGGAGAGCGGCGAAACTTTTCACCAGAGTGTTCATTTTCTAAGAGGACAGCCAAAAGATTTCTCCTTCTGACAGCCTGTCTTCTTCTCTTCCTTCTTTCAGCATTTTGTGTGAAAACCACTGACAAGAATGTTTTGTTATCATACCGTACAGTTTTATCCTCGATTTCTATCACCTTAAGTTTTCCTGCCTCTCCTCATCCTTTATTCTGTACGCCTGATGTTGACCACACACAGCCATGTTTCGATCACACAGCTGGACAGGAAGCTCAACTGAAGTGAGAAACAAATGAATCACTCGAGGAAGTGATTCAGTTCAGTACGTTCACTTAAAAGATTTAGTTCTTTTGAACAAATCGTTCGCCAACGACACAACACGACAGATCAACGAGTCATTGCATAGACAGGACACGTTTTTGATGGCTAATACCGGGCTAAAAAATCCAGAAAAAAAATCGAAAAGAAAAGATTTTTTTCAGTGTGTAAATGAATGGGCAACATTGTAGTGTTTGTGCAATTTACCAGCGTATGAAGGACTTTTTCATACTGAAAACCAGCTAAACCGGGCCAACCACACTACAGAATAACGGCCGACTTGCAGTCATACTACATACTACTATCGAACACAGTACTCGATAGGACAGTTTGAAAACAGCCACCATCTATGGAGACTGACTCACTTTTGAAGATGGCTCCTAGTGGACAGTAAAGAAACTGCAGCTCCAAAGTTCACTTCAGTTTTCAGCCCGCGAGGTTCATTTCTTCAGACTTTTGCTCCATTTTTCTGCTCATTACAGACTCTCTGTAGATTTTTAATGAACTATAAACACAGAGAGTAACAAACAAACACCTTTATTATTACACTCTGATGAAAATATTCTATTTATGCAGCTTATGACCGAGCAGAGACTCTCTGAATGGTCCTCACTCTCCCCTGATGCAGCGCCCCGTGACGCCCATCGCCCTGTCTGTAAATTCTCCGGTAAATGCATGAAACAGTCGCTGCAGATTGTTTACTGTGTAGTGAGGGAGCTCCCTTTTGTTGCGAAAGTGTGAAACTGTTGTTCACAGCAGCGGGTGGATTTGACATCTGATTCCCTGCTTCTTCTTCTTCTTCTTCTTCTTCTTCTGCTGCCGTCGCTGTAGCAAAGTTTAAAGTAGGGCAGCTAAAAGGCAGAACAAAGCACGGCGAACGCCTGGGTAACTTTTCCTTAAAAAATACATGAGGCAGGGCCTGCCACTCCCCACCTATCAAACATTAAGGAGCAGCAGAAAAGATGTTTGACACACACACACTAACACACACTAACACACTGTTGTGCACCTGAAAGTAAACAGAGACCTGGAAACACGATCATTCACACACTTTTACACAGATATGGACGGATACATCAACAAGGTGACGGTTTAAAAATGCTCGGCTGGTCTGAGCGACATTAAAGTGTCATGGTTTGTAATTCCTCACTGTCAGCTGTTTAATTACCCTCTTAACAGGCTCTGTACGCTCTGGGACAGGATGTCAGACCATATCAGACTTTATTCTGGGGTTAACCTACTGTGGCTCTCAGGTGCTGTTTGTTTAAGGTTATATGTTACACTTGAAAACGTATTTTTGTCTCACGGTGCCAAACAATCTCATGACTGATTGGCTTTTGTTTGATGACGTAATGCCAACTTGTGGGGGAGTCCAGCACGACAAGAGGTCAGCGATAAATGATCCAAAGCGGTATTGTTTTTCAAGACTCAAGATTTGTCTGAAAAAAATCAAAACCTTCATAACGGCTAAAACCCACAGGATCCTGAACGGCTGTGCTCAGATCTGGAACAGCAGGTGGATCAAGTACGCAAGCATTATGATCAATGTGAGTGATTCCACACCACAAGGGCGGGTGTTTTAGGTGTGCTTGGATATTACTATCTTAAGCCACCCATCTAGATAAGACTACAGAATAAACACCCCAATCCCTTGGTTCAATACATCACCCCATGAAGTACCTGCAGTACACTTCGCTCTGGGCAGTCTCAGTTTTACTGTAGAAAGTTAAATATATAGAGAATTTAAATATCAACTTTAAAAGATAAAAGTCTGCAAAATACAATCTGTCATTTCCGGTTTGTTTTTTTACATCCACGGTAGAGCCAGTTTATTTTATTCTGGCAGGTCTCAGTTTCACTGTAAATAGTAGATTACACAGAGGCTTAACTCTGGCTTGTTGCAGAGTTACAAGCTAAAGTCATCCCTCTAGACTACGAAAAAAAACCCAACATTTTTGGTTCGAAACATTTACCAAAGAAGTTTCCTCTCAGCAGTTTTAGTGAGTCTCAGTTTCACTGTAGAAAGCTACACAAAGAGCACCTTTACCTTGGCTTGCTTTTTCAACATGACAACAACAACAAAAAAACAAAACATGAGAATTCTCAGTTAGACTATTGAACTTTCCTCGCTAACACTCGTGGTATTTTGTGGCTTTACAGCCTCATGCAGAACCTCCACACTGATTTACTCTGAGCGTCTTTTGGATCCAGACAGATGGCGCCTCTTGCACGTTGTAATGCTTACATGTTTTCTGCTGTCACAACGTAACAAACCCTCAGGCGACATGAGACCCAAAGCTCCGGAGAAATTCAGCGTCATATGGTCTGAGTGCTGCTCCTCAGGCAAGAGGAGAGATTTCTGCAGCGTCTGTCGAGGCAGAGAGAGCGAGGGCGCTGACGTGGAGCTGACTGGAGTTCAGCAGGAAGTGGATTTTCATGTAAACCACACGGAGGCTCAGTTTGGGAGAGGGAGTCCTGTGCTGTGGTTGCAGAACAGCTTGTGAATCAGGTTTGACGGCAGGCGGATGAAAGTTAACAGACTAAACAGCACTCAGAAAACCGCTCGCTCCGAGGTTCTCCTTTATGTTTTCTCTCGCTTCTTAAGTGCTCTGTCATGCATTCATCCTGCAGCTGTCTGGATGGGATAGTGGGGAACACTCTCACAAAATAAATGAAAAATGAATTAATTACTTTTTAATACCCAGTTCTGGGAGAGCTGAATGTTTTCAGCTGCAAAAACAACATTTCTTTTTCCAGGAGAAATCAGGAATCAAGTTTCTCTGTTTTCTGTCTGAAGAGTTTAGATTGAGAAAATGAAGAAGTGCAACGAACAAACTTTAGAAAAACATGAACCCCAGAGGTAGGGTGGCAATTTCCACAACACTAAAAAGGAGAACACTTTACGACATTTAGTGAGGAAAGAAAAATCGCAACGTACAATTTTAGTGTACCCCTCACGACAATGCCGGAACCATGATACAGCGATTCTGAGATACCCTGTTTATCACAAGACAATTTATCTATGATATATCCTGATGTATTTGTAACAGAAGAGGAAAAAAATATTCCTGAGAAGGCTAAAAGTATTTCTTCACATTTATTGTTTCATTTATTTCATTTATTTATTAATCCGTCTTGCAAAGTGTAGTTCCACAAAGCAGAACATATACGGCCTTAAAGGTGGGGTAGGCAGGAATCCGTTAAAGAAGCATCTTTTTTGTGGTGTATTTACAAAAAAGCTTTTAATATCAGTCAATAGCTATGTGTTCTCTTATGTTTGTGTAGTCAACATTTTAATTTTTTTGAGTGGCCCGCTCTTTCTGACTGTAAACAAAGCCGTTCCCCGCCTCCCCCAACCTGATTGGTTGTGAGGCAGACGCTGCTCCCCCGTGTCGTTCAAGAGCCCAAACAAAGTTAGCGTGCTACAATATCGGACAGTAGAAACCAACCAGAAAGTTCGGAAAATTGTCTGAATCCTCCTTTAGCCACAACTGCCAAAACAAGCAAGAAAACAAAGTAAATACCGGAGACTCTGGAGGAATAACGGGCGCTTAAAACAGAGGTAGACCGGACAAGAGCTAAAAAGCCGGGTCAACTTGAACGATGGGGGACGCTTGGGGATCTTGGTGACCCTGTAACCTTTCTGCTGGACAGGTAAACCACTTTAACAAAGTAAGCCAAGTGTCTGTAACAGAAGACTTTCTTGTCAAACGGACCTGCTGTAGCGTGTTGTAGCGCCGCTAAACTGTTTACCTCGGGTCCTGGACTATGTCACTTTATCCTAGTTGTAGAAGTCCTGCAAACATTGTGTTTGCTGGTAGTCTGTTGGCATCTACAGTAGCACCAATGCTTTTGACTTTCATCTTGACTGGGCCCCATTTGTAATTATCTGAAGTATTTATCTGCATTATATCTGAATTTAATTGGAACGATACAAGCGAGCAGGAGCGTCTGTTTGTAGGTGGGGCCGTTTTAGTCACTCATTGCTAAATATTTGTGACCTTCACTTCATGGCAAGGCCGGATATCTTATTTTCTTTCTCTGGACTTCCACATCATTCTAACCTGATGAAAAATCTCAGGTACGGGGTCAGGTGGATCTCTGCTGGGTGCAAGGACTATGAACTCTCTTTACTGCGCTATTTGCTGCTGTCGGCATGGCAACAGCGGTGGTGTCTGCAGTCGTTTTCAAATGGTGTTTCAGCTGATGTGAGATCGGCAATCAAAGAGAGAGGAAGGGAGGGAGGTGCATCATCCTGTCAAATGGAAATGAAAGTAAGAATCAGCCTGAGGACACCGCTGTCACTCAGTGTGTGTGTGTGTGTGTGTGTGTGTGTGTGTGTGTGTGTGTGTGTGAACTGTCAGCAGTGATGTATTGACAGCTGTGAGGATTTGATTACACTGAAGAACTGGAAGGAAGAAAAAAAAAACAATAACATGAACTCAATTAACTCCTCTTCTTTTACTCGCCTCTCTGTCTCTCTGTCTGCTCATAAAAATCATCTTACAGTAAATGACGAACTGTGTTATTTTATGGCTGAAAAGCTGAGAAATAAAAATACGTCTTAAGATGAGATTTGAAGGAGTGTAAGGTCGGGGACTCTGTATTGTGTGGGGTAACTAGTTCCACAGTTTGAAGGTTTAAACCTGGTCTGAGGGACCGCAAGAAGA